TATACATATTAAAAAGTCTTTAGAAAATATTAAGTATTAAAGAAGATATAGCTTATTAAAGTTTCTACTTTTACTAGTAAAACTGGGGCGTTGAGTGACCCGGGGCGTTGAGTGACCCGCTACTGTAGAGCTTACTCGCGATAACAGCCCCGGCGCTTACACTTGTTCATCCCCACATAATGGTACACTCCATGTAGCTCCCAAAGACTCGGCATACGGTAGCTAGGGAGTTTTACTCCCGAGCGCTACCGTGACCTTGGCCATTTAGTCGAGTCCGCTGCACCTTATCCCCGCGAAATCAGCTGCGGGCGCTAAACTTCCCGGTCTCATAGGTCTGGCAGCACTGCCAAGCAAGCACAGGCCATCTTTGCTTCGCCAACGCTCAAGCCTAGTCTTCTACATGCACACCTGAACGATCATTCACTTATCCTGAAAGTCCGGGTCGCAATCATGGTGTACTTCCTAAACGAGCTGCAGGAAGCTCAACTGTTAAGCGCTCGACCATTATGTGGATTGACATACTATAGGAGGCTGCCAATGATCAACTGTAGCACGCCCTGTAAAGCATCACATCTTGACCGCTCATGTATTCACAAATTCCTGTCAAGCGAACATACGCATCATGTCACAACAACGAGGAAGGCAGCCACCCCCTTCACTCACGCAGCCGCAACACCCGTACTTCCCATCGGTCAATGAAGGCTCGAACACACCAGCTCCACCATCCTATCGAGCATCCCTTCATGACAAACGTTCTTTTAATTTCCCAGGACGCATCGAGAAGAAGCTAGCGCAGTACAACACGTCCCAGAATGTGTTCAAACGCTGGCTGTTCGAGATCATCAGCGTGTCGACAAGTGCTGTCTGCATGGGTAAGATAGCTTCGGCTCAGTATGTTCTGTACGTATGCTGATGGCAATACCAGGCGCGATCATTGGATTGCTTTATTATCTTCATGATCAACCTCTCGACAAATGGCCTCCCGGGTTGACCATCATCACGATCCTCTCGAAGATTGCCTCTGGAGCACTCATCCTACCAATATCAGAGGCCATTGGGCAGCTGAAGTGGACATGGTTTCATGGAAAGAAGTCTAGAGATGCGTTCGATTTCGAAATCTTCGATAAAGCATCGCGAGGCGCATGGGGATCGTTTATGCTGTTGTGCCGAACAAAGGGCAAGTCGCTCGCTGCTTTAGGTGCTCTGTTGACAGTTCTACTGCTTGCAATCGACACCTTTTTCCAGCAAGTAACGGATTTGCAGGAGCGCTGGATATTGCAGGGCAATAGTTCTATCCCGCGGAGTATACGATATACCCCTTCCGACGTGCTTACCTATGACAACACTTATGCCGACACGCCTTTGTCTACGATGAACCAAGATCTAAAGAGGGCCTTGGATCCATTCATGTATGACAAAAATGGCACGCGCCCTCTGCTTACGGAGGGTGGCCCTCAAGCAGAGATACCACTTGTGTGCCCCACTAGTCGATGTGAATGGCCGGCCTACCAGTCTTTGGGAGTTTGCAGTGCTTGCGAAGACGTTTCACATCTTCTTGAGTATCACTGCCTTAACATGAAGATGGACTGGATCAGAAATGCCACTGGTCCTGGAACGGAAGATACATATTCCAATGGTGAGACATGCCTTTCATCACTGCCGTCAGTCTTTATCATGCCAAACCATGCAGTCAACTAATCACCTAACAAACTTTACTGCGGCTAACAATATGTCCACTTAGGTACTGCATGCGGCTACTTCCTGAACGCGACGAGTTCATCTCCTGTACTTATGTCGGGCTACAGGGTCGAGAACAGCACCGATTCAACTTACGGAGAGACCCTTCTCATGCGCACACTGCCACTTGTCACGAATCCTCTCAGAAGGCCGCTGTACGGAGGCTCTATCAACTTCAAGCACATCGACAACCCCATCCTTGATGCACTCATCGTAAGCGCAGCTGACGGCTCTGCTACCAGCGTCTATCGTAAAGTACCCCCCATCGCCCACGAATGTGTCTTGTTTTGGTGCGTCCAAACTCTCCTCTCCTCGTACTCACAGGGAGGTTATGAAGAGCAGGTGATTGAGACTTTCACGAACACAACCAAAACCGAGTACCCCTGGTACGTCGAGCAGATGTCGAACGGCGATACCTACCAGGACTTCAGTCAGAACATCACAATAACCCCACCTTCTAACAACACTCCTGTTACTTCTTTCGGCGTTTCTAATGATACGTTCTTACTCACGGTCGTTGTTCTGGATGAGGTGTTTCCATCCCTGATTACTATTTCGGATCCTTCTGCACAGCCATACCTGAAAGTCCGAACTAGCTTTACGGACCAGATAAGATTCCGAGAAGTACACTTCAATCCATGGCTTGCTCCCAACAATGTCACTTATCACATGGAAAGGATAGCACGGGCTATGACGAATGTTGTCAGATCAGATACCGACAGCAACGAACTGATCATTGGAAGCGCTTCCTCGCCAGAGACATATGTGAGAGTTGAATGGGGCTGGCTCACATTTCCTCTGGTCATGCTTCTCCTGAGTATTGTGTTCTTGGTAGCCACGATGATCAAAACTTCACAACAAACATACGATGGAATCGGCACCTGGAAAACTTCGGCTATGCCGGCGCTGATATACAGTCTACCGAAAGACTTGCAACAGGGACTCACAATGTCGGCGACGTCGAGATCGAAGAAGGTCAGGATCAGACTAATGCCGAAACAAGGATGGAGGGTGTCTGGTCAGGTTCAGCCCGCATCAACGGCTCCGCCAGGTTTCATATAGCTGCAAGCCTTCGCTTATGATACGTGCATGCGAACAATGAAGATTCGTTAAAGAGAGTGAAGACCTGTAAAGAGCTGCTCTTATCATCATGACATGCTATGAATCATTCAGCGGTACTGTAACCTATGAACAAATCGATATGGCGGAAAGCGATTTATGTTGATGCCCGTTTCGGCGATATACAAGGCTCCCATTGTCACCACAAAGCCGATCTCGCTTGCTGAGGCTTAGCTCGGCCAATACCCCCCGTTCGCCCTTGTAGCTCCTATCGTCGTTCCAACCTCATTGATTAGATTCCATCTGCATTCTTGACCAATAGGTAGAATACAAGTTCCCGACTGCGTCTAATATCGCAATACCCGGTCCGGCAACGTCACAATGCTGGTCACCACGCGCAGTAGCTGTTAGCTTGTCGCTTTGCCGCAGCGCTAACAGCGGAGTTCCTATAGGTGTACGATAACGAAGCGCACGCTCAACTTCGGATGGTATACGCGCAACTTGGCGGTATCCTCTCGTGTTAGCTGGACATTTAGTAAAGCCTACTTATTTAGCCTATACAACTTGGTAGACTCTGCTTCACCGTTGCTTTGCTTTTGAGCATCGAGGACTGTCTTTCCCACACTATAATCATCCCTCACAATTCCCATGGACGACCACGGCGCACGATACATCAATGCAAGCCCTTTAGTAATGGCTCCCATTTCGACAGCCACAAGGCAGCGAGCTACTCCAATCACACAACAAAGCGATCGATATCGACGACCGTGTACGCCTGCGTCGCTAAACCTATCGGAAAACCAGAAAACATCGCTTGACTTCACACAACGGATCGAGAGAAAGTTAGCAGAATACAACGCATCCGATAACATCTTCAAGAGATGGTTGTTTGAAGTGTCGAGTTGGCTCGTCAGCGCATGTTCCATGATCGCGATAGTCTTGATATATGTCCGTATCAAAGACCAACCAATGTCCTCAAGCGGTGCCTTCCTTACTTGGACTAACGTGCTCGGAAAGATTGCTTCTGCTGCTTTGATAGTTCCAACAACTGAGGCTCTCGGCCAGTTGAAGTGGAACTGGTTTCACAACTCCAAAGCTATGTGGGATTTCGAGATCTTCGACAAAGCCTCTCGTGGCCCACTAGGGGCACTAATGCTTCTCTATCGTACCAAAGGCCGCTCATTAGCAGCGCTTGGTGCTCTCTTGATACTTCTGCTCCTTGCTATCGATACATTCTTCCAACAAGTCGTCGAGATTTCTGACCGTTGGACTCTCCAGGCAACTCTCGCGGCAGCACCTAAGGCATACACATACGAAACTGGCTGGCCAAAAGAGTACCTGGACGGTATCGAGAATGCTTCAGACGATAAGGACACGTTCTTGGTGATCGAAAAGTTTTCCTATGGCGACGGGATTCGGCCAGTCTTATTCGGAAACGCTGTTCGCCCCGACATCTCCATTGTAAGTGCTACACGTTGCGGGTTTCATCCTTGATCTAGCAGCTCCGTTAAATGCTGTTACGCACACTAACTATGTTTAGTTTTGCCCAACCAGCAATTGTACATGGCCTTCATACAAAACACTTGGTGTTTGCAGTCAATGTGCGGACATATCCGCTGATCTCTCATTCGCATGTTTGTCGCACACTGTAGACTGGACAGCAGATTCACAGGGTTTGTTCGATCTTGAGAAGCCGTATCCTAACGCAACGGCATGTGGTTATTTCCTAAATGCGACAAGTGACAATCCGACGTTGATGTCAGGATATCTATGGGACACGGGCAATTTGACTGCCGGCGAAGCCCTTGTCATGCGCACTCTGCCACTGACTCGTGTAACCTCGAAGGAACCTTTGTATGGTAATGGCTCAGTCCATTTCAAAAACATTCGTCACAAGATCCAAGACGTTTTCATCGTATCCACGAGCGATGGTACAGCTGGATCTGTGTACCGAAACGAGACCCCCGTGGCGCAAGAGTGTCATCTCTCTTGGTGCATAAAAACCATGAGATCGTCATACACATCGGGTGGGTATAGTGAGGAGGTTCTTGACACAGTCTTCAACACTACAGCTGGCCCATTCCCTTGGCAATCCTTCCCTGCCAATGACGAGACTGGGGAGTATTTCGACATATTTTACATGGATGATATTACTCTCGAAGTAGAAGATATCACTGATGGTTCCAAGCCTGCCAAATTTGGAGTCTCAAACACCACCGCTCTGTCGATAATGCAGGGCTTCACCGATATATTCCCAGCGTATACTACTCAGGCCAACGAATCAGCTCCTCCTATTCTGCGATACAAGACATGGAGGACCGGCCCCCCATGGCATCTGACGCTCTTTTTCAACCCGTGGGTTGCTCCAAACAACGTTACGAGACACATGGAAAGGCTGGCTACAGCGCTGACGAATATAATACGATCAGCACCTAGTCATCAGGACGTTGATGGTCATGCCTTCTCCAAAGAAACTTTCGTGCTAGTGAGGTGGGAATGGCTCACATTCCCACTTGTCTTGCTGGTCCTAAGCTTTGTCTTTCTGGTTTCAACGATCGTCAAAACGTCTAAGGATACAGGAGCAGGCATCTGGAAGACGTCTGCGATGCCGACCCTTATCTACAGCCTACCAAAGGAAATGCAGGCCCAGTTTACCGAACCGAAAACCTGGGATAGTTCGCAGGAGACGAAAAAATTCCGCATAAGGCTGCTACCAAAGACGGGGTGGAGAGTTTCTGGTCAGAGTCAACTGAGTAGCTCACCACAACTACCACACCCTACTGTTCAGGCGCCACGTGGTTGGATATGAAGAAGCCCGTGTAAGACAGAAGATAACAATAATGCTTAGATGACAATACGAAGCACCGCATCTTTCATTATCTTGAGCCTCATACCTGATGACTTGCCACATCATCTCAAGCTTGTCCCCCATAATCATAGAATCAGCTCTTTGTGATATTTGTTCCGTCTCTTTCTATCTGCTCCTTCAATCTTTTTTCCTTCCGCGATAAAAATTCGCTGTCAGACCCTTTTAGCACAAACCCTGGATGAACGATCGCTAGCAGCAAAAGTGCCAACATCATAGGAACGACGTCCAATCCTAAGGCATAGCCTTCCGTCCCAATAAGCACATTCACTGATTCATCGATACCAGCCGAGAACTCGACGAGCCGAAAGATGATACGTATCGTGATGAGCCCAAGGACGGCATACAGCGTATATGTCAGCCACTTCCATCGCGCAACTCATCTCCAGCTGCCATTCGCGTCACATAATTGGCCGTCGCACCCCGACCCCAGCACATCGACATGAAGTTTTACAATCATGCCCAGAAATATCAAGATGAAAAGTTGCTGTATACCCACACCGCTCATGTACACGTTCTTGCCTATCTCGATTACTTTCGCCCCATCCTCTTGGTTCATTATCAATCCACCGGCTGCGTGGACGATGAAACTAAGAATATCAAGCCACACAAACCACCGAACCATCTTCACTGCTTTGATACCCCAAAGTCTCTTCTTGGGATGCAAGAAGTAGACCAGTCGGCCAGCGATTATGTACACGAATGCGTTGATCCATAGTGGCGCTAGTAGGAAGAGCAATGTTGATGCAGTTGCGTATGCTTCATTCTGTTGGTCTCGCGTGCCGAGGGTGCGTAAGATGAAGGATGCTAGTTCCCAGATTGCGCCCATGATGATCACTCAGCAGAAGCTCTTTTGGTGGAGGATCGCAAGGAAGATGTGCACGATCGTGAGGAGACCAAAAAGAAGGGTAAAGACGACAGCTGCGGAAAAGGAAGGGTTGTAGAGGTAGAGCGCGTTACACGAAGATGGTGGAACATAGCCATAGGAACCGGGTATGGCGGTGGTACATTCTGGTGTAGTGGCAGTGCTAGATGGAGTTGTTCGTGATCCCATGCTTGGTAGTGGAAGCAGGGTCTTCGATGAGAATGATTAAAATATTTTTGCAAGTGTTCGATAAGAGAAAGAATAACAGAGCGTCTTTATGCGCTGAACATCCTCGCAATACTCTCATGCTTCGTATCGAAACATACCACCGACTTTGTTGATGCTCACAAAACCATCCTCAACATCTTCTTCATTACGCGTCCGAGTCCGTGGAAAAAGCCACACGAAGCAAGAAGTCGTATGAATTCTCACTCTAGAATGCTAGAAGAAGGCATAAGTTTCGTCAGGCAAGCACAGGAGGCTGAGGCGGATATTCGTGTTCACGAAATCAGCCTTACGACGGCGGAGCTAGCGCGTAGCTTGGATACGACGAATCGTGTAATACCGGTCGTGGACGTAAGCGCCGTAAGACTCTCCGTACGCGGGGTTTTGCAAAGTGTGCTAGGCTTGCGAAGAAAGTGCGACAGCTGTATGCGAACGGTAAATACTATGTATTCACTTGCTCATTACTATGGCATGAAAGTTCAGACTGCGCCAGGGTATCATGCAAAGCATCGTTCTCAGATGCTGTCCCTCTTTCGCCAGCTCTTCCAATCTCCTCGACTGTCGCTTCCATTCGGATTATTGCTCCGTTGTCGCGCGCCGCACCTCGTCAATTTGGCGCTGGTGCTCGCAGCTTCGCAAGCTGTAGCGCTTCTGGTACAACTGTCAGCAGCGCCCTCACTGTAAAAACTTCGGATTGAGACTTACTGGGTATTGCTATTCACTTCAGCAATAAGGAAGCCATCATGCTCGAAGGCTCCACAGCCTGTAAGTTCAAAGGCTTTCGTATGCTCAAAAGCACGCTTGATGAGATGCGCGAATAATGCGATACCTCGTCTATCGCTGATAGATATATGAAGAGTCGTGAAAGGCCCGACCGCGATGTTTCACGATCTCGCAAGCCACCAAAATTTGCTCAGACAAGCCTGCCGATTAGCAAGCTCCCGTCACTCTCGTTCGCTCTCAACTCTGGGTTACGATACACAGTGTGCGCTGGTCTGGGTAGCACGGGACCTTGACTGTCCCAACTATCTTGACTCGGGTTCCTTGACGATTCAGTTTCAGCCTGCTGTATATGAATGGTTGGAACTTCTGGTGCTGTATGTGTCTTCGAAAACGGAGAGCGGAATTTCGGCCGCGGCATGGTCTTAGGAGGGTCGCTATACGACGGCAAAGGCTCGGGCGGCTCGAGAGTGCTGCACTCGATGAACTCGTCGTTGCGCGAGGTCGAGCGCGAGCGCTTATGGGGCCCGCTTCCTGGTATCGAGCTGCGACGCATAGAGTCACCGACGGAGCTGAACTTGCGTGCGACAATATCATCTAGGACGGACTTGAAGTCGTCAAGGAAGATGGTATCGGATGCGCACTTGAACACAAGCGCAAACCGCCAGTATGGGTTGATACCGCTGCTGGCTGTTACCTTCGCGGCGCTGACAGCAATGTCGGTTAGTAGGAAGACAATCGACAAGATCATGCATGCCAGCATGACGCCGAACCTCCTGTTTATGCCGACTAGAGTCCAAAGGTTAAAGGTATAAGTCTTCTTGATAGCATGTATGAGCCGCCAGGTAGTGAAGATCCACCATGGATCACGAACCAAAGCCTCCCAAGGTCGCATGCGAAGATTGACCGTGGAGCCGCTTTCGAGTTGATTGAAGTACGCAAAATTTGACCATGCCTCCGCTATCCAGAATGGTTGAACGCAAAGTAACGATATGATGAAGAATCGAGAGCCCCAGACTGGCAAGAATGGCCGAATCTTGAGCCACGATACAACGTTGTGGAGGAAGTATGATATAAAAAGCAGGCTTGCAGTCGAGCTGAGGTACCAGCCGTAGTTGGGGTCTTCGACGAAGATAAAGGTGCCATGCCAAATGGCAAGAACAAGCTGAGTCGGTCAGTACCTCGTATGTGCCTTGAAGTGATTGGCATAGTGGAACTTTCCAGTAAGCGGTCATGCGACCACCCAAAAGCAATAGCACTTTGCCGCGGCACCCATAAAACTCACCTCGAGTAGAATAAGCTTGTGAAGCCATATGCCAGAGCGGTAGTTGCAGAAGACGATCAGAATGAGAACAATCAAGCTGCCAACGTTATATCCTTGAGCCCATGCTTCGAGAAAGCCGCCCTCCGTCGTCATACTCTCTCTTGTTGGTGGTGAAGTGCGTGTCGTAGCTGTTCCGGGGAAGCGCTTTGCCAAGGCGAGCAAATCCATGTTGCTAAGTGGTGCCATGATGTCGTATCTTGTTAAACCTCAGATAAGAGTGAAGCTGGAACTGGAGCCATGTACGGCGACTGTCCTCCAGTGTCGAGCGTAGTGAAGTGAGCACCGGAAAAGTGGGTCAAAGTTGGATCAAGACTCGGGCGGGTGAGAGAAAGCAAAACGGGACGAAAGAAACCTGGGGTAGGCTACCTTACATAGAATGGATGTACATGCCTGCGGGTAGATCGTGGAGCAAATTGCAACGTCCATACCTACGCCGCCCTTCCAGTGTGGCGGTAACAGGGCGGTCTGGCGGCGGGCACAGCGAGGCTGTCAAGGTTGCTGGTCGCAGCAAGCCTCCCTTACTGGCCGCGGGACGGCCAAATATCCGTGAATGTGATTACTTTGCCATTGCAACGGACATCCCGTCGCTCTAAAATCTGACAAACTCATTGCGCATTCGAATTCCCCGTTGCGCAGACGCATGGACTGCGCGTTGGAGCAAATGAGCGGAGCCGCGTTTTGGTGTGATGCGTTGTTGATCGACGGTGATGTCAGGCCGTGGCTGAGGCGTGGTTGACAGACAGGGCGGCCTTATCATCTGCTTGACACGCCTGCAAAAACCTTCGACTGACTCAACGCCAAGGTCTATTGAGCCTCATTTACTGTGGTACATTTGCGCGCGTTCATGGCTGCGTGCTACGTATCTAGCGGACTACTTAACATCCGCTACCGTAGGGCGAGTAAGCCATTCAGCTCGCGGGTAGTATCTGTGTCGGGCGAAAGAGTAACCGGTGTCAGCACTCTACCTGTACTACGGAGGACGTTAACGAGAGGGGCGATCAATGCCATGCCGGGCAAATATGTAAGCCATGGTGACGGAAGAATTTGTCAGGTCGTCGAGACAAAGGCGAGAAGGTGTGAGCACGGGATCATCTTACCGAGTAATCTCAACGAGTCGTCTGCTAGAAGAGGTTATCTCGTAAAAGAAGTAGATGCAATAGCTGAACAAACTGTAAACACACAAACAGTTGTCGGAAGTTTCACTCACAGCCCTGTCAGGTATCAAGAGGGGTGAGAACAGGTGGCGTTCCGATTGGTAGGCGCGACTAGTTCAGGGGTTCAAGAAGCAAGGGGAGGGAACAAAGAAACCCAGCCTCTCCACTTTCTTGTCCTACGCGTGGTATTGTTACCAAAACAAGCCCTGGAACATTATGACAGCTCTATTTCGCTTTGTCCGCGACACCTATGCGTGTCTTGCCCCACCGGAAATCGTCCAACTTGTACAAAGTGTAGAGCTGGGTGACAAAATTAACAGTCGGCCCAAAGAAGCCATACATCCAGAAACCGATAAACGACTGAATGATGTCAGGAACCGAATCCGAGGCTGCGACGACGACCAGCAGGTCGTAAACTAGCCGATAGTTCTCAAGAATAATCAGGTAGAATTTTGTTTGGTTGTCAATTTGTCCTACGGCTTGATGTCAGAACAGTATCATCAGTTGCAACTACAGCGGTACGTACGGTAGTATCTTGAAACATAGAGCGCTGGGTTTACGGTCCAATGCAATATGGACGTGAATGCGGCTACTCTCTCGATCCAGCCTGTCGTCTTACGACTAAGAAGGAGACTATCGCTGGTAAGAGGCCCTAACGTCCATCTACGCCGTTGACTCAGCAAGACCGAAGGAGTGCTCGGCACTGTTGTGTACGCTCGCGCAGCGAGGCATACGCGTGTCCGGACATCGGCGTACTCTGAGAGAACCAGGCATATGTGATCTCTGTCTTCGCTCATCATAGATCGGATCGTTCGGAACAAGCCATCGGTGCCCTTCGGGTAATGTCCGAATTTGCCCAAGATATGATCGCCGCAGGTATATTCATTGACCCGCAACAACTGGCAGCACCCGGGCAGACAGGTCACCTTCCTGCTAGTAAGACTTTGACGGAGGCGACGGCGGTGCTGACCAACCAGATACTCGGCGTTTTGGTAGAGGTAAGAAAATGAAAATGGTCCCAAGGCTTTAGGATCCGGTCGGATGTAGCCGGTCACTCCCTGACACTGGTCGTCTTCTCTTACTGTCTGTATCAGGTTGAAGACGCACTTCGTGTCAAACCTGGTATCTGCGTCTATTCCAACGGCATAATCCAGAGACTGGATGGACGCCTTTTCCAGAAAGTTCTTCAGTTCAGCAAAAAGCTTGGATGAAAGCATCGCCAACGAAGGGCTCGAATGGCGCTGGTTGAACTTGCGCATGAACGATCGAATAAGAACGATGCCGTCTCGCTTGCCTCGGTTTTCGTTTTTGATAACGCAGATGATTGGGATCCCTCTGAACTCGCCCTCGATGATCTCGACGTCCATGGGAGCACCGTCCCACGCAGTATACGCCTGAGCCATGGACCTACTTGACGGACGCTCAACAATATCCTCTTTCAAATAGGCAGCAGCTGTTTTGGGTTCACCCTTGCTGCTGACTCGGCCGTCGCAGATCACGACAATGGCTTTCTTGTGGGTATCTAATAACTGCTGCTCGGCCAACGAATCCAATGAGGTCATCAGTTCCGGATAGGACTCGTTATAGCAACATAGCAGGTAGACAAAGTTCTCTGGCTTCTCTGATATTCTTGGTTGGCGCCGGTACAATCGTCTTATGATGAAGAAGATAATGACGAGCGTTATCTCGGTGCAATCCACCACAATGCGGAGCATCAGTTCTGGAATCAAGTACCAAGAGAATTTGGACCAATTTGTGAACATGTAGATAAGGATGCAACTACATTCTGGTACTTAGCGATTCTATTCTTGTACCTTGAATGGTGGCTCACTTACTTCAGCGGTATCAAAATAGCTAGTACGACATATTTCTCAAGCCTCAGCCGCCGCGCGTCAACGGTTGGCAGGTGTTCGATTGCGCTAGACAAAATCCGGGACGAGAAGAAGAAGGATCGTTTCCGGAGGTTGTTAGGTGTACTCTTGATGTTTCCCGCAATATGAGCCCCCGAGCTCGTGGTCTCTAGGATTTCCATCGTTACGGACGTAATGTTTGGTGGTATGGTAGACGAACACTGCGACAGAGCAACATGCGATTTTTAGCACTTTGCACACTCTCTCGGTGCATAACGGGCCAAGAGGCGATCTGCGTTGTCGTCTCCACATCATTCAAGTATCTAGAACGTTGGGTATGATAGTGGTGTCAGGCGGTGTACACCAGGATAAAATGCAAAACACAATTCCGAAGTAGTTCCAGGCACCAGGTTACAAGATCGTCGTATCATGACCTGCATATGCAGGTCCGTCTTCCCTAAAACGTCTATTTGGAGTTCTTTCCCGTCTTGATTCCGCACCCGCTCGGAGTGACCCCGGTGATATCAGACTTCCGGGCCGCTGCAGTGCCGAAGCTAACTTTAGGAAGTATCGAGATTCGCATTTAGTGTAACATTGCCGAATTAAATTTTGTCAACAATCATATAGTCTGGTGTCTCAAGACGGAGTTGGAGTGTGCGTATGCATGTGCGTGTGCAGCCTTGCGGGACTACGGATGTTAGGATGAACTGACTACCTAACCGCCAATATAACCGTAAATTCTCACATCATATCTGCCCCTGTGTTCACTCATCAATTGCATTCGTTGGTTTGACTCGTCTTTTCTGCAACATGATTTCATCAGCGTTCACAGCATCTCAAAGTCCAACCGATTTGCTTGTACCTTCCTTGAATGATTATGACAAAGGGCCTGTCATCGCAATTATCGGAGTAGGCTATGTCGGAGAACATCTTATGGAAGTGTTCTCTTCCACTTTTCAGGTCATTGGCTACGATATATCGACTCCGCGTATAGAGAGACTGCGTTCGAAGTATTCTTCGAAACGCCATACCAAGCTCTCAAACGATGAGAGAGACTTGAAAGATGCGTCTCACTTTCTCGTCTGCGTACCGACAACCGTAGGAGTGGACGGCAAGGTTGACTCCTCACACATTTGCAGCGCAATAGCCATGCTCCAGAACTATGTGAACAACGAGTCCATCGTGGTGATAGAGAGTACGGTCGCAGTTGGGATGACGAGGAAGTTCCTTGGACCACTGGCTGCATCGCGCGGTATCCTTGCCGGAATGTCACCAGAGGTAAGCAGCCCGCATAGAGGGGAAGATCGACGACTGACAGATACCCGAACAGAGGATTGACCCTGGCCGAGTTGAACCCCCTCCTAGATCGATTCCCAAAGTCGTCTCTGGACTTGACGACATCGTTCCAGGCTCGCTGGATGCTATCACACGATTGTACGAGACAGTGTTCGACACCGTCATACCAGTCAGCAAACCCGAGGTCGCAGAAATGTCAAAGCTGTACGAGAACTGTCAAAGGACCATAGCCATCGCCTACGCGAACGAGATGGCAGACGCCTGTCAGGGTTTGGGAATCGATCCTTTCGAGGTGGCACACACCGCCGCAAGCAAGCCCTTTGGATATCTGCCTATGTATCCCTCACTAGGCATTGGCGGTCATTGCATACCCGTAAATCCGATATACTTCATGTCGACTTGCAGTCTTCCATTCCTCCAGCAAGCTCATGAACGAACCATATCACGTCCTTCGCGCATCGCCAGCCAGCTTCTCATTTCGTTACTGGAAAACACCCAGCGCAAGCACGGTGCGACACGCCGACCCAGTCTTCTCGTAGTAGGAGTCGGATTCAAGTCTGGCCAGTCGGATCTATCCAATTCGCCCGGATTGCAATTACTCAACTACATGCGCCAATCTGGCGAAGTAGACCTGATGTTCTGCGATCCTTTGGTAAACCAGGAGACCATACCTGAGGTGCCGAAACTGGAAGAAAGCTCATGGACACCGGACGTATTGAAGACATTTGACGCAATTGTGGTAGCTGCGAAACAACCCGGTCTGGATTACAATGTTCTAGATACCTTGTCAGATGTGCGGGTTGATGTTTGGAATCGATGACAGACTGGACGGCTATTGTAAAGCGGCCCGAGTCCCGTTTACAGAAGGTTCTTTAACTATCTCCAGCTGGCCGTTGTGTCGTGGGATACACCTTTTGGATATCCAGTATTAGTTGAAGGAAGGTACTCAGCCGGAGGGACGAAACTATCGGCCCGCGTAAATGTCCGAGAGGGAAGATCCTTCCTGCAGCACGACCGGCGAATTCTGTAACGAATCCGTTGACATCGGGCCTACTGTGGTATCGTGCGGCTCAAGTGGCTAATGGAAGTCTCAAGATCCAAAAGCGGTGAGGATGGGTATCGCAACCAACGTTTAATTCGAACATGGAAATTCCGACGAGAAGCGCACGCAATCGTCTTACCTTACATTGCTACCACCGAAATGTGATTTACAAAAGCTGAACTATCCCCCAAGTCAGTCAGCCAGATATTCAACCCACCATGAGTAATGCATTGGGTGCTTTTAATCCACTTTACTACTATCCGCTGGGCAACGTATGTCCCATAGCACAGCCACTCGTCAGCGTCACGAACCTTACCTATGGAAGGTGTGGACCAGGAGTTCGCCAACCGTCTTGTAACCAGTGCTGCTCGGAAGATGTGAGTAGCCAAAAACCTTCCGCATCCATCACCCTGCTAATCAGCACGCGTAGGGCTACCGTATGTCTGATTCGAATCATCTTGGCGTACCGATGTGCCTCGAAGAGTTTGGACTAGCATGTGATGGCTCTAAATGGCCACCGGGATTTAACACGTCAGCTACTCCAAGGCCAAGGCTTGGAGATGTTCCGTATGGGAAGAAGTTCAGAAGTTGCACAGTGGAGAATACACTCGCGCTTACGTACGACGATGGCCCTTCACAATGGACCCCCGATTTGCTTGACATACTGAAGGAGCATGATGCCAAGGCAACCTTTTTCGTCTCAGGCATCAAGCTATATGATGACTTGGTCAATCATCGCAGCGAAAAGACCCCTGCGATTATAAGAAGAATGTACAATGAAGGACACCAGATTGCGGGACATACTTGGTCCCACCCAGACATGGACCAGCTGGATTCGCAACAGCGGAGACATGAACTGATAAAAGGAGAGATTGGGTTCGTCGACATCTTGGGTTTCTTCCCAACGTACATGCGCCCACCCTACAACATTTGCGGGGCCGAATGCCAGACCGACGTCGGAGAGCTCGGATATCATGTGGTGAGTGTAGAGGCTCCCGCTATTTCGCAGATGGCATGAAGAAGCAAACTGACTCCGACAAAAGACTTCGAATGATATCGAGGGCCGAGATTGGGCAGGTAACTATACCTTCTCCGAAGAACATTTTATGGCAAAAATTACGAGTAAGGGTAACCGTCAGGGAGTCCGCGCCTGGATGGGCTTAGCGCATGATACTCACAATCAATCGGTGTATCGCTGGACGCCATTCATGATCAAAAACGCGAAGGAGTGTGGGTTCAAGCTGGTGACAGCGGGCGAGTGCTTGAACGATCCAGAAGAGAATTGGTATCGGAATCCTTTGACGGGTGAAGCGGTTCGTGACCTGCCTCTCAAGGGTACGCTGTAATATAGTTATCGTTGTTTGAGACTTCAGCATGGTAGGAAAAATAGAACGGAGAGTTGAGTGTTTCGTGGAAGAAGTCATGATGGAATGTTCAAGAGCTGTCTTGAACATGGTCGCGACGCGATGACGTCCCAGTCGCGTGCTAAACATCGTCCGTGCATTCCCAAACCGTTGTACCAGCAAGCAACCCAATATCCTTCAGTATCGATAGTCATGTCACGTACCGCCATACCACGCGTAGTACTACGTATTAGCTCAAGAAGCCCGTTGTGCGCCTCTTCGAGGGTAATTGAGGCGCCTAGCCGTAGAATGTAAGCTCCAATTGCTGTTTTGCGCAGACCCCTCCGCTCACACCACTCAGTCCTCTTTTGCGCCCAACACCACAATGCTCTTCTCATACCGCTCGGAGCTTTTCAGTGAGCACACACCTACAAAAGAAGGCCGGTAAAGCGAATAAAACCCGTGCGAGAACCGACTCAGCTCCGCCTGTGACCAACCCGGGGCCCCGCACACCTACCGATGAAGCCTACGATATCTCGGGGCTCGAGGCACGGATCCTCAGGGCCCTGGAGAAGCTCACGCATGATCTTAGTCAGCTGCGCGGTGGAGGAAGGATGAACCCGGATATCGTGGAGAGCTTGAAGGTGCAATTAGGCACGGCAGGACACGGCAAAGAGAGTGTGAGACTGGGAGATATCGCACAAGTCGTCCCGAGAGGGAGAGTGCTGAACGTCATTTGTGGAGAAGAAGCGGTACGTACAAGCGACCACTACGACAGCATCAGGCATTGATTCCATATAGCACATCAAGCCCATCAGCACCGCGATCGCAGCTTCACCGCACTCGCTCACGCCTCTTACACCCGAGCCCACCAACCCTCTCACGATCCAAGTCCCGCTACCACCTCCAACCGGAGAATCACGTCGCATGGCCGTGGCGGAAGCCGTTAAAGCCTCGGAGCGCGCAGACAAAGATATACAAAAGGAGCGACAGGACCACAACAAGAGGTTGAGGAACTTTGAGCTCAACCGCTCCGTGCTGCCAGATGATCTTCAAAAGGCGAAGAAGCAGATGGAAGAGGTGGTGAAGAACGGACACGAAGAGGTTAAGCGCATCAGTGACGGCGCGAAGAGGGTGCTTGAGAGTCAGTAAATAGCATGCTGGAATTGCACTGTTTGAAAGGTACATTGATATCGTGTCACAACACTCAAAAGCTCCGATATACCGCATGTGCGATCGCGAGGTGTCGCGCCCATACGCCTCTCTACAGACCCCGCCTTAGGTCTGCCTTATGAGCCCATGCATATGCTTACGTACCTTCAGAATTATGTTGGCCAATAGAACTATCACGTACTACCTGAAGCAACACATTCTGCAAGACTCCAATTGAACGGCATGTCATGCAGCATGAACACGAGCAAAGCGAGAAGCTCAGCCTCCACAACAGGCTTGGCACGACCCCTCGTGCATCAGCAGGTGATCTTGGAAACCACAACATATAGGAAGTCGCTAGCCAGAGCAACTAGCTGAATTCATTAGGCACGAGAGATGAATCTCGTAATCGATGGCTATGGCGACTGCCGTAAAGCCAGAAGATACCGGTACGGTCCAGCTTGACGAAACAGATGAGAGGAAGGTATACATGTGTTGATATCCGCAACTACTCGCTGCATCTGTGTTGACCTAATTTAGGGTCCTACGACCACGACGAAATCCTTACCATCAACTGAAGGCGTCGAGATCACCCGTCTACCTACGGAAGATGATCTTCAGCTGCCAACCAGCAGTGGACTAAAATCGACGTTTCATGTCTACGACAAGCACGGGTGTCACAAGTGTATCTCACCAATCCTTGACCCTGTGCTAGAACAGCGTTCTGGTCCTACCGTTAAGCAGCAGAAAGCTAAACATAAGGAGCGGAAGGAACGTCAAGACGCCGGTCTTCCTCGTGTCGAACCAGACAACAATGCCTTCTTCCTACACCGACCGTATCTTGCCTTCCATGTGCCGCCCCGTGTTCTTTACATGGGCAACAGCAAGCGCATGGCACAACCTGCTGTTCTAGTACACGAGGGCTGTTGGTGGAAGGAGTATAAGCTCCAGCTACTTCCATCTATACCCGACATAATCGACCCACGTGGGGTAGTTGGATGGCGACACAATGGAGGTGACAAGAAAGCGCTCAAGCTTGACGATCACAAGTTCAAAGGCTATAAAGTCCGAACATGGAGACTGTGGGGTGAGACGGGTAAAGACTACGTACACTCTGTAAAAGCCATACGCCAAACTGGCGACGGTATGGATCCTGATGTGGCTAAAGACTCCAGCGTCAAGTCGGGAGAGCCTGCGATGGCCAACGAGGTAGTGTACCTGCGGTGGAAAAACCCTCTATCCCGTCACACAAGATGCTATCACTTCCACTATGCAGGCATCGACTTCTTCTGGAAAGGAACAGGTTCTGTCCAGGAATCTCGAACCTGTGGGCTCATGTTGCGCTTCAACCACTTGAAGCTAGTAGCCAAGTTACCAGTCCTCGAAGAGAAGGAAGAAACGCAAGTCGAGGTATGTTTAGGAACGTACACGTCGTCCATTGCAGTTAGGAAAAATGGTACTCTAGAGTTCTTTGACACCGTTATCTTGCGGTTGGTTGACGAATTCGCGCCATCCATCCTAGCTCGGCCAGAACAAGAACGTGAAGAGGAAGATGCAGTGAGGATTTCTCGGATGAAGAGAAGCACGCTTTATCAAGTATTCGTCGCTACTGCCATGTGCATGATCAAGAGCGAAAAGGAAAAGAGACACACTTTGCTGGATCTGATAATTGCCGGTATTACTGAGGGTGGTGGTGCGGGTGGGTGATTGTATACGAGTTCACCACTTGGGTAATTTAGCCAAATCCATACAATGTTCATGAAGGCGTACAATATAGTTTCGTGATTAAGAAGTGTCAAGGTACTGGTAACAACTAAGCCTCGGCTGGTGTAGCTATCGATAAGCCTCGCGCTAGACATTGGAGTTGGCCACCACTCATGACGTGGGACATTGCCTTTTCTTCAATTCCAACGGCGAACTTTCCTTCAACATCGCATTCCTGTACCCTGGCTTTTCTGTATGCCCGCATTTGCTTTTCCGAGACAATATATCTGCGCAGGCCGTTTGCGCGCGCACCGAAGATTCGATGTCTTCATTTCATCCCGAGCCGCAGCGAGTAGGCCTCTGAGGCGATATGGGCAGACGGCCACACAACACAAACCGGAAGATGACGGAGAACATGAGGAAGAAGGCACCAGGGAAAGAGTGAAGGAGTCAGGAGTAGAAGCTGAGAAGGAGGAAGGCGCGTTCACGCGACGAATGCGTAATATGAGCGAAGAAGCGTTGGAATCTGGAGGCCATGGCGCTATCAAGGCTGTCAAGGAGGCAGGATTTAGTGCAGACCTCAAGGCACAACTCGAACAGCGCATCGCATCCGCAAACCTCAGATCTTCCGAAGCAGAGCTGCCCGACTACGCCTCTCGCCACACGCGCGACCTTGCCACAACCGAAGCGTGGACCGGCACCGAGTCTCTCCACGATGCTAGCCTGCGCATGCTGAACGATGCCCATAAGCCGCTGCGACTAGGGAGACCACCGAAAATGCCCGGCGTGCCGATACCGCAGTCGATTGACACCGGACATAGTCGGAGCAAAGAGGGTCGTGGCTTGCGATTAGCCAATGCACGCGACAGGAGTACCGTGTATGCAACAATCAAAGACGACGAAAACATGGAAGCTTTCGACCGGGAGAAGCGCCTGCAGGAGCTCAAAGATCGCTTCGAACCGCATGCGCGTGCCATCGTTCCTGGGTCCATCCAAGGACTTGCCTCTCTTGCGAATAAAAGGATCGAAGATGCAATTGCTCGTGGCCAGTTCAAGAACATAGCTCGTGGAAAGACGGCAAACGTGGAGCGAGACTACAATGCATCGAGCCCATTCATCGATACGACCGAGTACTTCATGAACAAGATTATACAAAAGCAGGAAATTGTGCCGCCGTGGATCGAGAAGCAACAAGAGCTCACAGCAACAGCAAGCAAGTTCAGGGGTCGTTTACGGGCGGACTGGAAGAGACATGCTGCGCGTGTGATAGCCAGTAAGGGCGGATCACTGCTGGACCAAATCAAAAGAGCAGAAGCGTTTGCCAAGGCAGAGCTCATTGCGAATCCTCTGAAAAGGAAACAAGAGACGCTTACCACTGTGGACGATGATGGGAATATGTCACAGATTACGTTATCGGGAGGGCTGAAGGTGAATCCAGCAGGCGAAGGGTCGAACGGAGAGCCCGTGGTCATGGAAGAGGTTGTAGCGAAGATGGTCACCCTCGATGCGTCGCCAGAAGCTGTAGCGCAGGACCCAGGAGCAGCCACTGTAGCAGATACGACTACGCAAACCATGGAAGTACCTGTCCCCACGCCTGAGCCGGAAGTGCTACCTGCACCTTATCCCTTCCGTGACCCTGATTGGGAACGCATTGAAGGTAGCTACTGGACGGTCGCTATCAAAGACCTGAACGACAAGGCGCGCAGCTACAATCTCCTAGCACCCGAGCTAGCTAAGAGACCTTACTTCAACCTGCAACGCGAGCTGAACTCCTGCTTCGCCGACGTCGCGCCTCAGCTTGCCGGGGCCATCCTCGAGCGTGCGCGGAAACCACCTAAGAAAGTGGATAGCTGGCAGAGCTCCAGCCAGAAGAGCGTGCTGGACAACATCATTGGAGGGCCAGTTCGCGTGCGAGACGAACGTCGCGAGAAACAATACGGCTTCAGGCAGTTTTGGAAAGATCTCTGGGCCGACAAGTCAAGCAATCCGTATTGAATCACTACCAAGGCCGATGATCATCGTTTCACGGCACGCCAAACCTCGTTACTCTTGTCCTCGAACCAACTCGCCCACCGTTTACGCAGCCTTCATGCACGACATCGAAGAAGAACTTGATCGGCAGCACTTGCCTTCTCGCCTACCCCCGGCTGCTGCGTAGTGGAGCAGCGGCTTGAGGCTAGACGTCAGAGCCGTCTGGATATCCCGGTTCTGGCCTTGGTTTTGCTCTTTCTGCCGTCATGGGGCACATGCACGTATGTTCAAATATGGACGTGGATTGTCATCCTTTTAACCCGAATCGAGAGCGCGCTACCAGAGCGTTGGGTCGATAACGCAGGAGTGAGGCGTCGGGAGTGCCGTGACGGGCAGGGGTTCGTACGACCGATGCTACGCCCTCCGAGACCTGGTTATACGAATGCGAATGTCCCAATTCGGAGCCAGCTGCATGACTTTAGCTGCTCGGCAATTCTGATTAGAAATAGAGGCGTTTGTACACACCCGGTTTCTGGTATTCAACTGGTGATGGTATGTCTGGGATGCTGAAATACGCGAGTTCGACCGTCACACATGGTCGATCATTGGCCTTGTCGCCTCGCAAGGACATGGTACCATTGGAAACAGATAGTGTCTATGGATGGACAGTCAATACTCATCTCTTGTTAATGGATAGTCGTCCGGGTTAGCAGTATGCCGAGGTAGAAGGAGACGATGCTGTTATCGGTGTGCATGTCATCACCATACATCTCTCAGGTAGACTCTGACTGGCTCCAGGCTACGCCGCTGTGATCATGATACGTGCTTCCAGTATGTTCTCCAAGGACATCGCCGACACCCGGTTCCTGTCCGATTATGATCCTGCCAGTGCATCTGGATCCTCTTCCTTTGCTGATTGACCCACCGGTTAAGCGGCAGGATCATGCGCAGAGAAGACTCGTCCCGTCCTACCACTATCGGGTCATCTTGATCTTAGAACTCGATACGAAATCCTACACTAAAACTCGCGAGTGAATGAGATTGGTCTGTGTGACGCGCGGTTAGTGCGGGAGGTCATGATACAAACCGGGTAATAACACTCGAACTTTTGATCCTACGCATGCATGCTTGCTATCCTTCCGTGTGATATGCCTTGGCTGATCCAGAAGACGATCGCATATAACTTTTTCTTTTCTTTACGCTTGGCAGAAGATGATCTCCCGTTGTCCCATTCACTACCCAGACATTTGCCGCACACGAACTTACCGATCAGACGAGCACATGGGGAAATTTTCAATCCCAAAATCCCATGTCTTCCGTTGACAGAAAAGCCTGCTTTTGAGTAATAGTAAAGCATCATTGGTGGAAGAACCCCATGCCCACATTGAGGAAAAGAAGTAACATTGTCGATCACAACTATTGCCCTTCCAAGTATACTGTCCACACTCGTTTGCGCTAGCACAATACCGCTAATCATATCTCGTAATTAAACTTCCGTTGTATCCAAAAACGGATACTGATATTGCCCTTTCTACCTTACCATACCGACCGAGTGAAGATTCATCGTGCGAAGCTAGACCCTTTATAGCGAACCCGTTGCCCGTTTCTGATGTGACAGACTCGCTTCGTATCATGTTGGTACTGAACCATGCCTTGTACCCACACCAGTGGCAGCTGTCACTGCCGATCCGGTATAGTCGGACGATTAGCCTCCCGCAGTAGCGGTCCTCAGCGCAACACCCACACTGACGGCACTATCACTTCGCATCCTGCTGTGCTGATTTGTGCCGGTGGTCGATTGAGTCTTCCCCTTGCGGACCGCAGTACGTTGGTGTACATTGTTGCCCATCTTCCTTTCAATTCCACTGACGACCCGAGCAATGGGTAATACTGCATCGACTTCCACTTCCTTCGTGTCTGTGCGAGGGCTTTCCTTCTTCGACCGGCTCTGCATGTTCCTTGTGTGATCGCTCTTGCCAATGCAAGTGTTTTCGGTAGCTGCAGTATGTGTCGACTTTCCTGCGCCATCGAATGGCTGGCAAAAGCAGATGCGTAGAGTGTGTCCGGCTAGCGGACCGAGGACTCCTATGTCGCGTTTGTTCGTAGTCTCACGGGAATCAATCCGCTTCGTCCTGGCACCTGTGACATTCCCGCCGGCGCGATTCCGAGGTATGCTAACGGAGGCGGTTGCTACGGCTCTACGGCTGGAAGCCTTTCGCTTGCAAATCACCCGTCCTTTTCCTGACGATGTACAGCTCGCAAGAATAGCCGTGATCAATCGGGCTCTCTGGAATCTGGCCTCGTGTCTGAGATCTTCGGCAAAGGACCGGGCCGACTTGCGTCGTTTGTATTGCGGGCGTGGCTTGTTCTTTTCGTACGAATGACGCGGTTTAATGTGAGGCGCAAGACCCTCGGTCAGCACTATCCCGTCACAGCCATGGACTGATGGAGCAGGTACAATGAAGCATTTTGTGGAGCCGGTTGTAGAGTCGATCTGCGACCGCTCAGGACGTCTATAGTTGTGATGGAACCGTAAGTGCGCAGGAAGCGGAGCCGACGATGTGGGTGGCGTGGTCATTGGCCTTAATGAGGGCCTTGGAGGCGGTAGCCATGTCGTTGTAGGAAAGGCACTATAGGTCGTGGATGTGGTTCTGTTATCGCAGTACGATGTGTTTGCAACGGGCAAACCGCTAAGGCCTGAAGCGCTCGTTGTACCAGGCGTCGAGCTGCCTTCTGGCTGGATAAGATTACCCGATGGAGAGAAGAAAGAAATCTTGGGTGTGTCGTAGTTTGGGCGAACGATACCCGATGCAGCAGCTATTGGTAGTAAAGATGTCAACGCAGATGATGTGATTGAGCAACGCGGGGGTACCGCTTCGGGAACTTGATTCGGATCAGGGGGAGACTCGGAAATTGAAGCTTGCCTCTCTAGCTCGGCCATTTGTGGTGTAAACCATACCGGCGCGATGGGTGTGGGCGGGCGCGAGGAGCGCACTGGATGAGAAAAGTCGTGCTGAAGGTCAACATCAACGCCCACCACTGTTCCCGAATAGGATGTGGACATGGTACTACAAAAACTCGTGTTTCGACTAGCTTCCCTCGCACGTTCATGCTCTATTAGCGAATGGCTGATGTTACTCGATGTGGAGATGCCATAGAACGTCTGTCCAGCTGAGATTGTGTTCCTGCTTTCGTTTGAGAGCGTTGGTGCTTCAGCGCTACGGCCTCTGGGTGCTTCATCGCGTGGTTCTGGGTGCACAAGACGCACAGAAGGGGACCATTCACGCGAACGAGCTACAACCGAAGGTGGTGGTAGTTGCGCTACGGCTGCAAGCGTACTTTGCGACTCCAGCGGATACGTTTTGGCATCGAGTAAGGACGGCATCGCATCAGCTGAAGATGTAGGATCCACCATGAAAATCTGCCCATTTCTGGTCTGATCCACGGGAGCCAACACTCTAGTTGCGCTCAGGGACTGAGATGCACTGGGCATACGATATGGCGTGTCAAGTCTGTCATCGCTCAGTTGAGACATGTTAGAAGCGGACAAATGGCTGTATGGACTATCCTCGCTCGTCTCCGGCCGGTCGTCGTGGTGCTGATTGAGCGAAGCCTGCGTCGAGGACGATCTAGACAGGGTTCTCGAGGCAGCTCGAACGTTATGTACAACGCCACGAAAGAAGCTTTTTACATCCCTGGAATTTGCTTCGGGGTCTCTCCTGACGATTTGATACGCTGTAGATTGCGAAGGCTGAATAGTGCTTAACGCAGGTTGTATAGCGGCATGATCAACCCGGGGAGAGGTTTTGGGATCCTTGCGCAAAGGCACATCGTACCCTTTGCTTGGTGCGTCTAGCACGTGCTCAAGGTGAGTGTCTTCTGTGACGCGCAGGAGATTACGATGCTCTGAAGTATGGGAAAGTTTGTTCGGGGCGTGGGTTGGTGAGGTATTTTCCACCACACGCAGCGAAGGTAAGCGACCGACACTGAGGAGGGAGCCGTGGGAGTTTAGCGTGGAGTAAGAACCCTGCTCCGCAATGGTTGCCAAGGGCGCCCCATTGGAGCGATTTGCGAGCCGGACGGCAAGATTGTAGGGAACGGCTCGAACTCTGGCCTGTTGTTGGTAGTCCATATCCTGCTGCACGTCTCCAGCCCCGGAAATATCATGGCAGGTGTAACCATCGTGGTCTTGTGCAACGCGATGTCCGTCGCCCCCTTGTGCTTGCGATTGCGGTCGAAGGTGCGAGGAGTTCGTATCTACGAAAGCCTTGTAATAGGCGAAAGGATCCGGATGCGAGGCATGAATCGATCGAGATGGCGGATCCGCATTCGCTCCGGACAGATCTGATGCAGCTGGACCATATGCGGGTTCCTGGCGGTTGCTGCAATCCAGTAAATTGGCGTTCCGGGGATGTGCGGTAGGCGTCATGCTCATGTCAGGCCATGAATATATTGCCAAAGATGAGATCCGATCGATGCTAGATCATAATGTGCATGAGTGTGGGACCCTGCCGATAGCAGCAACTTTGTTTGTGCTGTACAGGCATCCTAGGAAGCAGCAGACATCCCACAACGCCCTCTCCGAGGTTGTATGGTTTAGGCAGGAGCGTCCGCGATCTGTTCCTACGCAACCGCCCTGTCGTATTTCGTGGCTGCTCACTCACCATTCGGAGATGGCGGAAAAATGTCATCACCAAGGGCGAAGTACTCGCCGAATCAAGCCCTTTCAGTCGTATGACCACCGCAGTAAGCCTAAGATGTCGGTCCAGTTTTCTGTGCCTTCTAGGCGCAAGCGGTATCTGACGCGACGACATGCGGAAGGTCATCCAATCAAAATGCTCCCTGCACCCAGCTCGGAAACCCACGAGTTTTCCTAGCTTTGGTAACGATATGCAAAAGCAAGACTGCCTGCCTTTTGGCCCTACGTCGGACCCTCCCGTGAACACGTCGCTTTTTGTTTGCTTACGGTGCTGTGGCTGCTCCCGCGTCCACGCAAACTCTAGGCCCCAGGCTTCCCTGTCCTCTGTTAGTGCCGCTGCGAGGTCATAACCCATATCTGTCGGTAACGCGTGCCACCCAACGATGACAGGATAAGATCGAGACTTAGTAGTAAGATCTTGATATCATCTTCAGAGTTCCGCAGTTGACCAAGATTGAATGGCTGTCCCTGCAAAGCTACCCTTTAGTAGGCTGCGCGTTCAGGGTCTAGCGTACACCGGCAAAAGCATCCGAAACCTTTCAAGGGACCTGGCCACGGGAACAAGTGGGTCGCTCCGCTTGTAATGTATACAGCCCGTCCCTGAACGGACAAAACGGTCTCTTTCCTCTAGGCTCGTCTGCAGCGTCTTGGTGAAAGACTAGTTTGACGCAGTACCCACAGAGACCATAGAACTTAGTGCAGCGGCAGGATTACATGTTGACAAGGTTCACCTGGAAAGCGTGGGCGTGCCAGGGCTGTGATGGTTATGAAGTCAAGTGCCGAGCACATGTGGCTGTTGGTACATGCTCTCCTCCCTGTAGCTTCACATTCCTTCAAAAGTCCTGGTGAATGATTCGGGCAATCCAGCGATGTTCTGATAAGACTTAAATGCAGGGGTGACCATCGAGTCACAGTATTTCCTAATCTGGAGGGTGATTGCACCAGTAAGTTGGGTGTAGTGACGCCGCGGAAGCCACCTATCACCGCTAGAGTGATGATAGTCGATACGTCAGCTTCGAATCCATCTAGTAGGTATAGTATAGGCTGAACATACCGAAAATAGGAAAGAAAAAAAACTTCCCTGCACGTCAACCTATTAGCCAACGAAGTAGTTCTGCGCAAGGGGCAGCTTCATCAGGTATCTGACCGGTGTTAAAACTTCGGCAGGTTCACTTTACGGGGTACCGGGAAGCATCCGTGCGCTGACGCTGGAGTATCGTATTCACACCGGCTTGGCTAACACTAGGGATGGGTGAAGTTAGTCGGCACAGCGAGATCTTCGATTGTTTCTAGAAGCTGGTGAATCTGCCATATGCGTCAACCATATGAACCACCCCAAACAAACTACATACCTTGAGTTTCGAATAGACGATAGCAGGGTTGCTCATGTCCGTTGATTTAATGTCGCTACAACGGTTTGGACGCCTCAGCCGTGACTGTTCTTTGGCACCTCGAGACGCCCTGGACTTGGTTTCATTGGTTGCTTGAGAGCACTGCCCGTTGACCTAGACTTGACGACGATCCTTACCTTGTATGGCTGGGTACGGATGCGGCGCCCATTTTGCTCGCAGGGGCTCGGAGTTTAGACATGCTGCAAGTATACCCCTACTTGGCTCCCTCAAATAGGTTGTGGTTTGCCGATCTGTACACATGAACTGACACATCATTCCTGTGAGAAGACATGACTCAGGTCGGCCCGTGTTGACTTGAACCCACGTGTTGTCTCCAATCCACCCCAGCTTCAAGGGACGTCGACCTGAACCAGCGTCAGCGATTCGCAGCTGCTACTCGTGACGAGCCGAAATACGCTGAAAACGCTGAAAACGCCATGTGGTGAGCCGTGTAATCGTGCATTTCGCTTGTGGCTAGTATACGTTGGACCCGAAAAGTCTTCGATGCAGTCATCTCTCTCCCAGCAGTAAATGCTTGTCGTACTCATATCTGACCAGCGCTCAAGTCCGTCGAACTGGGCTTCGGGACTGCATTAGGCCTTCGAGTTAGCGGGCCGATAATTGCATTGCGGATGTTGTTTTGTTCGTCAGGCTAGGAAAAGCTACCGCCGATCTAGCTAGCGCCAACAGGACGGTATGATGATGTGGAGAGATCTACAGGCCAGCGTGAAAGCACTGCACATCCCATGGATCTGGAGCGATGTCCTTGCAGCAAATCAGGGTAATAGCCTCTAACGCATACACCTCCCGTTGCTGCACATTGGGATACGCGAGAGCCAGGTGATACACCCCATCCACGTCAATAGATCGGTGTTGACCAAGCATGACACCCAGGATTCGCTAGCTGCATATCAAGCCACCATTATGGAATGGCGCCGCGGCCGGACGAGTAGTGGTGGTATTAGTCGGTATCCTTCAAATGGGATCTGAATTGTCTCGTGCTGTGGCTTATGCGCCGTGTCACAGCGGGATGGAAAGACAATGGATCTCTGTTGTCACATGACGGCGACTCCAGAAGATCTGCTGGCCTTCAAGGATCTCGAGTTGAGATATAAAGACAAAGGGAGTATAACCCCATTTCTCTCATACCTGTTCGGATTTGTTCGAGACTCAACAGTTACCTTCGTATCGCTGGTGTGATAAACGATCCTTTTAGGGAACGTTGCCTGAACATGACCCTGCCTCCTCTTCCCCAAAGCGCCGACAAGAGTGCCATCTGCGCTCGACTTGGACTGAACGAACATACACACAAATTGCTACTCGTGAGTCTCAACCCGATGTTCGAGAGCTCTCCGCTGACCCTTATGTCGGACATAGAACGAAGCCGTCTTTGCTCGAAACGCTTTGAGCTCGAATTACCGCAGCCTGACCGAGCAATCTAGAGCTGACCCTTCCGTGGCAGAGCCATATAGATGGGACGAGATATCGGAAACTGCAAAGCATTCGGAGATTCTGAAGATTGTCCGCGATGCTTGCGCCGAGACCAGACCGTATTATGACATGGGTCGTTACTGGACCCAGGTCAATGAAGAGAACTGGGTTGCGAGGTGGTACCTTTGGCACAGTTTCCGCTACAGGTAGGTCGGCGAATGCTGTAGTATGAACTGAACAACACTCATCATTTATACAGGGATAACCGACCAAGGGAAAGGGCGGCGCCAAGTGGAGTTGGATCAAATAACGGCGGTAAGTGTGCTGTACTCCTCTAAAGGGATCCGTAACTCAAACCCCATGTTGCGTCCGCTGACACATGGTAGGAACGCAGCTATACTATGATCCAGCGCGCGATTATTATCGAGGGTGACCGACGCAAACTTTCCGCTTGTGGCCGTGGCGACTCCCGAAGACAAAAGCAATTCTATCTGCGACGGCATCTCTTGTTGTAGATGTTGAGGTTGTCTCGTAGGTTTTGCTCATGTTGGGCGATGTAGGTGTTGCGGTTTCGGTTCACTCAGAGAACTTGTCTACTCTTCGGTGAATGCTTCCCGTGCTTGTTCTCCTCTTTCGGTTTTTAATACTTGACGTATATCCCCCATTTGAAATTTCGGTGTCATTCGTTTCCACAGACGTTCATTCCGATTCCGATCGTTGTTGGTTGCAGTCGTTCCTGCCTCTCTGAGATTGATGATGACGTCCTCTGTTCCTTTTTCGTAACCCCTTCATACACACGCAATATCCTCGCATCACAAATCGATTCCTTGAGACTTCCGCGGTCCAGCTGCGCCCATTGACACTGCAGAGGTACGAAGTAAGAGTGAGGTTCCTTCAAGAATATATCCATGGTCGAGTTACGGGACAAGTGGGGTAAGATTCTGGATCAGGGGTCCAATGCCGTAACAGTCCGGACTAGTAGGAAGCTGTTCGCTTTGACAGGCGGGATGAGCCGTCAGATCTGAGCTCTTGTGATGAGGTCGCGCGATCGAGACCAAGGAAGCATAACATAGCGGAGGTGGGGTTTAACAACTACTTACAAGAAGATAGAGAATCCGAAGAATTTCGCCTCTTCAAGTGTGTAAACCTAATAAAGCATTGATCATACCGATATTTTGTAGCTTGTAGCTTCATTTTCCGTGATCCTAGTCATGGGCTGACCATTTTCGTGCAACCCATGTCGATCATTACAGGTTCGCGCAGTAGCCGACGTAGATGGCTGTTAGGTGGGCATCGGCACTCCCAACATCACTTGAGCCGCAGATAGTATTTGTCAAATGAACCAACTTCACTGGAGGCCTAAAATAACATTCTCACAACTTTCATCGCAATTCGAATTGATCGCGTACTAAAACTGTTTATAATAATACCGGCACATTGTGACAGCCATGATTCGAGACGTTTGACACAACCAGCGACCAAATTGCATGATATTTAACCGCGGAAGTATAGGTGCTTTGGGAAAGCATATGTAAATCGAAGGGTGGGTGACGATTTCTGACGAAAATATTTAGTTGATCGACACCAGCCCGGGTTTTCCAAACGCCTTCGCTATGCAGAAATAGAAAGATTTGCAGTCTCCAATAAGTACAACCTGTACATGCAATCAAACAGCTGCGTTTGCCGTACTACGTGCGACTTGTTCTTGAAGAGCCTTCTGATACTGACTCCGCGCCGCGTCGATCGCTCGAAGCAAGGGGTCCACGATTTGGTTGACAGCCTTGGCTCCTCCTCTGATGGCCTCGGGATCGAACTTCCTCTTCTTCCTCTCTCGTTGGTTAGCAAACTCATTTTCTTTCCGGGCATGCTCAATCCTGGCTGCGCGGTCGGCCTCTGCCATGTCAGCCACCGCCTTGATACGATCGAGCGACTTGTCTAGCGTCTCGATAAGACGCGCAATCTCGTTCGCGCGGTCTGGATCCCCTGAGTAGAATACAGACCAGAAGTAGTGTAGGAATTCAACCGTTGTGTTGTGGGTCATGGTGAGGTTGTCAAGAACAGCCTCGGAGACATGGAGCTCCTTCGCTCGCTCGCTCGTGGGGATAGACTTGGACGATGAATAGTCATCGTTGTGCAAATGTCGTTTCTTGACAGCCGCTACAATTTGCGAAGAGGCTGCACTTCGGGCTGATTTGCTACCAACCTTGGTCTTCTTTGGAGCAGACCCCTCTTCATCGCTACTGCTTTCATCATCGATGTCGATTGTAGAGTGGAGGTCAACGCTCAAGACCTTGCCGTCGTCACTGCTAAACTTGCGAAGATCCTGCTGCAACGTCGAAAGAGCCTGTGCAGGAGTACGTTTTGTGTAAGTCGCAGCACTAGTAGAGGTATGCACGCTCTGACCGGCGGAGAAGAATCTACTCTGGTCTTGTACGCGAAGAACGACTCTGTTGTCATCATCTGCACGCTGTAGGTCCCGCAACTGCAGCTCTTTGTACGTCTCTTCATCCAACCCGGCAGGTCCATGCCGACTTGAGTCTGAGGGTGGCACTTCCTTCATCATCTTCTCGCTCATGCGATTCAAGACTCGGAGAATGGGCGCTTTCTCGTAGTTGGTCGGGTTCATGGTGAAGTCGGGCCGGTTGCCTTGTTTCTGGCTGTGGTTGTTCTCATTTGCCTCGATGTTGATGAAGTTGGGAATTGAGGCGGCGAGCAGATCCTGGTTGTCCATCGTCTCATCATAAGTCAGGTATTTGTCAAGCTTGGGATCAAGCACGTCCTTTTCTTGGATGCGCTCTCCCTTGAGCTTTTTCATCAAGCGACTGTGAAAAAACCTCTCCCAAAAGTCACCCTCGCTCAGCTGGGGTACGTTCTCGTTGTAGGCTTTTTGCACAACCGGATGCTGTCTGAACAACAGCTCAATCTGCTCTTTCGTCAAGCTCAGCATGAGAGTGCCGTTGACGGACTTGGACTTGATGACAGAAAGCACATTGTAGGTTCCAGTAGACTGTGATCTTTCCGTTGCGTGTGATCTCAACATGTGCACGCGCGTAGACCAGAATTGCATAGAGAACTGTAATACGCCAACGGAATCAGGCTTCTCCGCGAGCGCTCGGTCGAAGCGTTGTCGAAGCGCTGGGCTCGAATTGAGTAGCGACATCTGGAGTGATGTATCAGCGAGTAGCTTCGCATCGTCGTAGTTTTCTTCGTTGTCTTTGCCGCCAGCTGTTACGGTCTGAGCCATGGCCATTGCAGCTGATGCGCCGCCGTCCCCTCCCTCTCCAGCAACAGCAGCAGGAGCTGGGGCGGGAGCGGCCTGTTGCTTGGAAGCCTCGATCCATTTGCGCAATAGACCGGTTATGTTCTGCTGATCGTCGCGAGCGGCGCCGGAGGTAAAGGTGAGGGTATGGTTCCCGGCTTGTGGAGCGGGCTCCGGTACAACGATCTTGATGGAGGCTTTTGCAGAGGTCGCAGGTGTCTGTTGGAGATCTACGCAGCGTCAGCCATGTGCAAATGTATTGATATGAAACCAAGACGTACTCCCAATGTCTGCTATGGCTATGGACAGCGGAGGATGCGCATTACTGGCCGCCGACGACTTCCACGACACCGTTTTGCCATCGGCAGACACAGAGACTCTGCCATCCTGCTTCTTGTACTGGGCAGCAGCGTCGGCCATGGTGGTGGAGGGGAGATGGGTCGCGGCGATCAGTGATTCTTTGAGGCTGACGCGATGCGGCGGTACTAGCCAGTCGTGGCTTCCCCAGATTCATGCGCTGCACGTGACTACGCATCACCCATCGCCCAGGCAAGCATCCATGGATGACGAATGCCGCCCGCTGTAATCGGCACGCGGCTTAAAAGTTTATTCGGAGCTCTGGAGACTGCAACGACTACAACAAAACGCACATCACTCCCCAATGCTACTCTCCCAGCACCAGGGCGTCTTTGCAGGAAACACAGCCCGCATCAGCCAAGAGAGGTAACACACCTCAGGCGCAGCGGATATGTATCCGTGCCTCCCAACGTCAGAGGCTGCTTCCTCGTGCAAAGCTGCAGCGGGCACCACTTCCGCCTTACATAAGGCCTGCGCTGCTATTGGCTGGTGTTGCGAGAACATTCAATGAGCCTTCCATTCGCTGTGTGCAGTGCCGCTGTGACCAGCCGAGCATGGCAACGGCAGGCAGATGCAGCGTACCAGACGCGCAACGTTGCTAGGCGACTACAATGCAAATGTTTCAAGACTCGAAACCAGGCGTGAATTATATGGTGTTTGAGGCATTTGACGTGGTGACCGGTCGGAAGTGCGCTCGATCCATCATAGTGCGCTAGGCCGGAACACGGGGCCTTCGCATGTGCTGGGCTGCGTCAACTTCTACTGCCCATTGCTACTGCAGAAGCATTCTTCTGTCTATCGTCGTCCGCTTGGATGCCACCCCTCCCCACCTCCGCTTTGTTATTCTAATCCCGTCATGTTGCGCAACACCCTGCGCCAGTGCTCCCGCTCGCTCCAGTGCGCCCCGGCGAGAGCAACCTTCTCGAGCCTCGCACAGCCATCACGAAACGCCATCTCGACATGTCGCAGGCCGCTTGCGCTGACGCAGCGCCGCGGGTATGCCGTGTCGTCGGAAGACACCAACAAGGGCGTTGTGCGTACCTCTCCAGCGCCGCCTTCAAACTCTTCGACCCTATAGCTAACAATGACGGCATAGGACCCCAACGACTCGTTCCTCCAGGGCAACACGGCCAACTACATCGATGCCATGTACATGCAGTGGAAGCAGGACCCCGCCAGCGTTCACTACTCATGGCAGGTCTACTTCCACAACATGGAGTCCGGCGACATGCCCGTGTCGCAAGCCTTCCAACCGCCGCCCAACATCATGAGCTCGCCCCAGGGCGGCGCTGCTCACAAGCCCGGAATGGGCATGGCTTCCGCCGAAGGTACCGACGTTATGAACCATCTCAAGGTCCAATTGCTTGTGCGAGCGTACCAGGCTCGTGGTCACCACAAGGCCAAGATTGACCCGCTGGGCATCCGCTCAGAGGCAGAGCAGTTCGGATACAGCAAGCCGCGCGAGCTTGAGCTTTCCCACTACAACTTCACCGAAAAGGACCTGGAACAGGAGATTGAACTAGGCCCGGGTATCCTACCGCGCTTCAAGACCGAGACCCGCAAGAAGATGAAGTTGAAGGAGATCATCGAGGCCTGTGAACGCCTCTACTGCGGCTCCTACGGTATCGAATACATCCACATTCCCGACAGGGAGCAGTGCGACTGGCTCCGTGAGCGCATCGAGGTCCCCACGCCCTTCAAGTACTCTGTCGACGAGAAGCGCCGCATCTTGGACCGCCTGATCTGGGGAACCAACTTTGAGGCTTTCCTGGCCACCAAGTACCCCAACGACAAGCGATTTGGTCTTGAAGGAGGCGAGAGTTTGATTCCTGGAATGAAGGCCCTCATCGACCGAAGTGTCGACTTCGGCGTCAAGGACATCGTCATTGGTATGCCGCATCGTGGACGTCTCAACGTGCTCTCCAACGTCGTCAGGAAGCCCAACGAGTCCATCTTCAGTGAGTTTGCCGGTACTGCCGAAGCCAACGAAGAGGGCTCTGGTGATGTCAAGTACCACTTGGGTATGAACTTCGAGCGTCCTACGCCATCCGGAAAGCGTGTGCAGTTGTCTCTTGTCGCCAACCCGTCCCATCTTGAAGCTGAAGACCCCGTCGTCCTGGGCAAGACCCGCGCCATCCTCCACTACAACAATGACGAGAAAGAGGCTTCCAGCGCCATGGGTATGCTCCTCCACGGTGACGCCGCTTTCGCTGGTCAAGGTATAGTGTATGAGACCATGGGTTTCCACCAGCTGCCCAGCTACCACACCGGCGGAACCATCCACATCATTGTCAACAACCAGATTGGTTTCACTACGGATCCTAGGTTCTCTCGCTCTACTCCATACTGTTCGGACATTGCCAAGGCCATTGACGCACCTGTCTTCCACGTCAACGGTGACGACGTCGAGGCTCTCAACTTCGTCTGCCAGCTGGCTGCCGACTTCCGTGCTGAGTTCAAGAAGGATGTAGTAATCGACATGGTCTGCTACCGAAAGCAGGGTCACAACGAGACTGACCAGCCTTTCTTCACCCAGCCTCTGATGTACAAGAAGATCTCGGAACAGCCTCAAACACTAGACATCTACACCAAGAAGTTGCTCGACGAGAAGACCTTCACCAAGGAGGACATTGACGAGCACAAGGCTTGGGTCTGGGGCATGCTAGACGAGAGCTTCAACCGCAGCAAGGACTACGTACCAAACTCCAAGGAGTGGCTTACTTCGGCCTGGAACGGCTTCAAGTCGCCCAAGGAACTCGCAGAAGAGGTTCTGCCCCATCTGCCAACTGCCATTGAGGAAACTCAATTGCAGCACATCGCAGAGAAGATTGGCGGTGCACCAGAGGACTTCAATGTGCACAAGAACTTGAAGCGTATTTTGGCTGGCCGCACCAAGACTGTCATGGATGGCAAGAACATCGACATGGCTACTGCGGAAGCGTTGGCATTTGGAAGTTTGTGCATGGAAGGCCATCACGTTCGTGTTTCTGGACAGGATGTCGAGCGTGGAACCTTCTCCCAGCGCCACGCTGTGCTCCACGACCAGGAGACTGAGAAGACCTACACCCCTCTTCAGAACCTCAGCGAGGACCAGGCCACCTTCACCATCTCTAACTCTTCTCTTAGCGAATACGGAGTGTAAGTCACATTTCGTCCTTTTTATGTCTTGGCTTGACTAATCAATTGTAGGCTTGGCTTCGAATACGGTTACTCCTTGTCTTCACCCAACGCCCTCGTCATGTGGGAGGCTCAGTTTGGTGACTTTGCCAACACTGCCCAGGTTATCATCGATCAGTTCATTGCCTCTGGTGAAGTCAAGTGGCTTCAGCGTTCCGGTCTCGTCATGAGCTTGCCGCACGGTTACGATGGTCAAGGTCCTGAACACTCGTCAGGACGTATGGAGCGCTACTTGCAGCTCTGCAACGAGGATCCCCGCATCTTCCCGTCCCCTGACAAGCTTGACCGCCAGCACCAGGACTGCAACATCCAGATTGCCTACACAACGAAGCCGTCCAACCTCTTCCATCTCCTTCGTCGTCAAATGAACCGCCAGTTCCGCAAGCCTCTTATCTTGTTCTTCTCCAAGTCGCTACTCCGCCACCCGCTCGCTCGGTCTAGCATTGAGGAGTTCACTGGTGACTCGCACTTCCAGTGGATCATCGAAGACCCTGCGCACGCTACTGGAGAGATTGAGTCGCACGAGGGCATCAACCGTGTCATCCTCTGCACAGGTCAGGTGTACGCTGCGCTTGTCAAGGAGCGTGAAGCACGTGGCGAGAAGGATGTTGCCATTACCCGTATCGAGCAACTTAACCCCTTCCCATGGCAGCAACTGAAGGACAACCTCGACTCGTACCCCAACGCGCAGAACATCATCTGGTGCCAGGAGGAGCCCCTTAACGCCGGTGCCTGGAGCTTTACACAGCCCAGAATCGAGACGCTTCTCAACCAGACCGAGCACCACAACAGACGACACGTCATGTACGCTGGACGCAACCCTAGTGCATCTGTAGCAACTGGACTCAAGGTGTCTCACAAGAACGAGGAGAAGGCTCTGCTAGACATGGCCTTCACGGTCAAGCAGGACAAGCTGAAGAGCGAGTAGAAGCGCTCTTAAGCTTACAGGAGGGAAAAATCATCATTAATTGCATTACTCTATTCCCATTTCTGCGATGGAATTAGCTTGGAGTGGGTTTTAGGTAGCTGGACTTCATAGGGCTGTTCAGCTGTACATTTTTGATCACAACGAATGTATGTTTATGGCGTGTAGTATAAAAGCCGGATTTTCTCTTATCGTTTTGACTTGTAAATGTTGTGCTGTGACTACAAAGATATTCGTATCAAGCCGTGTAGCTCGGTGATAGGTAGCCCGAGTGCTATGCGTGGTTTTGGCGTTGATAGAGGCTTCATATGTGCCGGCACAGCTTATGCATCGTGAACTTGCAATTGGCATTCTAGTACGCGCCGGAGCAGACCAAAGCCAGAGTTATCTGCTCATACTTGGGCAATGCCACGTCGAGAAATTCTTCCGCCAGTGGGAATCGCCATGTTGATGACATTACGCTCATACAGAAAGGCACGGTATTGGAGGTTGAGAGGCGTTGAGAAATTGAGGCTCACGGGGCGTGGGATCGTGATGGCTCTATGTCCGCGGTCCGGAAAAAGTCGGGCAGACGTCAGTGTGGGATAGAGCCCCGCCATCCCCTCCTACTGGACGTGCCCCTCCACTTTTCCGTCTCCGCACCTGCATCATAGCTCGACAACCACGCGCTCCCGCAACAAAGCGCGTCAATTTCCGCACACGACTCGAGCCATGTATTTTCGCCCATGGCCAGACCGTGTCGAGCATCAAGCTCGGGAAATTTCCCACGAAATTCGGCCTTGATCCGGAGTAACTGTGGCTGAGACCGCCCGGCTGAAGTATCGTGAGTTGCCTATGATGTCCGACCAGTTGCCGAGGGCTATAGCTCCCAGCGCCTGCCAAACAAATAGCACAGAAGTGTGGTCCGCCTGCCCGACTCTACCCACCCTGACTTCATAACGATACTGCGCTCCGCTTTTTGCTGGACTCGACCTTGATAGCTTTTCACCATCCCTCTCTCCAAACTTCCCCATTCCCCATACTCTTTCCCATCTTCCTTTCCCCGTTGATACCAACTTGCCATTGTAGCATCGCCATCCCTTACTTTTTCGCATTGTAGATTGAACATTCAGAACATCTCACAAAATGGCTTCCAACAGTAACGAGGGAGGCCCAGCGCAGGAGAAGATCAACACCGACATCATCACCCTTACGCGATTCCTCACCGAGGAGCAGACCAAGTACGCCGAGGCGACGGGAGATTTCACGTAAGTTTTGGGCTTCGAGAGAATGTCAAAGTTGGAGGACTAACCATTCTTGCTAGACTGCTATGCCACGCACTGCAATTTGCATTCAAGAGCATTGCCTACTACATCCGGAGAGCGACATTAATCAACGTAAGCCAACCCGACCATTCCCAGACGAAACAGCGACTAACATAAACAGCTCACCGGTCTCCAAGGCGCGACCAACTCCACAGGTGACGATCAAAAGAAGCTCGACGTAATCGGAGATGAGCTCTTCATCACCGCCATGCGCTCCTCAGGTCGCGTGCGCCTCCTGATCTCTGAAGAGCAAGAAGAAGCGATTGTCTTCGACGAGTACCCCAACGCGCGTTACGCTGTAGCCTGCGACCCCATCGACGGTTCCTCCAACCTTGACGCCGGTGTCGCAGTTGGTACAATTTTCGCGATATACAAGCTGCCAGAGGGCGCCAAGGGCACAAAGGAGGACATGCTTCTACCTGGCACCGAGATGGTCGCTTCAGGTTTCACCATGTACGGCGCCTCCGCTCAGCTGGTTCTCACAATGAAGGGCGGAAACGTCAACGGCTTCACACTCGACACTGCATTTGGCGAGTTCATCCTCACACATCCCGACATGAGGGTCCCTAAGACCAGGTCCATCTACTCAGTCAACGAGGGTAACAGCTTGTACTGGGAAGAGCCTGTCAAGGCTTGGTGTGAAAGCCTCAAGAACCCGCAAGAGGGTGGCAAGCCATACAGCGCGCGTTACATTGGATCGATGGTTGCAGACGCATACCGAACATTGTTGTACGGCGGTATCTTTGCTTACCCCGCGGATAAGAAGACTCCCAAGGGCAAGTTGCGTATTCTCTACGAATGCGCCCCCATGGCCATGGTTTTCGAAAACGGTATGTCCTATTTTAATCACATATTGATTCACTCCTGCTAACACGTGTACAGCTGGCGGTTTAGCAGTAAACAGCAAGATGGACCGTATGCTCGAAGTCGTTCCCGAACACATCCACGACCGATCGGGTATCTTCTTGGGTTCAGAAGGCGAAGTCCAAAAGGTTATCGATGCGCACAAGAACTACAAGAAATAGGCGTCCGTGGTTGACTTGGAGCGTAAAATAGCGTACCATTGGGCTATTACTGGCATATGAACAGATACTTGCTGGTCAAGGTTCCACATTCTCCATCAACATATATAGTATTATTGAATGACGATACCAACTTTAACCTGATTTTACACTCTTCTTGTCGTGTTCGCTACAAGAACAATCAACACTCTGCTAGGGATACTAAGAACAAACATTTTACAAGAACGAGTAAAAAACATCACAGCGTGTCAAAGGGCCAGTCATGAATATCATAAGATCTATTAGGAGTATCGACTACATGCCTAAGATCTTACCTACCACATCTCCTCTCAAAGCTATCCAGTGTGTACCAGATGCTCCCATCGTAATCGTATCCACTCTCACACCCACCATAACATCTACCATGAATTATCGAGACGCCGAAAACCCGAACATTGAGAGCCAGCTTGGTATCGTAAAGCTGCTCGTGAGGTATCATACTGTTTGCGCAAAGAAAATCCATCCACAGACCCACACCCATATCATGACGTTTCGAAGACGGGGCGCCGTCTATGTTAACATGCACTAGAGTGGAACAAGGAAAAAAGAAACATGAAGAGGGGAAAACCAAACTCTGGAAATTTGAGATTGGTGCTTGGTGGCGTCCGACAATCCAGTCAAGGAGTCAGTCGCCAAGGAAAGAGGTGTCGTATCAGACTTGCCGTAACATGGCTGCAAGTCGATAACAGAGAAGAGGACATCGAATCGTGAAAACTTTTTGGGTGCAATGGGTCATGAAAGCCGTCCCGTATCGTAAGTGAAAACCGTTACCCGTGCGCCGTTCGCCGTTCAGAAAGATCATGCGACCATCGTTACTTGCTGCCGATCGAGAGATTCGCGGACCGAATCCTACTCAGTGGCAACTAGAAAGAGGTTTAAGCCTTCTCTTCTTTGATCTCCTCCTTGGGGGCTTCCTTCTCAGGCTCACCCTCTTTGTTCTTGACGTATTCGTCATAGACGCTCATGGCCTCCTCAACCTTGGCGCGGAGAGCAGCCTCATCGGAAGTACTGGGATAGTTAGTACATGGATTAGAAGAGCTTGAAACAAGAATACTTACAGGTTGATCAACTCGCTGTTGTCCATCTCGAGAAGCATACCGGTGATCTTGCCGGCGAGCTCGGGCTGCATCTCAGCGATCTTGGGGTAGAGAGCCTCACCGAGCATCTGCTTCTGCTGGCCGGGAGCAGCGCCGCTCAAAGCACCCATGTCGACGCCGGCACTGGCGGGACCGCCACGGCCGCCCTGAGGGTAGGGCATGGGGGATTGACCGGGACGAGCGCCCTGAGGACCGCCGCGACCACCTTGAGGAGGGAAGCCCTGACCGCCGCGCATGCCGGGAACACCAGCCATGGGGACTTGGGGCATACCAGGCATAGGAGCCATGGGGCCACCACGGCCGCCACGTCCGCCCATGGCCTGCTGGGCAGCCTGTGCAAGCTGCATGTACTGCTGGTTCATGTAGGCAGGGGGGAAAGCGCCAGGAGCCATGCCAGGGGGCATGTACATAGGAGGCATCTGCTGACCGTTGGGTCCGCCGCGACCACCTTGCTGGCCGGGCATACCGCCAGGGAAGCCAGCGCCACGGCCACCCTGTTGACCAGGCATACCAGCGGGGAAGGGCATCTGGCCACGACCACCAGCGGGGAACATCATAGGCTGCTGACCAGGTGCGATGAACATCTGGGGAATGCCGCCGAACTGCTGCTGCTGCTGTTGCTGCATGCGGAGCTGGTTGCGGGCCTGGATGGTGGCCTCGAGCTGGTTCTTGCGGACATCCTTGCGCTGGGCAAGAGCGACGTAGAGAGGCTTGCCCTCAATCATCTTCTGGTTCATCTCGGTGACAGCCTTGGTGGCCTCGTCGGGGTTGCTGAAGCAGACGAAACCGAAGCCCTTGCTCTTACCGAGGATCTTCTTCTCACCCTTGATGGTGACCTTCTCGCCGCTCTTGTTCTCGTCCTTCTTGTCGTCAGACGAGTCATCCTTGGACTCCTCCTTTGGCTCCTCCTTGATCTCGGCCTCCTTGGGCTCCTCCTTGACCTCGTCCTTCTTCTCGTCGGATGGGGACTCGGAGCGCCCCTCAGCAGGCATGGCGTCGCGCATGACCTTGGCAGAGGTGATGGTACCGAAAGGAGTGAACATGTCGCGCAGCTTCTCGTCGTCGACATCGTCGTTGAGGTTCTTGATGTAGAGGTTGACACCCTGGTACTTGGACTGCTTCTCAAGACGAGCGGCCTCGTACTGCTTGCGGAGCTCCTCCTCACGCTCGTGCTTCTTCTGAGCACGGCCGACGTAGAGCTTCTGGCCACGGAAGTCGGTGTCGTTGAGAGCATCCACGGCAGCGGAGGCAGCCTCGTGCTTGATGTAGTTGACGAAGCCGAACCCGCGGCTCTTGCCCTGGTCATCGCGTGCGATGGAGGCGGAGGTGATGTCACCGTGCTTCTCGAAGAGCTCACGGAAGTCCTCGTCAGAGACCTCGAGGTCGATGTTCTTGACGTAGATGTTGGTGAAGTTGGCCTTCATCTCCTCGAACTTGCTCATGCGCTCCTTCTTGGGGATGTGGTGGCCGACGAAGACCTTCTTCTCGTTGAGCAACATGCCGTTGACGTGCTTGATAGCGTTGTTGGCGGCCTCGGCGGTCTCGTAGTGGACGAATCCGTAGCCCTTGGAGTTACCGAGCTCGTCCTGAGCGACCTTGCAGCTCAAGATGTTACCGAAAGCAGCGAAGGTGTCGTGGAGAGCCTTGTTGTCAATGGCGTGGTCCAGGTTCTTGATGAAGACGTTGCCCTGGCCAGTCTTGCGCAGAGCGGGGTCACGCTGGGACCACATGATGCGGCAAGGCTTGCCCTTGATGACGGTGTAGTTCAACTCTTCGAGGGCCTTCTCGCCATCTTCAGAGCTGTTGTAGTTAACATAGGCGTAACCGAGCGAGCGACGGGTAACGGCGTCACGGCAGACACGGATAGACGCGACCTGGCCAATCGAGGAGAACAGCTCGAAGAGCATGGCCTCGGTGACGGAGGGGTCGAGCTCGCCAACATAGAGCGACGCGGAGTTCTGGTTGTTCGCGGGGGCGGCGGTGGTGGGGGTGGGGGCTTCGGCCTGGGCAGCAGCGACGTTGGTGTCGACCTGAGCGCCGTTGGCGTCAGCGCCCTCCTGGACGGGAGTAGGGTTGGCGACGTCAGACATGATGTATATCTGCGGGGTTGTGTGTTAGTTGGAGGGGTCGAAATATTGCGGGCAGAATCAGGGTCGACATTTGCAGGTGCGCTCGCTTCGCAAAAAGTTTCAGCACTCACCTAAGTTGCAACAGAAGATGTGCGGGGTAACAGAGTCGGTCCAAATAGCACTGGCTATGCGGGCGCGCTGACTCCTTCTTCTTGCGAAAAAGGTGAGATCAAGTAAGACGTCTGTCGGGTTCAAGCGACAGTGGGAGACGAAGAGTTGGCGGTGGTCGTCGGACGGGCTTTTCTTGTTGTTTTCTGTATTTTTTTGTTTCTTTTTCTGTTATGAACGGTCCACTGGGAACCGAGGGCTTGGAGAGCTGTGGGTGTAGTTGGGGGTGGTTAAGCGTTTAGGGTGGGAGGGACAGACGAGGTCGCCAGTCTTTATGCGCAGGTGTGCGATTTTTTGGGTGGCCCGGGCGTTGCGCTAGCCTATTTAAGACGGCGCAACCAAGGCGGTGAATGGAGGAACCCTGTGCCAGGTAGACAATGGCGATGAAGGGCGCAAATAAGAGTGTTGTGAAATGGCGGATCTGCGGAAGGGGGCGCCGCTGTGACGATGCTTGTTTGTGTCTGTCTGGGAAAGCGCAGGTAGGCGTAACGGCCGTTGCGATAATGGACCCTGTGTATCACATGTCAGATACGCGAGTAGACGTAGACGAAGTGGGATGGTATCCTACAGTTGATACTATGCGACGCTGTGTTAGTCCTCAAAGACTCGAAAGCTTAGGCCTCTGTTTCGGATACTTGCATTCAGAAAGGATAATAAAGAACAATTCGCACACTGTAGTGAGGGGTGGTCCTGCAGCCGACCAGCAATCCTGGGGTAAGGTGCATCTCTGTAAGACGACGCACAACATACATGCACAAGCACTGCAAGCTAAACAACGACTTTCGGAGACAAGCGCAATCACGCCTTAATGCGTGTTCATGCATTCAATAAACTACCAGATAATCTTTTCAGTACAGGTCTCAGACGGGTATCGGTACGGTGCGTAAATGCTAGAAAATCCCAACCATGTCATAATCATGCCCTTGCTACTCCTTCAGGGTATCGTCCCACCCGCCCTGCTCGGTGAGATGTTCTTCTACACGCATTTTGCAGTTTTCCAGGCCCTTCCCAAGTGCCTCGTTCCACTGACTTTCGACAAGACCGACCTTCTCCTTGAGGTCGTCCGTCAATCGCCGTTCCTCGTCTGCTCTGATAGCCTTCATCTCTTGATTGACGCCTGTCAGATCCTCGCCTTCCAACAGCCTTTGCGTCTCCAGAAGTCGTGAGCCTGCCGTCATAACTCCGGTCTTGACCTCATGCAGTAAGCATAGCAGGTTGATCTGCGATTCAATGAACTGGTATGCCGAGCGACCAGCATGTGCCAATAGAGTGTACAAATACTGTAGTGGGTACTCGTGGTAGGCCGGCGTCTCCACGTACTCCTGCGGCGGAACCAGAACCTCGAAGCCGTGCAGATTCCGAGGGACTTGCTGCACGATTTCCAGTAATCCAGGTGCAATGTCCCAGAAAGCCGACAGCTGGGCTTCGACACCGCGAGTCACGTTCTGTTCGATGACGTTCATGAGATCTTCGTAGCGCTTGAGCGTTTCCTTCTCGAATGTGACTTTGCGATCCTGTCCATCGCGTTGGAAGAAGGTTGTGGCTTCCTTGACCTTCTGTTCGTTCTTGGTCTGGACATATGGCAAGACAATGATATCTCTGTAAAGGTCGTTGCGCTCGTCTTCGAGTTCAAACATCTCCTTGTGTAGCTGTTCCCGCGCTTCGAACAGCCATTTGTGCAAGGTAAGCATTTCCAGGAGTTCTGGTTTTTCATCACCCTCTTCCTGCGTTTGATTGGGATTGGGCTCCTGCGCCTCGTTACACAAACGCCCTTTGAGATGCTCCATCGATGCGGTGGCTTTGGTGATACGTTCGCAGAACATAGCGTGCAGTGGGTTAGCGACTTCAGCCTGGAAACTGTCGAATATCCACTGGACTACGTCCTGGGCTCTTTGAAGCTCGCGAGCCTCGAAATCTGCTTCTGCCTTGGCCGCTTCTGCAAATGACATAACTCCATTGCGAACGTTGTCTTGAATGTTGTACCGGAGTTGTGCTCTTCTGTCAGACAGCGATGCATTTTCTTGCTCTTTTCGTGCGTCAATCTTTGTCTTGAACTTGGCCTTTGTATTCTTCACTTCGTCGAGCTCCGATAGAGTTCGCAAGCTACTCCGGATAGTTGCCAGGTCAGGGTGGCTGTTGTTGACTGCGGGGTGATGGCGTGGGTAGGATGGTGGAAGTGTGACGAGTCGGGATACATCCAGCTTGTGTGGGTCCGGCGTTGCCGTAGCAGACCTGGAATAGTAACCGTAAGGCTGCTGCTGTGGTGGCTGTAGATTTTCCTCATGCAGGCCGACCTTTTCGGGTGGGTATTCGTTAGGTCCATACGCTGGCCGACTGCTGGACTCGCCTCGCTGATTTGGAGTGGATGGGTTCTCGCCTGCCCACTGCAAGTTCTCACGAGCTTCCTTTGGCAAGCTCATGTACTTTGATTCCCGTTTACTCCGCTCCAATCTTCTACCACCACCAATTCCAGAGGAGCCGCCGTCGCTTTCCCACCAGCGACTTGCTGACCTACCTCTGGAATCTTGTTCATCAGGAATGGTGCTCATAGCCATACTTGGGATAGGCGAGAGCGAAGGATGATAATTGTTGGTCCAAGCAGCGTCCCGAGCCTTCTGGCTGGATGCGCTGGAAGGAGATGCTGGTTCGGTATGAGGAGTGAAGTTGCCAATGGAAGATGCAGGACTGGCAGCTGTCGTCGGCATCGAGGAGAAGCGTGTGTCGGGAGATTCGCCGGTTACGGAGCCCTGGGACCTCCTGTTACCCTGTCCTACAGGAGTAGCCTGGGTGTTTGGTGTAGCTGATCTGCGCCCAGAATTGCCGTACGAGCGCCATAAGTCTCTTGTCAAATCCATAATATCTCCGGCCATTGCATCAAAAGCCCCAGAGTACCGATCACGACGAAGTCGTGACTCAGTAACAATGAACTCGGCAAATAGCTCCAGTCTATCTTGGTCCGTTTCAGCTGCCATCTCCTTCTCGATGAATTGTCGATGCCGCTCCATGGAGGCACGTGCGAAAGCATGCGTGTCTGCTGGTTTTGGTGTGCTCAAACTCGAGTTTGGTGCGCCGGTATGTGCGGTACTAGGCGTTTGGATCGCCGAATCATTTGCAGCTTCTGAGCAACGGGTCAGGTCTGCTTCCCTCTCATCACCATAGATACGTAACGGTGGAGTAGGCAGCGCTTTGGAGGGGAGAGAGACGGGTGCTTTCTGTGCTGAACGACTGAGATATTCCATACCTGGCGAAAAAGGTGGTGTTGCAACAGCCATAGATGCAGCCTTTGGATTCGTGTCCACCCGAGGCGTAGAGTTGGACGAACCAGGATCTTCATAGAGATGGCCGCTTCTTGGTGAGCGTACAGCCCCGGCACTCCTCGGTGTGCCTTTGGTGATAGCACCACGCCGCGTTAGGCCACCTTCTGGCGTTCCCAAGTCCAGATTGGCAGGTTTCGCTGATTCTGCTTCCAAATCTTGCGCCCATGGGTTATTGCTCGGTTCGATACGCAGCTCTCGAGCAGCACGACTCTCACTCCGTCGCTCGCGGATGCCTCGGGTGCTACCTTCTCCTCTATTTGGAGTGCGATACAGAGTGCTACCCGAACCCGATGTGGTGTTCGTTGGCCCCGACGAAATCGAAACGCTCCCGCTCTCTGATGCTGGCGCAGGCTGATCAGACAAATGCACAGCGCGCGGACTTGTGTCGATATGTAGACCGTGGGCGGCTGGAGACCTTGGTCGCACGCTCGTAGATTCATCCTGCCAACCTTGGGGAGTAGGTGGTATGGGTGCCAATGTTGTTTGACCGGGTCTTCTTGTTGGAGGCGCTGATGGTAGGATCGGCGCTCGATTTGATGGCGGTTCAGTCCCAGGCCCCATACTCTGCGATCTTGAGCTGCTGGGTGGAGGGCCCGGCGGAGGCGGAGGTAATGGCACATTTCGACTCCAGCCCCCTGCTGGCACTATTGGCGATTCGTCAATGGGCGTTCGGGTCTCGTAGCCCGGTACGCCAGCAGAGGCTGCTCTTCGAGAGGTGGGTGGTCTGCTAGGTGATTGCGTGTCGGGGCTGTACCGTCGGTCTAATGTGTTTGCCATATAACTGTAACAATGTCAGTAAGACGATCTGCTACCACACGCAAAGACATACTTTGAAGCAGCCCTCTGTGCGACCAGTCCTGGAGAAGCTGGTGCCCGCTGAATCGCATCAGAAGTACTGATACGAAGCGAGTCGATATTGCTCGGGCCAGGACTATGATCATTGTTCCGATTCCTGAACGACGACAGACTGAACTTGGAAGCCAGCTTATCGCGCGACACTGAACGACCTGTTCCATTCCTAGGGGGCGGAGGTGGGAACTGAGGGTTCGATGTTATGCTTGTCGCGCTCGAAGGTATGACCATTGACCCAGGTCGACTGTGATATCCAGAGATGGGTCGCGCAGACGAAGGATTGCTGCTCGGGGGTGGGGGAGGTGGTGGATGGGGAAATGTGCTGGCGGACATCTGAGGTGATGATGTGTTGCTGGTGCTGAGGGATTGCGACACGTTCGGGTTCTGACCAGGCGAGTATGGAGGTGGTGGTGAGGGCATCGACGCTGTTGCGATTAGCATCACGTCTTGCCATGCTTGGGATGTTTCCAAGAACAATCTGCGCAGTTGATACGAAAAGTAGGCCACCAAGGCTTCGACACACAGGAAGATGCATATTTTGCGGAGGAAGAGAAAAGAGAATCTATCCAATCTGCTACGTATAACACGAAATTGGGACAAAGTAGGAAGTGATATATACCTTCCATGCCTGTCACATCCTGAAGCCTCGTGGGGACTGATGTCTGGCTATGCTGAACATGCTGCCCACTGACATTCCCACCCCGCGTCCATTGCTGGGGATTGTATGGCACGGCTGGACCCGAGCCCCTCATAGCCATGGGAGAAGCAGCCGCGATGGGAGAAGGCGCATACGTCGAGGGCGCGGGGGACGGCGAGAAGGGCAGGCTCAGAGACGAGGCAGTCGCCGGTGTAGGTAGCGAGCCATGCAGGTACGAGTGGCCGGACTGAGGTGGCGGCGCGAGGGTGGTGTTGAGGAGGGGAGGTTGCACAGCGAAGCGCCTGGGAGATATCTGCGGTGCCTGGAGGTGGGCCGGGTGCGGTGAAGACGGCGGTGGAGGCAGTCGGGGCGACGGCGGCGGTGCGGGACTGTAGGCGTGCTCCATGGCTGCTACTATTAAACCTCGCGGTCTGGCAGTGTCCTACTAGATTGGTTCAGGGCTGGCTTGATGTGCCGTGCCGAAGCCTTCAGCGGCTCCAGCGAGTAGTACGGGCGAATCCTACAGCGGAGAGAAGATGGGGCGGCGTTGGGAGCTGCACCGTTGTGATCTTTGTCACCTCGCACGCGAATGCAGAGGCCGAGGCGCGCAAGGATGCTGGGTCATGCTGTGTGCCCGTCGAGTCTGAGGATGGAGGGAACGCGGCCAATTCGACGCCTGGCAATCGACGTCGATCATGTCGGGCACGAGGGTTAGCAGCTCTAGACTCGAAGCAGTATCGACGACGGAGGTTTGGCGTTGTAGCGAGGCTTGACTTTTGCTTGTCCAGCGAATGGGCGGCGCCTCATGCATACGGCGACATGGGCACTATGCACCATCCCTGCCCGTCGACAAGACGTCGGCGGCTAAGTAAAGAACATGGCCGCCATCCTCAGGCCATCTTTACCTTTGCAGCTGCACTTTTTTAACCCAATGTCAATCCCAGCCGTCGCGCAAGTGGCCGACATGTCCCCGCAAGAGTTTTGATGAGTCTCGTGACGTGTGCATCGTCTCGTCCAGCATGCGACCGTTGTGGTGTTCGTCTTGGTATCCAAGAGAAAGTTCCCCACACAGGCCGATATAAATAGGCAGTGGGTCCACTCCAACATGCGCAACGGCCCACCGCCGCATGGTCTCTAAAACTCCACCACCACCATGCGTCCGCATCTCGAATCGTCCTGGGCGCCGAGTTGCTTCGTTCTGGCCGAAGCCAACGCAACTGATCCATTTATATCGAACCCCATCACCTGCCGTCCCTATAGTGTTTTCGGGTGATGCTCCTGATTATACATCATGATGCATGTCCGGGCGTTCTTGTACGAGTTGGTGATTGTGGCCACATGCCTATCATGAATTGATGCGCGAGACAAGAGGCACACAAACGACCGTTGAAAGAAGCGATTACGTGCATGCTGATGGCAGTAGTACCGCCTTCGCCAATCGTGCATCCGTAGACCCAGGTCCTGACCGCTGCGTTAGCCCCGGACGCTGAACATGTATATTGCCGGAACCACGTTATAGATGAGTAAAGCAGGGCGTTGTCCGCACGAAGACCCGGCTGACCATGGTTTTGTTCTGCCACACATCAGCTTGTGCGTGATGAGATAATCAATCCCAATGTTACACTATATATTGCTAGTGTCGATGCCTAAGGTGATCTACCTAAGTAGGCCCTCAAGCTTATTGTAGAACCCATCTATCTTGATCCACATTCTCACGAACAAACTTAATTCTAGATATGAAATTATGTGATATTGGTACGCGACCGACCCCAAGACTAACTGGGTACCCAGCACGGAGGATTTTTACCTGATCTATTCGAGACTTGAGCCTTCAATGTCTGATTGATTAGGTTTCATTGAAGTGCTCAAGTGTAACAAGTATGATACGGCGACTTGCAGGAACATAAACCTCGTCACTCAATGCGGAAATGCGGTTTATCTGCTCGAGGTCACATGTACCTGGAACCTCTAAGCACTACAGTGGATAGACAGTTGTTCAAATCATGTGTCTTAATATTCTATTATCTAATAACACTTACGTTGTACAGCCACGTCGTTGTGTATGTCTACCATGGTACACGTGAGGCCGAAGGAAATGCCCATGAACGCCTCGCTCAAGTGCTCAACCCGCAAAACATGTATGAGCTAGAGCAATTATGATTGCCGCTCACTTCTTGTCATCCTTCTCTGGTTCTGGTGCTGGGTCGTCCTCGTCGTCCTTGTCCTTCTTCCTCTCCTCTTTCTTCTTGCGGTCTTTCTTGAGTGCCTCCTGCACGTTCTCGTCCTTCTCTTCCTGCAGCTCGTCCCACTCAACATCGTACTCGTTGGCAACAGCCTTGATTTCCTTACGAAGGGCATTGCCGTCCTCGATCAGGACCTCCCATTTGCGCAGGTCGAAGTTGTGTTGTTGGTATAGCTTCTGCTGTCGACGAGACACGGTAAAGTTCATGGCAGAGCGGTAACTGACTTCACGGTTGTGGTAGAGGAACCACACATAACCACCGATAAGAGTAGAGAGACCGACAAGGTACTGTTTAAACTGTTAGGTGGATCGAGGTTGAAGAAGTGGCCATACTTACTGTAACGGGCTCCATGACATCCCAGCCCAGCTCGGTCTGGAATGTGAGATAGTACACAACGCACCACCATCCAGCAATACCGACAAACCCAGCCCTCGCAACGTTCTTTGCCGCCTTCTGCGCCAGGTCGTCGCACTCTTTCTTCACGGTCGCCATCTCGCTGATCTTCTTGGATGTCTTGCGTAGACGCATTCGAAGATAGTAGGTCCTATCATTGAAGCTGGGCACACCAACCCGAATCTCCTCTGGCGCACCTTCAATCTCAATGGCAAATTCCTGTCCTCGAGCAGCATCACGAATGAAGTCGCCGATCTCGGTGGAAGAAGACCATCGCACAAACTTGCGCGCGCCTTGCTTGTCTGCCGGTGCTTCTTGGCCCTGTCCAGAGTATGACTCGACGCCGCCTTGTCCAGGTCCACCTCGCAGCTCATCCGCTTGTTCAGGTGTCTTCCTATCCTGGCTGTTGATCTTGCCTGTTTTATGTGTCTTCCCGTCAATGCGGATCTCATCGACCTGTTCAAAGTCCTCTTCGCCGTCCTTTTCACTAAGACTTTCGCTATCGTTGCTGACTGGCGTGCTCTCTACTTCCTCTGGCTCAGCATCCTGCTGCATTGAGTCTTCGGCGCGGAAGTAGACATTTGGCTGTCTGTCTCGGCCCTCTTTGTCTTTTATGCTGGGGAGCTCAGCTTGTATCAAGCGTTCGAGATACGAGATGGGTTGTTGCGGGTGGACGAGGAGTGCTAGCGGTTCAATGTCCTTACGATCCGTGTTCATGTCGCTTGTCGTGAGTGGCAGGATAATCTTAAGCATCCGGGATGGCGTGGTGAGCAATTTACCTGCCCTTGTTAGTTCTCGAGTACCCCAAATAGTGAGAGACATACCCTTAGTCATTGCTCCAGCACTTCTCTGTCGCGCGACAGGCGGCAAGTCGCTCCCCTCTCTGTGCCATGGCGTTCGTATTTGCTTGCCCTTATCTTCTTGTAGTTTCTTTGCAAAATGATCCTTCTCTTCCTGTGTGATGTTCTCATTGAGTTCTGAAGCAGGCCGGGCGTTGGAGTTGCTGTAGTCTCCGAATTTGTCACTCTCCTTGTCAACGCCCCTGGGCTTGGTCGCGAAGCATCGGAACTGTGACGGTGTTCTGAATTGGGTCGATATGCTAGGAGAGGTGCGTGTGAATAGAGGCGCGCATCGAGCGGTCGGGAATGTTGAGGCGCGTGAGAGCGTCGCCAGCGCGGCAAGTCGGTGCTTCATAATCGGCACAGGGATGATGCGTTGCCCGAAAGGATCGGGTCGCGACAGGAATACACAAGAACGCGAAGACGTAGTTCTGTTGACAATTCAGCAGCTGTCAAACCAGGGGACACATGCACGCGACAAGCAGGGTTGCAACATCGACATCTTGGACGACGTCATTGCTTGTAATGAAGTGGCTCAGAGGTGTGGCTGCGTGGCTGCGAAATCGCCCTCATCAACATCAACATGTATGAAATCTAGCCGGTCACATCTCACGATAGAATTGATTGGCAGACGTAAAATATGATTACAGAGTCCCGTTACACCAGATTGAAGCGCTCAATATGAGCGGAATGTACCATAACTTCCTGGGAGGTTTTGGGGATAGCCCACCCAGTTGAGGTTTTATCTGTACCTCCTGCACCGCGCGGCAAGCGATCCATTGGAAGCACGCATAACACACTCATACGCATGTCTCCGTAATAGATCCTGTGAGATCGTAAGGCTAGTCTACCGCGAGACGTTGTCGGGCCTACAAAGAGAGGGGTTCACGAAGTTGTGCGATCGACAACCATGCCCAGGTGGCTTGCGGCAAAGTTTCTATGTTTAAGGTTTTGATGCTCCACGACCTCGGTGAAGACTAGAATCATTGTCTCGACAGCAACGGACATAGAGCTTCCAGACAACGGATAAAACATTATAACCGATTTTTTGAACTGTTGAACAGACGTTCCACGTACAATGAGGCGAGTGTTGCGGCTTTAGCGGAGATATTGGAGCCAACGTCATTATACCTGCGAAATAGTGCGGCCACGCTAATGCATCTGGCTGACCATCCTCAACGCGTAGCATACCGAACATATTCCGAACGACTTTATGGAAGTATTTAACAGAGTATTGTATGAGCAGTCTGTTCGACATCAAACCAGATCGAAGACTTCGACTCTACCTCTATCACACGACTTCACTCTCTTTAGCAAAACTTATTGATCCAACTCTATCAGAATGGTCAAGACATTTCAGTTCCAGGACGTCCAGGTCCAATCGCCAGGCTTCGGTTGTATGGGTCTCAGCTTTGGGTTGGGTACCAACCTGAGTTTGGAGGAAGCAGAACCTGTCCTTCTCAAAGCCATTGAACTTGGCTGCACCTTCTGGGATACTGCGGTCGTGTACCAGGCTGGTGTCAACGAGAAGCTTCTCGGAGAGTTCATCCGGAAGCACAATGTCCGCGACAAGGTCTTTAGTGAGTATACATCCGACAGCTGAAGCATATCGAAAGATGACTGACCTTTATTCACAGTCGCTTCCAAGTGCGGTATTGCTTGCCTTGATGGAGAGTCAGGTGTGACAAACAGCCCAAGTCACATCAAGAAATACATCGACGGTACAATTGAGAGACTTGGTTTTACTCCTGATCTCTACTATCTTCACCGAATCGACCCCAACACGCCTTTGGAAGAGTCTATCCCTGCGCTGGATGAGTGCCGGAAGTCTGGCAAGACCAAGTATATCGGGTTGTCTGAGTGTTCCGCTAAGACACTGCGGAAAGCAAACTCAAGTATGTGGAGTATTCCCTTAGTCTGCAGTCCGCTAACTTAGCAATCAAGTTGCCAAAATCGATGCTGTCCAAGCAGAATACTCTGCCTTCGAGACACTGCATGAAACCGACGGTCTGATCGACACCGCTAGGCAACTCAATGTGGCCTACGTCGCCTACTCCCCACTTGGCCACGGCTGGCTTGTGGATAACTTCGACTATTCCTCTCCAGACGACTTTGCACCTGACGACTTCCGTCGCTCGGTCCCCAAGTTCCAAGGCGAGAACTTCTACAAGAACAAGGCAATTGTCGAGGAGATTAAGAAACTTGCTAAGAAAAAGGGCTGCACAACACCTCAGATCGCGCTGGCATGGGTTGCTGCCCAAGGCATGATTGCTATCCCCGGAACGACAAAGGCAAAGAGGCTGGAAGAGAATTGGGCTAGTAGGGACGTAGAGTTGACAGACGAAGAGAGGAAGGAGATGAGGAAGATCGTTGACCAAGCGAAGCCAGCCGGTAACCGCTACGCACCTGCACAACAGGCTATGGTTGGGCATTAAGAGATTGGAAGGCGATGAAAAGAGCTAAAATCTCGAGAGTTGACGTTGCATGCTGTGTAGAGAGTAGTAGGTAGAACCTAACGAGAAACAAGCGAAGCTCTAATTGTTACCTCATGACGTGGATACGTATTTCCGGGCGTTATTGTATTCTGACGACGCCTCTCGTGAACGAGCTCTAGTCTCCAAGAAGCAAAGATGTGTAGACGTGTAGTGCATTTTCTCTAGCAGCCAACACCTGTCACTAGCGCAAGGGGTAGCCGCATGGCATCGCTTGCGGCAGACCGATGATCCTCCCCGCTTTCTCTCAGCTCGCATGGCGCAAGCCAGCTAGAACGGTTGTTGTTTGCTGCGTGGCGTCTACATTGTTAGCTATATTCATGACAATGCAGTGAACTTGGATAAAGTTTGCGAATGTCGAAATGCTCCACTGCAGCAGTCGGCGACGTTGTCTCAGTACTTTGAGCACGCAATCGACAATTTCCACCAATGGTCCGTTCAAAGTAGGCGGCCTTGCGACATTACCAGTACTTTTAGATCCCCGTCGCAGGTTTCAGACCTGCCGCGGGCCGTGGCGCATCGGATTGGAAAGCCGTATAGGCCAGCGCCCAGTATACTCCGTTTGGTTCCTGGTTGTACCAAACATGGAGACAGCTTGATGGCGGTACGGATAGATGGCAATCCGCATTAGACTCTATGGGGCCTTGAAACATCAGATCGGGGCGTTCGAGAAAGCACCAAGTGGAGTCGCGCAAGACCAAAAGACGCGCAATTGCTTTTGAGATATCGCGAGACGAGAAAACGTGGTGGCATGGTCGGGGGTCTGCGATCGATTGGTGTATCCTGGTCGATATGTACGACTCTCGAATGGGTCGTCGAGATGGGTGTTCGAGACAGAAAGAAACAAACAAGCTGGCTAGACGTCCTTGCTTAATAGTCTATCGAATCTGGTCCGGGCGAATATTCCCCGTGGGCGTACATTACCCCGGCAGAAGAAACGAGCCAATCAGCTCGCTCATAGCCTTCACTCCAGGTCGAATTTACGGAAAGCGATGCGTTTGTTATCCGGGGGTGGTGCGCAGACAGCCGTTGGTGCTTCGTGTTGAGTGTAGGTTGGAAAAGGAGCTCCTTGCGCTATCATGCGGCCTGGTGCCGAAGCGGTTAGACGCGAACCGTCCCTGGTGCCCCGGCTATCGGGTTCGCTCATGAGCAACAGATATCCACTGATGACACTGGTGTTACCAACATGACATGGATAGTCGCGTTCCGCAAGGGAGCACGACTGCAGAAGACGTATGCAGGTGAGCAAGCTGTGCATCGAAGTGGGAGGGCTGACGGCTTCACGATCTCCACTTGGTGCTATCAGAAATTCATTAACGCATCTAGGCGTACCTCCGTTAACCGTCTCATCGCTAGCTCCACCTTTATTTCCATACAGCGACCCTTCCGAAGATTTGACAAAATTCCATTTGCAATCGTCAAATTGCGCCTTCGTGTGCATCTGCCCAGCCACGATAACAGAGATTCGTCGCCAGATACAAGAGGCGACTTCCACATGTCGTAGTTTCGGGCGCCGGCCGGCGACCTCCGAGCCCCCTCAGCACTGATACGCCTAGGCTGCTGTGGCTGCCCGGGGAAAAGCATGTGTAGGCGCCAAGTTGAAGGTGTCGCGACAGGCGAGCTACGTTTGCCGGGAATTCACTACGCTCCCTGGCTTAAGGCTGAGGAAGCGGCCGGTCACCTTGAGCGCAACACGCCGAGGCATCCTAGCCTGCCGCCATGTGGGATCGCATGGGCTGCGCGACTAGTCCAACTAAAGCAGGGCTTGATCGGCCTGATATGGGTCATTGGTTCTTTGCGGGAGGTTGAACGCGACAGGGTTGGGTGTCGCCGCTGGTCCTTATCTTTTTGGTGCGGGATCATGCTAGATACACTTTACATCCGTCCAGACCTTGTGCTACGCATTCACCTTGACTTAAAAGCTCGCTTCGCCTTCACTGGCTCACTTAGCAGAGCTTGACGTCGATCTTCTCTCGCCGCTTGGTCGACTCCGAATCAACCGTACCCCTTCAACGCACAACAATTTTGCGATCGTCCCCGCGGTATCGTCGAAAAATCTGCAACATGTCGGGCTTCGTTCACAAGGCGAATAGCGCTGTCGCGCGCTCTATCGTCGGCCGGTACTTTCGCCTCGAGGGATCAGGTCATGTATGTATATCGCATGTCGATAATCGGTGCATGCACTAACAGCCCTATAGCCCAAAGAGCGCAAGGGAAGCTACTTCTTCACTGAGTTTCGCGCGGGGTTGGCCACTTTCTTCGCTATGGCCTATATCATCTCTGTCAACTGTATGTCAATTGCGGGATGTCATTGACAGAACCGCGTCTGATGACCATGTACAGCATCGATTGTGTCAGACACTGGTGGTACCTGCGTATGCCCAGGGCTCCCGGACGATCCCATCTGCGAGACCAACCCACAGTACGCCCTCTGTGTCCAGGAAGTCAGGCGGGATTTGGTTACCGCAACAGCTGCCATTTCTGCATTGACGTCTTTCTGCATGGGCTTGTTTGCCAATCTGCCCATTGCCCTGGCTCCTGGAATGGGTCTGAACGCCTACTTTGCCTACACCGTAGTTGGTTTCCATGGTACAGGTACGTTGCACCGATACGCCGTTTCCCGTTTCCCTTCTTGTGACACCGTTATGCCGTTCCTTAATCTGGTCGGCTTACCAGCGCCATGGGTCGTACCAGTTGATCTTCTTGGAACGTTGCTAATTGTTTTCTAGGCATGGTTCCGTATGAGGTTGCACTTACCGCCGTCTTCGTCGAAGGTTTCGTCTTCGTTGGTCTAACCATGCTCGGTATTCGACAGTGGCTTGCAAGGGCTATTCCTGCCAGTATCAAGCTCGCAACCGGTGTTGGTATTGGACTTTACCTAACCATCATTGGACTTGCCTACTCCGCTGGTATCGGTCTGATCACCGGTGCTCAGTCGACCCCTCTCGAACTCGCCGGTTGCGTTGCCGCCGACCAGGTTGATGGTGTCTGCCCAGGAGGTGTCAAGATGAGGAGCCCAACCATGTGGATCGGTATCTTCTGTGGTGGTATCCTGACCGTCATGCTTATGCTTTACCGCGTCAAGGGTGCGATCATCATCGGTATTCTGCTTGTTTCCATCATCTCCTGGCCGCGCCCAACAAGCGTTACCTACTTCCCACACACCGAGACTGGTGACTCAGCCTTCGACTTCTTCAAGCAGGTCGTCACCTTCCACCCAATTGGCAAAATTCTTGCTGTTCAGCAGTGGAACATCTCGGAGCACGCCGGTCAATGGGGTCTTGCTTTCATCACTTTCCTTTACGTCGATATTCTTGACTGTAAGTCGCATATTACTTCCACAATTTGAGTCATGTACTAACCCTATTAGGCACTGGTACTCTATACTCCATGGCCCGTTTCTGTGGTGCTATCGATGAGCGTACGCAAGACTTCGAAAACTCCTCCATCGCCTACTCAGTCGACGCTCTTGGTATCAGTATCGGATCTCTCATGGGATGCCCTCCAGTCACCGCATACATCGAGTCTGGTGCCGGTATCTCCGAAGGAGGCAAGACTGGTCTTACTGCAATGTTCTCGGGTCTCTGCTTCTTCATCGCCATCTTCTTCGCTCCGATTTTCGCATCGATCCCTCCCTGGGCTACTGGCTGCACACTGGTCATCGTTGGATCGCTCATGGCAACATCGGCCAAGGACATCAACTGGCGCTACTTGGGCGATTCCATTCCCGCTTTCCTCACCATTGCGGTCATGCCTTTCACATACTCTATCGCCTATGGTCTGATCGCCGGTATCTGCTCTTACATGCTCATCAACACCATCGTATGGATCATTGAGAAGGCGTCTTCCGGTCGCATCGTACCACCCAACAAGGATGAGAAGGAGCCCTGGACTTGGCGTCTCGAGGGCGGCCTCCTTCCTCCATGGATGAAGAGGCTCGCCAGCGGAAAGAAGAACTTCTGGAAGGCGGACCCACAGACTGAGGGTGTTGCAGAGCCCCGAAGCGAAGGTAGCTCTGCTCACAACGAGAAGGAGTTTGTCACGGATAAGCAGGCGTAATAGCTTCTGCATCTTCCTGACACTATTGTACCAAGTAGCTTGAGTGCGGTTTTGTGATATATTTATCTTGTTTTATATGGCGTTGTCGCGTCTTGATGCTTCTATGAGCACAGACGACGTGGGTAGTTTTATTCGTCTATACCCTCACTTGTATCTGATAAACAATCGGATTTGATTATGAACCTTCAAAACTTGCACTCTGGAAGTCTTGGTGATGTAAGTGTCTAGAATCTAACCATGCACCGTGAAGAAAGAAGGCGTCATGCAACAAAGCCACATCAGCGCACAACGTCAGCCGTGTTCGCTCGTGCAACGCTGGCTGTACGTCAGAGTCAACGTCTATTTCAGAGTCGCACACGACTAGCCACATATCGGCAATCGGTGCAAACGCCACATCGGAGGCCGGTGCGCGTCGCGCCGATGTCCCGACGCAGGGAAGCTCCGAGGTATGAACCCCTCCTTCAAGTATCTTGTGATACATACAAGCTCCGGTTCCGCAGATAGCACAACCTCATTACTTTCCGCTTCACCTTTTCTCTGTATAATTGACCGTCGTATCGCTTCAGGAGATTCACTCGATATCGCATCATACAGACAGATTACCATTCCAGAACTTGGTATAATTCGGGATTCCGAGCGCGGACATCCGGTGGCTTACGAGATCTTTTTCTAAGCAAAAGTGACTAAAAGTTCCCACGAGCTTCGCGCTTTGCAAGCAGACGGAACCACAAGTACCCGCGCTACTCTCCCTCGAAAAGAGTATATCAAGAGACGGCGACACCAGGCGACAGTAATTGAACAAGAGTCATACCCAGAAATATGCCTGCGGAACTTCAGAACGGGCTGCCAGCCCATGGTACAAATGGCGTAAACGGCAATGCGACGCAGCTCTCAAATCCTACACCAGCGCACCCGGCCTTCGACTCGATACCAGATGTCATACAAGCCTTTGGTACGTCTCTCCAGGTGTCTCCAGCCCGAGCGATCGCCCTACCCCTCATTCTACAAACCCTATACTGACGCGCCTCTTACCGCAGCAAACGACGAATTCGTAATTGTCCTTGACTCTCCCAACCGAGAGAACGAGGGCGACCTCATAATTGCCGCGTCCGCCCTGACACCTGCCAAAGCTTCCTTCATGATCCGCTACTCCAGTGGCTACATCTGCGCACCCTTACCTGTTAGTCGCGCCGCCGCCCTGCATCTACCGCAAATGGTTGCCGACAACGCCGACCCTAACCGCACCGCCTACGCCGTCAGCATTGACTCCGCAGACCCCTCTGTCACAACCGGTATCTCTGCCCAAGACCGCAGCTTGACATGCCGAATGCTCGCGGACCCCAACGCCAAAGCCAGCCATTTCAGGAGACCGGGACACATACTGCCATTGCAGGCAAGGGACGGTGGAGTGCGCGAACGTAGGGGACACACAGAGGCTGCTGTCGATCTATGCAGGTTGGCTGGTAAGCAACCCGTCGGTGTTATCTGCGAGCTGATCACGGACGGCGAGGAGACACCTGGCAAACCGGAGCTTGTTGGTGGAGGTATGATGAGAAGGGATGATTGTCTGGCATTTGGAAAGAAGTGGGGGATCAAGGTGTGCACGATTGACGACATGGTTCGTTACATTGAGGAGAACGATGGTGTGCTGGGCGCGACATCATAGCATGAAGCGAGAAGAGGGAAGCGGTGGAGATGGAATCTTTGAAAGACGTGGAGGTTCTAAGAGTGCTTCGGGGCTTGCAACTTCTTGGAGTTCTGCGACTTGTGTTTATGGAAGATCTGCAAGTGCTAGGAGTCCTTCAAAACTTGACGCTCTGGATGGCCTTAGCTCGTATAAGACACTTGAATCGGTCTGTTGTGGGTAGTGGATTTTGACGCATTTCTGGTGGGATGCCTGCTCAACTCATCTGGCACGGAAAAGAAAATCCGATATTGTATTAGATACTCCAATCCAGCGCAAGCTTTGAACATCTGAAAACCAAAGTAGTCTGGCATGCGTGTCATATTACGAGTGCTCGACAACAAAAGGACGAACCCATGAACCATATACCATGAGAGTAAATAGACATTGAAATCCGTTGTATAATATTGAATTTATGCGCCAGAACCCAGTAGCAGACCACCTCCCCGATACCAAAACGAAAACCCGCCATCATCCGGTCTTCTTGAAAAAGTCCTCCAGTTTCTCAACCGCTTCTTCCATATCCTCAACACTGATTGAAAACCGCATCCGAGCCCATCCAACATCCTTCTCAACCCCACTGAATCCTCCGCCGGGTGCCACCTTGATCCCACTCCGCAGCTCCAAGTCCTGAAAGAATGCTTTCTCGTCATGTATCGTCACGGCCTTTTTTGCCAGTCTAGCAAACAGAAAAAGACCATGCGTGGGTGCCACGAAATTGATATTATGCCGGCGGAGAAAGGAAGCAAGGATGTTGTAGGAAAGCGAAAGACGCTCGGGATTCAGAGCCAGTAAGGTGGGGAGTTGGGACCAAGTGAGGAGGGAACTGAGATACAGAGTTGAGATGGACGATGGGTGGGTGGATGTTAGAGCCATAGCCTTGAGGAGTGAAGGGTTTTGTTGTGATATGATGCAGCCCTAGATATCTGTCAGGCCTGGATCTATACAATCATGGAAAGGAAAAGACTTACTGCTTTTAACCCGCTCATGCCGAAGAGTTTACTCGCGCTCCAAACAACGTGAACTCGGCTTGGGTCTACCTTGACTGCACCCTCTGGTACGAATGGTTCCGTCAAAGACATGGCACTCACGAAACGAGGTGCTTTGCTGTCGACTCCGCTCACGCTAATGAGTGCGGACACTTCATCGCATATTAGATGCAAACCTCTCTCTTGACAAAACTCTATCAGCTCAAGTAAGGTCTCTCGCGGATAACATCTCGAGAGTGGATTGTTTGGGTTACAAATCAAGACAGCCTTGATGCGGGACTTCTTGTCTGAGAAGTCATATGCCGCCTGGAGAGAAGGGAGAAGGTAGTTGTCCCAATGTGCGTACGTTGGTGGCCTAGCGGCAATGACGTCGACTTTTGCTTTCCGCTTCAGGACAATCTCGAATCCTGCTGCATGTTGTTAGTCTTGGCTATCTACCATGTTGCGAAGGAGCGCGGAAGGAATGTTTGACGAGCAGCAAGGTGACTTACGCCAATGCGGACCAGGAACAAGAACACTGTCTCCATCGTCGCAAACAGCGTGGATCACGTTCTCAATAGCATCAGTCGCGCCTGCTGTAAGAACGATATGCTCAGGCCTCACGGCATGAATCGGATTGAAGTAAGTATTGAAGAATGAAGCTAGTGCATCGCGCAGCCGTGGATCGCCGCCGTTGAGCGATGCAGCAGGAGCCGCGAACGCCTATTGAGGTACGATTAGCGGGCTACACGACATGTCTCAGACACGAGTAACAAACCTCACTCGTGATTTTATCTTCAACAGTGCCTTTGAAGAACTCGAGCAGCTCTGGATGCAGGACCTCGTTTACAGCGCGCGAGAGATCGATAGTCGTGGAGAAAGGGTCGAAAGGTTGTTGCGGTGGGGCGCTTGCCGAAAAGGCTGGGAGAAGGTCCTTGAGCGTCTTCTGCGTGCGCAACGACAGTCCAGGATCCATAATGGACGAAACGGAAATATGGCGCGTACGGCGCATTCAGTCAGTGGAGTAACTACAGAGACACTGAATGCGACCCTGCAGTGCCGCGATATGCAAAAAGGTCGCATTCAGTCGGTCCTGCGCCTAGGGGGCATCCTGCGGCACAGTTGAATTCCCAATGGTTTGGTACCTGGCGCTGACGGCCTGCTGCATATGGACTCTTCCGGCCAAAGCTCCTAAAAGGGATATTGAAGAGAAGAACATAACTCCATTGACGGTGCTAATGTTCTATTGTGAAGGAACAAAGCGTGTGGGGAATCTCGTAAGGAAAAACGACGTCTGTCTCGACGCTCCCTCTGCACCAAGATAACTACAGAAGCCCAAGAGCCCGCCTTTTGTGTGCCTCCCAATCTACCCTAATCCCCATGCCTAGCCCATCACTATCACACAAGCACATACCAAAGCTAACCAAACGCCTTTGAAAATGCCTACGGATAAATGCATACAGAGCGCATGCAGGGTCTAAAACAAGCGACGAGCCGCGAGGCCCTATAAACGCCCCCGATTAAGTTTGCATGGGCCTGGATGAACATTGGAAAAAGTGCAGCAATTGAACCGTGCAGCTCAACACGACTGCTACGCCTACAAGAAATAGAAGTCGTTGGGTCGAGTGGCTGAGATCATTGCTGTGGCCGTCCAATACCTTGTTTAGCCTGGAGAGGTGTTAGCAGTGTCATTTAAGGGGGGGTTGGAAGAACTGACCTTCATCATTTCGATCCTTTGCTTCAGATTTTGCGTGACCTCTGCAGCGCGCTTCCAGCTTTCCGCACCTGAAGCTCCCGCTGAAGGTACTCGAGGAGCAGGTCCGTTCTCTGCCGGGCTCATACGGCCACGCGACGACATCGATGACAGACCATCTGCGCGCGGACTCAGCTTGCCACTCATATTGCTGCTAGGGCGAGATAGAGAATCAAAGTTCTCCTTACCATCGCCGCCTGGACTTCCAGGTCCGCTAGCAAAGCTTCTCTGCCTTGGGTGCATGGCTCGACTGCCGTATCCAGAGTCACCGAACATCGCGCCATTGGTGCTGCTAAGGTTGGCATGGTTATCGCTATAGATCTGGTCTCCAACGTCTGTCGCTGGTGGAGACGCGGAGCGCAACTGCCGACTCAGTTCGCGCTTCAACCTATCAATTTCGCGACGCTGGTTCTGTACTGTCTGCTCAGATGCTTCGAAATCTGAGCGTGCACGGACGAGCTGTGTCTCCTTTGCCTTGATCGAAAGCACATCGCGAGTGTGATCTTCGATGAGCTGAGCGTTCTGGTTCTGGAGCTCGTGAATTTGTGAAGTAAGCTTCGTTCGCTCGCCGCGCAGATCTTCGTTCTGTCGTCGTACTCGTTCAACCTCTGCTCGAAGCTCGTCAAGTTCTGCACGTTCCACCAAGTTGAGGCCGCTGGGTGCTTGTGGTGGTGGAGCCGCAGCAACAGGTTCAGCAGCAGGCTTTCCCAGAGGACGGCCTGCGAGACCACGACCGGCACCGAACTTGGGCTGTGGCAGCGGCGCTTCTTCTTCAGGAGGAGGCGAAACAACGGATTTTCGTGGCGAAGGAGCTGTGAGACCTGAGCCTGGCTTCTTCAATCCACCAAGCCTCGACGGCCCAGTCAGACCAGGTTTGGCACCCAGCTTGGAAACAGCGGGCCTTGAAGTCGGCTTCGGTTCGAGAGGTGCAGCAGGCTCTTCCACGGGCGGAGGCGGAGGTGCTTTCGCGGCAGGAGCTGGCTTCTTTACACCACCCGGGGCTGGTCGCTTGCCCATGGGCTTCTTCGTCGGTGGTGCGGCTGCCGCAGGCTTGGGTGCGGGCGCAGTCTTTGGCTTGTATTTAGTCTTGACTTCCGCAGCATCGAAAAACTCTTTGATTTTGGTTTTGCGGATCTCATCAAGTCCATCCAGATGGGCGTTCATGATGCGGTCTCCCATGATCTTCCAAAGGGTACCGAGCGTCTCAGCACCAGCAGCTCGCTGCACCTCCTGCGATTCGGTAAGTAGTTTCGTAGAGCCTTCGGCAATGGCCTTGGCTTGTTCTGGTGTCGGAGCTTCGCGAGTGTTCTTCAAGCATCGAATCAAGAATCGTGATGATTCAAGTTTGACCTGCGGATTCTTGTGCTTCAAAAACTCCAGAATCTCCTCTAAACATTCCTGGAAGGTTGTAGATGCGAAACAGGCATCCAAAGCAGCTCCGATTGCATCAGTCACGGTCTGTTTCTTCTCTTTCAGGCGCTCCATCATGGCGTTCATAACATCTTTGCGGTACTTGGCGAAGCTCTTCTTCAGTCCCTTGGCCAGCAGCTCAACACAGTTCGCGGCTGCAATAACACAGGCAATATTGGCATCCTTCATACTCTTCGCAAAACCGCGAATCAGTTCGTCAAACGGTCCTTCCGCTATCCTGGGGTGGTCGAGGGCCTTTTGCGTCTCATCGAGGGCTTCCTTTCGGTCTTTCCATTTCGAAGATGCCAGTTTCTCCGAGAAATCTTTGGGGATCTTTGCAAACACGTCAACGGCTTCGTACTCGGGCTCGAGATCAATGGCAGCCTCTTCTTCGTCTTCCTCCTCTTCGCCGCCGGGTGCAGCGACTGCAGCCTCCTTTGCAGCCTGTTGTGATCGTAGTAGGCGCTCTTGCTTCGGCGCGGGCTCGTCCTTGACCTTCTCAAACAACTTGTCGAGATCCTGCTGTTGGACGGGCTTCAGATCGTTCCAGAAGAGTGGTTTCATGGCCTCCTTTAGCCATCGGTAGAGTTCGACTGTCAATTCCTGCGCCTTGGCGCGAACGTTCTTATCCGCATGACCATAGGCTTTGGGAAGCACTTTGAGGACAGGCTTAGGCTCGATAGTTTTGCAGCCGTAGGCATGATATATCTGCGTGAGGGCGTCCAAGGTTGCGGCAATGACCTTGGGCTGCTTGTTTCCTAGCACTGGTAGGAGCTCTTCGATAACTGGGTCTGGCTTATCGGTTTCGATGTACAACATCAGCGCTTCGAGCGCCTTTTGCTTCGCTGCCGGTCGTGTTGACGGTAGGCCCTTTTCGGCGATCGTCGCAATGGTGTTACCCCGTGTCCTAAACAAAAATCAGCAATGCGCCTTGTAGAACTATGTGAAATAGTTACCGTGTGCAGCCCTGCTGTCCTGCTATGTCAAGGAAGGCGCATAGTGCGCCGAGACCTTCTTGTTGTGCTGCGACGTTGGAGTCACCCACGACACCTTTCCATATGCTCGCATCGTTTATGAACTGGCGCACAACGGGGTCTGATTCGCTAGCAGCAAGACTGAATTCTTTGGCAGCGGCCTCGTAACCTTCTTTCCGCACCTTCCAGTTCTTGTGGACGAAGCGATCGGGGAGCGGGAGCGAACTGAAATCTTCTTCTCCGTCTGCCATGGCTTGTTACGGGATATGACGAGTGTAATGCGGGGTTGTGTAAGAGCGCAGAAAAGCTGCAAAACAGTGAGTCGCGAGTGTTGTGGGATATACAGGACCCTGCAGCAGAGAGGCGCAAAGTACCCAAACAGTGTGTAGAGACACAGTGATGCGCGCGTGCACTAGTGGGCCTGTTGCGCTCTGCCTGGTGCGCGGAATAGGAGCGGCGGGGACTCACCAGATGATGTCAGTAGATAATGTTTTGGGTTGCTTTTTGCGAGACTGTCGAATCGCAAAGTCTCGGATAGCGATAACAGCGTGGTGTAGTGGCAGCAAGTATGTCTGGGCCTGAAAAGCTGCAAGTATTTGCTGTTGTTGTTCCCACGGGAACAACAACAGCGTCACTCCTGCCCAAGCGGATGATCCCTGCAACCACATGAATGCCCTACATGCAACCTCCGTCGACCACATAGCCCACACGCACACATTATTGCTTCGACACAATCGCTATCCTCCTGCTTCTTGCTCCCTCTCCCAATTCGCGACCAAGATACCCCGCCAGCCGCCCCTGCAGTCCATCCTCCGCTCACCGCAATTCCCCGCGCCCACCAAAAACCTCCTCCGCATCGGCCGCACAAGACTACGCAGCGCCTTGCGATAGTGCATGGTCCAGATTAGTACCAATCGCGTATGAGCTAGCTGTTCCGCCATGAGCGCGATATTAACAGACCGGCAAGCGGAAGAGCTGTGAGCATGGCAGATAGCGACTATCGCGGGAGTCACCACTGACAACGAGCCAGGCACAAGGCCATAATAGCATATCTGGGTGTCATAAACGCGCCAAAGACTGCCGAGGCTTTCCGGGAGGAAGCCAACATAGCCGACAGCTTCGACGATGCTACGCGGAAAAAGTATGAGGGGCTGCTGGAGAAGAAATGGACGAGTGTAGTACGGTTGCAGAAGAAGGTAGCTGTGCGCAAATACCCACACTGAAACACTCTGCTTACACCGTGCAGGTCTTGGAACTCGAGCAGCGCAACCAGAGCCTCCAGAGCGAGCTCGATTCCACCACGCCAACCTCGCTCATCAGAAGGAATCAAGACCCCACTAGCTGGCTGCCGCGAGCTCCAGCACGGCATACTCTCCAATCACATCGCTCGCCTATCACATGCGTCGCGTTCCACCCCGTTTTCTCGTCGCTCGCTTCAGGCTCTGAAGACACTACCATCAAGATTTGGGATTGGGAATTGGGTGAGCTCGAACGAACGGTCAAGGGTCACACGAAAGGCGTGCTGGACGTCGACTTTGGTGGCCCCAGAGGCGGTACACTACTAGCGTCGTGTTCGAGCGACTTGACTATCAAGCTGTGGGACCCCTCAGACGAGTACAAGAACATCAGGACACTTCCCGGACACGACCACTCCGTCTCTGCGATTCGATTCGTACCCAGTGGAGCTGCGGGCTCTCCATCGTCCGGCAACTTACTAGTCTCTGCGTCGCGAGACAAGACTCTACGGATATGGGATGTCACAACAGGATACTGTGTGAAGACGATACGCGGACATGCCGACTGGGTACGAGACGTTGCCCCTAGCTTTGACGGACGATGGCTCCTGTCAGCAGGAAATGACCAGACTGCCAGGTTATGGGACGCTAGCTCAGGGGAGGCCAAGTGCACTTTCCTTGGGCACGAGCATGTCATTGAATGTGTTACAATAGCGCCCCCAGTATCCTATGCCAACCTTGCAGCTCTCGCCGGACTCAAGAAACCGCCACCACTAAGCAGTTCTGCCGAGTACATTGCAACTGGATCAAGAGACAAGACTATAAAGATATGGGATGGACGGGGAACATTGATAAAGACTCTTACTGGCCACGACAATTGGATACGGTCACTCGTCTTCCATCCGGGCGGAAAGTACCTACTATCAGCTAGCGACGACAAGACCATCCGATGCTGGGATCTCACACAAGAAGGCCGATGTGTCAAGACTGTGACTGACGCACACGGACATTTCGTCAGCTGTATGCGATGGGCGCCAAATGTCATCAAGGACGTGCCTGTCAATGGAGACGCGCCCAATGGCGCAGCCAACGGCACTAATAAGAAGAAAGAGGAGGAGGCAGCCAAAGCAGGCATACGATGTGTAATTGCGACAGGTTGCGTTGATTTGAACGTTCGCATCTTTGCATCGTGAGGAGCGACAGCATTCAACGCTTTTGTCCGTATCGTTCAGTACGTGTTCTGCATAGGGAAGGTTGGATGTACAGGCGAAACGGCTTCCATACACGAGGCTCCATGAGTCCTAGTTTTTACGACTTCATGTAAATACCCAAGTTACGCGCCATGATAGTTTCTCACGCGTCATGATAAAGGCGCAAGTAGGAGAGGGGCATGCATATCAGGTTGGCGTCAATATGGGTGGGAAGACCAGTGATAGACCAATAACAGACACGCGATCGATACGACTCGATACACTTTTACCGATTGGCATGATATGACTTGAAGTTCCGTGTCGCATTGCTTGGTAGTAGTCAAGCGCATCAGCGTGCTGCAAACATGTTCGAAGCTGAGGCTCGTGTCTCGATGGAGCACTGCGGGTCCCACTTCGCGTGACGTGAGCTTAGTCACCAACGCGCTAGCGGAGCGGAAAAATTAGCCCCAACCTCCGATAGCTTAACTTTTCTCTCATCGACCTTCAACTTCTCTTCCTACATCATTACTGCTTTACACAGCAGCACAACAATGGCGCATCAACGATACAGCGAGATTCGCTTCAGTGCGCAAAACATCTACTGCTAACCACAAGCACTAATGGCTCTGCTTCCAGCATGAGTTGACTTTGGTAAGTACAAGCGCACCACCCTCACCTCATCCTGCACCTTCATGATGATTCACAAAGCCAAAAACAAATTAGAGTCTTTGACCTTTCGGGGAATGAAACTCCAACTTTTGCACGTCAGTCTGATCGGACTGCTTCCATCACATTTGTCTTCGACTTTTGCGAAAAGAGCATCGAGCTAACTAGCTTCAGAACTTCTTGACAACGCTAAGCGCACATGCGCAGCGCACTCTAGCTACTGTAGCATGCAGTTCTGTCATCGGCGACTTGAATGGTAAGCACGTCCTCGCCTTATTCCCCAACCCTCCAATGATGACCTGTTGTGCTACGGCACGCTGGAAATTACCGACCAAGCCTTCGGGCAGTGCCGATAAAAAATGGCTGTTTCTGATCTCTACTTCACCTTTACTGTTCTCCTCAACGCTGCTTGTAGCTCTCGCTAACATTACGCGTTTTACAGATTTATCAACTGGTACGATTCCTTCTTTTCGAACCCTTCTCGAATACCATATGATGATTCCGCACTGGGCACCGACAATTCTTGACGGATACGCTTATTATGGCAGGCCTCAGAAACCTCGCCGACTGATCTTCTCCGCCACATTCTACGTTCACACAAGCGTTGCTGAGCTTCGGCTAACAACTCAATCAGTCTGTTACTCGCCAACAGCCTGTGAGATGTCACTTGGTAAGCACATTCATTCTCACTACCCAAACCCTGCGAAATGATGAACACTTGATGACGAGTCCGACGGGTTCGCCCGGTGAAGACTTAAAATCAAAAATATCCATTCATGTCAACTGATCCATCGCCAATGCATACCATTTGCTTGCTCTTTCTTGGTAGAAGTCCTTACTAACTTGCTACCTAGACCTATTAGTGTTTGTCGCCCTCCAACCGGTACGCTCAGCGCCTTTCTCCTTCTCCGAAATGATGATACGACTTTATCAACGACAAGCATATGTCCAAGCTTCGGCGACGACGAGAACTGTCATGTCTGATCCACACATACATCGCCTTGTTTCATGAAGCCAGGATACAACAGCAACTGATGAGTTGCATAGGATCGTCTACTACTACTGTAAGCGTGATGAAATACTTGGTAAGTCTGCTACCATAACCTTCACTTCCCCTTATAAGATGAACATTCAATTTATCACGACGGTCTACCGAGCTACGGCAATGGTGATAACTGCCTGTGACAGGGCATGAGTCTGATCAGCACCTTCTACTTGCACATAGTCATTACTCTTAGTGTACCAAACGCTAACGACGTGCTCAGACTATAGCCTCACTTCTGTGACCTTCGCGCTGGTGATGCCTCGATGCTCAACATGCGTGTGCCCATTGTGGCAATGCTTCTTACAAAGAGATGTTATTCATTCAATAATGTGTGCCTTCTCCGATGTCCTGGGTCGCCCTCTGCGAAGCCAATGCCTTGTTTCTGCTACGGAGACCATGCATCAGCCACTTGAAGCTCATCATGCCAAACGCCGAACATAGTTCATATCCACCATACAAATAGCTCAATACAATCCAATCGTAATATCTCCACGAATCCTTGCCGTCAGGTGAATCTCTGCCTCCAAATCCAACTTGATACCGAGTAGCAATGCAGCGTCCTTTGGCTTGCCATTGTCATCCACTGGGCCCTTGATGATGTTTCCGGCCGGTCGGTTGAGTGTGGCTGAGGATGGTACGGGCCCAACCTTCGAAGAGACTTTACGGCCACCAGAAGCTTGTCCGTCACTCTCAGTGTCGGAGCCGTAGGCTGTGGGACGAATGGTGGAGTCGCTGATCGAGGTTAGCACATGAATACTCTTCCATGTAGGACCGGCTTACAGGGTAGACATTTTGATAAAAGGTTGAAAACGACGAGGAACTAATATTAGGTATTAGGCAGATGCTTCAGACTGGGCAGGCTCCGGGCCGTTGCTGAGTGTTGTTGGTGGATGGTAGGGATGAGATGCAGGTCGACTGTACTGGCCTTTATCGAGTACCATATCTCTGCCTTATATGTAGAGTCACCACCAAGTACAACGATAGCATAGATCGTTATTCTTCGCCACTAGTCGCTGTCGCGTTAGATCCTCGAAACGACTGTTGTGGCACTTCTGCGTCTCACAGTCACTGCCATCGTCCGAGTCTCGTACCAGCCTCACTGCGGAAGAAGAATCCAGGGTCCAGACAAGATGATCAACCATAGTCGCTTGGACATTGTGGGGATATGCTATGCTTGTTGGCGGGGCGGTTGGGAGGATGAAACACACAGGGGGTGGTGAGGCTCAAGGCGAACGTCTCAGCTTGAACATGGCTGCTCTGTCGGACGAGCATCAGGCCATCGGAATCACGACGCCAAGTCAGTTCTACTAAGCTATGGCAACGCGCATAGAACGAATCGGTTGTAGTCCACAAGCGATGGTAACTCGGGTGGATATCCGTGCTGGTCTATCCACGAATGCACTACCGTAATGCACCACACTCAGGATGGTGCTCTCAATCCTCATCGCTGCCATCGTAGCCCCAGGTTTACTTGGCTCACAAGAAGCTATCCGACAATCGCAATCTAAAGAGAAGAGAGAGGAGCACCGTGCCCGTCGCTGCAACCTCATCGCAACATGCGTCAAGTCATCACATCGCAGCCGAGAGATAGACGGCCGCCAGGTCGTCTTGAGAAATGGAAAGCTTTGGATTGACACAGGCACTGAGGATGGGAGCCCACTAGGCCATCCCTACGCTGGATATTACCTACCTTATCCTGATACTAATCACGAAGGCCTTGTCACAACAATCACAGACGTTGCACCGATCATGAACTGGGTGTACGTCGACAAAGAGACCGGGGAAGTCAAGTACGGTGTTCGCGCAGATGCTCAACCAAATCTCACTGGTCCGTTCGATTGCACGCGACAAGATCGACGACTCACATTCGATGGCTGGGAAGGATGGTGCGCGGTCGAAGAAGCGCCAGGTCTTTGGGGTCTATACTTTGACCTCGGTGACGACGGCCTAAAGTCAAGAGTCGCTCCTGGTACTAGGGTGTTGGAGATTGAATTGAGTAGAAAAGAGAAGAGGTTTCAAAAAGAGGCGGACATTCGACAACAGGATCAGACGACGAAAAGGGCCGTCGATGCGAAAGAGGATGCACCAGTCGATCAGCCGCTGGCCGCAGAGGCACTGGTATCGAAGCCGGGGGTGGTCGACGAGGAAGGAAGTCAAGGCAGTGATAAGCAGGAGTCGTATAGACCGATGAAAATACCGCAGTCTATCTTTGAGGATCCACCTCCTATGGTAGAGTCATTGGTGTTCAGACCTGTTACGCCGCCACCAGCATATTCTCCTACTGTAGAGGAAGATCCGAGAACATTGGACTCGACATCAAAACCAAACGTAGGACCTGCTGAAATATCTGGCATGGGCCAGATCAAGAGCTCACCAGGCATTGGAGGTTCTCTGCCTTCTGTCACAACAGAACCTTTGCCTACCGAAGCGCAGTCAACGAGCGGTGAAGAGAGTGAAGTTATTTTGAAGCAGGAGGATGTTGCACGGACTCAACCAGCCTCAAGTCTTATCGATGACAAGAAAAGTACACCAGAGAAGGCAGACTCCCCACCCGCTGAGCAGCAATCCCCATCTGTGAGCGAGAAGCGAATTACACCCAAGCTGAACAGAAGCAGCGGCTCACGAGCCATAGCCCAGGCTCAGAAGTTCGAGGCTTTGGCAGCAGCTCAAAAGCCTGATTCCAATGTTCGAAGGCGATCAAACGAACGTGGATCTCGTGCTAATAGTACTACTTCTTCCGTGTACTCCAACGAAGGCGAGTCACTGAGCACGCCTGGGGCTAGCGTACAGCCTCAAGCCTCTCCAACACCGGCACCTTTAGCGCTGGCAATCTCGAAAGCAAATCAAGCGAAAGCACTGGCAGCACGGTCGCAACCGTCAGATCCTTCTATTCAACGGCCTATAACACCTCCACGCCAGCGAGCACCTTCTTTACGACAAGATCCGGCCATATCGGGAGCTCAAACTACGGCAAGCTCAAAGCCGATCATATCTCTACCACGTCGACCAAATCCTTCCAGGTCAAGTCCCAGTCCAAGTGCGACCTCACAAAGATCGACTTCCCGACAAGCAACACAAACGTCTAGCCAAAATCGCCAGCAGAGGGAACGCTCTATCTCCGGGCTATCATCATCCTCATCGAGAGTCGATAATTCTCGCTCGTCGCCCAGGTCTTCATCCATAACATCTGGACGGCAGTCCCTTGCTCGTACTATGACGAGTGGAAAGGGCAACCAGGGCATGAGCAACAGGATCGGTGGTAGTCAGGGTAGGGTGAATGGAACGTCCAGACAGCCTGCTACTGTTGCTAGAGGGAATGGAAGAGAGAGGTCGGCGACTAACAGTGAGAGGAAGACTACGTCAGCATTGTTCAGGGAGATTGATGATCTTGTTAGTTTGGAGAGTCAAGATGGGCAGGCGAAGAGATGAATTGATGTGAGGCCAATATTCCGGTCTTAAAATAACAAATAGACCTAAAAGATTCTTTCTAAATGCAATACATTCAAAGACAAACAGAAATCCGATAGGTGAGTTGAGATGTTCACGTTGATGCAAAGGGGGGCTAAGCGTCATTCCTGTCTTTCGTTGGCCCGCTTCCTCCAACATTACAGAACAACCTTCTCTTTCCCACAATATTAGCACCCATGCACAAAATCTTTGAATCTGTCATTTACTAATTTGTACGCTGCACGTTCCTGTATGCGAAAGATCTGCCGGCTAATCCGCCCGCTGCATCCCTGACCAGCAGATGTGAAACTCGACCCACCATCGACCGACTTGCTCCTCGCAAGTGCTTCAAGTTTCCGACACGTTTTGGCAATATGTCGCAACCGATAGTAATCACGCGAGAACATAGTGGCATGTATCATGTATTGTTTGAAAGAAGATATGGTAATGCTGTGATGATGGTAGTAATGTAGTTGGCCGTTGAAAGCTGGGGTAACTACCTGAGCGTAATGAGTACTGCGTACGACCGAGTGTGTTCTTGTTGAAATCTTGAGCCCATCGAGTTAATACTTTCTCGCGGCATATAGCCGTTCTTTTCTTATTTGTCAGCTGATACAATCGGTGGATGCTTGCCTAGCGAACGTATCCCGAATACACCTTCTCAGTCATACGTAGGTACTAAGAATCTACAATGGATGCATCTACACGACTCTACAAACGCCTGGGCGAGATACCAGAAGATCCAAACGACCCCGATAGCCTAGACGACCTCATAGTGTGCGCATTTGGTGCTTTTGAACGGTACTACGTTTGTTGGAAAACTAAGGGTGGAGAATTTAAGCAAGGTGCGCATACCCAATGTAGCATGAGAACAAAATGGGAACTGACAATTACAAGATGGCTACGATCTTCCTCTTGCACTCAGAGACTGGCTCTATCCCACGGACGGCACGACACGAGATTTTGCGTCACTCCAAGTCGTTTTTGGACGAGGGGAAGAATATTTCGCGTCTGATAAAAACGGGAAGTTGGAGTACAAGGAGCCAGAAGTGAAAAAGCCGGCACCGGTGGAGGACGAAGAGAAGCTTGATAGACAAGCACTGAGAAGATCGAGAACAGTGTCATTCTTGCGGCCCTTGTCGGAGACAAGTGTACGGTCTGACGGCGGAACAAGCGACACGAACAGGAGTAAGCGATCGAGTTCGATAAGCTCGCAACGAGCCAGTCGACCACCCAGCCTAAGTTATACGAACTCACGAACGAACTCGGAAATATCACTGCTAGGAGAGACGATCGTTGAGGGCCAGACAAGCCAACTGACACGACCTTCATATATATCACAGTGGACAGCTCTTGGGTCGAGTGTAGGCGAGTTGAAGCAAGTGGCATCTCCATCAACGTCAGAGCATGGGATATATGGCGTGCCAGTCGTCGAACCAGAGCGCGACAAGGTACCAACAAAAACAGCATCCCCAGCATCAGTAACGAGTAAACCACCGTTGCCACCATCGCGGACTGATACAGCACCAAATGCTACAACAAGACAGCAGAATTTCCAGGCGCAAAGAAACGTCACGTCAGACACTCCACCGTGCACATGCGGCTGCCACACCTCACCGTTACCATTGCCACCACAACAAACCAGACCTACCTACGTTACGATCGCAACACAAACATCACCTCTACCCTCGCCACTTTGCCCGGAAACCTCGAATACCTCCTACTGGCCCTCACAAGCGAACTTCACTGCTATACCTCAAGATGCAGCTTACTATGTTGACGAAGACTACGATACACCGCCAGTTGTCATGGGACGAATGTCGACCTACTTTAGTAAACCAGGGTATCAGCTAGGAGACAGTTTATTTAGTGGGTATCAGCCGATTAATTGGGCAAGTGGATATGAAGAGGTGGATGACTTTGGTGGGGAAGGTATGAGATAACGGACAGAGTGAGGTCTGAGTTATCGAATTGAATGTGGCAGTGTATGATATTCTGAAGCTTTCTTGCAGTTCAGCGTTGATGAGCAGTTGGCGTATACCCTCTTAACTAGTTTCTGTCAAGTATTATATATCTTATTTTTCACAGATGGGTAGAACCTATACTGGTGAACACGTGGGCCATTCCTGTGAGCTGTAGCACAAGGATTAGCTCTTGAGATGGTCGACCCACGAAGGCTACAGTGGAACCAAGCATGACTGGACAAGCATCTTACTCTTCGTCTTTCCACCATCAGGGAGCATCATAGCAGTGAAGTGTACTACGCTCCTTTTACACGAACCCCATCACATCTTACATCCGGATATAGACCTGTCGCGCAACGTTCAAAGGTGCCTCAGTCAACTTCAAATACCCATTATCAGAATCAGCTGCACATATCCTATGCACGCAAACAAGTATACTACACCGCTAGTGAAGCTATTTAGATCCATCGGTATCCAGCACTAAGCAAGGCGTATACCCCTTTGCAATATGCAGCTTACCCACACAACATCGACACCGCCATTCGTATCCTCGTTTATCAAGAATCCATGCTACACGCGGTAAACGCGCCGCCCATCCTGCCGTGTTACGAACAAGCCCACCATCAACCGTAACGATCTACTTGAAAGCTGCACGAACGGAGATTTTCCGCTGCGCAGGTGATTAGTACACCCGACCATGCATCCGCAACGTCGAACTAGTGTTCACGGTGCTTACCATTGATGATCTCCTGGTCTAAAGTCGGAAATGAAGTTTCCTGACACCAAACTTCACATCTCCGGTGATTGCAGAACCGCGATGACGTAGGTCGCACTAGCATTACCTAACCTACAACCACGCAAAATGCAACCACGGCAGCTGCCCGGGCATTTGCATCTACCAGTAGGATTGAGGATTCAGATAGGGCTACAAAAATTGATGCAAAACCCACAAACTCCACATCACATGCGCACCCCATTCGCAACGAACACGCAACTGAATCATACAAAAGGTTGGCGATCGTGGAATCCAAGTCGTTGTGTTACCACATGGGGGAAAGTCGGTGGGACCTCGTTGACTTTCGCCTCGGTTCAGACAACACAACACGAGACTTGACATCATTTCGAACCGCTGCCAGTTCAGGGCCTTTTTCAGGGTCCCTCCGACCCTCCGAAAGGTCCGAGATGCGACCAGCCACTGAGGACAAAGCCGACGGCCGATGCCGAGTTAGCAGGTTCAGGGATCGTCGATCTTTGCGTCTGGCAGAGTCCCTGACACTTTGTCAAGTTCGACAGACGACAACTTTGGCGACTTAAGTTTTTTTAGATGGCTTCTGATAACCAGTTCGTTTTTGGATATGCCTTAACGAATGGACTAGTTATCTTTCACTAGCGCGAATACGCGTTCACCCCCGCAAGCATGCAAACGCCAAACCACGGGAAAAGTATCCATCATCCAAGCGATGCAATGCACAGCGTCTAGACATTCCATACAATCTTCACATATTGCTATGCTTTACTCTCAAGTAGGAAGTCGCTAGGCGGGCGCGCCCGCGGCTACGAATCCATGTATTGCATGCGTGATTTTCGCCATTGGAACGCTTCATTGAGAAGCGAAAGAGGGTACGGTTGCAGGTTGATGGTCGGGTCAAATGAAGGGGATGTTTATAAGTTGACAAGCTGTCCATCTCTATAAACACCATCGTCTTCTGTTTGTTCATGTTTCGTTGGGATGATACCCGGAAATGCCTAGCTTTATCGTGAGATGTTGAGAGGAAGTATGCTTCCGGAGATTACGAAAACATGTGAGCACACTCAGCGCAGGCTTCTGGTTCGCCGAATCGAAGCTGCACTTCGACGCTTCCACCATGGCGGTTCGTAAAGCGTAAAGGAGGCTGTGCACTGGGCATGCACAACAACATCGCTCTTTGTTTGTGCTGTGCAGCGGGCGTCGGATCGCGAACGCATCAGTCGTGGGGTGACATGCTCGTGGTCATGCCGCTCTCTCAGCATTCCTGGCGGCTTGCCCAGCTTCAGGCTGCTTGCCGCGCTCAGCGAATAGTCCTGTCCGCAAGTAGCTACCTCTGGTGAGGTTGCGATGGCCAGTGTTTAGCCTTGATAGCCTGACTCCAGGCCGCGGCACATGTCCTTTGTGCATAGCATCGCGAATGATCACATTCAACAATGGCAGCCGCCAGGAGCGCTGTTGCGCCGTCTAGCGTACACATCTTGTACCCGTGAGACGACGTAGTTGTGTTACATCTGTGGCTGATCATCCACACACATCATCCTCGTCCACCTTTGATGCAGGACCTTGTAACCGGGTCCGACGTGGGATCTCTCCAGAGCATGCGCGTCCAAAAGGTTAATCACGGTCTTGCTAGAGATAGCCCCCCATGCCGACCGATCAATGGAAACTTGGAAAGTCAGCGAAAATCTCTGCTGGTTGGCGCTCCACGCTTCGCATGCAGGGCGTGGGCGAGGGCGGGAACCCTGAAAACTCGTTGGATTGGCGGAGATGCGGATTGGTGGAGGGACTACAGCGAACCTTATGGCCGTGCGGCACGTCCTACGGTTGAAGGACGTCACCCGGCAACGCTCGAGGCGTCCTCTGGGACGCCTCAATTGACAACGACGAGCAGATGGTGACGATGAAGACACGAGTTTGTTTTTACTTTGTTCTTATTTCATTGTAGGGCAGACGTCACAACGCCGAAGCCCCGTCTATACTTTTGCGAAATCCCCGCGGGCAAATCGCCCAATCATTGAAATCACCACCCAAATCCATCCCATTGTATATACGGATGCTTACTTGCTCGACCATCAAATGCAACAAACAGTGATGACGCGAGCTATGTAAAAACGGCCTCAAACGCGCATAAAGCGAATGGTTCGGGCCAGGTCATGGAATATACACAGGCGACCGAAGGTCAAAAAGGGTAGTCGTGAAGACTAAAAGAAGGTAGGAATAGAGATCGCCTAGGCGTTGGTATCATCGCGCACCAGCAGCGTCATCAGTCATGGCGTCATCAAAAGCAACAGCAGCTGCAAGAGCTTGCTGTTCCTTCGCAGGCGTCTAAAACCAACCGTTGTTGGCATAAGAAGATAGATCAAAATTGTTCATCGCGTTGAAAGCACCATTGGTCTGATCTAAAGGCCATGGGTCCATGGGAACAACATCTTCGAAATTGCTAGGCATCGAGATTGCGGCTGTGTCGGCAAAGTCAGATGAGGCGGTACTCGTCATAGTTGCTGGCGCAGCAGTAATGCTCTTGGCATAGATAGGATCGAAGCCGATCATACTGGACATGGGCGCTGCAGTGGTCATTGGCAACCCGTTCATAGGTTCACTCGGGACAGCAGTGCTAAACCGATACGCAGGAGTATCTTCCCAGAAAAGCGACTCGCTGGCAGCCGATTGAGGAGCCTTGTTGAAGTCCAGATCACCGAAAAGGGCAGGCTCTCCGATTTCTGAGTGCGCAGACGAAGCTACAGTGAGACCAGGGCCGCTCTGTTTCGATTCGCCGCTGTGTGAAATCGGCTGAGCCAACTCGTCGTTGAATTTGCTCGGGTCCAGTGGAAGATCAGTAGCAGACCAGACGTGGTCAAACCCAGCGGATGCTGTTAGCCAGTCGTTATCCATGTTTGGCAGACAATCTTGCGATGGCGAAGTGGACAAGCTACCCAGACCGAATGTGCTGTTCACTGGTGTCACGGTGTCGGCGATCCAAGGCCACTGCTGGGTTGAAAACGTGTCGCTTACGTTGCTGTTGGGAGACTCGCCCTCCTGTCCAAAGACGCCAGGTTGACTACTGAACATGTCGTTGAAAGCGAAAGTGTCGAGGCTACCACCAACGTTGGGAGTCGTAGGCTTGTTGGAACATCGCTGAGTAGATCCAAACATGGTGTGGAAGTCGTTGTTCGATAACGAAAGCGTGTCCATGGAGCGTGTAGTGGTCGGCTCTGGCTTGCTGCGAGCAGTCTTGTCTTGCGAGAGAGCAGAAAAGGCGGCATGGCCATGTAACGTATGCGGACGAGGGATCTTGTACGGCAGACCGGAGACGTGGGCCGAGTTGTTGTTGCGATGACAAGGCTTGTGGTGGCCGTTTGCGAAGACGGTCAAGTGGCTTTCCGAATGCGTCGCAGTCAACTTGGGTTTCGCGCGAGCATCGTGGAGTGTCTGCCGGGTGGTGTCGACCTTGAGATCAACGTCTTCGTTCTTGGTACCACATAAGCACTTTGCGCCTGAATGGCACTGGCAGCGGTTGTCGTGAGCTAGAGTAACGTCAGAATTGTCAGGGACGGCCAAGCCAGCTATGAGCTCACTCTTCGCGTCGCCTTTGTCCTTGTGCAAGTCCTTGTCCTTCTTGTCGCCACAATCGCACTTGGCGTGGTGGGACTTGGACTTGCGCGCACCGCGACAGTGTTCGCATTGCTTGACGGGACGACCTTTGGGGTTGATGTGGTGCAGATCGCGATCTTCAGGACAATATTAGCACTGGAACGTGGTCAAGTGTCGCACTGTGCGAGCGACATACCAGTGTGGTTGCAACCGCTCACTCGATGGCCCTTGATGCAGGACGAGCAAGCCCATTTCTCGCCATCGATAACAGGCATACCGGGGCGATAACGGCCGAGTGCGGTCGTCGCAGCTGGCTACGAGCAGCTGAGTGGGAGCGTTCCAGGGAGCCAACGGGCTAGAGAGGATGAAACAGGACGGAAATAAGGCCACACGCGAGGTGTGAGCGAATGGATAAAGATACAGGGAAGAATAGTAGGGTTGAGAATATGCTAGTTCAAACGCCAGAGGGTATCTTGGTCAATGGTATGCTGGATTGGGACCGTGAACGCCGTGGAGGAAACCGAGGACGACAGGATGGAGTGGAGAGTTTGGTGAGGATCAAAGGGGAACCGAGCGCAAGAGGCGCTGGCCGAAAGCGTTAGACGGAGCTCCTTGGGTACGACCAGACCAGTATACTACGTGGTGTTGTGCGGGTGAGGTAGTGATGAGAGGGAAGAGAGCGAGCGGGAGGAACAGGTTAAGAGGAAGGCACACGGCGCTGCGGTGCGTGTAATTGGCTGTGGAGCTTAGCGTCATCGGCAAGTACGCTCAGACCTCGACGCTCGAATCTGCAAGCGCGATCAGCCATCATGACGGCGGGCAATGCTGGTCCCATCGGGTTAGCGCTCGAATCCCACACTTGCATGCAAGCCAGCAGCACCCTCTCACCGCATAAATCCTACCCTCCGCAAGCCCGCTGCCGTCCTGAGCATGATGACCCGCAGGCTTTTTAGACGATCCACACCGCGACGACGCGAGGCCTGCGACGGACGCTGCTCCTCTCCTCTTTGCTGTGCTGGCCTCGCCAGCCCGCCTCTAATAATGCGGGACTCCACGCACGGCATGTTTCAATTGCGGCCGCGATTCGCTTGTCGAGTCAGCGTGTTTCTCTTGCCGCGACGGCCGTAACTCAAAGCATCCGTCGCCCGTTGCCAAGTGGAGATCATCTGTATTGTCTGCGTCGATAGCGTCCAGCACATATAGAACCGGAAGCAAGCCTATCCATTACTTTCAGGTACATTGTCCGCTTGTATATTTCGCCTCAAAAGGCCCGGTCGCAGAGAGCGCTAGGGTGTGTGTTGAACACCAAGCAATGTAACTGTGGGAGGACCGCAAAGTAAATATTAGATCCAACACAGTGTCCAGACCTTAGAACCGCTGGGCATAGGGTTGGCATAATGTTTTTGAAACGGAACCCCATAGTCTTCTCCGTGGGGTATGGTACTTTGTCGGTGTATCGCACTGCTCTTGGTGATCTCGCCCTCGACCCGATGCTGCAGCCAGCCGTCGCCGAAAGTATTCATAGCACGTGTCGTAGGACTCTAGGGCCGCTGATCTGCGAAAGCCTCCTCAGGGGAGTAATCACCGGGTCTGACATGAGGTTATTTCGGTGTCAGCATTATACACTGAAAAGGATACATTAGCCTGATCATGGACGTTTTGGTAAAAAAGCTGTGGTGCAGACGTCCAGCGCATGAATGCAGTGATTCTAGAAGTTTGCACCCCTCAACAGTTTTTGTCAAAATACCGTCTTTTACCAATATGCACATGTTCACTAGAAACTTCCTGGACAGGAGTTAATCGTAGTGTGCAGGTGTTTGAAGTCGGCACTGAGCATATGCACGTGGGAACCAGCGCAAGGTAGATGAACGTGATCGATGCGGTGCAGCAACACTGCAAGAAGATTACAGAAATCTAATTAACCCAGCAGTTCACTAACAAGTGCAATGACAGCAGCCGTCAGTTGCAGAATGTGGGCACTTCTGATGATGGCTGTGCATGGTGCTCCCACTGGCCGTCCCGGAAGCGCGTACGGTGGAAGAGATAATCCGAACAGCGACCACGTCGTCACCGGCCAGTCAGTAGCTTCCGATCAACGCTGCAAGTAGTAGACATTTCGGTGTCTCAGTAAACCTACAACCACCATAATGTTGTTGTCGCATTCACCCAAGTCCACCATGATCTGCTCTCTCTTGCCATGGTCCACGCTAGCGCAAAAATCGCAAAGCTCGCACAACCCTCTTCGTCGGCCTCTTACACAACACGCTCCTCGCGCTTTACAACATCGAACCTCTCGCGCGATCGCGCAACAACATTGACCCGGCGCTCTGGATAACTTCTAATCGACTTCTTTCTTGTTGTCTTGGAAACGACGCGCTGAGAAATGGCTGGCTACGCGGATCCCGACACGCAAATGGGCGGAGGACCAGGTCAATACGCAAATCAGAATGGCACACCACCGGCGCAGCAACACCAGTTGACGGACCCCGAACTGCGCCTACAAGAGAATCTACAGCAGCTGCGTGAGGGTGGAGACATGATGCATCCAGCCGGTCCGCAGCAACCGCAGTACCAACAGATGGCTCATATGGGACCCGCCATGGGCGCGCATCAGCACTTCGCAGGACCGACACGCCCAACGCATTCTCCGCAACAAATGGCGCAACATGTCATGAGCATGGAGGGACACCACGATCCGTACGATCCCAACGACCCGAATCGCAAACGATCCAAGGTGTCGCGTGCCTGCGACGAATGCCGAAGGAAGAAGGTATGCGATGCCTCTTCTTCCCATACAAACATCGCTTACGGTGTGTAGATTCGATGCGACGCAACCAGTGAGAACGGCCCGGAAGCTTGCTCTAGTTGTAAAAGAACCGGCGCGCGCTGTCAGTTCAGCCGTCAACCCATGAAGCGCGGACCTAGCAAAGGGTATGTCATATTGTTCTCTCAACTTGGTGCGCATGCTCACACTGTTCAGTTACATCAAGGAGCTAGCCGACCGACTCAATTCGCTCGAAAGCCAGATACATCATCCTCCTGCCCAGTCACACAACTTCGATTTTGGGACCCTGGGTGACCAGTCGTTCCCCGACACCCAGAGCCCCCCGCAATTCAAGCGCCAGCGAACTCACTCGATGACAGATGGATTCCACGACGCTTTCAGCCGACCCAACTGGACTGTTCAGGACCGCGGGAATAGCGGATCTGTAGACGCACATGGTCTGCCTGTGCTACCGGACCAAGAATCGTCACTGAACGGCAATCGTCGCACTTCGTTTGGAGACATGAGTCTAGGCGGCAGCTTGATTACTGGCTCCCACGAAGAGATTCTCAAAGCGTACGCATACCTGCACCTTTAACTTTTTACCTGGCACTAAACCTTGATTCAGATACTACAACATCATTCACCCCACACTACCTGTCTTACCACACCACGAATCACAATTAAACCGCCTTACAAACTGTCCGTCGAAGCTACGGGAGGCATTTTTCTTGTCACTAGAAGGCTGCATCCGATCTATTGCCTCGAAGGCTCTGCCGCCTATCGAGATCAGCCTTAACCAGCTGCTACAACAATGCTTTACTTCTGTCGATGCGGCCAACTATTGCCTCCACGACACAGACAGCTCAAGACAGTTTTACAATCATCTGGTATACTGCCAGTCAATGATTCTGCTTGCTGCAGCGTCTGACAGACCGAGCCCAGGCGCCATAGGCAGTACAACAGGACTACTGGGCCGCATCTCAGCCTGTATTGCTGACGCAGCGATCAACGACTCGAGGACATTGGCTGCGATGAAAGAGCAAGACCTTGAAGTATACCAGACAGCACGTCGCGTGTATTGGACTGCATTGATTCTAGATCGCTTCCACGGCTCTAGTCGATCAAAGGACATGATGATTCGAAGGTATTCCGGAACTCTTTCGCGCGATGACTACACAGCTCTGGGCGAAGTCGGCTACTACCTTGCCCGTAAGTACAAGCTTCTGTGTTTCAGAAGCACTTGACTAACACTTGTGAGGTACTGCCTTAATTGTCGGTCGAATAGCCTACGTGAATCGCGCGGGAAGTGTTCCAAATGTCGAATCATCGGCTCCTTTTGCCTTTTCAGCACTCAAACCTGGGACCGTGGAATCAGAATATCTCAACGGGGCACTAGACGAAGTCAAACAGTCTATCGATCTGACTACTTTGACGCGCAACTCCCCTCCTCACTTGGCGCATCAGTATCTCAGAGTGTTCATCGCGCGACTGTCATTGCAAAACATACCTTCTGCGGAGGTTTTTGAGGCCACCAAGGAACTGCTCAGTAACTTGACAAGCGGCGCGATAACTCCTTTGCACCACATTTTCGCCGCTCTAGTGGCTACGTCTCTTACCGAATTGGCCGACCGAGCCGAGATGCAAGCTGAGGCGAACGCAAGCATCAAGGAGATGAACGACGCGCTGTCGAACGGTCAGATCATACATCGCAGCTCCGATGGTCTAGGCTGGGAAACAGCGATTGGGGAATTGCTCCAGAAGAAGAAGTCTTCTACTCCCCCTTACACTGGTCCGGAGCAAGCCAGTCCTGCGCTAGAACCCAACATGGCCGGACTGCAACATCTCGCTGCAGCTGCAGTCGGAGAACGTGAAGGAACTGGTGATAACCGTCCTGGTAGCTCTTCTCAGCAGAAGGTCGACAATGACCTCTCAGCTGCTATGGCTGCTGCTAATGAGGCAGCCAAGGCGCAAGCCCAGGCGACTGCGGCAGCAGCTCAAGATCTGTTCCACTAAGCAAAACAAAACAATCTTCTTCCTGTAATTGATATACCCCCTTTTGTTGTAGCTGGTAGATAGTCTGACGAGACTTACATCACATTATAATCTTATACGCCCTCCAATCGTCACATCGTCTCTAGAGAAGCTTCTGTTACTGAACCAAAGCGTCGTTACTGAATATTTCCTTTTCTTCAAAAACAAAAAAAGGTATACGTGGTTATCTACATCACAATTCTAATAAAATTAACAGGGTATACCTTCAGGGTGCGTCTTGGTGTTGACAAATGCAACCCCTGCTCTCTATATATACGCCAATTGCGACCTCGATCTCATGCAGCACTTTCTCATTGGTCGACCATTACAACCCCCATCTCCCGCCTTCTAGTGGCATATAACGCTTCGTCCTCTTGCTTCAATCGATCAAGCACTTTCTTCATCTCCGGGAACAGGATCTCGTCCACGAAAGATTGGAGACTGCCTTCGTGTGTGTCATACCGGGCATCGAAAAGAGGTACCATTTCTTCTAAAACATACGTGAGATGAGCGTCTTACTCCTGAATTCGTAGTAGTTCGGCTGGAGGACATCGCGGTAGAGGATATCGCGGTAGAGGTTGATACGAGAAGTCGGTTGCGTCAGCTTTTAAAATTCCGTCAAGATCGCAGCAAGTATGGCGTATTTCCAACCAGGAAAAGATACAGAGCCGGATGAACTCGGTGACGATCCATCTATTTGTCACACCGTCGGCCGCTCTTGCTACGCACTGCACAATCTCTCGGGATTTTTGGGGAGCCATTTGTTTGCAGTAGCGCTCCAACCAACTTTCGGAACGCTGGGAGACCGTGACGCGTCCTGGCTTCATATAGGTCAAGACGTTTATATGGTCGTCAACCCAAACATCTGCATGCTTGCAGAAAGATGTGATGCTATTACATCCATGCATACTACAGCTGCATTCGCAGTCGTCTGTGAGTGTATGTTGAAACAGATCTGCGACTCTGTCTAGAATGTCTTCTGATTTCGCTTGGCCTGTCTCCGAGGTGAAGCGGGTAGCTGCTTTTGCGCTGATACAATGCAATGTAGTAACCCTCGATCTCGGCCAGCAATCGGCCAGGTCTGCTCCTTTGGAGAGAAACCAATCTACCATTTCGAAGAACTTGGACACCGAATAAGTCCGACTAGTGCGATAAGGATAGTACATGATCGCGATGTGCAATGGTGTGGGGGAGTCGTTTTGGCGGCATTCGATATCCACTTTTGCGATGTCTCTAAACCCGGCATCGTACAAAAAGTTTAGAGTCAGTAGTGGGTCTCTAACCCCTAAAAACACGTCGTTGTAGATCATTTTGACGTTGTAAATGTTCCCAAAGGTCGGCCGAAAAGAAGGTAGTAGCTCAAAGCCCTGTTCATCAAGTGCACGTAGTGCACAAGTGGTATGGGTGTCTAGTAAACCTTTTGATCTAATCGCACATTCACACTCGACACCATACAGCTCCAGGGTTTCTTGGATCCAGGATCTCTGCTCGACCAGATTCGTAAGAAGGATCTCTGCGATGTTTGCTTCTGACGTTTTCAAAGCCCATACCAAGGCACTTTGTAGGTTTCCGATATCTGTGAGGTAACCCTTCGTAGCATGTTCGCGCTTTCCAAGCCAGAACTTTACCATCTCTTGATTTCGAGAATATAAGGCTTTGAAGAGAAGGCACCGATACCACAAGTCATCTGACCCGTTCCCCCAACCCTCGGGTACTTGTGCTACATACCTGAAGCCTGTGTCAACAAGAATCTGGCAGCCACGTACCCAACCCATCTGAGTTACCAATTTGTAGAGTTCAGACCCTTCTTCCTGCTTCAATACCTCTTCCGGGTGGCGTTTTTGTACAAGTTTACTAAAGTCCGCTTCTGATCTCAACAATGCTGCTACAGTTGCATCACTGCAACCAATGAAGGAGTCCGGAAACTCATTGAATGGAAGTAGGTTCCAAGAGATTATGTAATCAATAGGATAGCTTCCTGGTGATATTTTCAGCCCATGCTGCAAGAGATCGGTGATGAATGACACCCATAGATGATCGACGCTGGCTATCCGCAAAACAAAGTCTAAGCATGTTCTAACGACACTGAATTAGACGTTATCGATTGATTCCATGTTTGTAACTTACTTGCCATTATCATTGGTATCCGATGCATCCGCATAAGACATGTAGCGTAGTAAGTGATGGGCGATCGATCGATGTTCTTCGAAGTCGTACAGGAGTATATTCAAACGAAATCGTACAGTCAATTCGTGGCAAAAATGCTCTTAGTCCTCAGTACATTTGCAAATACTGAAATAAACAAGATCAGAACTCACGTGTAGAAGCGTTGACCCATCTATCAAGCGGTCGTGTGGTGATGCCTCACGTGTTTGGAACAGTTTTATCAGCTCTGCCGAACTATCCATGGGGGGAGGGCCATAACTGCGATTGAACATCCTATCGATTAGCTCGAACGCCGGGGAATTCCTAGAGACGATTCGACATGCCGACAAACTTGGATTAACCGAAAATGTGCCGCTTGCAATTGACAACGTCATGAAAATTCGAAGCTTCAGCCCAAGGATAAGATAGCACAGTATCATTCCGAAGCTGAAGTTCACGTCGTGAGTCCCAGGTATCCAGAACGGGCAGCTGGAATCATGAAAATGCAATTCATTCAGCGACACAACAAACGGTGTTCGTACGAACTGTTTCTTCTGACGACGTTCACGGCATGAACATGAATTAAGAGGATTTAGCTTCTTTTTTAATCGCAGACGGTCCGTTCGTATTCTTCGCTCGAGATTTCGAAAATCCGTGACATCTTCTTCTAGATCAACTGCAGACACTGTCAATAGCGAGTTAGGAGGATCATGATGTCTCCCGGGTTTGGATCCAACTTGAGAGCGAGAGCTGAATGAGGTGTTCTGAGTAGAAGAACGATCATAGTCCTGGAGGAGGGATTGGAATGATCCCTGGTGTCTTCGGTACCCAGAGATCTCTACGCCTGCATGCTGGTCTATGGTCTGCTCAGCCAGAATATTGGCATGTCGCTGCTGGTCAAGGATCATTTGAATTCCAGTACTGGTATTGAGGGAGAGCCGATCAAGCTGTGCTTGTAAAGTCGTGAAATATCGTTGCTGCTGATCGCTAGGAAGGGTTAGCTCAGATATTGTTACGACGTATGCGGGGAGGTTCATTACGTTTGCGACGCGAGCAGAGCGGTCTGCAGGCTCTGTTGGATGCTTGCCAGAACATCTTTCCAGTATCTGATATCGCTCTCTTTGAAGGGATATGTCAGTCGTTTAATGACGTTCCTAGAACGTGTCCAGAACCTGACGGAGCCTTTCACTGGCGGGACGTTTCCAAGTCTCGATCTGATCACCTCAATAGCCCGTACGCATTCTTGGATGCTGTTCCTAGTCAATGCGGTGGATGTAGTAGGGTCCAGTCTGCTAATGATGGTCTCCAGATTCTCAAGAAGGTTCACCAGTGTGTCCAGTTCGCCGGTGATCTGTTCAGCCTTCGTCCTCGCATCTTTGACAATGTTGGTGTACGTGTTCAATTTGTCAAACAGCTGGATGGAGAGAGAAATGACACCAAAGATGGTGCCGGCCACTTCGGCCATGAGGGGCGTACGAAAAGTCAGAAGGTGGGATGAAGCGACAACCAGGAAACTGGCAAGATAGTTGTTTCTGCCTGGAGGCGCAGCACGGTTATGCGACCTATCGCAGATGGCCACTCATTGGGGACAATGGTGCGGGGATCGGCTCAGCCTTGGACATTCTCAGCCTTGTGTGCTTTCAGCCTGACTTAGCTACGTGTACGCTGAGGAACTATAGGCCAAGCCAACACGGTCAGCATCAAGGTTCTCTGCCAGGCTAGATACGAATAGCAAGACGGTGTGGCGCGAAACTGTAAGGACCGGGTTGTACAGCGGATTCCCTCAGCGCAAGTGTAAGGGTGACGTCATTCTCCTACACCAATCTCAATTGTGGTGGATAGATAAGTTTCAATTTGCACCTTCCTTCGTTTCAAAGCCAATCTCATGGTTCTATTACCATTTCGCTACGATGAAATCGTGTTGTTAATTACGTTCCGAGAGGGATGGAGCTTATATGGATACAAATAACCGGCGGAACAACTCTACTCAAGCGATCGCAATACGATTGGACTGAGAAGTACCCAGGAAAACACAAATGTTAGGGAGCGTCAAGGATTTGAGACGGCTACAACAAACTTGCAATAGTTAGATACCTAAATCTACAAGTTGAAAATACCTTGATGAGAAGTAAGGATCCACCACCAGTTATTGGTTCAAAGAACTTGTAAGTACAATCCTACAGAATGGCACACCACAAAGCACCCCCAATCTACCCTACCCTATCACCTGAAACTACCGATCCTTTGTGCCCGATTCGTTTTCCAGCCCGAGCAAGCCATGTTTCATTAATGAACAAGAGGAGGAGGAAGAATACGCCGATGCTTATAAGGAAGACCAACCAACAGAGCAAACCCTCCACTAAACGAATTCGCCTTTTCTCTTTCGACGTCAACTTCGAAGCCGTGTCCCTGCCCAATGAGTTCTGGGCCGTCGATGTTTGGTGCGTTTGGTAAGCTTCCAATGAGCGATCCGGCGGAGTGACCTCTGTGTTTAATCCAGACTCGATATCGTTGCTTCCATATGTACGGTATACCGAATGAAGGGAAGCGTGGACGAGGCTAGGAGTAACGGGAAGATATTCGATGTGTGTGGAAAGTGGATTCGGTCTGTTCTGAACACGTGGTGCAGAAGTAGTGTAGAGAGGCAGATCGGAAGCGGTATAAGGAGGCGGACTTGGAGTGGTGTATGTGGATGGATTGGAAATGTTGTTGGAAGTTGGATCGAGAGTGCTGTAAGATGGCGGGGGATTGTTCGGCTCGTTCATGTTGTTGGTGGACATGGCTGGATTGTAGTTGTATTATGCTTGTGAAGACGCACTTAAGTTTTTGTAAGATGAAAGATGAAGAAGATAAAATTGAAAAAGACGATATTTTAAACAGTCGGATCTCCGTATTGTGGGTTTGCCATACGCTGGTATAGCGTACCGTGGTTGTAATAATCCACCCAGGCATCGCTTGTGGCTGTATATGCCAGAGAAGAGGGTCCAACCTACTGGAGTCGATGGATATAATTGTGATAGAATTTGTATTGGGAGCCTCACGCCGACGCACAATGGCCGCCATCCACTCTCAGGTCGGCGCCCGTCATGAACCGGCTGCCTTCCGCTAATAAGAACACTGCTGGGGCTTTAAAGTCATCTGGTACGCCAAGTTTCCCAAGTAATGCGCCAGCCATCCATGTCTTCTCTACATCTGGATCCGCTGCGAGGAGTTCGTCGGTCATCGCAGTTCGGATGTACTGCGTATCCAATCAGTAAAATTCCCATATAATGTGATGCGAATAGCCTTACACCTGGCGAAAGCGTGTTCACCCGAATGCCGTATTGACCCCATTCTTGTGCTAGCGAGCGACACATTTGATGCACAGCTGATTTACTGGCGTTATAGGCTGTGCAGGTAAGACCCTGAGATTATGGTTAGATCCACTAACACATCCAGCTGATGGGGAAGTCCTTACCCTGTTCGCAACCTGACCCGACATACTAGCGATGAGCACAATTGAGCCACCAGTACCCTTGTCTTTCAATATCTTCGCTGCCCTCTTGACCGATATGAACGCGCCTACCACATTCACGCGAAGCATACGCTCAAAGTCCGAGGCTTCATAGTCCAGCGCTGGTACCCTTTGTTGGATGCCCGCGCATGCGACCATACCATTGAGTGGTGCACCTCGCTCGTCTCCCTCTTTTGATATCTCCTCCAGGATTTGGGTAACCTCCGCTTCGCTAGTGACGTCGCATCTACGGTATGTCGCTGAGGTACCGAGTTGATTGGCAAGTTTCGTCAATGCCTGCCATTCTGTGTTGCTTGGTTCTGGGAGGATATCTAGACAAGCCGCATGTCCACCAGCTTCAACCACAGCGAAAGCAAGAGTTATTCCAAGTCCACGTCCACCTCCTGTGATAGCGACTGTCTTTCCTGCGAGGGAGAAGAGTGCTGGTGTCTGTGCCGTCGCTGACGTTGTAGAGGAAGTAAGTGCGCTGGCGACGCTGCTGATGGCTGATGGACTCATTTTGCTGTTCGTAGAGTTGGTCTTTTTCAAAGATTCAGAATCGCTGCAGGAGAGGATTTAAATGCCGAGTACTAAGGAACCACAAGGCGACAGCAGCTTCTATGTATGCCAGGACCCATGGGGTGCACATCGACGCGTATGTTCCCCGCATCTGATAGTATAGTTCCATTTGTGGAACTGGTGGGTTGAGATTTCATCGTCACGGCTTCAACAAGGCGCATGTGTGGACGGATATTGGTGTTGATGGCTCAATTGCGGGACCGGACTTCGCTCAGGGTCCAGATGTTGCCCAGTTTGACCAAACAAGCAGCACTAACCGCTGCCAAGAAGGCCGAAGTCGTGAGCATGGTGGAGTATCTAGCTGCGCGTGTAGCTGCCGAATCAAGAAAAGTATTGTTTATAACTGTCGTCGTGCAAGTCTGAACACGAACAGATATCTGGAATAGATCTCAAAGTCCCTTCCGAGTGTAGATTGTGGATAGAACGAAGAGTCCGAATCTACTTTCTCAATCATCAGCGGTGTGTGTATGATACACAACTTTGCTCCTACCCGCTCGAACCTGTAAGTCGAAATGTCGGGTTCCTTTCTTAATTATTTCGTGCTGACATTTGACAGGCATGCGGCAACGGAATGCAGGGAAATAGGTAGAGTAGGAGCTGTGTGGATTGCTGTACGACTGTTATTCCGTCCTCTTCGTCCCCCGCATACTCACTCCCGAATACACCGCCTTGGTAACTTCCCAGGGTCCGTCTATCACTGCATTGCATCGCATCCCACAGTGCATACCCTCGTACCCTGTACCCCAGCTTCCGAAACCACCGTGTTGGGTAAGTAATGGAAAACCATCGATTACCGTCAGGATCCGGTGCCCCTCGGTGCCCCTCGCGCCCTTGGCGTGTGCTACTCGATACACCCTCATTAGGCAAGTTTGGAGGAAACCATCGATTGTCTCTGCCCTTTCGTGCCCTTTTCCACCCAGCCGCATACTAGCAGATAGCGGTCTGACCAATGATCGCTTGATGCAGCTGTGCCCGCTGTGCCCCTTGGTGCCCCTTCATGCAAGCCACATGGAGCTTCGAGTTACTCTATACAGTAAGTTCCGCAGCAACCGTCGATTTACGTGGAGACAGCGACAATGCATAATCGCTTGTTCAAGACAGTCCTGCAGGCCGTGTGTGTTGTCACGTTGTACCGCTGCAGGCGGTGTGCGCGCACGAGACCCATAGCGACGAGGCTGAGTGACGTCTTTCTTCCGCGTGCGCATGAGCTTATCGAGCATACGAGTCGTCTCCGGGACCCGCCGCGTTTGCATCCCACCTTTTCGCAACGACACACCTCTCCCATCATGATACAGCAACCCTAGATCTCTTTTCTTTCCTCTGTTCGCCATTTCCATTGCATTTTAGCGGTTGCTTGTTTACCTGCGCAAAACTTATGTCTTTCCTACGGAACTCGATGCGGCGCTTTCGCCGCACGCAGATACATAATGTCGAGACGATTAAATCGCAACCGTTGGCAGAGCTTTCCGGCTCGCTGGGCGACCTCGGAACTCTGTTACCGCTTATGACTGCGTTGGTCTTGACGAACTCGATATCCTTACCCTCGACATTGCTATTTACCGGAGCGGCAAATATCCTGACAGGCCTTGCGTTCGGGATACCCCTGCCTGTGCAGCCTATGAAAGCTATCGCAGCGGTAGCTATAGCTCGACAGTTTACCATGGAAGAGAACGCCGCCGCGGGTCTTGTTGTTGCGACCTTAGTAGGCGTATTCAGTATCCTGGGCCTGATCAACTGGGCGAACCGCGTTACACCAATCCCAGTGGTCAAAGGAATTCAAGTAGGAGCAGGTCTATCGCTATGCTTGAGCACCGGAACGAAGCTGCTTTCCTCACTAGAGTGGACAGGTCCTTGGTGGGGTGATAATCTGTTTGTGGCGGTTGCAGCAGTTGTCCTCTTACTGTTCACTTTCCCGTATCCTAGGGTGCCATATGCCATGATCATCTTCATAGTGGGTATCCTACTATCATTTGCATCTCCGCAAAGCGAAGACGTTCACGTGCCACGTGCCGCGATTCCCATTCTTCATCCCTCTAGCAAGGATTTTCTGAAAGCAACGACAACCGCATCTCTGGGCCAACTACCTCTGACGCTCCTCAACTCCGTCATTGCAGCATCGGCGCTCGCGTCTGACCTCCTGCCATCCCCACCGTACCCAGCTGCACCTACGGTTACCGAGCTAGGCATTTCCGTCGCTGCGATTAATCTCGTAGGTTGCTGGTTCGGAGCCATGCCCGCCTGTCACGGCTCTGGAGGATTAGCGGGTCAATTCCGGTTTGGCGCACGCAGCGGTTCTAGTATCATCTTTCTAGGAATCATCAAATTCGTACTCGGTCTTATCGCCTTCTGGAAATCATCAGCCATTATTGGTGTGCTTCACAGCATCCCCAAGTCACTACTCGGTGTCTTAGTCCTCGCTGCTGGCGTGGAACTAGCCAAAGTAGGTGAGAGCATCAACACGGACGCTCGCGATCTTCGCATGTTGGACAGGGACATGACATGGGACGGCAAGAGAGTCAAGGACCTTGATGAGCGGGACAGGAAGGACAGGTGGATGGTCATGCTTGTCACTGTGGCTGCTCTTCTTACCTTCAAGAATGACGCAGTTGGTTTCGTCACTGGACTAGCATGGCACTGGGGCTTTGTGGTTGCGAGAAGGATTGAAGATCGGAGGACTGGACGCACAGAGGGTCATGTATGGAGAAGTGTTGGGCATAGCCGGGATGAAGGTGCTGGATTGCTCGCTCATACAGAGTCTGATACTGTTGCGTAGATGAACATTGCCAAGAACCGTGGTCATTTCCACTAGTTGTCTCAAAACAACCTCATAACATAATGCATCCTGACAGCTGGCTATACTTCACATTCACAAACACATCATGTTAGAGCCAAAGTATTTTGAAGTTCCAGTCATATTCCAGTCATATCAACATAATGGTACGCAAGTTGGCAAGCGGACCATTGTTGGATTAGGTGAGTGTATGTACATACATGTAAGAAGTAAAAAACAAGAAATGCTTGATGAGTGTGCTCAGCGCTTGAGCGTATGAGAAACAGTAGATCTAAGTCTTGAAAAGGTATAAGGCCGATATCAGCGAAAACATCTATCAAAAAAGCCAAATGAGAGACAAAAAATGAAAAGGCGGTTAAGCGTTGTGCTTATGCCTTCTCTGAGATCTCTTGGGCTGGTGGTGTGTTGGCGCCGGTGATGGAAGCGTATCTTGCGGTCTCAACATTCTTCTCACCATCGGCGTTTGAGTTGCGGCTGCTACCAACGTGCGAAGGCTGGTCAAGCCTCTCTTCCTTGATAGCGCCACTGTGTCCACCGACCTCCTTCTTGTCTTTCTTGTCCTTCTTGGTCTTGGGTACACGGACAAGGTAGTAGAGAAGGAGAGCGGCAGCGATGTTGAAAATGACGTAGGCCCAGAGAATACTGTAAAAGAGAGTTAGCAATAGTTCATTTAAGCATGTCAGAGAAGGTTGGCTTACCCAAAGTTGCGCCATACGGTGGAGTAGCTGGAAGAGATACTAGCGAGGAAGACGTTGGTGTCCTCAACGGCGCAGAAGTTGCAGTTTTCAGTTGCTTGGGGGTTGTGCATCTTGCCGCCAAACGACGCTTTCCAGTCCGCGATGTATTCACCGCAAGTTTGGTTCGGGCGAGGGTTGAAGTGAATCAACTCGTTTTGCGCACATTCGACTACACTGTTGGCAAGACCAATAGACAGCATGCCAGACACCATGTACGTAAAGGGCGAAAGACGGTACATGAAGATCCAGAAGCGAGGGAACGTGGAAGGCTGAGCGAGGACACCACAAAAGATGAGGCAGAGCGAGAACATCAAGTTGGCCAAGTTACCACCAGTCTCGGCGGAGTCGAGACCAGCGATAACCATGTGCGTGAATGTAGAAGTGAAGAGCAAGAACATCCACGTAAAGAGGAAGAGCTGGAAGCCACGGAGGGTAACGGCGTCGGTATACTCTGCGTTCTTGTACAGGCCAATAGGGTAGTACCAGCAGAAGAAGATGAGCACAGCCATGAGGGAGTTCCAGGGAAGTTCGACAACGATGTTGGAGATCATGAATGCCTTCCACGAATACGCCTTGGAAGGACGTTCGCGGACCTCGTACAAAGCACGCTGGGTGACGAAGTGAGGCATGATCTGCTGGACCAACTGACCGAAGATTGTCATCAGCATGAAGATACCGAACATTTGGTTCTGGAGACCCGTCTGAGTGTTGGGCATCTGGAAGAGCGAGAAACCGATGAAGAGAGCCGAAAGAACACAGAGGAAGGTCTTGGAGTAGATGTACGAGGGTGTGCGCCAGTATTGCTGGAAGACACGGACCATGGTCTCGCGGAGTTGAACAGGGAAAGGAGCGGCAAACTCGCGGAATGCAGCCTTGTCCTCGCGCTTCTGAGCAGACAAAGTACGCTGGAGAGCTTCAGCCTGGCCACGTTCGGATTTGAGCTCAGCAAGATGGCGCTTGACTTCACGGAATTCCTCAGAGTTGCGCCAGGTCTGGTGCCAGTCAATATCTGTGTGTGAACCGGGAGCGGCACCAATGACTTCCAACATCCATTCAGCAGGGTTAGCGGCGGGCGGGCAAGGATGACCTCCGTTGCGGACAAAGTAATCGACCAGAATCTTGGAGTTTTCACCGACCTCTCCGTAGTAGACGGTACGTCCACCACGGGCCAGGAACAGAAGACGATCGAAACGTTGGAACAACATGGCACTGGGCTGATGGATAGTGCAAAGAATAGCCTGGCCGTTCTTCTTCAGCTTGTCCAGAAGATCGAGAATAGCCCAAGATGTTTGAGAGTCCAGTCCAGAGGTTGGTTCGTCCAAGAAGAGAAGAAGAGCGGGCTTTGCAGCTAGTTCTACACCGATAGTAAGACGCTTTCGCTGCTCGACGTTGAGACCTTCACCAGGGACACCGACAACGGCGTCAGCATATTCGGTCATCTCCAGAAGCTTGATGACCTCCTCGACGTATTCGACCTTCTCTTTACGAGAGACGTGGGCTGGCTGACGGAGAACGGCGGAGAAGGTAAGGGCTTCACGGACAGTCGAGGTGGAGAGATGAAGATCTTGCTGTTGGGCGTAACCTGAACATGACGTTAGCAGACGGTCGCAGAAAGGGGATCAGTACAGGAAAACATACCTGTCTTGCGCTGGAAAGAGTCATCGCGAGGCTTGCCGTCGACCAGCATTTGACCAGTAATAACACCCATAGTGGTACGTGTAGCCAAGCAGTCGAGAAGCGTCGTTTTACCGGCACCAGAGACACCCATGAGCGCAGTCAAAGTACCGGGCTTGACCCATCCGTCAACGTGGTCAAGAATGCGGCGGGGCTCCTTCTTGATTGTGATGTCGTAGCAGACGTCCTCCCATTGGAAGATGGCAGTTTGGCGTTCGATGATGGCAATGTTGTCGGAATCGTTCTGGGCAGTGACGTTACGTCCGGGAACGGCGGCCTCAAGATCTTCTTCAGATTTGCTCTTGGGGGCAGCTGCCTTGTGGCCACGACGGAAGACAAGGACTTCACCCTTGGACTTCTTAGCAGTGATGTACTCAGTACCAACAAGGTAGACGCCCATGAGACCAAACATGAAGGCCCACATGATACCGAAGTTGCGCCACTTGTTCTTCGCATAGTAGTCGAAGGCCGAGTTGATGTAGTCATCACCGTTGACGAATGGCTGTCCAGGAACAGATCCGATAGTCCTGCAGGCTTGTTGAAGGCCAGAGATATCATCGTAGCCAAGACCGGATGGGAGGAAGTCGTTGCACTCAAAATTTCTGTTGTGGAATTCGTTCACCATGAGGGCCTCAAAACCGTAGCTGACAGGGTTGATGTAACGGATCCACTTGGACCAACCCAACATGTAGCTAGGAGGAATGGCAAAACCAGTGTACATGACAAGACCCAAGATGAGGATGGCGGCGGGTGCCAAAGCCTGGACAAGGGAGCGAGAGCAGGCGGCAATGGAACGGAAGAACATGGACATGACGAGCGTCAATGTGAAGGAAATCAGGATGAAGAAGAAGAAGTTTCCGGGTTCTCGTCGAAGGTTCGTCATGAAATACAGGACCAAGTTGAAGGTGATGGCGTTGACAATCTTGTACGGCATATCGGTCAACATACTGGCAAAGGCCTCGGCGGACGGGTGGTACAAGGCGTAGCGCGAGTGCTTTTCGACAATGGGACGTTGAGCGTAAAGGGTCAGAATCTCGAGGGCGGAACCGAAGGCGTTCATCAGGATAGCAAAGAAGAGAAGAGCGGAGCGAGAGTAGAAACTGGAAGTGGTCGATGGGAGGTTGTAGAAGACGGACGAGATGATGAGGGCCATGATGGAGTTGGCGACGAGTTGGGTGACGGTGATACTGGGATCTGCCTTCAAGCGAACGAAACCTCTCCACAAGCAAAGCTTGACTTGCTGGACGTATGAGAGAGTGTAAGGCGACTTCTCACGCTGACCCTTTGCCTTCTGAAGCTGGCGTGACTCCTTGAAGCGCTCGGCAGCTTCGCCACCAATGGGGTACTTCTGCTCGTAGGCTTCAATGTCGCGTAGAAGAGCTGCTCGCTCAGGAGACTCCAACCAGCGCTGCGCGAACTCGTCAGGGGTGCGAGGAACACGGTCCTCGAAGCCCTCGCGAACGATGCGCTCCAAAGGACTGGTCATGGAAGTCAAGAAATCGGCATCGGTTTGACGGTCGGGGCAGTGGAAACCCATGTTGACGAAGAAGGCCCTCGCCTCAGTGGTCTTTCCGAAGAAGATCTGGCGACCCTCGTAGAGCACGAGTGCCTTGTCGAAGAGGTCGTAGGCAGCCTGAGGCGCCTGGTAGATGGCAACACAGGCAGTGGTGCCGTTGATCTCGGTTTCCATGCGGAGGGTTTTACAGAACTCGATGGCGTTTGCGGAGTCGAGACCTCTGGTGGAGTTATCCCAGGCTTGCAGTGGCGCTCTGCTGAGGGAAGCTTCAGCGATAGTGACACGCTTTCGCTCTCCTCCAGATACACCACGGAGGAAGTCGTTACCAACACGGGTGTTGATAGTGTGAGAAATTCCGTACAGGGCCATGATGACATCGCGCTGGTGCTCAGCAAATTGCTGTACACTGACGCCACCAGGGATGTTCCTCGGGCGACGTGCTTGAGCAGCAAAGTAAAGAGTCTCTCCAACGGTCATCATGGGGAAATGAACATCGACTTCGGCAGTGTAGATGGCTTCACCACGGTAGTTCTTGTTCATGAGCTCTGGGCTGACACCTGGTCGTAGTCAGTAAAAGGGGCTACTATATCACTTCAATTGCGAACGTACCCTGGTAGTTAATGTGCGAGCGTTCGTCAACGAAGAAGCCGTGTGTCTCTCCAGTGATAGTCTTGAGGAAAGTCGAGCAACCAGATCCAGGAGGTCCAAGAACAACCAACATCTCGCCAGCCTCGACCAGACCATCGCAGTGTTGCAGAATGTTAATCTTGCGACCCTTGTTACCCATGACTTTCCTGACGAGTCCAGGTCCATCCAGCCACACGTTACCAACACTCTTTTGGTAATCAGTGTCGGCTCCGAAACCGTGAACGTTGAGGTCGCGGAAAGAAACACCAGCAGTTCGTGTAGGTGGTGCATTTTCGTCGTTCAACTGGAGGTTAAGCATAGCCTTCGTCCATGCTCGTGCATTAAAGTGCTCGCCATTGGGGTCTAGCGAAGAATTTGGTGCTGCGTTGAAAGGGTTCTGGTTGGCTGAAGACATTTGACTTTGCGAGGTAAGTCGTCGGGCAAGTGCGTGGACGGCCTCTTCTCTCCTATTAGCCTCGGCGATTTCGTCCGCGTCGTGTGTGTTGTAAGATCCATCCTTTTGGTCGGCATATTGGTTATTGCTCCTTGGTGGTGAGTTCTCGGCAGCTGCTATCGTTGAAGCATCTGACTCGGCAGCTTGCTCGTTGTCGTTGTAGTTTGAAGGTCGTCTGCCACCCATCTCTGGTGGTGGAACGCCGCCGGATACAGCCTCCCGATCATAGTTGGAGGTAAAGTTCCCGACTAAGGACATGTTGGGCGAGAGATCGCCACTTGATGGCCGGTATTAGTCAGGTGTAAGGGAAACGGAAAGAAGGACAAGTATTAAAAAGGTAGTAGTAGTAGAGGTTGTATGGTAAGAACAACAACGACAAGACCGGGGGATTGAGGTAGGTAATAATAAAGGTAGGCGCAGCTAATGAGGACAGCCCAGGCGGCCCCAGTAAAGGATTTGGTCCAGCGGGCGGCGGACTGACGGCTTGGCTTGCAAACCGGAGACGGATGGCCTGCCTGCCCGGGGCGCTGGGCTTCGCTTGCAGCGAGAACAGCTAGCGTATCCCCCTCGGATACGGTGCATACGATATCCATCAGACTAACAGCCAATCAGAGCGAACAGACTACGGTGACGCGAATTGGACTCATTCTCTGTCCGCCACTGTCGTTTCGAGAATTATCATCGGACAAACTGCGTCGCGGCGGTCGACGATCGCCGTTTCTATGCGGCTCCTCTGATGTCGCACCCCCAGGCAGCACTCTCCAGCTACCACGGCAGTGGAATCTGCATAGTCTACAGCCTGTATACAGCGCCATGATCCGAGCTTGTTCGTCCGACTAAAGCCCGGGGCTTACTCTAAGGCTTGGCTAAGGTCACACCTAGCCCATTTACCCTCTAAGATAAGCGAAAGAGAAAGCGAATCCTCGCCTATGGCCCAAAAGAAAACAGCCGTCTACAGTCGATTGTCTCAGTAACCGTAGGGGTGCATGCGCCGCGCAGGTAGACGACTGAAGGAACAGTACATTGTCTTGACGTCGTTGACGTCGTGCACTTCTTCCCTGTGCGACTATGCATATCGCCGCGGGCAACGATCCAATCGACCACGTTCCTGTGCCACCTCCTAAACAAACAACAGCTCCAGACCCTGGCTACAATCTGCGCGGACGAAATTCGCGAGATTCAGGGTGAACATTTGTGGGGACGGCCCCAAAGCGTTGCGTGGCAGCTGCTCGGTGTTGGGTTTCTGTATCCGGTTCGACCTGCCGCTCGTGGCTACACGCTTCTAGCGCCCTTTTCGGCGGCGGATATCGCTCGTTCCGGTACCACGGAAGGTGGAACGGTCGTTCAGCCTTACCCTGGGCATACTCTCTGACCCTGTCCGTCTTCAAAAGCTTCCGGTTCCCGTCGTGTCTCTATACTTCTACTCCACAGCCGTTGCTTTTCGGCTCGCCGGTTCCAAGGGACGTTTTGTTTACTGATGCTGTTGCAGGGGTTACGGGACGACACGGCCATGAACGGCGGATCTTGGCTTTTCCGACCACCGGTCGTGTGTGACTGAACCACCTCGATATACCTCAAATCCCGTTAAATTCGCGCGCTCTATCAATGTGCGCTGCTGACTGTACCTGCTCTTCCTCTCAAGCGCCATGCACGCCATCCAATGATCGATTCAAGACGTGGACGCAGGTCGTACCATCCAAGTGGTGTGAGTCTTACACTCTTCTACCGGTAAGCAGCTGGCATGTCACATACGCCCTCTGGGCACTCTACTCCAAGACGGTTTGAGTCCGGTCAGCAATTGGCATGTCATGCCTTATCGTCGTAGCCGGGAGGCAGCACTCTGGTGTTAACCGAGACCAGCGCTTCTCGCGCTCGAGCCCTGATGGACGTACAGCGGGATAGATGGTTGGGTACTCGAAAGGGGCCCACAGCGCTAGGCAGCAGTCTGCGCAGCATCGAACTGTTGCGTGTCTCCAAAGTTTCGGAGGTGGACGAAAGAATCAGGCTCGTGGTACCCAAGCCGAGGAGGATCGGTTGCACTTCGTTTCCACATGCTGAGATAGCAGGCTCGCGATATCTGCTGCCGAGGATCTTCGGTTGCGATTGCGTCTTCACTCTGACAGATCCGTCGGGCCGATTATACCCAGATGTACATTAACGTTCCGGGTCAGCCTGGGGTAGCGCTGACGAGCTTATTGGGACAGCGCGTCTGAGTAATCTATGAGTGTCGGTTTCGCATTCTGCGTCTTGAACCGAATGCGATACTTGTAATTGCGACATCTACAGTACATATGCTCAAAACACAACCATGTTCTAATCCCAACATCCCAAACACCTCCGCCATCTCCCAGGATAATCACAACTTCCCTTTTGCCTTCTTCTTTGTCGGCCGCAGAATACTCTGCTGACTCATACATGCCACCGCCTTGCCCTCCTCGTTCCATATCCACGCCTCGCCAAAACTACGTCCTTGATCCGCAACCGGCGCCCTCAACTCCCTGAGCAACCACCCATTCACATCCACCTCGTTCGCAAAGATCCTCAACGAGAAATCCAAACTAGACACTGCACTTACGTCGTCAAACCAGCGATGGTTGAACGACAGCGGTAAGAACGCAATAGCGGTGTCGATGAGGAAAGTCAGTGCGGTGATGTGATCGATAGGCTTGGGTAGGACTTCCTTGCTGCGGATCCAATCTGCAGTTGTACGCGAGGAGGGAGGGAGGTCGTCTTGTGTATGCGGGAGCTCTTTTGCGATGCCGTAGAGGTTCTGCGCGAAGATGGCATTGGGGCAGAGACGTTGGTCGTAGAGGTGGTTCAGCAGATTGAAGCCTACTGCGTGCGCATCTAGCATCTTCTGCGGCATCTTCCCCTCTGCGACAAGACCGGAATACGCAACCGATGGTGTGGGGCAATCCTTCCAGTTTGGATAGCTGCTCAAGGGAGCTTGGGAGTATGATAACAGGGACGAAGTCTCTGCGACCATAAAGTCCGTCGTTGCAAGAAGGCATACTCTTTTCTCTCCTTCTTTTCCTTCCTTTCCGGCATCGGTCGTCTGGCTCACTTCTACTTGTCGTGTCGCAAACGTCCTTGTTTGCCTTACTACCCGCACACTGGCCCGCAGAGGCCGGTCCGTGTATGCTGGTCCTAGGTAGTTTCCTTGCATAGAGTAGAGATGGTAGCCTTCCGGTACTGTGAGAGACGCCGCTTTGCATGCCACGGCGATTGCGTAGCCGCCATACGCGATATCCAGCGGATTGCCCATCTTCTGAGGTAGGTTGATCATTTCGTACTCATCCTTCCCAACCTCTTTCAACGCTAGTTGTTCCATGAAGGGCTTTTGTTTGGGAATGGATTGTTCGGCCATGTTGAGTTGTGGTCAGATGAAAAGAGACCGGAGTATTATGCGCTGAGCGAAAAGGTCAAATCCAGCTTTGGGCGTTCAAGGATGATGACGAAACGGTAGAATGTCAAGGAGAGTGCTTGCGATAAAGGCAGACGTGTTACGGCCGATGCTGTTGAAAGGCGTGCCACTAGCGTGCAGCACTAACGCCAACCTCGGTAGGATTCAATAGATGCTCAGATACGCGATATTTGACCCGAATCAAGGTATTGTTGCGAGCGTGTAACATACCAAGTAGTAAACAAACCGAAGATGTGAACATAGTCTGGAAGATTGAAACGAGTCGTAATGATATAGGAACAAACTAAACTACATCACCATATTCTCTTAGCGACCATCGCATATCGACTAACGTGTCCAAAGCTTGTCCCCTTCTCCCTCTCTTCCTGCTCCTTTTTCCTACCCTTCTCGTCTCTCTCCCTCAACCGCTTCAGCGTTTCGGGATCATCATCGTAGATTACCTTCCTCTTCTCCTCGTCCACATCAACAACGCCCCAGCCCCCGATCCTCTTACCCCCAGTCTCAACGCTCATCTTCTCTCGCTCCTGCATACCGTGATAGCGCTTGCGACTGATGGACAGCAGCAGCATACCAAGGATAAGTTTGAAAGCAAGGAAGATAAAGTAGCCAACGAGGAAGACGATGAGCATGGTCGAGCCGGCGATCAGATCATCGAGGGTATAGGAGAGGGGATGATACCAGGGTTGGGAGGGAACACCAGCGCCAAAGGAAGAACGACCCAGAGCGCGGCGGAAGACATGGTCAATATGGGCGAGAGCTGCGGTCGTGGTGGGGGAGGAGGCGGGGTCCGAAGAGAGTGATGTCGATGTTGTGTGGAGGGGAGGCGGCATATGCATGGCAATGAACATGTGGTAGGTCTGAATAGCAGCACGGATGAAGAGGCAGGACAGTGGTATGACTGGCAAACCCAGGCGTCGTGTCAAGTCTGCATCAGCAAAGGCCTGTGGGTGTTAGCGAGAAAGTGTAGAAAGAATAAGGCAGCTTACGTTGGAATAGTAGTCCTTGGCTAGAACGTCAAAAAACTTGCTATACACCTCCGGTTTGTACTGGTTGAACTTGGTGATGTACGCATGTTTCAGCCAGTCAACAAACATCTCGCTGCCCAACACTAGTAGGAACGGATTGAGTACCTGAGCGATGTATTTGGGGAAGATGGTAAAGCTCATGGGTATGATACTCGAGGCCTTGAATGGAGTCGTGGACGCGTTTGCGGATCCAGTGAACATGGCCGTCCACGACGTATCGCTGCTTTGAATACTGAGGCCGCCAACTTCAACGACATTGCGCATTGCAATAATGAGAAGCATGAGCCAGAGCTGGAAGCGTTCTACAATGTCTGCACAGGTGATCTGGAAAAGGTTCTCTTTTTCAAACTTCTTGAACACTGTGCCCTTGATTTCCACAAATTGATTGGACATGAGCAGTGTCAGTAGTGCGTTTGAGTAGGAGTTGACAGCCACGTTTAGAGTGATGACCTGGTAGAACAGCGCTGTAGCATGGGCAACAGTGTATACAAGTGCGAGGGCAAACATTCCGAGTGGCCGGAGAACCTTGCTTCTACCGTCGGGATTGCGATCCAGAGTCTCACGAGAAAAGAGACACTCCAACACATCCTGACCAACAGCCGAGAGCAGGCGGTCACATACCTCGAGAACGTTGTAGATGACATAGAGCTTGATCGCTGACTGGCCACGAATGCCATGGTACATGCGACTGGCATCGAACCGCATCAAGACAAAGCAGCTTGCAATGACTAGGAGACCTTTCAGTATGTCTGCCTTATGACTTGGTTGCAGCGTTGATGGCGTAGACTTGGTGCGCCGATGACGAAATCGAGAGTTACGAGGCCGGCGCGCTCTGAGCTCATTCATGTCTGGAAACTTGAAGGTTGTCGACACGTGCGGACTCTGCCTGGCCGTAGCACTAACTGGAGGAACGGTCGAGGACGACGTTTTACGCGACATTGACGGAGCCACCTCGTCGGCGGGCGTTGGTAGAGGCGTGGGGACGTCGGTCTGCTTCCTGCGCTGCCAAAAGCGAGGAAGGCCATCATAGACAAAAGCCCAGAGATCACGGAATTCTTTGACAATGACGGAGCCCCACCATTTGACCAAGATGAGGACGGCAAGCAGGAAGCGGAGGGGGAGGATCGTCAGAACGTGCATCCATGCATCGAGACAAGCCAGAGCGCCAAAACCCAATATGCCCTCAATTTTCAGCGGTATCCTCAGGAAGTTGAGCAACCGCTCGTACTTGATCTCGGATGATTCATAAGGGAAGTCTGTCGTCGCTGGACGGTATATGTACAGCGGAGAGGGGCGGCTTGCAGAAAGTTCTAGCGAGAGAAAAGTAGGCATCGACATTGGCGGCAGCGGGAGAGCAATTGGCGTCGGCGAAACCTGCTCACGCATCTCGCGCGTCTCTTTGTGTCGGTCGTGGCCCTTTGATGTGCCATCTCTGTGGTCCAGACTCAATGGCGGAGGAACATGTCTGCCGTGTCTCCGGTCCTCTGTCTCTTGCGTCTGCGTATGTGTGCGTGACCGCGACCTGGATGACGTCCTCCGTGTGAGCGAGGGCGTAGTGATGGATCGTGAGCTGAGGACAGGCCGGCCGTTTCGCAATTCAGTTGCAGATGTTTTGATAAGGACAACCTCCTTCTCCCGTGGTGCATCTCGCCCTCCCGAGCCCTTCCCTTTCCTAGTCTCGCCATTCAGCTCCACTGGTCGCTCCAGTACCACGCCCAAGAGCTTATTCTTGCCCTGTCCGTCCGCATCTTCCAGCGGTGTGACGTCTTCTAGTTCGTCCTCAAGAATCGGAGTCGCTGCTCGCACTGGGATGCTCGCAGGTTCACTCGTAAGCTCTTGAATCTGGCGGGGACTGAGCTTGAGAATCTTCTCGTGCTCCGACACGCTGCTCCTTCTCCGAGCATCTCCAGGCCGCTTGATAGGCCGTATCTTCTCGCTTGTGTCTGAGAGGATAGCTTCTTCGTGCACGCTCGGCCTCCTGCTCGTGGTATTCGAACTAATTGCGCTGTTCGCCTCGACCCTGGAGCCATTCGTCATGTTGTGCAGCGGTTCCTCGCTCCTGGCTTCATTGTTGCGGCGGGCACCCGGAAGTGCCAGATCGTCCGGTTCGGGCGTTGAGGTTGGCGTAGGCAGCTGGCCCGTGGTATGCGATTCAGCGTATGTCCGTGTATCTGCCCCGTTCATGACGTGCGGAGCTGGGGTTGCTGGTTGAGTGCATCGTGTGTTGCTCGACGTCGTGCTGGGTAGGGTAGTCGCAACGTGTTGAAGCTTGGGCATAGGGCTTAGTGCCTGCCGAACCGAGGAACCAGACCCTAGGCCACCAACGTTGCATCGCTACAATGGTACACTCGAGTGAAGACCGTTATAGGTACCACATTGCACTCCGCACATAGCTAACAATGCGCAACGTCGCCGGCGACCCTGCAGCAGCCGCTTGGCACCGTCAATAGCCGTGCATACTTAGACCGCAATACAGCGGCCCAGCATTATGGGAGGCACACTTCAGCGCGATTGCCTCTTTTGGCCAGAACAGGAAAAATATCTCTGTTCTGGCTGATTTCGGAAAGAGCCGCCTAGATCTACCCCAGCTTGACCAATCGTCCTCACATTGCCCGTGAATCTAGTATATGCGGCCTTCCAAGGTTGCCCTGGTCTCCGGTTGCTTCCATCTTCCTACATTCACAACGATATCATACTGATCCATTACTAAGAGAATCGCTTTTCGCGCGCCAATCCAGCATCCCGAGCTGACTATGATGCACCCCACGGCGTGAAGCAGTTCAACCACGGATAATATTGAGAATGAATTGTCATCATTCAATGTATATCCTGGTAGGACCAGGATCTCACGCACCCATTCTTTTGACGTCGAGGCACAGAAGTCGCGTATACTTGCCTGACTGATGGGACTCAGAACCTAGATTCTTAGAGTTCTACTAGTCTACAAACATCCAGACATAGAGGTTGTATCGACAAAAGCCAACTGCACAGAGCATCATGCAAGCAGTGCATCGGGTAATCCATCACGTGTCTAGACATCCTGTGGGCTTGTTTTACAAGAAGATCATTGCTGTCTGGATAAACAATTCCGAGGCTTGGGAGCTGATCGACGAGCTGCTTGGGCATCCATGCGACTTCCTTTTGTTTCCAGGCGTCATACCACGATAGTACTATAGTTCCGCAAAAGCAAACTTCACGCTTGCGTGACGAGGCACCCGACGCCATGGCTGCTTAGCGTTGGCCCTGCACACCGCTGTGCGAGACACCACGTGGTATCTCAGTCGTATAGAACGACAGCCGCATGTGCCGCAGGAAGGCCGCCTCTCTCTGAACGGGCGGGCCACAAATCTTACTACACTTTCAACGAGCGAGGTCAGATCCATGCGTCTGCGCGTACCCATACCGATGCTGTATTTTTGGTGTGAAAATACGAGCTTCGGGTAGTACCGCGTAAGCGGACAGGGATATCGCTGTATGCATGATCTGTAGGAGCTCGAGGATAAAGTCGATAGCGTCCTGATTGAGTTAGAAGAACACCTGGTACTATCATATCAGGCTGTCTTCCTTCTGTCGTATATGTACATGGGATCGATGCCTGTATTGGTCGTCGGGAACAGTGCCGAGTTCCGCACTAAGATCCACACTGAGAGGGACTGACCTGTAGATGTGTAGTCTTCGCTTCGATGCCGGATCTGCCGAATGTTCACCGGAGTTGAAGATACTTGCGAAGCACATCTACCAGCTCTTTTGCCTGTGATACAGTGATCAGCGTGGGACTTCCTTGTGCTAAACAATGCAGACTATTGTGGTACAAATCCTATCCGCTCGCCCCGAGCTCGTGTTTGCTAGGATGATCATAGCTTACGTGCATGAAGTGCAGGTTGTTTATCCAACCAACTTAGGAGCTGTGAGAGGGTTTTCGTGAGGCTTTTCAGCCATATTAAGCCAGCGTAATCGACTTCCTATTCTGATCCAGCGTAGAACTTAATGCTCTTCTCCGCAACATGACGCCGAGGGTTTGCAGGCCACGTTTCGCGGAACGTTCTTTGAATGCCGCAGTCTTTCACGTGAGGTCCGTGCCCATGAGGTTGATCCCGAAGGCGCTAATTGGAGGCAAAAGCACCGCTCCCACATTGAGCTGAGCTGGATGCATGGAAACAAGTGTTTCAGGTCTGGTAGGTAGTTCTGAGGTGCATGATAGCGCCAGTAGAGTGCCGGAGCTTACGAATGGGACTACATCTCATAGCCAGTGGCTTGTTCGTGTCGAAGCACCAGTTGCATACAAGCATACAAATCCAGCCAATCAGGACCCAAGGGGCTGTCGACGCCAGTCTGCTGCAGATTGATGCAATCTCATGTTAAGCGAGGATCGCAGGAGTAGCCCATCTGCCTTAGTGATGTCGATATGTCTAGTAGACGGTTCTTCCGCGGGATCGCATATCTGCAAGGCTGGAACCCAGGAGAGTGGACAACATCGATCGATACCCGTCAGGCACCACTGTACTGGAGAGACACTGGTCTTGTTCTCGCGGGAGCAAGACCAGCAACAAGGACCTGGGAACGGATAAGCTCTGGTTGGATGCCAACGCATAGGGGCTGCATCGCATCAGGAGTTGCTGTGCCACATGCGCGCAGGAGGGCGCAAAGGGTTGCCCCAGCATTGAGGACCCGACACGAGGCGTCAGGCTTCAGGAGGAGATGAGCTACAACCGTAGCCGGCGGCAGACTTGATTAGGAGATGGCACTACGAGGCTGAACAAGTCCACATGGCTGCAGGCGACACGCAGTAGTCGCGTGGAATGGTGTCCACACTGCTGCAGGTCGGAGGAAGCGGCAGTCTTCTAGAACGCGAGCTCTTTAGCCTGGTGTGGGCTCAGCCGAAACTCTGTACTACACGCCCACGTACAGAGACATGCAACAACTGCAGCGGCGCGCATCCGCGAAAGAGTCTTGCTTGTGCCTGCTGTGCTGGGCTGTCGTGCAACAGTTGTCAACGGGGGTTGAGCGATCGGGCCGGAGCGGTTGTAAGCAGGGATGCATGCATGCCGACTCAGAATTTCCCGAGAGAGCCACGGTGTAGTGGTGGTGGTGTCTTGGGGAACGAGAGTTGGCCAAGCAGGAAGAGTAGTTGGCAATTAGTGACAGGGGGTGGTGGACTAGTGCAGGTCCCTGGAGGAGGCACGGAAGGATCGGCCAAGACCATCACGTCTGGCATAAGAGGAGTGAAGGTTTGCCTAGCCAAGATGGCCCCGGGAATACAATGTGCGCGCCAACCGTCGAGGTCGGCGTTGTGAGCATTGGCACTGCAGCGGCCATGTGCGCTACTGGGTTGAGCGAGCGACTTGTTCTCTTGAATTCTCGTCAAAAGGCCGCGAAGGATGCCAAAGCAATGCCGCTTGACGTGGCTCTCAGCGCCGGCCTGAGTACCCGCAGCTGGTTTGCTGCAGAGGTGGTCGCCCGTCGCACGGTTCTACGTTGTTAGTAGAAGAAAGCGGGTCTTGGGGAGAAGAAACTAATGGAGGAAAGCCCAATCGGCGCCGGCTCCGGGAGCGATGCTTGGTCTTATCAACGACGATGAAGGGTTTGGAGAAAGGCCAAAATCGGCGAGACAGGTGTATGCTGCCAGCCTCGACATGTGGTGGTTGCAGGAGGAAATTATAACGACTCCCGAGCTAAGCCAGTGCTATGATTGCGCGGCGTCGGGCCTGTGGTTGAAGATGTGTTTCACGACGAGTCCGAGCTTAGTGCAGATCAGACGGGAGCAGGACGACGTCTCGCTGAACCCCGGAAACCTTGGGGCTCTGACGGCTCAGATAGAGTGCGCCGTCCCGTGACGAGGTTGCGTGGGTAGGCAGGCTGTACATGGGATTCGTGGTGCATGGGGCTTGCCGGGCAGTCTCACCTGGCAAGCTAGACGTCTCTAGATGCACACAATGGCGTCGTGGTCAACTATAACCATGGCTCGGAGGCAGTAGGGTGCGGCCAGGCCTCGTGGGCGGGCGTTGTACTGTGGCTGACCATGACTAGGGGAGCATCAACGCTTGCCTCGTAGCAGCTTCGGTCGTCTTTGATGGCCCAGTCGTGGTGCAGGGATGCGACTCAAAACGTGTAACCCATGCATTTCCTAGCCACTAGTCCTGCCGACACTAATCTTCCTTGGGCCACGCCTGCGAAACGTGCCTCTTCAATCCTGTCGGGCCCTCCTTTCAACTCTGCTTTACTTCTATCTCACGTCTGCTGCCAGTTGCTTCTGCCTTAATAATCCCCGACTACCCGCCCGCCCTCGCCTGCCATCCAGACCACGCCCGCCCGCAACCACGACGCCGTCCCCACTGCCGTCCCCACCACCAGGCCGCCGAAGCACCCCCGGCCACGTCCATCCTTCGCCTGATGCATTACTAGACACGCATTTCCATTCCTCAGGCAGTCTGCCATTGTAGCCTCCCATGGGTCAGAGCAACGGCAAGCCCGTCGTCTTCACCGACCAAGGTGCGTCTCCACAAAAGCGTCTTCGGGCCTCAGAGCCTTGAAGCATCAGAGCCTTGAACGTGCAAGAAGAGGGCAGCGAACACCGTCACTAACTCCCCAGCAGTAAACCTCAACCACTTCCGACTGCTGCGAGTTGTTGGCAAGGGCGCATTCGGCAAGGTGCGCATCGTCGAGCGGAAAGACACGGGCCTCACTTTTGCGCTCAAGTACATCCGGAAAGATGAAGGTGTGTGCACAATGTGCGACTGCATGCTAGCAGGGACCGATGCTGACGTTGTGCGACAGTGGTACGCTCCGAGAGTGTTCGCAACATCATTCGAGAGCGGCGCATGCTCGAGCACTTGAACCACCCCTTCCTCTGCAACTTGCGCTACAGTTTCCAAGATATCGAATATCTGTATGTCTTCCGCCTTGTCGATAGCCTAGGCACGAAGCTGACAGTCCTAGATACATTGTGGTCGACTTAATGAACGGCGGCGATCTACGCTTCCACATCTCGCGAAAGACGTTTACTGAAGAAGCAGTGCGCTTCTGGATAGCCCAGCTGGGTTGCGCCGTGCGCTACATCCATCAGCAGGGTATCGTGCACAGGGACATCAAGCCAGACAACGTGCTGTTGGATTCCGAGGGCCATGTCCATCTGGCAGACTTTGTACGCTCTATTTCACCCATATCTCAACTGTCACTAACATTGCCAGAACGTCGCTTCCGACTTCACGCCCCACAAGCCGCTGACGAGCAAGTCTGGCACGCTCGCCTACCTGGCTCCCGAAGTGTACGAAGGCAAAGGATACTCGTGCGAAGTCGATTGGTGGTCACTGGGTGTGCTCTTCTACGAGTGCATCTACAACAAGCGACCCTTTGAGGCCAGCAGCCACGACTCACTCGCCGCCAAGATCTCCAAGGGAGAGCCCACGTATCCTGTTACCAGCCCGCCTGTGTCGATGCCTTGTCTGCATGCCATCAGCTCGTTGCTGGAGAAGGACCGGAAGAAGCGCATAGGCGCCATTGGCTTCGAGTCCTTTACAGACAACCCCTTCTTCCGTCCCCTTGACTTCGTCGCGCTGGAGCGGAAGGAGATTCCACCCGTCTTTATCCCGTCGAGCGACAAGACCAACTTTGACGCGACCTACGATCTAGAGGAGTTGTTATTGGAAGAGGCACCACTTGAGGCGAGAGCGCGCAGACAGAAGCCCAGAGAAGCGCTCAAGGACGATGCGACCGAACAGGAGATACGGGCAGAGGAGCTCCACAGGATGATTGAGACTTTGTTTGAGCCTTTCAATTACACGACGGCTGCAGACCAGCGGCCTCCGGCTGCTGTAGCAGTGGCAGATCCCCAAGACTCAGTCGGCGGCTCAAGAGCGAGCAATACAAGCCAGCCGGACAACGCTCCCACATCTGCAGCAGGGCAGCAGGTAGACCCATGGGGGCGCCCAGTCGCGCCGACCAACAAGTCCCAGGACGGCGATCTCCATCCTACCCGCTCCGCTACTACCGCCCGATCAACGCAATCACCCAACGGCAGCCCTCCGCTTGCCACGAACATTCTCAACCAAACAGCAAACACCGGCTCACCTACATCGCAACGTGGCGAGCATGTCGATTATTTCCCTCATGACGGCTCCGAGATCCCGACGCCCTCTTTCTCCCGCCCTATAAATAACCGCCAGCGCGGATCGCAGCGCAGCATCAGCACAACCGGAGGCGTACAGGTAGTTCTCAATGAGCATGGCTCCTGGACCGAGATGGCTAACCAGAGTTCCGCCCTTGTACAGAAAGATGCCCACGCCGAGAAACCGTCTGGCATGCTCGGCTTCCTCAGTCGCAAAAAGGGTCGGGACAGGAGCCCCAAGGCCAAGGAGCGCGGTGTGCTGGGCAAAGAGGGCGCCAGAGTCATCATCAGCAACACTTGAAAACCTCATTTTCGCCATCTTTCACGCCCCTTGACAACGCCTCCACCAACGAGTTCCCTTCAGTAGATGTTTTCCCCGGTTCAGGTCCATTTCTCCTGCGTGGCGTTTTTGGCGTGTTGGGCTCTTCATGCCGCCCCCCTGGACTTTGCGACGCTTGAAGTGTCGTCGCTTCTCCTCATCAATCGCATCAAATTTGCATGTTCCACCACCCTCGGACGGTGTGCGAGACGGGCGTTGTCGGTTACGTTGTTTATTTCTTACTCAAAGAGTGTTGGGATTACTGGGCAGAGAGCTTGCTCCGCCAGCAGCAACATATTAGGGAAACATAGAATGAGGGGGAGAAGAAGAAGATCAGGCGACTTCCTGAGAGGAGGACGAGGAAGCTGCGCCATTGTACATTTGTATGTGTGGATATAGGAATGTTCGGACGCGAACGCATGAGCATGCATGCTTGTTTGTTTGCGCGAGTTCACGAGTACAGACTACGTGGGGAGATGAGGGTTTTTGGTAATTGTTCGAAACGTTAAATACCCATCTTTTTCACTCTTGAAACGCCCTTTCTACTCTACAGCTCGTTCCTTGCCTTTCCCGCGCCCTCGGCTGACTGCTGCCGCCGCCCTCGTTTCACAGCTTCTAACGTGTCTAGTGAAATTGTCCTTCCGCTTCCACTCCTTATTCGGCGTTGGACAGCCGGGGACAGTGCACCAAGAACGCTTGAGAGACCGGAAAAACTCGGCATGCACTGTATGCTCATGGCGCTCTAAATCTGCTCTTACACCAAACGGTCGTGCGCAGATGTCGCATACGTAGCGGAGATTGTGTATGCGGTTGTAGTGTTTCCTTTGAAGACTCTGTTAGTATATGTTTGATGGTAGTATGATAGACTGATTGGGTGTAAAAAAGGTTTGCATCACATATGCAGGCTGCTGGGAAGTCTTGCGAGATGGGAAGATACATACTTCTGGCGGCCTGCAGTGCTAAACAGTTGACCACAGGTTTGGCATTCCAGGTTGTTCTCTTGGGGACTCCATGAGCTGGCAGGTGATTCTGTTGCCATTGATGGTGTAGTGATAGCTGATCCTGGCGATGTAGTATGTGTCGCATTTGTAGCCGTAGACGCGAAACTCAACTTGGTCTTCGCAGAATCAGGCGTGGACTTGCTTGACTGTGGGCTTGATGTGGTTTTCGAATTCTGTGGGGATGATGACTTGGGCATTAACGTACGTTGCTTCTGACGCCGTCTTTGGTTTAAGTTACTGTCTCTACCCTTGCTCTGGTCATTATCCCGTTCAGCTTTTCCGTTATCAGTCTCCAAGGGATGTAGATCGAGGACTGCTACTCTCCTGCGGGGCGCTAAATTGGAAACAAGTGGTGGAGAAAAAGCACGACTTGGACCAGCTGCTCGAGGAGTTGGTGAGAAGGTAGAGATTGCATCTACTTCCATTTTGTCGTGCTCAGGCGTGCCCTCTGTTTCGTCAATTTGCCTTTGAATTTCCAAATCCAGCTGATTCTTCGTGTCTCTCAGCGGCCATGCATTCGCTCTCTGTCCTACGTCGATGGACGTCCTGTTCCAGTTCGGCGTTGGCTCTCGCATATGCAATTCATCGGCATTTGTAGACGTCTCTGTGGAATGCATCTCCATATCTGATGTTCCTGATCTAAGAGGAAGCGGGATGAGACTGTGTACCCGCTGCCTCTCGGAGTCCGGGAGATATATCGTTTGATCTGGGTGCTCGCCTGGTCTGTCAGATAGACCGGCACGAGATGGATAGTAAACAGGGTTTAAGTTAAGTTCGACTTCAAACGGATCGACATAATCTTGTATGGGCTGTTGGATACTCAATGCCCCTGGGTTGTTATTGCTTCCAACACTGGTGTGAACAGGAGGGATGTTTGACGATTGAACTAGAGAAATATTGTTAGCGAAAGCTTGAGAATAGCCAGTGTCAAAGCTCACTTTGCCCGATTGGTAGATGTTCTTGCTCAATTCTCTCATTACAATCGACAAACTGCTCTGGCTCACTATATCTACCCAGTTCTGTGAAGTCGGATTTCTCTGCTGATGCGAGCTCGTGTGGCCGCCGTAGCAATTCTGGATATCTTGGTAATGTAGCAGTAGCACCGGCTTCGACTGGTGTCACGTTCCCATCCAGCTCTGGTGTTATTCTTGGTGCGTTTTGTTCGTATCTGTGCTTCTGTCGACCACATGTCGTGTCAAGCTCCGAGGGCTCCTCCACACCACCTGAAAGCCTCCTTACCGCCCTCCTCCTCCAGATGAAAAACCATCCTGCTCCAATAACGATAACGAAGCATATAATTGAGACACTGATACCAATCAAGAGAGCGGGATTGTTGGTCGCAGATGAGGCTCGTTTGTTACGGGAAGGCGCAGTATGCAATATTGTGGAGCGGACAGCGAAGGCGATGGGGGCCATATTGACTGTAAGGGTATGGTGGTAGTAGAAGAGTTATTTTGGGCGAGCGAAAAGCAAGAGATGCTACTATTATGGGATGTACGGGTGACTGCGAGGCTGAGTGAGGCATACTCATGCTGATAGATTGGAGCCAATCACATATGCAGATGGCGGAAAGTCGAGGGACTCTGTCTTGTGCATCATGCAAATGCACTTCTCCCTCTTGAAATCAGGAAAGATGCTCTACATCCTCTCTCTCATTGGCACAAAGCGAGAGATACGATGCATGCATGTCGCCGCTGTGAAAAGTTGCCCTATGATACAATTCCGGAGACGCATAGTTTCTCCGTGAAGTCCTGCGAAGGGCAACCAGCGCGATGCGTGTATGCTTCGACCTGGCTATCGTAGAGTATTGAGCCATCCATTGGTTCGAATGAGAGTCCTCCAAAAGCACCCGGTCTGCCTCACATTGCCACATCTGGATCATGTTCCCGGGTCTGGCTCGGCATTTTCCAGTGTCTGTGGTTACCCTCGCGCTTTTCCATGCCTGCATCATGTAGTGACTTCGCTTTGACAATAGCCCTCTCGCAACGATTGACATGTCTACTGAAGTTATCTTTTCGGGCGTACGTCTTTTGTGGATCCGAGCAGCCAATGTTCGGGCATTGGAACACTTTTGTAGGAAAGTCATGAAGATCACCTCGATGGACACTGTTTTCGTGACGTCGAAGGTCCGCACGGAGCCCAAATCGTGAATCACATATTCCGCACGAATATCGGAGGTTGTGTTTACGATTCTGATGGGTTCTACAAAAGTTTGGGTGAGCAAAGAGGCTTGAAGACTGAGTATCGTTTATGGTTGAAGGCTACATACCTTCTCAGGCCTGGTGTTCGAAACTTGAGGTGGCAAATAGAACACGGATACACCGGATCAGTATCTGCTTCGATCGATTTGGAAGGAAATATAGTGACTTTTGATACTGATGGATTACCGGTCGGCGAGGTGCGTGAAGATGCCTGCAGGGATAAGGTCCTTGTGCTACTGCTCGCCTCTGTGAAAGACCTCGGTGACGATACAACCGTGACACCAGTGTCAGAATTGCCTGGATATAGCTCCGACGATTTGATTGGGGTAGTGTTGATTATTTCGACCGTCCCAAGCCCACTCTGACATGGACTCTTGCTTTCGTAGGTCGTAGGGACTTCTGACGTCATGACAGGCAGAATATTGTCCATTGGTAGATCTGATCTACTAGACTTCAGAGGGGGTACTGAATCACCAGAAGATCTGATATTGATAGCTTGAAGCGGCGGCGAAGTACCTCTGGATCCAGGTCCATTGGCCGCTGCATATATCGCTGACGGGGTCCCAAAGCTGTTCGATCTTGTGCCGCACACCTCGATTATGCTTTCGGGTCTTCGTAGGCTTGTCTGATTCGTACTGAAAACTACACCTTCTTCCTCATCCTCATAATGAATATTCCCGATTGGGGCTGATAAATGAGGAAACATAACTGGGTTGGGCTGGTACTCCACTTTCCAAGGATTGACAGTGGTGATGCTGTCGATCTCCAAGGGAGTGATGCCGGGTACTGCTTGTGTAGGGACGGTGGACTCTCGAGTGGAGGCTGTTGCGTGTTGTTTTAAGTTTGGTACCCCATCGCCCCTCGGATCGCATTGACGACGTGATTGTGTGTTCCGACTACCTCGTCTTTTTCGCTGCGCATACGTCCAAAAGATGATTAGGAGAATGAGGAGACCGCATAGGGAGCCAAGGACAACTCCGGCGATTCCACCACCACTTAGACTATTCTCAATGACAGTGCGTGGCCGGAGGATATTCGGTGGATAGACGACGTTTGGTAGAATGGCCATGATGTGTTGATAGGAGGTTACTTAGGCTGTAAGTTTCCTTTAGATCTCATAGAGAAATCGCTTTCATATTAAGCCGAAGGAGCGTCGGAGGCATAGGGTTTTAGACATATACATCCAGGTTAGATCTGTTTGTGACTTCGGATAAGGCTGAGGGAGGCTGGAGGCATACTGATTTAGTTAGGGCTCGCCATTGGACAGCCTACACATTGCCGTGTTTCAACTTTGCTGCATTTGAGCCTAGCATCAAGGCGCTGCATGTACTCCCTATTTGCTTTATGGAAACTACCAATATTTCCTCTCGTGCGTCGTACCTTCCAAAGTTCGCAATCCACGCCAAACTAGAGTGCATATGGGAGACGACACTTCGAGAGGTCGTGAACACATCCGTGCGCAGCGGGCGAATCGACAAGTAAAAACTTCAGCCGTGTCAAACCGCCACGGTGTTGGTATTGCGGCCTAGAGAAAGGTTATTTGATTGTTTTGTGTTACAGTTACCTGATGCAAGATCAGTGAAGAAGGATGACGATATCGACTAGCTGCTTCCGGACGAAGCTGACCCACCCTATAGAGCTGACACAGATGCTACCTCCAACGATGAGACGCTCTCATCACACGAAATCCATAAGCAGACTGAGTAGATAAGATCGATGAAGTTTCGCCGGCTTCATGGCTGGTGTATGTATGCGCATTATCATGGTCCCCACGCCATGGTCATCTATCACAATCTAAACACCCCACAGAACGTTTTCACGGCATCGTCGTTGAAGCTGAAGAAACTGATCTTTGGGTATCGAATACGAACGCCGTGTTTTCGCCCGGCTCCTCTGAATACGAGTGCAAACTCCTACAACCTAGCAAGGAAATTAACCAAGCAGCTCTTCCTAATGAGGCTTGATATTGGACCTGGCCAGCCACAAGGCCACGCTCTCCTTGGCGACCTCGCTGCCCCATACACCATCAGCTCCTCCTCGTCGCCATTCCTCGCCAGATACGTCTTCTCCACCACCTCGCGTAGCCTCGCCAAGTAGCACCTCCAGGTCTCGCTTCTGGCTAGACAACCAGCGCTTGAAGAAGGCCACGGGATCCTTGGACATGCTGGTGAAGAAGGCGTGCTTTGCTTTTGATTGACCGATCGCCCCCATCAATAGCACAAGCTGCTCGTCGATCTTCTGGATCTCTTGAAGGGTCTGTATGCTATCTGGTCGGCGCAGGATATCTTGGAATAGTGGCTGCATGGGGTCTTCGAGTGCTACCTGGACGTCGTATACGGTCGGCTCGGAAGCGGTCTTTCCCGAATCGGCAGCGGGCGAGATATAGTCCTTGTCCACGCGAATGGTGTACTGTAGCTGGATAGGTGGGAGAGTCGTGAGGTGTTGCTTGATGAGCTGGGGCAGGTTTGGGAAGAAGAAATGGTCTTGGCCACCGAAGAGAGCCTTCAGCCTGGCGTCACATGCAAACTTGCGCTCATCGTCTTCTTGTTGCAGATGTTGTGACCTCGCGTATTCCCAGATGCCCATGAGAACACCAGCGCGATCCTCCTCATCGGTGTCGAGCAACTCGGCGAGAGGTTTGCTCAGGCGGAAGACCTCGGGATTTTGGTATCGCTGCAGGTTGATAGTGATGTTGATGTTCTCGTCGCCCTTGCGCTCAAATTCGAGTTCGCTAAAGTTGGCCTCCTTCGCAGTAGGGTTCTCAGGCCGTTTCCACTCGATTTGCGTGAAGTTGTCAGGTTGTAAGCTCTTGGCGCGGTCGAAATCGATGTTGATGGATGTGAAGTAGTGCGAAAATAGCTTCGGTTTTGCGGCTGGCTTTTTCTCTGCTCCGTCTTCGTCCCTAGATACCAGTTAGTTTCCTACTGAAATATATTTGCGATCGGCAGGCTCTCGAGCTAGCGTTGCCGCGTTGGAAAAGCTGAGCAGACATACATCGCATCGGCGTCCTTCTCATCTTCCTCGTCATCCTCGAGACCTTCATCACCCTCTTCGTCGAGCAAGCGTCCTTGGATCTTGACACGGTACGTCGCGTTGTTCTCGCTCTCAAAATCGAAGGCATCCGCGTCGATGCCGCTGCTCTGCCAAGGCTGGTTCTCGGCGGTGTTTGATATCCATATGCGCATGGTGCCATAGCGCGATGCGCGCGAATGGTGCTTCGAGTCCATAACGTCCAGCTTCTTGCGCATCATAGTCGCATCCAGTGTGCGCTCGACCTCGCGCAATTCCTTGTAGCGCGCTACGGCATCGCCAATGCACACGTCCTCGACGCCCTCGGGGATGTTCTTGTCGGTCGGGTTTTTTGCGATGCGGCGCATCTTCTCGCGGCGCTCGGCTTCGGCGCGCTGCGAAGCCTGCATGTTGGCGGTGTTGTACTGCGGTTGCGCAGCTGGGTGCGGAGGGTGGACAATGGGGCCTGGGTTGCGAAACAAGTGAGCGAGGTCGTTCCTACTAATCATCGTCTTTTACGGAGAGTATGCGCAGGCGGTCGGTGCAGGAGGACGTGTTGTGGCAGCTGTGTTTGGCAATGGGTACTTACCTGGTCGTCGGGAAGGTGTAGCTGCATTGTGCTGTTGCGGATAATTATATCCCCGTGCCTGATAGTTCGGCTGCATGTTGGAAGGTGTGCAAAAATGAACGGCAGCGAAATTCGCGATGAAAGCGCGTCAGTGGAGATGGAAGGTGGATAGGATGGTAACTTCTTTGGAGACGCGTCAAGGTTTAGGTACGTACAACATGCACGGATACAGAGTTAGCTCCCCCTATAGCCATGCGGGGCACCACCCCCACCCATCTCTCGACTGCACAAGCTTTTGCATCTATTTCCGGCCTCATCAACATCTGGTGTACTCGTGTGATGCATATTGATAGCCTTTAATACCTGTTCTCTGCTGCTATTAGAGTTTACTCCCATTCACTGCTCCAGCATCGCTCTTGGCATCTGTTGACGCTCGTGCAGTGAAGCGATCTAGCATTTCCTCGCTTTGTCTAAGCGTCATTATCGGTGTTCCTGGTTCTTCTCCTTCCTTTCTTTTTCTCCAATCTGTCCTTTGTTAGCCCGCGGCCCATCAACCCTGAGCATCTACGCCTCTAGTCTAGTGAAGAGAAGGAAAGCATGCAGGACAGGATGTCAACCAAGACACTCGAGAAGATAACCAACGTCCGTCTACCAAACAAGCCGCCGTCGACACTCTGGGATATCGCCATCAAAGATGGGAAAATAGCCTCAGTAGACAACCATAGTGACTGCCAGGATGGCCACGAGGACACACTGGATGGAGGCAACCGTCTCATAGCGCCGTCGCTCTGCCACGCTCACATCCATCTCGACAAATGCTTTCTCCTTCAAGATCCTAAATTCAGCGACCTGCAGATTGAGAGCGGCGATTTCAAGGAGGCTATGGAGATGACAGGCGAGGCAAAGTCAAGGTTTGAGGAGGATGACCTCCTAAGAAGGGGCACACGCCTCATTGAAGAGAGCATCCAACATGGTGTAACCGTTATGCGAGCCTTTGTGGAAGTGGACGGGGTGGTAAAGATGAAGTGCTTGGATGCGGGTCTCAAATTGAGAGAGATCTTCAAGGATCGGTGTGAGGTGCAGATATGCGCGTTCGCCCAGCTCCCGCTCTTTTCTGGCCAGGACGGGGGCGAGGAGGTAAGAAAGCTAATGACCAACTCTGCCTCGTTGGGGCAAGTAGATGTGCTTGGAAGCACGCCATATGTTGAAGATGACGAGGAAAAGTCTCTAGACAATGTTAAATGGATCACGCAGTTAGCTCTAAAGCACCAAAAGCATCTCGATCTCCATCTTGACTACTTTCTGGAAGAAGACAAAAAGCCTCTGGTCTGGGATGCCTTGAACACCATCAAAGAGCTAGAATGGAGCAAGAAAGCGGGGAGCAAACAGATCACGTTAGGCCATTGCACAAGATTGACAAGGTTTCGAAATGACGAGTGGACGCATCTGAGACAAGAAGTAGGCGATCTGCCGATTTCTTTCGTGGGTCTACCGACTTCCGATCTTTTCATGATGCGGACGCCAGAGAACGTGCGTGGAACCTTGCCAGTCGTCGAACTCATCAACGAGTACGGATTCAATGCTGCGATTGCTGTCAACAACGTGGGCAACGCCTTCACGCCGTACGGGAATTGCGATCCTCTGGTAAGACATGTCACACCCACAATCAAGCAGAGGTGTTGCTGACACTATGATCTAGACTATCGCATCTCTGGGTGTCGGGTTGTACCAGGCTGGAACAAAGAAAGATGCCGAACTCCTATATGTAAGTGGCCGTTCAGCTCCGTCTCGACGACCACTCTAACTCATGCAGGAAACCGTATCGGCTCGGGCAAAAGCCGCTATAGGCTGTGATTCCACGTCTCTTGCCCTAGAGCCTGGTCAGCCTGCCGACTTTGTATTGTTCGACCGAATGGACGGCGGTTGGCATTGCAGGAAAAGCGTGGTAGAGGTGGTTTATGATGCCGGCCATTCCCGCCAAACGGTCTTTAGAGGCCGCTTGATCGCTTCGAAGGATACACGAACTTAGCGGAGCTTCAACGACCATTCAATGATTCAGTACGAGCCACTGCAGGTGGCGCTAGAGGTCAGAATACCATGACATAACCGGATACCCCAATACAGGCGATTGTCACTCGACAGGAACGTTTTGGATCAGTATCGTATATGTAGTGCGATTTAATCACCCCAGATATGCTGATTGTGACGAGAGTTTGGTGTTGTTGTTCTGTTGCCCTCATGGCGACTTCCCTCAGACGCATCACCAGTTGTCCGAATGGGGCATAGACCGTGCTTGTGACACCACGTACAAACAACTCGTCAAATCCTCCGGCTGCGAGTATCCACGTACCATACAAACGCTGAAATTGCGTTGCCGCCTCTGCGAGACCGAAGAGCGGAGGACGCGTGTTCACGTGTGTTTCATCGTCACTTCACCAGAATAGGCTCGATAGGTTCGGTTATTTGAGAACCGAGCGCCTGTGCCACGAGACCCGTCATCTCCATCTCTTCCTCAACCATATCACATCGACGTCGGTGTTGCGATCGAGCTATTGTTCAAGATACGTGCTCGCGCTACCTATCTGAGCCAAAACCATGGAAGCACTTAATTGCGACGAGATGCTTCAAGATACACAACAATCACTATATTCGACCGAAATGGCGTACTCCATGACGGCCAACGAGAAATGGGAACATGTAGAGCGGCGTCAGCAGCCTACTATGAGGCAAGTTGTCTACACATTCTTAGACAACCTCAAAGTAAGTCGTTCCTCAAACAACCCACCCGAACCATGTGGAAGATTGAATATCTCATAAAACGACTGATACTGACTATTGGAGCTGCGATTCGGGGAGGAGTCATCGGAAGTAATGAGTATCCTGAATATTCTCGGCACATTTCGAGAAGGACGCCTATCAAAAAAGGACACACTCGTTGCAATCAGGCTTGCGCTCGGAGATCAAGCAGACCTCAAGCAAGATCTCTTGAATATCCTCTTCCATAAGGACGCAGACTGGGGAATGGGCGACTTTGACTTCGGCTCGCATCAGCCCTTCAGCCAAGGAATCCCCAGCCCGCAATTCCTACAGCCAGCTCACCAGCCTCAGATGCGTCTGCCTCCAATTTCTCCGTTGTGGTACGAGGCAAGCCAAAACTATTCATCTACCTATTCCGAGGGAGTATTCGGTTCTGGAGTTCATGGTGTTGGTGGATTGCCACTATCTTCGTCGATGCACCAGACCCCCGGCCAATTCTGTCACCCGAACGCATTCACCTCCCCTGTTTTGACTGAATCTGCCAGTTTTGGTCCTCACATGAGAAGCCATGAAGAGGACAAGATCCCTGAAAGGCAGCAACATGGTGTAGAGATCATAACGCAGCGAAGTCGTTCTCCGTACAACTGGGAGGATATAGACCAGCCTAAGGGTGAGAACCGATTTCATCACAAGTATCAGAGCCTATCGCTAACATCCGTACAGAACCCAAAGCCTCTTACAGTCAGCCCTGGTGTCCTGTCGCCAGCAGTCCGATGCCCGATCATGCGCAGCCTCTCGCCAGCAATCACTTCGACTCTCCATCTCTTTCTCGCGAAACTCACCTGTTTCCAAATTCTTCGCCAGAGGAGGGGCAAGTGGCGACCACCAGCCCTTCCGTGCTCGGAGTTCCGGTTGCTGTCCCCATTGGAAAAGCCATCAATGATATGCCACCACCGTCGAAAAAGCGTTGTCGTGAAAGCTCAAGAGTTCAAGTTGATGTAAAGGAGGATATCAGTGAAGATGTTACCCCGACTGCTAGTCCTACTTCAACATCAACCACAACCGTCGACCAACCATTTGTTCTACCCAAGCCGAAGAAGAGGGTCATGGACGAAAACAAATCATCACATGGACGTGGGCCCTACATCCACAGTCTCTGTGGCAAGGGCTTTTCCAGCCGATCTCGGGTCAAGAAGCATCACTGGGGTAACAAGCTTGACAACCTGGAAACAACTACCGGCTGCTGGGCGAAGAACAACAAACCGAGCGTAAGCTGGAACGAACACCCGAGCTGCAAAGGAGGCATGATTCCGTCACGTCCGTTAGAACAGGCTCCCTCAGCTGCATCCAAGAGGAATGTGTCAGCATATAAGGCTCCGATGGCGCCCTTGATGGTACCTGAATCGAAAGACTTTTCTCTAACCGTTGCCGATACCCCTCATCAATACCAGGAGAACCAGCCCTATTTCGAAGGCTTAAGCTCTTACCGTTCTCACCAGCTTCCCACTCGAACAAGTTTGGACAACCTGCTCACTGCTGTCAACGTCGCCTCCGAAATTGACGCGCCACGACCGCAAGGACGTATTGACTCGGTCGTCTCTCATCTCGACGCCCAAGCAGCAGCAGCGGAAGACAACAAGCAGTATATTACCAACTGGCAAAGTGCTTGTGATGATCACGTTGTCGAGCCTTTTGCTCACGACCGACAACATCCGTACACTAGCTATGGACTCGGCCTCCAAGGTACTCAAGTACCAGTAAACATGGCTCTGCCGGGTCTCAACGAGCTGTACCCATACACTCTGCCTACACGTTCTTTTGCTGATTCACACCGGGGTAATGACCGCGATTTGGTGTACGCTGGTGCCAACCGAGGCCACGCGACTCTCCGATCACCTTCCTCGCCTGGTCCAGACGAAGAAGGCCGTCAGTTGTAGGAAAGGCGACCTAGAACCTTTTTGATGTGCGGACGCAGATGAGCAGGTGATAGGTGCGACGATTCTATGAATGTAAGATGTAAGCAGGTTCAAGTGTGGAACTAGGTATGCGGAGTACGACGAAAGAGAGCTCGGGCCATCTAATCAGATGACAACTGTTAAAAGAACGAGACATGGCGTGGCCTATTTCAAGACCTGCCAGCTGTGTATTGTATCCTGAAGCTTAGATAGAAACACAATATCCGTAAGTCGCTACAAAGAACGATGGCGGCATAATTCCTGTATTCAGTATACCATCCCGAGCGTGCATATACGACCTGTGGCGTGGTCAAGCTTCCGCCTCAACGGGTAAGCTCATTCGCAAGGGCAACACCAGCCGCTCTCCACATCAACAACCAAGCTATATCCATGACCTTTGCCTGTCAAAGCGGCGCGCTTAGTTTTTTCCGCGATTTTCCGCGAATGGTGATTTCTGCCGGTGCCTTTTGCTCTACTGATCCTTGTCGAGTGAGATTGTTTAGTCGCGATTTTAGAGCTATGACGACCGAGGCTTCGAGCTTGCAAGGGAGCTGGATGCCTCACGGTACGACAGATGAAAGAAGAGCAAGTGCAATTGAGAGCGACAATATTGTGCGACAGCTGATCTTTGCGCTTCATGGCACGAAAGGGACTGGTGTGCAGCTTCTGCAAGCTTGTGCGGGCCGGTTTCGTCATAGCCGTGTTCCTGGGGAATTGACACCCATGGAGGCCTTTGCGGGGAAGCGCACGTTCGCTACCCTCAAGCGGCGACCCGCCCTTTTCCCCAGTGCGACCCCGTTAGCACCATAAACCCGGAGGCTGGAGAAGTGAGTATGCGGGATGGCATCCTAGTCACAGGATCGTGGAACGGTAATTGCGCCGATGGTCTGTCCCTGTAGTATTTAATCACTCTCCGCCCTTCAACCCCATACTCTTCTCCACACCACATCACATCACCTCCACTTCTCAACTCACTCGAGCTTGGCAAGTCACGATGCGGTTCTCAACTGTACTCCCTCTGTTTGCTGCGGCTGCCTTTGCGCAGAACAGCTCGTCTCTTGGACCTGACAAGGACGGCAAGTACACGATCTCGTCTGAGGGTATCCGTGGTCACTTTATCCCATATGGCGCGTCCGTCTCCAATCTGTTCGTCAAGGGCAAGGATGGTGTTGAGCGCGATATCGTTCTCGGCTTCGACAACGCGACTGCATACGAGGGTGAGGTTCATCCCCATTTTGGTGGTGTGCCCGGTCGTTACGCCAATCGTATTCGAAACTCTACCTTTTCCATTGACGGCGAGACCTTCCACATCGAGCCCAATGAGAACAACAACAACGACACTCTTCACGGTGGACCAGATGGATGGGACTACCGCAACTTCACCGTTGTGTCGCAGACCCAAGAGTCCATCACCTTTTCTATTGTCGATCCTGACGGCAAGGAAGGCTTTCCTGGTGAGGTCGTGAGCTACGTCACCTACACCATGACCCCATACACCTGGAACATCAAGATTGTGGCTCTTGCTACCACCAAGAAGACACCCATCATGCTGACTTCCCACGTAAGTAGACTAGTATTTTGGCACATCAAGGCGAGGCTGATCAGAATAGACTTACTGGAATTTGGATGGATTTGGCAACCCTGATGATGAGACCGCGCTAAACCACACTTTCCACATCCCCTACTCTGGCCAACGTATGGATGTGGATAATATTCTCATCCCTACCGGCACTATCCTTCCTAACGAGCAATACTCAGTCAACGACTTCTGGTCGGCTCCCAAGCAGATCGGCGCCAACCAGACTGCGCCCGAGCTTCTTGGCAACTGCGGCTTCAACTGCACTGGTTACGATACCTGCTACCTTGTCAACCGCAACCAAGCTGAGACTCTGGACTGGCGCAACTCTGGACCTGTCGCTTCTTTGTCTAGTGAGTGGTCTGGTATCAAGCTCGACATCTACTCCGACCAAGAGGCTTTCCAGATGTACAGCTGCCCCGGCCAAGATGGTATGTTAGATCCTTTGGAATGCTTTGATAACTATTGACAACGTTACAGGTACCATTCCCATCAAGTCTACTCAAGGCGCTGAGGGAGGCAGTGGATTGGTCCCCAAGTACGGCTGCATTGTCATGGAGGTCCAGGACTGGATCGACGCTATCAACCACCCTGAATGGATGCGTGAAGACAGGCAGATTTTCGGCCCCGCTAGCCCAGCTTACACGCTCGAGGCTGAGTATGTCTTCTCCACCACGGAGTAGTTCTTTCTCCTTGAGACGAAATAGCGGGATATGAATGGAGCTTTGGATAAGACGACATGATACCACGTTTGATAGTATAGTTAGACACCTTTGAGGGAGTCATAATGGTAATTGGATCTTTTCCCTGCTTCGCGTTGGATCTCTTCTTACTCTCTCTCTCTCTCTCTCTCGTACCAGATTCATTGGTCAGTCACCTTGCATTTGACAATATTGCTTGAGCTCTTGTTCATCTCCAGAACGGCCTTCTCAGTTACCGTTACCCATACTCAATACCTCACAATATCGAAGTCTAGCAGTCGCTTTCAAAAACATATCCTACGGAGGTGTCTGGAGGAATTTAGGTAGAAAGCTGCGCTAGATCCTTCTTACTTTCACCTTCACTATGGCCGACCGCCCCGAAGACGACGCCAAGAGTAAGGAAACGAGCCCGCAACCGACCGACGATGCTGACCTCCAGACTCCAATCAATCTTTCTGAGCTCCATACGCCCAGCTCCACGTATTCATCAATATTCTCATTGAGCAACTTCACACTTATATTGGAAGCTACTGACAGAAGGGCCGCTAGCGATATAGCACCCCCAACACCTACCATGGACCCCGTACGGTACACAAGGTTTGATTTCGAGCCCTGTACACCTTTGCCGAATTATCAGCGAAACTTTCCGAATATCCACGACAATCACCAGCCCGAGACACCTGAGAAGAGCAGAACCATTCGCGGCATTGGTATCACTCGCGCTATCGAGGCAGGAAAGAGGTTAAAGCGCTTTGTAGGAACAGCAGAGCCGGTCCCTTTCGTTACTCCGCCTGCGATGCCGAAAGTCCTAAAGCAAGAGTTTGTTGTCGGGATGAAAGAGTATGGCTTGGACCACAGGGTGCAAAGTATGGGGTTGGATGTGCTCAGTCAGGCCGCAAGTATGCAAGAACGCCTGCCGGAAATAAGAGAAGAGCACGAGGGTCCGGTCAAGGCTACATGGACTTCAACTCAGTCTGGCCAACAAGCTTCTGGCTCCTCACCACCTCGCATGACGTCTCAAGGCCCTGCAGCCAACTCAATGTCATCAAATGGATCTCAGCCTGTGCGCGCGTCGTATGATACACCTTCGCTCGCCGCCTTCAAGAAGCAAATGGATGCATTTGAAGAACAGCATGTGCCAGCGTACTCTAATGCAAATCCCAACGTGGGTAGCGATGACATTGAGGCAAGCGGTTCAAGACATGCGTACAACTACAACACTAGGTCAGAAAGTCTCTCCAGTCATAAGGGTATATCTCGTATCAAGCCTCTCTTCCCTTCTCCTCGCGTCGGTGCACAGTCTTGGGACGAGAGCAAGGGCATTTCACAGCAACATATGGTACCATGTCAACCTACTCCAGCAGCTAGTTCCTCGCGAGACAGCGCATGTTTCCAGAACTTGTTCCGTCAACCACCTACATCTAGCGTACCTTACATTGTCGTCCAATCTCCGTCGCCAACTAAACTTGCGCCGTCCAAGAAGCGCTTGATACCTCAAGCAGCAGACGAGTTGTTCCGACCAGACGTCAGAGACATCCACTCAGATAATAAGAAGGCTACCGGTCTGCCAACCTTGCCCGCATCATCCTCAGCTTTGTGGGAAGTCGATTTCCCGGGATATACCCCCGCCCTACTCACCATCCTCCTGACCTGGTCGCACGCAATGCAGTCCTTCTACCGGCGCCTTCCGGACCCGAAGACCTTCCCCATACATGCCGCTTTTCCACGCCGCATTACTCCACCAGCCTACAACCGCCTTATCTCCGTCGGTTTCTACTACACTAGCTTCATTCCACACAAGGACATCCGGTTCCTGGGCCCAGGCGATATGGCTGAAATTGGCTATGCAGAGGTTGATGTCTTCCGCAGCAAGGAGGAAGTTGTCACTTTCAACGCGCAGGAGCAGGAACACCCTTCAAAGGCGCAGGCTATGAAACGGAGATTGGGCATCGGATCCAAACATGGAGAGCGAAAAAGAACATTGGGAGTATACCGGGATCAGATACATCTTGCGGATAGTGGAGAAGGACGATGGGCGTATGTTCTTATCAAAGAACATGCGATTCCAGAAGAGGAAACTCCGCCCCACGTCATGCTCGCGTGGCACCTTTCCGCTGTTACTGACACATCGACTTGTCTCCACACCGTCTTTCCCGACAACCATGAACCTATTCTCAGCAAACCACCTGCGACGCCTGCACCACCTGAGCAGCCGATAAGACGCTTGGCCTCTCTACAGAACCTCATCAGCCCGAGCCGTGGCCAGAAGCATCTCCATCGTGAGATTCGCTCTGTCTCGAGCAGTGCAGGTTCAACGGAAGTAGAGGAATCGAGCATCCTGCCACAGGAGGGTGCGCAGACGCTGAAGAGAACGGTTGTGAAATTGGAAAAGGCGGGAAGTATACCACTTATTAAGGGATATCGAGTTGATCTGAAAGAGTTCAGGGGTTGGTTGGATGCGGTGAGCAAGGGAGAAGGGAAGGTCATCGTTTGGACGGAGTCGCCGCCTCTGACCTCACTTGCGCAGGGTTGGTCGTCCAGGACGCGCTCTGCGTTGCGATTCGGTTCTGAAGGATGACAGCAGGAGTGGAGAGTATCGATACCCAGGATATATGGTCGGAGAGAGGTCAAGATGGCTTTACGCTGTTGTACTACAGGTAATACAATGTGAAACGTTCCCTGAGATACACAGTAGCCGTTCTGAAGCTAGTCGTAAGTCTGTCCTTGGCTGCTCTTGTTTGAACCAGTCAAGCCCACTAGCAACAGCTCTTTGGAAAAATTGCGATTACACTACCGAGGCATGAACTTAGTTTGATCCTTCATCCAATGGTTCATGCACTTTCTTAATTTTTCCAACACGACCTCTTCATCCATCGTAGGAAGCCCAAGCTGAACAAGTCGCTTGTTACTTTCTGCAGCAAGTTCAAGTCGTATTTCTTCGGGAATCTGCGTCCAGCAGCGGAGGTCTTCTCTTTTCGCATGAATCCCTCGAAATTTTGCATCAATCGCCTCGCGAAATACTCTCTAGAGATTTTGTCAGAACCAGGACAGCGCTCGACTTTATTAAGCATATTCACAGCATCGTACTCACATGGGGGAATTTTGTCCCAGCCATATTCTGCCAATCTTTGAAACGATCTGCAACTGTAATTGAATCAGCAAAAAGCTATATTGAACACTGTAGATGTGCATACAGCGCTGCATGTGCCGTAGCGAGGGCAGGACTGATGATACGCGCCACTCGATTCCCTGGTCATCTACTGCCGGAAGCTTGCTCTTTCGCATGGCATCCTTGATTTCTTGGAAGATATCTTCCTTCTTTTTAGGATCGAGTTCTGACCATTTGACGCCTTTAAAATCTTTGCAAACTGCGAGCGAGATGTGCTGAGAAGGAGTTAGTACAACGATGTCATAGCAACCAGTTGCCAGGTGGGGAAGGCACCAAGAAGATTGGCCATTGTCTCTTTGACAGGCCCATCATTTCTCTAACCTGTTTTCTATCCGTGCGCCGTGGAATATGGGTTCCAATTCCAGCTGACCAAAGAAAAGCGGTGATCCTCATCGGGCGGGTTGACCAATACGCGATATTGGCAACATCGCACGCGCTAGATCTGCTTAAACTATGGAGACGTGTACCACAGATACAGATTACTTGTAGTCGAGTCTTGTGGTGCCGATGGTACGGTTGGGGATTGTGGGGAATGCATACAAGTGTTCAATGTCCGCCGTTCTGCAAGTGCAGATATCATGACCCTTGCGTTAAACTATTTCCAGATGACGCTAGCGGCTTAGTGGCGAAAATCAAGTCGGTCCACCACACAGCGGCATGGCGCGTCACGGTTAGCTCAGTCCGGGCGCGTACATGTCACAATGCTCCAGGTTCGAGAAAGTATGCCTAGCCAGCCGCTTAACGCGTCTGCTCCAGCGAAGCAGGGTTCTCATCCTTCGGCGAAACGCCGTGCCCACCGCAGGCTACACCATGTCGGACGCAAGGGAGGCATGGTTGCATATCTTACGCCCCGTCCTGCATTGTTGGTACCTGAGTACCCAGTTACTTAGGTACTGGGGCACTTCTTGAACGCATTCCTTCTCGATCCGCCGTTCCTATCATTCTCAGAGCTCTGCCCACTACATCTTACCGCAACTCTGAACGTCATGGCGTACGAACCTGTTGGACACAACATTAAAGGTCCGCGTGTGTCGGTGGAGGACGCGTTGAGCATCCAATATGATGCTGGGTCGTATAGCAACAGCTCGGATGATTCACGAGATCACGATGGGGAAGACGGTGTGAAAGACAACAAGGACACATCTCACGAAACACGAGTACAGAAATGGCCATCGCGTTCACAGAAAGTAGCGACGATCACACCGCTGAAAGTACTGATCATGGTATTCGATGTGGTTCTGGCATCGACGCCCGTTATGTTTTTAGGTGAGTACCACCAGTCTTGGCATGTCGTTATTCCCCCATTACGAACTGGGAGCGGTCACATGAAATAAGTGCTAATACTGTATAGCACTCGCTTTTGTCGCTGTTAGGCTGAACGGAAAAGAAGTGTCAGACTATGGTCATAAGCTGGAACAAACCCTACTTCTTTCGCCGACCATATTCCCACTTATCTTTGCGGCTTTGATGGGAAGGTTCTTTCGACACCTCGGACTTTGGCTGGCTCAGCGAGGCACAACTCTTGGTCGTCTTGAACAACTGATTGGCTGCCAGTCCGTCTTCTCCGCACTCGAGCGTCAGATTTGCCTGAGGTCTTGGTCTATGGTTGGGCTAGCATCTGTCTTGATTTGGCTTCTTTCGCCAGTGGGTGGACAATCCGCGCTTCGGCTGCTGAACCAAGAAGTTGGAGACATTCATTTTACTAGCCAAATACGCTACATGAGTCCTATGACGATCATGGATTCTATGATGAGTGGTACCTCTTACGCCGGTAAGTGTACATATACGAACACGGTATGAGACACCCACTGACTTTATACCTACTCTTTTCACAGAACTTGGCCGTAACACCTACACGCCCATTACGCTCGCAGCTATACTCAGCAGCACCAGATACCAGAGTACACCCATGGACCTATGGGGGAACGTCAAGCTTCCGCTCTATCGTACTATCGAGAACAGCACGCCTGATGAGTGGAAGTTGGTCCCCAACTCTACCGCCGCCAATATTACTTACGCTTCTCTGATTGGTATTCCGGTTGTTGGACCACCATCTGTTGGCTTCACCTCTTTCAACATAGAAGCTCGACAATGGGATTTGAAGTGCCTGAGCAACGAAGGGCCAACAGACAAACCGGCGGATTTCACTGATGATTTCTCATGGCAACTCCAGATGTACAACGATACACAGCCGCCTTGCAGGAACAACGCAACAGACTGTCCCACCCCGTGGTGTTATGGCTACCCCTGTCCGATTCGGAGTGAATCTGTCGCCCAAGATAGAGAAGACAAATTCTCGATAGCCAACTGTGAGCTTTCGTTCGATAAGTATGAAGCTGGAGTGCGCTGCAACGGGACGTCTTGTGCCGTCTACAAGATGAGAAAGTTGGGATTGCTCGATGAAGACTATCCGATTGGTTACGACATTGTTATCCGGAGATTTACCTCGACCCTACTTGGAGTAATGCCGAGCCTCGACTTCTACAAGACAGAAACGCCAAGGTATCATAAAGGCTCGACGACAATGGAGAAATGGATAGGTGATCCATCCAACTTCATCGGTCTGGGTTTTGTCAACGTCGAACTTTACAAATTATCGCCACAGGCTTTTGGCGAGCGATTGACCATCCTGTACAACACATTCTGGCAATCTACTTATGGCACGCGAGCGCTCGGTGGAAATCTGCCAGCATCTGTAATGGAGACTGCCTGGTTGAACACTACGCAGACCACCGACTCGGTCTCTAGCGTGAAATTCGTCGCGACCGATGCCGACGTATTGCAGAAAACAAAACCCATCTACAAAACGAACTGGAAATGGCTCACAGCGCTATTGGTTTGCTCGATTGTACTGCTAGCTGCGGCCTATTCGGGACTTGTTCTTAAATATATTACGCTCGTACCGGATATCATCGGTTACGCATCTTCGCTGACGCTGTTGAACCCTTACTTCCCGACTCCTACAGGTGGAACTACGCTGAGTGGGTTGGAAAGAACAGCGTTGTTGCGCGACTATCCCGTACGAATAGGGGATGTCTGCCCAGATGAGGCGGTAGGCGCGATAGCGTTTGCAAGGTCCGATATGGGAAGTGTGGGAAGGTTAGACAGAAAGCGATGGTACATCTGAGATCGTAAGACAGTGAAGGAATCCAACAATTTTCACAGTTATAATGCTCGGAAGGATGGATATGTACCATAGCGTTCCACGAAGCTCAACTGTCTCACTACGACTCGGGATATTGTGCGTCGGGTCCCGCGACAATCCGCACGGCGCCTGCATGCCTCTATTATCGCCTATACAGTTCGAATCTATGTTTCCGACGTGGTCAATGACATTCTCGAACACTATAGCGTATCACATATGATAACGACGCAGAAAGGATCACCATACGAAGCAACGCGAGACAAATGACGCCACGTCCACGCGGCTACCGAAATCCAGGATGATGGCTGCAAGCAGCTGTCACCACCTGTCAAGCCTGAGCTGTAAACATTATCGTCTCCAGCAGTAACTCGAGTGGTGCAGTTGTTTTGTCGCGTCGCCGGTTATAAGGCAATGAAGCATTTGGTGTGTCGGTTCCAAGACTTGAGGGGTTTCAGGTGCCTGAGGCACGACCATGGAACATGAACACATCGGCATTGCAGCTCTGCCTACTCATTTTGCGAGCCGCGTTGAAGATACAGATGTAGATGCTGTGGAAATATATATATATATAATGAGAGGCTTTTGATAGAACTCCATCATCAAGCTAACACTCATTCAACTTACATTCACTTCGTGTCATTCTCTTCTCCAGCGCTCGGCCGCCCCATTCGTTCAATACAATATTAAGATACCCAATTTTTTCGACAGTCTATACCGTACAATCCATTCTACCAAAATGAAGTTCACCAGCACCCTTCTTGTTCTCGGCATCGCCGCTCTTACCAACGCACGCGCTGTCTGGGTCCGCCAGAACAATGCACAAACCTTCACCGGCGCTCTCGGTGGTGTCGCAGCCACACCTGTACTCGATTCCGGTATCGCGAACCGCCCCTTCAGTGTGAAGGGCGACACCTTTGTCAACCTTTCAGGTGCTCTGCAGCGGTCTTGCGACCAACAGTTCAACGGCTGTGCGAACTTGGCCAATGGTGGAAATGGAAACTTTTCCACTCAGGAGTGCCAGGCACAGAAAGGTTAGTTAAACAGTGCCGAAGTTTGGAGTTGAAGCTAATCAGTGGTAGATCAATGCACAGCTGCAAGCGCCTGAGTGGCCTAGCACAGTGTTCGCGATAGCGTATTGGAGGGCTTCGGGGGTTGTGTAGCCGTAGGACGAAGAGCAGGAGGCTGGGTGCTTTGCTCCAGGAGGGCTGCACAGCAAGTAAACTATTACGATGAAATGCAACGCGATATATGATCATCTCTCTCGCACCCGTTTGTTGTCTTCACCCTGAAACAGAATATTGCCACCATCATAGAAAGACATGGTCATGTTTGCACTGGCCCCTTCTCTTTCTCGGTTTCATCGTGTCCTAAAGAATCTTTTTTGGGTAAATTTTTGAGGCATGGCGCGTTGAATAGACGGCCACTCCATGCACCTCGTGCTGTCCCAACAGCTACCACGCACCATAGTAGAATGACGGCAACAGCAAAGATCGTCCCCAAGACCCTGAAAAACAGACTCGGAAAGATGTTTCCAAGTTCCATCGTACTAAGCGCCATGACGCCAAGAGGAAAGGTGAACCCCCACCAGCCCATGTTGAACGGAAACGGGCGTGACTTGTAGATAGATGCCAGGGCAAAGCAGAGCCAAGTCAGCCCAAACGCCCACATTATGAGTGCTATGAAAATCCCGACAACGAAGAATATATCGCCTGCCACAGGGATATCTGAGAAGAACTCCGTTTCTGGGAATACTCGTCGGCTCACCATACCAAGATATGTTATCGAATAACCGCCCATACCCAACGGACCCAGTGGCAGAAAAGACGATACAACAATCTCTCGTGGTGGTAGTTTATGTAAAGCCAGACGTGTGTAGTACATGACTAAGACAGTCATCGCTAATGGCGTAGACATGCCCCACATGACATATGATGCGATGATCGTACCAAGCGCATGTTGCGGGTTGGGCAGGTGCTCGGCGACTCTGGCACCAGTACCGGCCGCAACGATAGACGCGGCGATGGGTAGTAGTTGAGCTGCAGTAATACGATCCAAAGCCTGTCGGTCGGATGCAGATATCAGCAGAATGGTGAGCGATATTGTGACAGACACAGCGACTACAGAATCGATCATCCAGCAAACCCAAGCAAAGGTGGTGGCCCAAGATCCCCAGTATGGAATACATATTGAGCACCAAGCTGAGATGAGGGTAGCAAATCCCATCGGGATGGTTCCAAGAAAGAGCGAATTGACGCTGTCCGCGATCATAACGGTCCATATCTCAGGATAGACAGCATATCGGAAGACCGAGACCGAGAAGGCGGATGCGAACAAGATAGTATTGAGACCGAAGAAGATCACGGCAAGCCAATAGAGCCAGTCTGCTTTGAACGGTATAGCCACGAGAAGTAGAGATACTATTCCCGTGCCCATAGTCACGGAGAACCATGACGGCGAAAAGTTTCGGACGATCCTCCGCCACCCGACCTACGTTTGTTCAGCGCAGGATTATGGTACCGTTTCATCGAACACATACATCGTACTTGGTCAGCTCTAGAGGCGCAGGCGTAGCTTGAGAACCAGTAGATTGGGATTTCGACGTCGTTTGGCCTTGAGACTTGAGGCGTCGTATGGGAGCCCGCTGTGCTGCAGGCGCAGTCAGAGCAGGGTTATCCGATGCAATGCGATCCAGCTCGTAGTCATCCATGTACGCGACGACGTATCGGATGTGGCACAACAATGAAGCTGCTGCGAGATACCATTTCCAGTAGCGCAACGGTTCGCCGATGACGACGGTGTCGCGGCGCCGTCGCAAATCAATGAGCCCAGATCCAATCACGTGGGCAGCACGGACCGATCGGTTTCACACGCTGAACCGCGTCGAAAACCCACAAATCTCACTTCATCTGATTTCCAAACCATATCTCACTGTTCCTGGTTACGTCAGCTTCCTTCTCACGCCTCTGCTCACGCACATTTTGGTTCCGCAAGCAGCGACTTCAGCAGCGTACCGCACTCGCGATCCTTCGGTCTCGCTTCCGAACTTCCGTGTGCCGCTGGACCCTGATCTTCGACAGGCGCATCAGCACATTTGGCACCCAGCGACATGCCAGGCTTTTTGGATCTACCCCTTGAACTTCGAAACCATGTATACGAGATATTACTCGGTGAAGAGCTAGGGCGATCTTTCCGTGGGGTTATGGTGGTGTCAGAGCATTATGTGAGGAACGATCTACCGCTTCGGTGCTATCGCGGCTTGCTGCGCGTATGTCGCCAGATCCATGGAGAGTTTAAGCAGGCAATTCAACATTTGGTCGCCGCAAAACGCCTAAACTATGAATTCGACATCACATTTTCGCATGGTCGGCCGTACTTCTCCTTGAGCTGGGTTCAATTTGCGGCGCTTTCGCCTACCTTCAACCAACTTCTCATCAATGTCGATTTGCGCACTCGTGAGCCTCTCCGAGACGGGCCTCGCGAGTCCTTCGTACCCCATGAACATGAGCTGGCTCATCTGTTAGAACATTCCCCTACTTGTTTTGCCAAGCAACTCTTCGACTACATCGCCATCTTCCTGAAAACGCTCGCGAATCTGCTGTTCCAAGGCAACCCTCACTTCAGTGTTCTGTACACCGAACGCATGATACTGAATTTGCGTACCCCAACAAAAGTGGTTGCGCTCGGAGGAAATGGTCATAACCCCATAACCTTATCACGGAGGCTTCGCGTCGACCAGATAGAGGCTCGCAAATTGCATAACACCATGCGCAACACCCTGCAGACTACGTCGAACAACTTTAAAGCGTTCGATGCAAGTCACTGCGACCAGCTCTTTCCGTTAATCCAGATTGGATCACTGCGATTCGCAACCGAAGGGCAAATTTGGGGCGAGGGACACAATTTGGTGCTTGCTCATGATGACTTTCAGTGGCTGCGATTCTAGATATTTCGTGAGCTCTGGAGTCATCAAATCATTTCGAGTCACAACCAAAGTGTTTGGACGAGTCTACAATAGGCGCACTGCCATCACTCACGGAAAGCCGAAGGCTCATTAGGGTAGTGGCACGTGTTGTGTGGTTTGCGCAGACGGACTTGGTCCAGGAATTGGCTATAACCAGTTTCGTGACTTAACCCTGCATGTGTCCGTGAAACATAGTCTTACTAATGGCTCTGTACACATTGAGCTGCAGACAGGTCGTTCAAGGACTCCAAAACAGTCAACAAGAAAGATTTCCGTACAGGACAGCACCTGACATCATGTGCTCTTTCATCACGCACTCTTCAATAAAGGCCAGCCTCCCAAGATCAAACACACGTTCAAACATACTCGTGTTATATGATTCCGCCAGTAGTGCTGTTAGGCGCTAAACACCTGCGTGCGGGAGTAGAATATACTCTATTGGATTACGTTGAGGAATTCCAGGCAATTCAGTGGACTTTGAGCTATCTTGAAACTAAGGGGATAAAATCGGAAGGCGACTGCTAGTTCTCTACGGTCCGCCAGCAGTGAAGTCTCGTCGGTCTGAGAGCGCTCGCGATATAGTAGTGACGTATCGCTGCGTCCAATCTCGCGCACCGCAAACGCTCAAGAGCCACTCGCCCACAAGCCGGAAAACCTGTCACAAGTGCTCCAGTTCCTGTGACTTGTCCTCTTGTTCTTTATTTCTCTTTCCAATTTACTGTCCTTTTATCCTTCCTCCAACCACTTGGCGCTCATCATCCAAACCAAATATGTAATGACACCAACGCTTTCATGGCAATCAAATTCACTCTTCACTGCCCTTCGACCGAAAAGACTAAGAAGGATTTCATGATCCGGAATCCCGACAAGCACTTCAATCTCCTCTACGATATTCGTTCGATATTCAGAACCAACTACGCTGCGGTCTACGACATCCGCGCCAAACCAATCGATAACCTTCGCGATTGCGTATCGGGACAGGTTGTACAAGTTGCTATCAGTCGAGACGAGACCATGAAATATTACAAGCCATGGAACTGCATCATGTACAACGGCGAGGACAGCGCAAACGTAGACTGGATGACTGATGGCGTTGGACTGGCATGGGAGGTACGGAACATCTGGCAGAAAAAAGAAGTACCGATAGCTAACCGGAAGTAAGGACCTTAACGATCAACAAAGGTGCGCCCACATCACGTGTGTTTCCAGTGCTGGCGCAAACACCGGTGGCTTCGTTCAAACCAACATCATCCGCATCACGCGCCCATACGCCACCGTCAAAAAGGAGGTACAGGAAATCCTCGTCAGTGATCCCGAACAGATGTGCACCCAACCCGATGTCGGTATGGCAATCTTCTACAATTGGAACTGGAAGTGGGAGGTTTTCCTGCCAGCTTCCATGATGCCCGACGACCCCAAAGACGTGTCTCCCAAAGTCCTCAGTCTCCTCACCGTCCTTTCTTCTTTTACCCATGGTTCAGCACGTAAGGTGCGCGCCTACGTCATTGAGGCCGTCAAGGCGCGTCTGGCTGAACTGGGAGACGGAGAGACTAAAGATCCATTGCTGCAGGAGGAAGATATTGTTCATGTCATTAGTACGCTCTACGAGAAGGCGGGAAGTCCAAAAGCCAAAGACTACCTAGCTGAAGAAAACAAGGTGAAAGAGAGGGAACGGAAAGAGACCTGGAGCATGAGCCGAAGACCAGAAGGCACGAGAAAGGAGAAGGCGTGACATAATGTGGACGACCTTACTCAGCGGCTGGGTAGGGTTTAGAAAGAAAGTCGCAAGATCCGAGCTTCAAATGGTCATGATCACTGGTCCATTTCAACCTCTCAGAGGATGAGTAGATAGAGCTTGCAAAGTGATGTCTGTCGACTACTCAGTAGTCCGGCTGGATAATTCTTGCAATAGTATAAGAGCCAGGCGCCTGAATACCCAGAAAACCGTCACATTAGGTTCCTTAAACTCCAGGTATATACCCTAATCAATCGCTAAACCCTTCGAACACATCTTCCGCCTCTTGTGCTTCTTTCGCTGCTACCTTCTTCCGTACCTGCTCAATCATACCCTTCACTCTTTGCTCCTCCTTCCTTTCGTCTTCCGTCAACGCCGCCACACGATCATGCTCGCGCTTTGCTGCCTTCTTCTCTCTTCGTAGTTCCTTGAGCGCCTTCTGGTCCTTCTGCTGCGTCCATGCCGAGGCCTTCTTGTCTTCTGTGACATATCGCTTCTTGCCCTCAGCCTTATTTGCCTCGTATTCACTCTGCTCGGTCTGTCGTTGTTGTTCCCGCACTTTGTCCTTGTATGCATAGGTGCTGAAATCCATCTCCACCCCCAGACTTCGGTCTCCTTCCCACTTTTTCAGTTCCGGCATGCTGGGTAGCTTGAGCAGACCCCAGGCATTACCATGCTCTGTCCAATCGAGATCTGGAATACGGAAGATGGAACTCGCGGTATGCTTGCTATAGGCACGGACCCATGAAACGAATCCCCGCTGTGCTTTGTCAAATAGTGCTCGGTCGGACTTGACTACCTTCCGTATCCGGTTGCTCATGGCTGCTGCTTCTTCCGCGGTTACTGTAACATCAGGTGTAGTAAAAGGCGATACAGGGGTCTGCCGAACTCGGAGGAACTCAATGTAGTCTTCTTCTCGTCCTGGGCTGAGGAATGTAATGGCTAAACCCTTGCGGCCCGCTCGGCCTGCGCGTCCGCAACGATGGATAAAAGTCTTGGGATCGCTTGGGGCATCTAGTTGAAGAACAAGATCCACCGAGGGGATATCGAGACCACGTGCAGCGACATCTGTGGTGAGAAGGATAGACGGTGTGACGCTCTCGACGAATTTGATGAAGTTGCGATTTCTGACTTTGTCCGGCAGTTTGCCATGCAGAGGCACGATGGTGTACCCTTTGAGGACTTCGGGTAAGATGTGTTGGAAGTAGTCCACCGAAAAGCATGTCGCCAGGTACATGATGGACTTTTGCGGCTGTGGTTCTAAGGACGAGAGCACTTTCTTAATTGCAGGTAGCTTGTGCGAAGCGGGTACGGTAAGGTAGGACATTTGTAAACTTGCTGGTGTTTTCTTGTCTTCAATGGCGCCCATCTCTCCTGTCGCACTATTGGGTGCAGCTCGCGCCTTGACTTTGACTGCAATACGGACAGGATTTCGGAGACCAACACGAATCAACTGGTCGACAGCCTCGGAAACACTAGCACTGAAGAGACCGGTCCGGCGTTGCTTTGGTAGTCGGGAGAGAATCTTCTGTAGGTCGTCCTTGAAGCCAAGATCCAGAAGACGGTCGGCTTCATCCAGTACGAGAGCATCGAAGGATGACTGTGAGCAATGCACATGCGGCGAGGAGAGGAGTTCCAGTAGACGTCCCGGTGTACCGATAAGTACGTTGGTAGATGACTTGAGAAATCTACTAAGATCCTGAGCTGGCGTTACTGATCCTCCAAGGAGTAGCTGGGGTACGACCCTCAAGGTTCCTGGTGGGAAGGTCGGCTTTGGTGGAGCATCGGCGTCCTCCATGTCGGTGTCTTCATCCTCGGGATCCAGTAGGGCTGCGGAGGGCGCATGGAATCTCAGAAGTGACGATAGTACAGTGTGAATTTGTGTTGCAAGTTCCCTTGTTGGTGAGATGATAATGGCACCCACGTGATGCTTCTTTATGGGCGCATCAAGCCGCAGCAGGCGCTCAACAATGGGTATCAGGTAACTAGTAGCTTGTTAGACAAAAATGAGATTTCGTGATGCGAATCTTACGCTAGAGTTTTTCCACTTCCTGTAACGGCTTCGACTACAACATCAGAGTTCTTCATGAACATGGGGATGGCAGCATGTTGTACAGGCGTAGTTTTCACAAAGCCCATGGAATCCACAGCCTCGAGTATCCATTCTGACAGGGCGGGCGTCAAGGCGCCAAAAGATCGATCTGTCTTTGTTTGGGGTGCCATGATGCACGTAACACTTGTGTTAATGTCTTCTGAAGCTGCTGGAAAGTCGCGACGGCCGTACGGAAAAGTCGCGCGAACTCTGAAATTTTAGTGGAGCCGCGCACAGCCATATTATGGACGCCACAGTCATGCGCCACACGTGCCCACTGGCAGACACGATTGATGACACGCGAGATCGTCACTTGTCACTGTCTCGAATGCATCTGCCAAAAGCTTGTGTTGGCAAGATACGCTGCATTCCGGTTCTCCTTTCTGCTATGATAACACACTCCCTTTCCCCCTTACGACTAGAACCTGATCGCATCGCCAAGACGGATCCGCAGCCACGCTGATCATAGGCGCATTCGCGAGAACCGGATCGTAACTACATGCGTAGGCTTGCGATCAAATTTCCCAGTTCCATGCAGCAAGATTACCTAGCCGTACCCCCCAATACGTTCCCTGTTTACCCGCCTATAATAATCAAGACGACCGCTGCTGTCGCCTGCACGCACTGTGGCATCTTCTGCCTCCCTAAACGATGCGCGCTGCCCGGACGAATCCGCGGGCTATGAGTCTGTGATCACACCTGATGCTGACATCAATGTCGAAGCCACCTTAAGTGCCGCCGTCCCGTATGTTAGCTGTGACGCGCCAACTCAGCCTTGTTACATATATTCGCAACCCTCGGACCACCAGTTTCTTCTTGTAAACATCGCCTTATTGTGTGCCAGGGCCCGCTCCACACTTTCCGGCGTCATCCGGGCTCCTACTTTACCTTACTTTCCCACCTGTTGGCGCGCTGCCATGGAATCTTCACGCCAATACCAGATACCCAACACGCCGCGCGTAATATCGCCGTCACCCACACCATCGGAGGCGGGCAGCACGAAAGATGGCTACTTTGGCCCGGTAACGCGCTCGTCGACGCGCAAACAACGAATTACGTCACCTCCGCCCATCGATGAGGACTCGTCCAGCTCAGATCCCGACAAGAGGGCTCGCGCCAGGAGCCGGAGTCCCAAGCTGGATGGAGGCGTGGGGAGACGGAGGATGAGTGGCCTGACGAGCCGAAGGCAGATGAACGGAGGCATGAAGAAGGATCTCACGCTGCCTGCCAACACCTCCAACGGCCACTTGTCACCAGCGCAAGCAAACAAGAATTACTGGAGGGAAATGAGCAGAAGCCCAAGTCCTCTGGGCTTGATTCCCATCCACCAGAAATGGCGGTCATTCGTGAGTACGCACGCCATACTACAAGGTCCACTGCTGACGTTGGTAGATTCACCGACACGAGATCCCCCGCAAGATCCTGCACGTCTCTATCGGCTTTCTCACAATCTTTCTCTACTGCATCGGCACGCAAACCTCGCAGATACACAACGTCCTCCTGACCATGCTAATACCCATCGCCCTGACCGACGTCATACGCCACCGTTACTGGCAAGTGAATCGTTTCTATATCCGCTGCCTGGGTGCGTTCATGCGCGAGTCGGAGGTAGATGGATACAACGGCGTCATCTCCTACCTCCTAGGCGCGTGGATTGTAATGCGCTTTTGCCCAAAAGACATTGCAGTCATGAGCATCTTACTGTTGAGTTGGTGTGACACCGCTGCCTCGACTTTTGGCAGGCTCTGGGGCCACCTTACGCCCAGAGTCAGAAAAGGCAAGAGTCTTGCGGGCTCCATAGCGGCCTGCGTAACAGGCGTCATCACAGCTGTCGTATGGTGGGGCTGGTTAGGGCCTCTCTACTCAGAATACAACCACGGCGAACACGCTTTTGCGTTCCAGGGCGCGCTGACGCTCCCTCCGCAGGTGCGGGAGACTCTCGCCTTGTCCCCGAAACAAGCTTCCCTCACTGGATACTGGGCTCTGGGCGCCATGTCTCTGGCGTCTGGCGTCATTGCCAGTGCTAGCGAAGCGATTGACGTCTTTGGTTGGGACGACAATCTCACCATCCCCGTGCTTTGCGGAGCCGGGTTATGGGGCTTTCTCCGGATCTTCGGATGATCCAAGCTTCTTGATCTGTATGATTTTACGTTTTGTCGCCTTTTCGGCTCTTCTTATCCAATCTATATCCCTTTGGATCAATGATACCCTAGATACGGGTCCTCGGGGTGGCATCGCATCGGTCATGGTACGACGGCGTCATGGGCGTTTGGACAGATGGAGACGGAAGGGCATTGGGCCAGTAGATTTAATCTTGAATCAGTATACCTACAAGCAAATAATAATCTTTCTTGCAATCACGAAGCTACTTTGGTGAGGGCGTTGTAGGGCTTATCGAGTTTCAAGCCGAGGTCCAAATTCTCACGTTGCTCATCTCTTTTGGGTTCCATCCACGATCTTGCAAGCACCAGATCCAGCTCTCTCACACGCCTCCAGGACCGGAATTCGGCATGTACCCGTTCTCGATGCAGAGCAAACGCAAAAGGGAAGGCCTGGATATTCTAAGGGACCCCTGCCATGTGATATTCGACTTGGCGCATACCGCCACATGCACCCCAACGATTGGAGGCTCACTCTGACTTGCTTCTTGATATACTGTCACGCACCACACCTTCGGCTAGGGCGACTGACGATACAATCTGACTCTTGCGATTATATTACTTACTGAGCAGCCCAATACTCACAACGGTCAACGCATAGGCCCCTGCCGATCGCCCGCAGATTGCCCCGCCACACCCGCCGTTGAGAGGCCTCCACGTCCTACGCCCGAACGCGCCTCTGGAATCTCCACCTACCCTCTTTCCGCAACTGACCTGGCGCACACGAAACTTTCTCACGCAGGCACAACTGTATCGGGATTGCTGTAAAACGTCTGCAATCTCTGCGCCTCTCTGTCATAAGCGTCTCTCGGTCGCATCCCCCACCTGTTCACTCTGCGCATATCGTTCAACTTGGGACGCCACTTCTACGCACACACTTAGAGAGATACCATGGCATCGTCGTCTGCGGCAGCGGGGCTACTAGCTCGCCAGCTTAAGCAAATGCAAAACGACAAGAGCATATCGGGCATAAGCTGTGGTCTAGTGGACAGCAATGTGTTCGAGTGGGAGGTGATGCTGATGATCGACGATGACACAAAGTTCTATGGAGGTACTGACTGAGCGATGGTCCTAACAGAGTGCCGCGGCAGTACTGACAGCATGCTTAGGAGGGTTCTTCCGCGCGCGCCTCACCTTTCCCAGCGAATACCCTCTTCTACCGCCAAAGATGCGCTTCGAGACACCCATCTTCCACCCCAACAGTGAGTCTTTATCCTACGGCTCCATGGCATAGGCCGCTAATATCATAAAGTCTACCAAAACGGCGAAGTATGTATCTCGATCCTACACCCCCCAGAAGAAGACAAGTACGGTTATGAATCCGCCGCTGAACGCTGGTCGCCCGTTCAAACGCCCGAGACCATCCTCCTCTCCGTCATCTCCATGCTGTCCAGCCCGAACGATGAGTCACCAGCAAACGTCGAAGCTGCGAGCTTGTGGCGAGACAACACACCGGAGTTTAAGAAAAGGGTGCGGAAGTGCGTCAGGGACAGTCTGGAGTTTGAATGAGGTAGGCGGAGGGAGGCAATTTCGTTCATGAATGCATAAGCGTGGCTGGGTATCTGGGTATGCGATATTGGATCACGGCGTGCATGGTGGTTGTCTAGGTGCCATCTAGGAAGCATGCAATACATGATATCTTATCCTGGGGTGTTTATATCATGAGAAGATCGAGTTCCCTGGCTGAAGATGTTTTTGCAGTTTTATACTTGAACACACGGGCGTAAGTCTCTTACACATCTGAGCAGGAACCATGGATTGAGCCACGTTTCAATCTGCTGCAGACGCAGGTATAAAGTTCAAAGAAGAGATGTACTTGTCAGGAAAGCAAATTTCTTGTTCTATCATACAACAACCTTCTCTGCCGGTCTTCCAACACTAAAATATATGTACAAAATGTTCTACCCGAAGGAGTGAGAGGCAGGAACAACAAGAACGGTAAATGTATCCACAAATCTCCCTCTCCAGGACAACCAGACGCCATCCTATCTCATCACTCATCTCATATGTCCACCAGAGATCCTTCTCGATGGTTTACTGTCTCAACAGGAAAGCTCGCATGTCATGGAAAATCTAAGCAGCAGTGCAAAGCAGTCCATCGGCGCCAAGGGGCAAGACACAGCACTGAGCGGTGGTACCATCCTTGGCGCAAGCAGCGTTGAACTCCTCGGTAGTCTTGATACCGGCGCCAGCTATAAAGATTCTGTCAGCTCTTTGTTTATTTATAAGCTAAGATATGAGTAAAACGTACCATTAGCGCAGTTCAAGTTGGCGACACCAAGGACGTCAGTCTGGCAGCAAAGAGGTGTAGCGAGGCCGCCGCAGATACCGCTTTGGCGCTCGACGAGAGTGGCGGGGTAGCGCTTTGTGACAGCGGCGGCGGAAGTGAGGCTCAGAAGAGCAGTGAAGGTGGCGAGTGTGAACTGCATTTTGGTGATGGTTTGAGTGGTTGGCTGGTTTGATTGGAGTGTAGTGTTGTAGTGAAGATGTGATTCTAGAGGATGAAGTGACTGCGATGATGATTCTGTTGTAGAGGGGAAGAAGAGGTATCTTATATGTCTCTGGATTATGGGACAGTGAAACTGTTTTGCTTTCCTTGAGGTACGATATACCGACTCTGTACGTCTTCCCCCTTTCGCTACTCTCATGTCAGGTCTACTGTAATCATTCTCCCACGTCCTAAACGTCGATCACATCCCTAATGCCTCCCTATACTTTTCCATCTCATCATCAAATCCCACAAACATCCACTCTCGGACGTCCATCCGACGTCGTCCTTCGCCAGCCCCAGTCTACCCATCCTGATGATCGACATGAGGCTTAGTTACGATCCACATCCGCCGAGACAACTGAACAGGGCCACTCAATCCGAATGGAGGCATACAGTCCCCGTTCGGGCTGTAGTTCCGCTCTATTCGGCTACCTGTGGTGCCCTGCGGAGCAGAAAAGGAAAGCTAGACGTGGGGACATGATTAACGTCAGGGTAAGTGTTAGCATGCTGCTAGGGTTGAGGGTTGATGTAGATCGGATAAGCTTTCAAATATTGCTCCACCATAAGCAATTGCTTGGGACAGCTTCAGCCCGACGGCGCAGATGGGAACGATGGAAAAGATGGGTTGCGTGTATGCTTTGGAAGTTTGGTCCGGTCACGGCTGTGCTACTGGAGACGTTGGGTTTGCTTGTTGGTCCTATCCCACGCAACGGTTGTTGAAAGCAATATTCAACTGAACGACAGGTCGACGCTCTGAGGGTGTTTGGGTCTTCCTGTGACGCTGTGATTATTGGGAGTGGTGTTGACTGGCTTGACTGCGTCATGAGAAAGTGCTTCAGAGCCTTACAACTCCGATATCGTACCTGCATACGACTCCACGATGTCTCCACGGCAATGTGGGAAGAGAATTAGATCACCATCCCTGTGTCCGATCAAACAGGATCGGGTCGAAGGATGATGGGGCTGTCAACACTGTCAAAACGTGGACACAACATTTGACACATTGCCTACCAAGGTAGATAGCTGTGCCACCTCGCCGACCTCATCACAAAGCTACTTCGATAGCTTCAAGACTTCGAGCTACCGATATCATCCCTAGGTGAGGTAACACATCTTCGTTCCTTGTGCCCTATCTCCCAGCGTACCCACCGTATTCGTCCCAGCCCCCACACGCTACTTCGGCGCGGCGCGGGTGAGGCGTCGATCATGACGGCAGACGGTACAAGCCCTATCCTCGGATGCCGGCTGCAGTCTGATTCCTATCTCTGGATGCCAGGGACAGACAAAAGCAATTTACTGCTATTGTGAGAAAAGAAGGGGTTGGACCTCGGCAAGATCACGGATACTGATATCGTCACCAGCATATGCAAGGCGCAGGGAACATCACAATGCACATGGAAATTGTAAAAACGTCGATTATCTGCCGTCTCTCCATAAAGGGAAGAAGAAGAAAGCACATGGCCAGCATCCACTTTCACTCTTTCCTTCTTCTACGTAAATTACGGTCTCTCATTCTCTATCTCTCACTTCATCAAATCGTTCAAGGAAATGGGAACAGCAAAACAGTGTGGTGGTGCAAACATCCTAGGGTATCGTAGCGCCAAAAGTCCCGCGGCCAAAAACAAATAGATCAAAAGCGCCAGATGGTCCAATCCCATCTTTAATTCCTCTCCAATCTTATATATCATCCCACGGAAAGTCTTGCGGATCGATTCTTGTGCACGTCAAATAAGGCAGGCCGCCTTCTCGTAGGTCAAGCTCGAGGAAGTTGCGCATCAGCGGCTTTACTGCGTCCTTGGCCTTGTTCTTGATCTCGTCAATTCTTCGTTCGAATCGCTTGAGGTTGTCACGGTTGTAGTGATCCGGATTCAGTCGCAGAAAGCGCTTGCACTCGTCGTGATTGAGGTAAGTTGAGCCAGCCTGGCCGAGTAAGCGGAAGATGCGACCTGTGTTGAAGACGGGTGGAGCTGGCAGCGGCGCTCCGTCTCGCGAGTTCTGAGGCCGTGGTGATTTGAGAATCGGAGCTGGGGGTGGCGTGGTGTTCTCCGCTAGCCATTGCCGGAACAGTGAGACTGCTATCCAGTCCAGCCAGTTGCTCGATGGACTGACACGCTCGCCGCGACTAGTTGTGAGCGATAAGCGAAAGAGCTTGACTTCAATCTTCGCCTTCAGCTCGTCCATCTCGTCAACCTTGTCTTCTATCAGCTCAAGGACGGGCTCAGCGATTTGACCGCGCAGTTGGTTGATGCCCTGTGGCCATTGTCCGACGACGTGCACCATGGCTTCGGCAAAGATGGCTTTACTCCGTGCCATGTAGCCCAGTTTGAGATAGCTGGGTGGATATTTGGCTATCTGTTTCCACAGCCGACCCTGGAAGCGCAGCAGATGGTGGTCCACGCGCGGTCCGATGACACCAAGCGCGTCGTACATGTCGGCGAGTTGTAGAAGCGATTTGCACTCTACATAGGCATTGGCGATATTGACAGCATCGAGCGAGGGCGGGTAGTTGTAAAAGATGCGGAACAGGTTGTCGTAGTCTCGGAAGATGTCGTCGTCGGGGTCGGTCTCCGGAGCGGGTGCTGTTGGCACGTGGAGGGTGGAGAAGTTGGCCATGCTGCGGAAGAAGCCTGACTGTGGTGGTGCAGGCTTGTTGCGCGCATTAGGCGGCTGTGGAGGTGGACTTGTTTCGCCGCCAAACATTGTAGGCTGATTCTTCTGTACGCTCGTTAGTATGTCTAACCCCGTGGACGTGTAAACAACGCACCTTCTGCACGAGCATGGGCAGGTCATCGTCGCCGCTGCCCCAATCCATCTCGTACCTCCATTTCCTCTTCTGCTCCGGCCGTGACCCTGATGGTATCCTCGATAGGGCGGTGCCGTTGCTGGGACCGGCATTGGTCACGTCGCCGGCAGTCGCCCACTCGTCACTCGTCCCAGCCTCAAAGAAGCCAGAGCATTGCGTCAGAATCAACTTGTGCAACAGATAGCGCATGTGCTTCCGTCCGTTGTTGATGACGATTTCGACGTCGCCGGTATGCGTAAACACGGGAAATTCATTCTGGGGGGCTAGCGACGGGCTCCCAACGTTGGACCGGTGCTGGCGATGTCTGCGGACGGTGGATGCGCGCGAGGAATGGGACACCACCGACGACGGACGCCGGATGGGCAGTGAGCGCTCGGCACTCGACGAGTCTGGGTAGGAAACCATGCGCCGCGACGTTCACGCTTTCGCTGGTGTTGTTGTGCTCGGGGTGACGCAAGGAGTGGTGGCCGAAGGCGTGGTTTGCGACGGCGATGGGTGCCCGCGAATATTGCGACAAGTCGAGGATGGCTGGGGAGTGCGGGGGCGAGCGTGTGGCGACAGCAACAGGGCTGCGTGTTGCGTTGTTTGCACGCCGCGGTGCAGCTCTAGGTGCAGGCAGGCTGGTTGTTGATGCTGGCTGGGTTGAGGCTGGAGGGTGCGCAGGCCGTAGACGAGAATGGCCCGCAAAACCACCCCACCACAAATGCGATGGCGCCAAAGGTGGACCTGGGCCAGAACCGGTTCAGCGCGACAGGGGACACTGTGCTGTTTCGCGATACATGTGCAGTGTTGAGAAAATGTTTCAGGAGCCGTGCAGTAGTAGACAACAGTGGCTGTGTGGCGACTGTCCACATGGTCGCTATCCGCATGCAACTGGTCCCATGCACGCTGCGACGCTGCTTGAACGGCCTGGAGGCTGTGCGCCAATCGCCGCACATAACCGGGCCAAGCGCAGAGTCAGCCTCGATGGCGACCAGCTGGGATGTCGCGGCCAAAACAGGGGATCGAAGCATTTGATCATCCGAACCTTTCAAGGTTGATGCAGGGGGCGAGCAGCGTCGTCTGGTAAACATTTGCGGGCCACAGCTTGACTGATCCTCTCGCGAGTACCGTTGTGACGCGCATTAGTTGTGCAACCAACCGCCTGACATCATCGTCTAATACATATACATATACATAATACATGATTGTACATTGCTTCGTCGCCACTATGCCTGTATCTTCTCCTGCCCGCCCATGAAGGGTCGCAGCACCTCTGGTATCGTCACCGCGCCGTCTTGTTCGTTCCAGTGGTTCTCCAATATGGCTGCCAGTACTCTGGGTACAGCAAGTGCAGTTCCATTTAGTGTGTATGGGAACTCTAGCTTGCCCCCCTTGACACGCATGCGAGTTTGCAGCCGTCGACTTTGGTAGTCAGTGCACATGGAGGACGACGTCACTTCACCCCATCCTTGGTCCTTCTCTCGAGACGGGAAGAAAGCTTCGATATCAATCTTTCTCGTTGCGCTGGCACCGAGGTCTGTTGTGGGCATCTCCAAGATGCGGCAGTGCAGTCCGAGTGCCTCTAGTATCTCCTTTTGGATTGAGAGCATCTCGTCAAAAATTGCTTCTGCGCTTGGTGCCGTTGGTGTGGTAAAGTGATCATCTCCCATGTGATCCGGCGATGTCCAAGCGAACATCTCGACCTTGGTAAACTCATGAACACGGTACAAGCCCTTGGTGTCGGCTCCACGGGCGCCAGCTTCAGCACGGTAGCATCTGCTCACGCCGACTGCCTTCAAGGGCAAATCCGCTTCCTCTAGAGTCTGGTTGGCCTTCATGCCAGCCAGTGGTATCTCCGCAGTGCCGGCGAGCGCTAGCTGCGGTTTTGCCTTGTCCTTCTCCGACTGCTCGATAGCGTAGATTTGCTGCTCTCCGTTCTGATCCCGCGGCTGGAACCCACATGCAGATGCAATGTGCGAGTACACCAGGGAGGGCGGTGCAACTGCCTTCCATCCTTTCTTTCTAGCAACACTCAGCGCATACTGTACGAGTGCCTGTTCCAGCATTGCACCATCTCCCACGAGAAAGTACCAGCCCCATCCCGAGGTCTGCGCTGAGCCCGAGAAGTCGAGTATTCCCAGTTCTTGTCCGATATCAACGTGCGACTTGCGAGTTTGTTTCGAAGACTCGCTCTGGGGGTGCGAGTTTATATAGCCAAGTACGTCAGCCTCAGTGCCGACTGGCGTGTACGTGCTGCTCAGGTTGGGCAGGTCCTGCGCCAGGCCCTCTATCTGTTCCTGGATTTGTGATTCTTGTGCTTCGATGGAGCTCAACTCGGCCTTCAACGCCTTTGCTTCGCCAATGATTCCTTCCCTCAAAGCTACCGGATTGCTCTCAGCATCTTTAGCGCGCGATGCCGTCCTCGCCAGGTTGGCTCGAATGCGATTGTTGCGTTCTCGTAGGTCTCGGCTGCTTTTCTGGAGCGCGAGCCATTGCTCGTGCAGCTCTATGATGCGCCATGAAGACTTGCTGTGTGCGGCATAGTTGCGGTCTATGCAATTTTGCTCATACAGTCCTGGGTTCTGGCGGATGTGCTTGATATCGATTGTGGGCTTCGGTGCGAATGCGGGTCGAGTGTACGTTCGGCATAGTGGCAATCTCGTTTGACCTGACGTCAGATTGCTGTGTATAATTGGCCTAGAATTCGTGGCATTGCCTCGAAGAGACCGGTGAATGGCTTTCATGGTTGTGACATGTGGGATGCGATCGAATCATTTCCTCTGTCCCGCTTTCGCGCTGTCCCAACTTTTGAGCATCCTTGATCCCTGCACGTCTCCGTCGCGTAAGTCGCGTCTACCTCCCCGCATTCTCTCTCACTTCCTCTACCACGCGCTGTGAATGCACTTGGACGCGTACGATGGCGATCCCGTGCTACGCAACATATGGTGACTGCGTATCAGAGAGTGAAGGTTGCATTCACGAGAGCCTCTTTTTCTCTTTCGACTATTCGTCTACAACCATCACAAAGAGAGGTATTGATAACCATGGTCCACAGCAAGCAACCATAGCGGAACCATGGTATTCGAATCTCTGAAAATATCGAATATTGACTGAAATATTCTTTTCTCAACTTCCCCACCTCAGAGAATATCCTATGAATTAGTCAGAGCACCTCTCGTGCCTATCGTTAACTCCAACTCCATCACCTACTAAATCGCGGCATGTGGGTGAGCAGGCAATGCCACTGCCTAGCTCAAGTGCTCTTCGCAAAACACGCTAAGAACACGCGCCACCTACACCAAAGATACGAGTCCCATGGTCAGCGAGTCGAGAACCGCGGATGAGAAGCGAGGTTGCCTAGTTACTGACGTGTTACTGCCTCGCACTTCTTATGTAAAGTCATCCGCACTTACTCTTTCTAAATTATTCTCTCGTTCCCTCCTAAACTTTAGATTCTACCTGCTTACCTGCCTCAGGTGCTGACGTGAAGAAATGAAGCATAAAGAGGACCTGATGCCGCTCCTCTCTCCTAGCAAGCATATCATCAGACAACACTCACTACAACACAACGAACACCTATGGCAAGACATGTCCACTCGAACACCAGAATATCAACACGAGTTAGACGTTTTAGAAAAGAAACGTCAGGTCAAGGAAGAAGAAATGTACTGGCAAACGATACAGTTAGTCGTTATGTGGAGCGGGGGTATTATTTGCGTCCTCATATTTTGCCTCACATAGAGGGGGTCTGGAACGAACACTCTGTCAACTCTACAAGAGAAACCTACGACTTTCCCAACAGTCTCAATAGCGTGTTTAACTACCACGAGGTTTTGACGTCTCTCACAATGGCGCCGGCAGCGTCGAATCCGAAGACTCCACACGCTCCGACAAAGTTCGTCCCATCAACAATATACAAACCCGCTGTTCTGCATCCGCCACATTCTCTCAGCAAGATAGGGCAGAGCGGCCACTGGGTACCATATCCTCTTGGTCTCATGCCGTACGATTCTTGGTACAAGCTCCATCATAGTAATGGTGCTGACATCCAGCCGAAACCGGCTCTCAGCTGTCCGGTCTGTGGAGGTAAGCGTGAAATGACCGCTCACATGCACAAACTATTTCTGGTCGCCGAACGGCTTACCTGGGAGGACGATCTACTGTCAGTTCACGACAAAGAACTCAACGCGAACTTGAACCTCAAGATCAACAACGAGCACGGCATCCAACGGCCCATCGTCAACAACTCAGTACATCTACCTGGGAGCAAGTACAGTAAGATGAACAAATTCCATCCTTACTACAATGAGCATGAGATGATGCTCGCCCTTGAACTTCTGTCTGCAACAGAGAGCTTGACAGAAGCATCGTGGTCGTTGTGGCTTGAGATGCAGCTGTATGCCGAAAAGATATGGGGAGCAGGCGAAACAACAGGTAGTCTCTCGTCTGAGACGATGGCAGGAGAGCATATGAGAGCACCTGACACGACATCACATGACTGTGTGTCTGAACGACCGAGACACACTTCTGGGTTGCTCACGCCGCCATTATCCTCCGAGAAAGAGCCTGTGCATGAAGACGCTTCCTTGAAGACATCCACGACCACTGTCTTGCCCATTCACGCTGCTATTTCTGCCATGCAACAGAGTCGTTCTACCACCAACGCCACAACTTCTTCCAGCTGTAGCAACCGCATCATCAGCTATAGAAGCCTGCAAGACTTCTACACCCTTCTCGACCAGATTGAGAGAACATCGTATGTCGGAGCGCTCTTCCTGGAATCGTACGCTGAGAGGCTGAAGGACGATATGTGCAAGGACTGCTGGTTTGCTCACAACGTCAGACTTGATGTTTTCTAGTGAGTTTCCGTGTACGTTCATTGTTTCGAAAACCTCCCTAGAAGCTCACTATATATTCCTGCGTTGGGCGAAAGAGGGGCGATGCACGGAAGCGGAGCTTGTTCCTAGCCGTCGCGGCATTACGCCTCTTGTGGCGGTGCTCTGTACATAGACATATGAAACCCATCACAACATGACGTGGTCTCGTGGCTGTATTCCGACATGGTACAAACATGTCAGGGTGGATAACAAAGTGTCGTGTGCCTGATGCGCTGCGTGATGAACTCTCGGCTCGCTAATCGCATCTCGGCTTAGAGGCATGGATTGTTCCAAGCTTCGTCGTCATCCGCACCTTTACCAGGCATCCTCGAGCGGCGTGCATCATTGTGCCGCTGCGGCCTTGGGTCTTCTTGTCTCCCTAACTATAAAGACGCTCTTGCCTTGCCCCCGCCGTCAGCCACTTCGCTGCTTCCTCGGAAAGGCCAGGTCCGACCATCGCTCCTGCCCGCGTGCAACCCTTACCACCCTGACATCACACCTCACACCTCCACCACCGCGACTATTACACTCCACGCTCGACTGCGACGATGCACGACCCGTTTCCTTTCCCGAGGCCTGAGAGACTGGTCAAATATGTAGAGCCCGTCGCTGAAATGCTCTCGCTGAAGACGCTACCGTTGCACTTCCACGAGGTCATTGCAGCGTTCACCCTCTACCACTGTACCTACCGCTACTTCGCCCCCGCTATCTCGCGCCTCCTCGTCCCGAGGATATATGCGCAGTTCAGTGCGCGAACCAAGCTGAACTGGGATGTACATATCGTGTCTTTTGTCCAGAGCACGCTCATCTGCTCTATGGCGTTATGGGTTATGTGGACGGACAGGGAGCTTAACCAGATGGACGCAACGGAGCGCGTGCATGGATACACGGGGGCGTCTGGCTTAATTCAAGCTTTCGCGGGAGGCTACTTCCTGTGGGACCTGGCAATCACAGTACAGAATGTGAAGGCCTTTGGTATCGGCATGCTGTTCCATGCTATCTGTGCCCTCTCTGTCTTCTCGCTGGGCTTCGTAAGTGTAAAGCGGTGCTCTTTGGAGCACATGGGAGCTGTGTGGAATACTAATCGTGCGACAGCGTCCATTCGTGAACTACTACGCGTGTACTTTCATCCTCTACGAGCTCTCCTCGCCCTTCCTGAACATCCACTGGTTCTGCGATAAACTCAACATGACCGGTACTACCATCCAGCTCGTCAACGGCATAGTTCTGCTGTGCACCTTCTTCTCCTGCCGCATCGTGTGGGGATCGTACCAGTCAATACGCGTCTTCACTGATGTCTACCACGCCTACACAGCCGGCGCAGTTGTACGCTCAGACCCAGACGTCGGAAAGCTTTCAGACAACACGACCCTCAGCAACGCAGCCTTCAAGAACGATGTCCTCCAGTTCGCCGACAACCAAACCGTCCCTCTGTGGATCATAAGCGCCTACCTCGCCTCAAACTTCATCCTCAACGGCTTGAACTGGTTCTGGTTCGGCAAGATGATCGAGACCCTACGTAAACGCTTCGACCCTCCCTTTGGCACAAAGAAACCCGAGATCAAGGAAACCACTCTGGAGATTCCAGATGACGAGAAGGTCTTGGTCGAGGGTATACATGTCTCCACTCCTGGTGTAATTGAGAAGGATGCTAAGGATTACATTGACGCAGCCTCTCCGGAGTTGGTGTCGCTGGAGAAGAACAGGACCGGGACGCATTTGGAGGTTAAGCAGAGTGAGGTGCGAAGCCGGAATACGGCTCAAAGAGGGGGACTGAGAGCTGCTCAGGCGGCGTGAACGTGCATGGCAGCATAGATCGGCGAATTTTATAGAATGGAGATGTAGGTGACACTTTAATTCGGCATTTTTCACATACATTTTATCAAGGCCCTTTTGGGTTTTTCAGTCTTGCGTTGTAGAATTCCTCACTACGCCCCTCATATTCATCTCAAACACCTTGCCCCATCGACTCTTCCCTCGATATTGCTATGCTACTTGTCCACATATGGTGTACTCAGCCTTGCTAAGCAGCGCCTCTAAACCCTCATGCTTAGCATCGTGTACCAACCGGTCAATCATAACTCTTCGTTTCGTGTCATCCGCGACCTTCTTCGCGTGCTTCAACTCCTCCTCGTTTGGCTCATCTTGTTGTTTTAGAGCTTCGACTGGCTCTTCCACCAAGGAGATGATCAAAGCAGCTTGTTGGTCTAGTGAATTTCTCTCTTTGACGCTCTCCTCAAGTTTGGTGCGGAGCATACGAACGTACGTCTCGCGATCGCTGTGCGAGATTTTGGTGAGATTGGTTGTGAACCAGACGGCTGTTTGGTAGTTGTTGCTTAGAACTGTGCTGCTCTGTCTTCTCTGATGTGGTACTTACTAGTGATATCCTTGTCTAAGACGCTTTTTACTCGGGGTTGCAGGGGCTGCTGTTCTGACATAGTGGTTGGTTTGTCTGGAGACGTCTCCATGGTAAGTTGAAGATTAGTGATGTGAAGCGGAACAAGTGATTCTTGGAAACATATGAAGATCGCGAGGAGAGTAGACATATCAATGATGCTTGTTTGCTAATGTAGTGATATACTGAGACATCCAATAGACAAACTCAAACTTACTAGGGCTTTCAGATGTGCGTGCATGCTGACATTCGTCCTGCACTCTGTGGGTCACTCCTTGGATGTATTAGTTGCGTGTCCAGATTACATGTGGTGCTTAGACAGATAAAATTTGATAAGTCCATGGTGATGGTGTGCAATGTGTTGGTATTGGAGCTACTTTTCAAGAAACATACATACAGAATCTTGCACGTAGCCATCACGATATGACTTCACACTTCTGATTCTGCACTTACCAATCGTGCCTTCACCTCAGCTTACCCAAGGAACCCTTCTATTTATTGAAAGCACCCTCGAAGCAGCCAGTCTACTCCTACACCGAAGTGCTAGACTGACCAGCGGACTTCTTCTTCTCCCTAGCAGCCTTTCGCTTCTCACGCTCCTTCGACTTTCCGCTCTTTACCTTTGTCAGGTTGGCTGGGATAAGATCAGCCCGCTCATATACAATGGCAATCGCGTTGAGTACATCTTGCGTCTGCAAGGCGGGATCCTTGTTGTCGCCTTGCTCGTCTTGGGTGCGTAGCGCAATGGCCTCCTCTAGTACCTCTAGAGCTAGTCGAGATTGACCGTGTGTGAAGCTAGACAAGATCATGATAGCAAATGCGGTTGGGGAGGTGAGCTTCTGGCTAAGGTTTGTGCTAGGTCCTGCTTTCATGGAGAAGGGGATGAACTGCTTGACAGTGATGCCCCAGTATCGCTCGACACGGGCATCATCCTCAGTGAACTCAACGGTTGATGATTCTTTGTATTCGAAGAAGTGAAGTTCTGCTTCAAGCGACTTGTATGGGCGCGTGATGCGCATCTTGTTGCGGGTCTCGGGCTTCTGCTCGTTGAGACTGGTGATGTGTAGATATTTTTCATGATCGGACAGCGTCTGATATCAATTAGCGACTTCTCCCTCATGTAGGTGCCGATTTGTACTCACACCCCACTCTTGACCATAACCTTCCGTGTCCGGGTCGACATCGTCGCCCTCTTCGCCATGGTACAGAACCCATCCAGGGGGCGCATCAGGCAACATCGTCTCTTCCGCACTTGCTGCCACCAATATGCGTTGATCGTCCTCGAGCGCACTGGGTTCGTATATGGGTCTCGCCTCGACAGTGTAGAGTGCTGCGTACTTGATATCGAGCGCGAGTCGCACGCCTTGCAGAACTTGGTCGAGATTCTGGAATGCGCCGAAGACGAAATTGTCGACGGTCTTCTTTTTGGATGGACAATAGAGTTGCACTTGACCCATGGTTGCAGTGTTCGTGGACTCTTGTTTCTGTGTTGATTATTTGCTGCTGTTGACAAAAGCGGACCAGTACAGATAAAGTAGTTGATCCCAAGAGGACTACAGCCTAGAGAGGTATCTGCAGTCATGTGTCAGAGCTTCGGGTCAGCTGTCGCGGTGCTTCCCAGGATGAAGAGGGAAAGCTGTGACTCGCCGCTTACGCTCGCCTTGTGTCTATTCGAGGTAAAGGGCGGATTGATAAACTGCCTCAATGCCACTAGAGGTTGCAATCTACAAGACGACGATAGTATTAGGCATAGTCACAGCCTTGGTGTAGTAACACCTGCTTTGTATATACACATAGGAAGCAGCCTGTATGTGGATATAGGAGTTCAATTCTGTATGAACGCTAACCAGAGAGACGTCGGTGACTTTGTAAACAATCTGCTCACTATTAGCCTAGGAAAAAGCACAACTGACAGCATTGCGTACCATTCCAGATACCCCATGTGATTATCCATCACTTACTCAGTTGATTATCTCAATCTCCACGCCCTCCTTGAACTCTGCCTCAAGCAATTCCTCTCCACCGTCCTTGGTTGGCCGGCACACGTATCCCGCAACACCCACACTCCAGCCTTCCTCTTCCGCAAATACCCAGGTAACCTCTCTCAATGGGCGTCTCTCGACCTCCTTGCCAGTCTCATCTTTGACAATCCAGTAAATCCAAAGACTCTTTCCAAGGTCATCTCTTTCCCTCCTCGCCTCAATGGTAGCTCCAGGCCTACTACTGTTCTTGAACTCGGGCATAGGAACGAGCGACCAGTCGGCCCAAGCATCGCAACCCACGGTCGCTACGTATGGCTTTCCATAGTAGAACTCGATACCAGTCTTGATCCACTTGGTCTCGTTGTCAGGAACTCCTGGCTTGGTAACATGCAGTAAGAGACCAGCTTGGTCGTACTGGCGAAGCTGGTCGGCGGGCGGGAGCTCAAAGGCAAGCTTCGCTCGCTGGAATGTCTTCAGGTCGTAGGTCGGAAGCTGAGCTGGGTAGGTTGATGCATTGAACGCGTTATGAGTCGGAGGCTTGCGCCAGATGTCAGTTCCTGGGGGAGCAGAGAGACTGAATGGCTCAATTGTTGTGGTAGTAGTGTTGGCCATGGTAGCTAGGGCGGTAGATACAAAGAAGGGAAGAGTGTGAAGTCTCATTTTCAAGATGCATGTTGCCTAAGAACCATGGCTGTATTTTATACCCAGATGCTCAGACACTCAAATGATAGACTCGTATGACGAAGGCGAATACCACTGGAACAGAGATCACTACTATTGGCGGGAAGTCGGGAGCAGTCTAACTCAGGCATGGGCGATCGTGAGGCGCTCAAGGTCCTTGGTCGCGATACCCACTCGGAGCACCAAACAAGACTAACCTGTGGCCCTTTTGTCTTGGAGTGCAGTCATCTCGTGATGCAGACGGGGAAAGCGGGGTACTGTTCCGGGTGAGAATGGCTGAAAACCTGCAAGCTTTAGATTCCAGTGGATAGCCGCAGTGGTACGTCTTGCACATCGACTACGGCTGATCATGCAAAACTCCATGCGGTGGTTCCGAAGTTTACCCAATTGGTGACGACTTACAGAAGGTGCATTAAACTGCGCTTACCTGATTGGGTGACAGATTGCGAGATCTGCTTGGCATGAGAAATCGGGACCCAAAGTACGTGGATACGTCGTATTGCAGCCATCGAGCCTCGGTGTATTACAGGATGTCTTTGCTAAATGTTCTATCGGACCTTCTATATTAGCCGTCGAGCCCACTACATCTGGACCACGGAGCCAACACATATGCACTGAGAACACAGAGCAAGAGGGATGATGTTTAGCATGTGGTGGAATGTTGGATGTTGTACAAGTACATTCATTCGCAGGTATATACAATCCACATCCTCTAAACTTTCTATTTCTTCTCTTCCTCTTTGGGAGGCTCTGGCTTTGGTGTTGGGAGTTTGAACTGTATTTTCGTTAGATGCGGCGTCACAGATATGGCATATAAAGAGACTCACGTTCTCGGGCTTGAGGTCGTCACCAGGACCGACCTGCTCCCATGCTGAGGAGCCACCACGGAAGTTCCTGAAAGCCTGTGTCATCTCCAGGGGTTCCACGACGATCCTCTTCTTCTCCTCGTCGTATCGGATCTCAGTGTATCCAGTCATGGGGAAGTCCTTTCGCAGTGGGTGTCCATCAAAACCGTAGTCGGTCATGATGCGCCTCAAGTCTGGGTGTCCAACGAAGAAGACACCAAACAGATCGTAGACCTCGCGCTCGTACCAGTTGGCGCCGTCGTAGAGATCGCACAGACTGGGGACTGGGGTAGCCTCGTCCGCGTATGTCTTGACTCTGAGGCGCGAGTTGTGGCGGATGCTGAGCATGTTGTAGACGACCTCGAAGCGCTGGTCCTTGGTGGGGTAGTCGACGGCTGTGATGTCGGAAATTTGTGTGTACTCAGCCGCGGTGTGGTACTTCAGGAAGGTGAAGGTGGGGATGATGCCGGCAGGAGGGACGTAGATGGTCAACTCGTCTTTCCACACGGAGAACCTGGACTGCCGTCAGATAGTGCTGGGCTGGGGTCTGGGCTGACCTACTGCTGGACGTATTTGGGCAGACATGACATGATGTACTGGCCGTACTTGTGCAGAGACTCGCCCTTCTCTTTGTACTGGTCTGCCGGGTTTACGATGGCGCGCTTGAGCTTGACGGCCTCGTCACGGGGAGCAAACTGCAGTCGTGTTAGAAGCCATGTTCCAGCCCCAGCCTGTGATATAGCGCACCCTCATGTTTGGCGTGTCGGACTCGGGTCCCGCGACCTCCTTCGCCCGCAGAGCCGACGAGGCAAAGGTGCGCACTGCATGGCGGGAGCAGGTGGATGCGCGGACGGCGGCGCCCAATGGCCGGCCTACAGCTAGCCGCATAGCCATAGTGTGCAGTGAGGGAGTGGTGAGGCTACGCGATGTAGCAGGTAAAGGCGACTCGGGGTGGTGATGTCGTCGACGTCGTGAAGTTCGCAGCTCAACCCGCAACATGCAAGATTATGTAAGTAGCGTCTGGCGGAACTGGTGTCCCATCGCGCAGGTGCAGCCTCTTAACCCCCATCACCCTTCCGTGGATCCCTCTTACAGCGACAGCGACTCTCCGGCCGGCGTTTATTTGTGCTTCAGCGGTTTCCTTCCTGACCCCCTGTGGATGCCACCTAGTTCCCATCTCACCCCACGTATCATCACATCCAGTGCCACCCTTCGGCTTTGACCACGCACTTTCCACAACCACACAACACCATGTCCCGACTGCAACAGGACCAGTTCGTCGACGATGACGAGGAGGAGTGCTGCCCGCTCTGCGTCGAGGAGTTCGACCTCTCGGACAGGAATTTCCGGCCCTGTCCATGCGGCTACCAAGTACGCCTTTGTGCCGAAACTCGGTGAAGCCTTCTCGAGTCCCCCGTGCTAACTCACGTGCCAGATATGCCAGTTCTGCTACAACAACATCAAAACCACCATGAACGGGCTGTGCCCCGCATGTCGCAGACCCTACGATGACTCCACGATCGAGTGGAAGACCATCTCCCCCGAAGAGTGGGTCGTCCCTTACATCTTCCCTGCATAACACTTCTGACACTGGGCAGGATGGCACAGCACAAGCAGCTCATAGCGCAAAAGGCCAAGAAGAACGCGCAGATACGGCAGAAGGAAGCGCAGAAGGCCGAAGCCGACTCTCTCAGCCGCAAGCACCTATCTGGGCTGCGTGTCGTCCAGAAGAACCTCGTATACGTTACCGGTCTCACGCCCACCATACGCGAAGACGAACTGCTCAAGACCCTCCGCGGTGACGACTACTTTGGGCAGTACGGCAAGATCCTCAAGATCGTCGTAAGCAAGGCCAAGGAGAACGCTCAGCACCAGCAGTCGGTGGGCGTCTACGTAACATTCGCTCGAAAAGAAGACGCGGAGAAGTGTATCAATGCTGTCGACGGCTCCCAGAACGGCGAGAGAACACTGAGGTACGTGAATATCTTTCCCTGCATATTTGCCATGTGACAAGCTTACGTCTCTACAGAGCACAGTTTGGTACGACAAAGTACTGTTCAGCGTACCTCCGCGGCGAGACCTGCAACAATCGCAACTGCATGTTCTTGCACGAACCTGGCGAGGACAACGACAGCTTTACCCGCCAGGATCTCTCCATGATGAACTCGATCCAGACCCAACAACCGTCACAGTCGTCGACATCCCGAGCCGCACCTCCTGCGCACCAGGGTCCGCCCGTTGCTGCCGCGACACCGATGAATCGCCAAGACAGCAACGACACGTCGAGCTCTATACATGAAGCACCTGGCCTACCCGCAACGGCAAACTGGGGCAGCAAAGCGGTGCTGGAGCGTCGTGCAAGCCGCTCAACAGTTGCTTCGAACAACGCCAGTCCCATGATCACGAACGCTGTCCCTGCACAAGCATCGAAAGCACCGAAGCCAGCGGAGGCACCAAAGAAGAAGGGCAAGGACAAGGAAAAAGAAAAAGAAAAGGAGAAAGAAAAGGAAAAGGAGAAGGAGAAAGAGCAGAAGGAGAAGGAGAAGGAGAAGGAAAAGGAGAAAGACAAGTCTCCGCAAGCATCTAAGCCTGCAACTCCGCCGCCTGCGCCTGCACCCGCCGCACGCCCTGCCAAATCCCGCGACAACGGCATTCACGATCTCCTAAAGGTCATCTGCTCGCCAGATTTCAAGTTTGTCTTCTCCAGTGCCGTTCTATCTGAGGAAGAATTGAAAGCCGTTACCGAGTTCCCTCAACTTCTGGACCCCAATGGCGGTGCGAAGCGTCGTGCCATTAAGGAAAAGAAGGAGAAGGAATTGGCATTGCAGCGGGAGGCCGAGGCAGAAGCAATTGCAAAGGCAGCCTCCCAGCAAGCTCCTGCTGCAGTTGAGCGTGAAGACAACGAGGCGACGGCTGGCGGTAGCTTACAACTTGGAGGCGAGCCCGAAGACGGCCCTGAGACAAGCACCAACCATCTCAACCAGCATGCGATCGCACCACCTGGTCAACAGGGTTTCGGTGGAAGCCTCTTTGGGCAGAACACCCCTCTGGCCGAGGACTTCAGCAACCTTGGATTGAGCAACCGAGGCCTGACGCCACAGCAGCAACAGCAGTTGTTGCTCTCCAACTTCAAGTCCGGCACCCAGTCCACAAACATCCTCAGCAACATGCAAAATGCTCAGCCTCAGCAGCACAATGCTCCTAGCCATGCCAGACACACGTCACGCTTTAGCTTCGCCAACGACAGCGCCTCTGCTTCTGCGAATGTGCAACCTGTTGCGAACCAGAAGCTCATGAGCCAACAAAACTCGATGATGCCAAAGAACGCCAACCAATTCAACCCCATGTCTCAGCACCAGCAGCTGGGTGGGCAGTTCTTCACCAACGTGCAAGGTCCTCCTCCCGGACTGAAGCCTACTGGTACACCTCCTGTCAGCGGGACTGGCATGTTCGGTCAAGGTCACGGTTTCGCGACGGGTGGTCTACCCTACGGGGCTGGTGCGACGGCGAGGAACAACAATGATGCCATGTATCAGGACTTGCTCCGCAGCCGGAACATGGACGGTGCTGCTAGGCTAGCTGATGCTGGAAAGCGTGAGTCAATGTTTCCTTCTTTCCTTAATCAACACCCCACAACCTCCACACCTGCACCTGCCCCTGGTCTCCTAAGCTTCCCTTATGGACCTTCGCCTGGAGCTTACCAGGAGTCTGGTTCGCAGAAATCCAAGAAAAAGGGTAAGAAGCATAGGCACGCGAACACTTCCTCCTCTGGAGGAGGTGGTCTTGCCGATGTTCAGGACCCAAGTATCTTGCAGGCAAGGTTGCACCAAGGCGGTATGGCAGGGCAGGGCTTGTATGGCCAAGGTCAAGGCGGTTTCTCTTCTCTCTATTCCAACAACAACTACGGCGGCGCTGGACGATGGTAGTCATTTTTCCTTCTGCACACTAGTCGGCCTCTGGCTCGACATACTGTCTTAGTACTTTATTCGAACGATGGCTGCATGGCGTTTCGGTTTTACGGCGAATGCATCGGCACAGGTGCTTCGACACTGAGATGCCCGGCGTTATGAGTGGGTTGCACGTCTCTACGGCACCTATACCTTCACATCTTTTCTCAGCTTCTGTCATAATTGGGTGGATTGCACTGTCCTGCCGCTGCAAAGGTTGGCTTCTCTCGTCGTCTTCGTCATGGTCATCGCATGTACGTAACTACCCCTCCTGCCGCTGAGTCGGCATGCTTACTTTCTAATAGAGAGATGGCCTGTTCACTATTTTCTTGCCCCATCAAGTGACGGAGATGTTCGAGAGTCAACTTTTGCCAATTGATGTACCTTAAGCTTCTGTCAACACCATCCTGACCATCGTCTGGCGGCCGCCGTACTCATCACAGCTGAACTTGCTTTTTCTGATGTAGACATTCAAGGCTAACGAGTTATCGTAGACGATGCGCCTTTGAGTGCAGAAGAACAAGCGTCTATCAATGTGGATGCACTTGTTAATGACAGCGACAATGAGCCAATCCGACCAATTCTGAGCACTCCGCTGAGCGGCCACTTTTTTGAGCAGCCTCGTCGATCGACTCCCACTATACCGCCTGGCTTCACAGCGCCAGCCATACCCAAAGCGGTCCTGGAAGAGTCACGCTCTCGTCCTGGGTCTCGACCAATGTCTCGAACTACATCCTCGAACATTACACCAGCCGTGCCTGTCGTGCCTGCTACGCCGCTTGTTAACGCAACGCCTGGCAAGACCAAGGGCAAGCAGAAGAGCGATGTCGTCGTACCGGCAACACCTACAGCAGCTCCCCCAGCGACCGCTGCGGCCAAGCCTTCGCCCTCGACGCCTTCAAGAGCGGCGACTAAAGAAGCTGTCGTTGTCCCTCAAACACCCAAGGAGCCTACACCTAGAGAGGCTTCTAGGGCGGCCAAAGAAGACGTAGTACAGACTCCAAAGTCTACCCCAGATGCGAAGAAGATGGTGTCGGAAACAGCTGCCAAGGACACGCCGAAGTCAAAGGGTGCTTCTAAGAAGAGTCAGCCTGCAACTCAAACTACCCCGAAGAAAGAGCCACAGAAGGAGACAGCACGTACGCCTGTCGCGAGTGCGACGCCTACAGCTTCAACCAAGCGGCAGCCTCCAGGCAAGCTTGATATCCCGGCTGCTACTAAACTGCCAATTGATGAAAGCTCCCCAGCCCCAGGCTCGGCCAATATAGACTCCCAATCGAAGACCAATCGTTCAATGCCGACTCCATCCGCTAGTTCCGTACCCCCAAGTCCTGCCGCGGTGGCCACCGGATCGCCAATCAAGCGTACAGGTGCGCCTAGGACTCTGCGAGTGGTCGCGACACCCAAAGCAGAAGTCCCACCGCCTTTGTCAGCGCCACCAGTGCCGTCTCTGCCTCAGGTATCAACCGTCGACAAGCTTCGATCTAGACAAGCGAGTATCGCTTCTGTCAATCTACCAGGCACACCAAGCGAGATGATATCGGACACAGCTTCGGTCACTTCAACATCGTTCTCAAGAGCCAACTCACCACCACCTGTTGGCGGCAAGGTCGGGACTGCACCTGTCAGGAAGAAGACCAAATCTCAAGCCAAGAAGGACAGACAAGAACGAAAGAAGCAGATTGAAGAAGAGCAGCTGGAGGACACCAAGTCGGATGTTGAGGTTGTGCAAGCTCCAATCATCGGTCGCAAGAAAAAGGAGAAGAAGCCGACAAGCAAACCAAAACCTATCGCGGCAGCTTTCAAGAGTCAGCCAGCCTCGCCCAAGCCAGCTGTGGTCGAGGAAGTTATTGCTCAAGCGCCGACGACATCACGCAGGGATTCTTCAGCGAAGGTCTCAGCAGCAGCAACGCCCGAACCAGAACCCGAGCCCGAACAGCCCAAGGACAAGCGCGAGAATTCTGCTCAATCGATCTTGGCTGATTTGCAACGCACGGGCGAGCTCCTTGTATCGACTCTTGAGTTTTTCAAACCATTGTCTTCGTCGCTCACTCATGCCTCTCGCTCTACTCAAAACGGTAACGTGACTGCACCTCCTGACCTGAAGCTGCATTTCTCCCAAACCGACCTTGATGCGCTCGCTAAAAAGAAGCCGGTACGCCTCAATAGCCAGGATGGCAAACCTGATTCTAGGACTCTCATTACACCCAACGGCAAGTTCTTCTGGGGCCTGACCGAGGAGCTCGAGACGAAAGCACTTGAGCTTGAAAGGCATATCGAAGAACTCAAGGGCCATGCTCGCTTCCACCCTCGTAAGCAGACCGCACATAATCACAACATGACAAACTCAGCTCATTCGAATGACGTACTTCCAGCAATCGCCACTGCACTCAAGGAGGCAGGTAAAAAGCTGAATACCAACGGCGGGCAGCAGATGCCGCGACTAGACAACTCTTCCGGGCTTCTTGATTCAACAAACCTTCCCCTGCCGCCCGTACAAGTACAAGATGCGTCTATGCCTCAAGTCCCTCCCCCACAACAACAGCAAACACCAGCCGATGCTGGCGCCTATCTCAATCAGTACGTCCTCCCCAAGACAGACAACCCGCCGCCGAACCAGCCACGCCCCGAGATGGCTGCTGTTGGTGGTGCGCCTGGCGCCGGGACAGCGAACATGTCTGTCAACTCGAACAGATTTGCAAAGGCAGCTAAAGCAGTTGTCGAAGGAGGAGCAGTGGGAAGCACAGAAATAGACGGCATGGGAATGATGGCGGCCGATAGATTGGGCGGCGTCTTTGTCCAGGGTCTCGAAGCACTTGTAGGTGCTGGGCTCGGCTACCAGTCTACGCAAGAGTTTGGCGTTGACGGCAATGGCAACATCACGTTAGGCAACGGTAGTGGAGGCGGACTAGACATGCAGGGCCTGATGAACGCGATCGAGACAACGGCTGGCATGGGTGGCTACGGCGGCAATGCGAGGAGGGGAAGGGGTAGTGTGCTGACTATGGAAGAGGCGGAGCAAGCCATGCACGCGGCGAGGAGAGAACACGATGTGCTGGAAAAGAAGCTGAATGTGCTGATGAAGAAGAACAAGAAGCTGGCGACTGGCGTAGGAAAGTAGTGACGGTATGAGTAGTGTCAGTGAATCTTGACCAAATCCATATGAATATTTTGGAAAACAATACGCTAGCACCGTGAGGCCGTATATGCGTGACTGCCATAGCTTGCTCGTATTCGAGAATAGCTGGCGCAAGCTGTGACAAAGGGGATGAAGTCGAGCTGCACCTGACGACGCGCCGACTCGCCGATTCGCCAGGGCTTCTCACCGCCAGCGGTGGGCTGGAATTCCAGGGTCCACCAACTGGTTCCTGAAGAAGGCCAGATTCGCAATTGCTCTCACTGCACGTTTCTTCTGATCTTGAGGCGCGCTCACGATCTTTTGTTTTCAACCCACTATTACACAACTAAGACTTTCTCAAGATGAGTCTGCAGCCACCCTCGCTCTCCATGAGGCCCAAGTCTCCCTCTGGAGGCTCTACCAAGGCCGTCATTCTGGTAGATATTTCCCACGACGTAGACTCTGCCATGTATGCTTACAAGACTAGGTCGGAGGCCCTTCTCGAGGCACGCGGTTTAGGCCTCTGTCTATGGAACTGCCCAAGGTGCGCGACAATTCGGACTGCCGTACCCCAGCGCATCCCCGCTAATGCTACCACAGCCGCTCTTCCCCGTCGCCGGTCACCCCATAATCGAGCACTGCTTCCGCGCCATCACCAACGTCCCCGAGATCAAGGAAGTCTTTATCGTCGGCTACTATGAGGAATCCGTCTTCCAGCCCTTCATCAACGCCGTCTCGACCAGCTGGCCACACCTGAGCGTCAAGTACCTCCGCGAATACCAGGCATTGGGCACGGCTGGAGGTCTCTACCACTTCCGCGACGTCATATTGAAGGGCAAGCCAGAGAAGCTGTTTGTTCTGAACGCAGATGTCTGCTCTTCCTTCCCGCTGGTGGAGATGCTCAAGCTCTTCAACGATAAGGACGCCGAGGCGGTAATGCTGGGCACGAGGGTCGCAAACGAGGCCGCGTCCAACTTTGGTTGCATTGTCTCAGATGCGCACACAAAGCGCGTGCTTCACTACGTCGAGAAGCCCGAGTCGCACATCTCCAACCTCATCAACTGCGGAATCTACCTCTTCGCGACCGAGTGCATCTTCCCCGCCATTCGCAGCGCCATCAAGCGACGGACCGAGCGCCCACGGCTGCTGTCGTACCCCTCCTCCGAGAACCTCGAATCTTCCTTCTACCAAAACGAAGACGACGACGATAACAAGGAGAATGCTGTCATTCGCCTGGAGCAGGATGTACTGTCCGACATTGCCGACAGCAGGCAGTTCTTCGTCCTTGAGACCAAGGACTTTTGGCGCCAGATCAAGACCGCTGGTTCGGCCGTCCCAGCCAACGCCCTGTACCTCCTGAAGGCATTCCAGGCGGGATCGGAGGAGCTCGCGGCCCCCTCCGCAAACATTCTGCCTCCAGTCTACATTCACCCCTCCGCCCAGATCGACCCAACTGCCAAGATCGGACCCAACGTCTCTATTGGCCCTCGTGTCGTCATTGGAGCTGGTGCGCGTGTCAAAGAGTCCATCGTTCTCGAAGACTCTGAGATCAAGCACGATGCATGTGTTTTGTACACCATCATTGGTTGGTCCAGCAAGATTGGTGCCTGGGCCCGTGTTGAGGGCACACCAACTCCCGTTACTAGCCACACCACCAGCGTCATCAAGAACGGCGTCAAGGTCCAAAGCATTACCATTCTCGGCAAGGATTGCGCCGTGGCAGATGAAGTTCGCGTGCAAAACTGTGTTTGCTTGCCATACAAGGAACTGAAGAGGGTAAGACCACTCCATTGCGCTTCATCGACTTACACTAATTCATTGTACAGGACGTGTCCAACGAGGTCATAATGTAAAGGCCTTGTGAGTTAGTATTGGGTGATGTTGCATCATATGGGCATCTATAGTATTTAATCAAAATGCGATGCATGACAGGTGGTCAATGGATAGAGTGATATACCACTACAATGGGAATGACAGCCAAGATGAACACATTGATTCTTGCATTTGTGAAAAGACATCTGTAAACTTCCCTCTGTCATGATGCCCTAGAATAGCCGCGCCTAGACTGAATCGGGTATCGCCATCCGAACATTCGACGTCCCGTTCCCCAACTCCAATACACGCTTCCGCCATCCTCAGGATTCTTGTGCAGTCCTTGTATTGTCTTTTTCATCGCTCCTAATATTTCGCTCAGGACATTCCACACGAACTGTTAGAAGCGTCATATCGTCCAAGTTTCGAGCAGATAGTGTGATCGGCAATCTTTGAGTCAAAGGAAGCAGACTAGACTAAGAAAGAGTTATTTGTCTACAGAAAGACACCATGTCAGACATGGACGCGGCCCTTCATGCAGCGCGAGACAGGCAGTTGAATGGTGGCACATCAGGAAGCACCACGAAGCTTAACCCCACTCCAGACTCTGGATCCCGGTACGATAAGCCTATCGTCGCCGCGCAACAGGACGGTCTACCAATAATCGACATCTCAGCTTTCCTAGATCCTTCATCCTCGAAGGATGCACGATCTACGACTGCTAAAGCCATTAGCGCCGCTTGCGTGAACTATGGCTTCTTCTATCTTACAGGGCATGGCATACCAACTACAAAGCTCGATGAAGTCATCAGCCTTGCACGCGACTTCTTCGCCTTACCATTAGAAGAGAAGAACAAAATCAAGCGCTTTGATGCTGGTAGTCCGGAAGGAGGAGATGGCGCACGGGGTTACCAGGGGCTCGGCGAAAACGTGACGGGCGGCCTACAAGACATGCAAGAAGCCATCGACTGGTACCGCGACTGGCCAGCAGAGAAGCGAGAGCCCGGAGACGGAGGACCAGGTAGCGTGAAGAGTCTCCAGGGCACCAATCTATGGCCTGAGCAACCGAAAGAGCTCAAGCCTGTATACACAGACTACATTGAGCAAGTCAAGAAAGTCGGCGAAGCCCTTGTCCACGCCATGGGCGTAGCTCTAGACCTTGGGTCATCTAAATCAAACGCGACGCAAAGCACAGAAGACGAAGAACTTTTTGTGCGAAACTGCGACGAGTCCTTCTGGGTAATGCGCATGATCGGTTATCCTCCCTTGACGACCCCTCACACGCCTGGTAACGACATCGAACAATTCTCCTGCGGCGCCCATACAGACTATGGCTGCGTAACGCTCCTCCTCACGGATCCTACGCCCGGCGCTCTCCAAGTCCAGCTCAAAGACGGGACTTGGCTCAATGCCGATCCTATACCAGGAGCGTTTGTGGTGAACATTGGGGATATGATTGAGCGGTGGACGAACGGACTTTGGAAGAGCACGATGCATAGGGTCATTCATAGGGGACAGCAGTACAGGATTAGCGTGCCGTTCTTCTATGAGCCGAATTTTGATGCTGTGGTTCGGCCGTTGGAGAAGTGTGTGGAGGAGAGTGGGAAGAAGCTGATACATCAGGGGAGCACGTATGGGGAACATCTTTTGACCAAAGTGTTTAGCAATTTCTACTACAGTAAGAGGACGGATTGGTAAGAACGGGAGGAGAATGACGTGGTGAGCAAGAGAAATCTGTGTTTGCAATTGTATTCTCACCTTCACTCGCGGTTTTGGGGTCACGCTCACCTCTGAATCAGAGATCTCACGCTCCACATAATTCGTCTTCCAGCGTGCTACTTCGTGCTTCCTTATCCAACCCTCTACCCGTATCTACATTCACATACCACACAAACATACAACTGCCTCCACAATGTCTTCCGCAAGCACACACCCTGTACGCAGGCTGTCTCTATACTGCCCCGATCTCAACAAGAATTGGTACAACTTCCTCATCACCCCTTCAATGACCTGGGAAGATATGATTGTATCTATCCAAGCTGCATTCCAGTATCATGACCCAGTCTGGCCCCTCGACATTAACGGCGAACCCTTCTCCAAAACTGCGGATGTCTTCAACCTCGCCAGCGTTCAGAACGGTGAAGAGCTTCTCATTCAGCTGAGGGAGGGCTTTCGCATCGTTGGGCCACTGGATTTGGAGGTTGTTCTGTACCTCGAGGAGAGTGACCCTGGTGCACTGGAGACCACTCTTAGGGTAAATTGTTGCGATGAAGAACGCATTGAAGACCATCTCACTGACTAGTAGCTTCTAGAAAGCTAAGCCAGCAGAGAAGCGTGTTCACATGGAGAAACTCCGCCGCCGCGATGGTGTCGTGTCGCCAGAAAGAACATTTGCCGCATTGTTCTTCCCCACTCCGAGGTCATGGAACTTGTCGCCGCGCTGAACAAGGTTTCTGATACCATGTTGAAGCGGAGTTATTCCGCAAGCAAGGCTCTAGACGATATCAGCAACAACTGGCGCGTCCGCACCACCGAAAAGACCAAGGACCTCACCAACGTCTTGAGGTGTCTGGCCATGATTGACATCTTCAGCAAGGCCTTACCCGGTCAGCACTACTTGGGCGAAGGTTTCCTCCTCGCCGCCACTAAAGCCCGCATCTAATCTGGCGGGCCATCCGAGCTCAGACATATCCAGGTACAGGATGTGCTGAACGCTATTCAAAACCTTTACGAAGCCGCCGGCGCGATCGGTTCTACTTGGGAAACCACCAAGGACAACAAGGCCATCACCAAGCGCTTCGATCGCAGCAAGTCATACAAGGCAGGCAAGAAGGGTGAGGCAGCGACCGCGCGCTACAACAATGATGCCGAGTACATGGGCGAAGACGCTGCTGAGGCGGCTTATCCTGGTAAGGGCAAGGGCAAGGCTATGGGCATGCTCGCTGGACGCCTCGAGAAGACCTTGTTGCCGGATAATCACATGGACAGCGATGACGACAAGGATGATTCTGATTACATGGAGTGAGTCGGTGATAGAGCCTGGAGGGTCTCAGTGGTATTAGGGAGGTTAGAGTGATACATGCTAAATCGTTAGATACCTTCCGGGTCTACTATGATATGTCGGCAGCTACTTAATACTTCTGAGAAGGCTATCTAGGTACACTTGAATTCTGACTATATAGCTGAATGCATAATGACAATTTTATACTTATCAAAGGACTTCCTACACTGCATAATGTTCGAGCATAAACACAACGCAAGATAAAGTGTTGCTCAATTTGCATCTCAATACGCGTCACTGATTCACTTCTCCTCTTACATCTACCGATCCAACAATGGTGGTCATGCGGGCATCGTTTGCATGTCCCTAATCGCGTAGTCACAAACTCAAACGCTCTCACCTCTCTAAACTAAAGACATTATAGTTTAGTACATATATCCATCGATTTGATGCTATTTCATATTTCATATAGAGAACTGGAAGATCCGGTAGCGTACGTCTTCGTGCATGTCTACCCTGTCGTGCAGGGTGTGATCCAGTCACGTATCGTATTGGGTCGATAAAGGCAATCTATTTTTGCTTTGAGTTCGAATTGAGTCGCAGTCTTCTTTTTGAATCACATAACTTTTTTTTGCTTGTCGGTCGTTCACTCTTCTGTCTTTCTTTTCTTGCGAAACAACGTACGTCACTGACTTCACACGCGTGGACTTAACCTCCGTATAGTGGAGGCTTCCGATATCCCTGCCAAAGTGAAAGTGAGTTCTACCCCGCCGCCCGTTTGCACTCACGTCTTGGAGAACTCTATTGCAAAACTTTTGCTAAATCTGACTGATTCTTTATACCTATCCTTCAAATCCTTCGTTTCGTCCTACACTCAATCCAGACCCTTGCCAAGATGAGGTTTTGCTTCCGACTACCGCCCATGAAGGTATTCCTACCTACCTACAGGTACATGAGGAAGAAAGCCTCAAGGACTTCCAGAAAAGCCCGGCAAACAGCCCATGATGCGCAGGCCTGCGAGCCGACTCGGACATCCCCCTTCCTTCTCTTGCCAAGGGAACTTCGCGACCGCATCTACGACTACGCGTTCGGCTCAGAGATCACTATCTTTACACCTCCTGATCTAATTCTGGAGGCAAGGCCCAAAGGTCGAAAGTCCGAAAAGAGTGGTCCTGACAAAGATATCGCCATCCACTACCCCAAAACCCGACCGGCTTACATCTGAGGCCTTCCACTTTGGCTTCTGACTAACAAACAAATTTGTTCGGAAGCGCTCTCATATTTTGGCAGCGTGCGAACCTTCACTCGGGCCGATTTGTGTCGAATTCCCCGATACCCAAAACGCCTTGTGCTCAAGTGGGAATACAGCGGTTGCCAGACTCCCCTCGTCTTCAATAGCGATGTGATTCGTAACGTCACTATTCGCGCGGAGAAAAACCTCGATTTGTGGAAACAATCAGCCTTTCTAGAATTTGTCGATCGCCTGGATACCAAGGAATTAGAGCTGAGATTGGAATGTGAACGGGCGACTAGATATTATCCACATCTGCAATTTTTGTGGAGAAATAGCCTTTACGCTTGGATCATCAGGGATTTGGATACTGAGAAGTGGGACGGCAGGTTTCGAAAGGTTATTATCTCCATTCCCACTGACTGTGATGGTGCCGAATCGGTCGTCGATGCGGCCAGGTTCGACCAGATGGAAGCTTTAGCTCGGAGGCTCGTAGGAAATGTGAGAACTGTGACCTGGGGTCCTTTCGTCTTTGACTACATGGATCGTGGAAACAAGGTCTACAAGAGGAGCATTGTCGTCGACAGGAAGGATTAGTTCCTTATAAACACACTATGGCGGAGAACTACGAATAGTGCAATTAATACGATGCTCAAGAAACGACTCGTAGCAACAGCGATGGTTCAGATCTTGCTATTCATACTATTTAGTAAGATCTGAAAGCTCCAGTGATGTATATATCTTGCATATCTACCTACCCGTTCAGGAAGTGAGTCGTTATGTACCCTGACGGTCGGTGTTTTTGTTCGCCTTTAATCAACATACAGAGGCGCCTGATCAAGCCTAATTAGACCCGTTTAACCACCCCAATAGCGCGGCATGGTATCTTTCACTATCCTGCACTTGCGGACTATGGCCCAAGTCGTCAAATTCAATCAATGTCGCGTCTGGAATCCTCGCCGCCGTCTCTTTGCCCAGCACGTCGTATTTCCCCAGCTTAGCCTGCACATCCGCTGGGCTCCAAGCTTTTCCTATGGCTGTTGTGTCCTTGGTTCCGATCAGGAGGAGGGTTTTGGGCTGCACCAACTCGAATTCGTAGGCGATCGGTTGAGTCAAAACCATGTCAGTCGTCTGCGCCATGTTCCATGCGAAATCAATGTTTTCAGGTGACGTTTGGTAGAGCGAGACTAGCATATTGACCCAGACGTCATACTCCGGCTTCCAGGTGTTGACGTAGTAGGTAGCTTGCTGGTATTTGCGGATGGATGTGTAGTTGGTGGCAAGCTCATCTTTGTACAGGGCGTCGAGGTTGCGCCAAGGTACCCCAAGGGCCTTCCAGTCTTCCAGTCCGATTGGGTTCGTAAGAATAAGATGTGATGTCTGCTCCGGATACATCAGGGCAAATCGAGTGGCTAACATACCGCCCATAGAGTGACCCAGTACATGTGTTGATTCTATGTCTAGACTCTGCAATAGTAGATGTGTATTGCGCGCCAACTGCTGCAGCGAGAACTGGTAGGCAGACGGCTTCGGTGACTTGCAAAATCCGATTTGATCTGGGATGATGACACGATATCCTTGTGCTGATAGGCGATGGGCAGTATCCTCCCACGTTGCGCCACAAAAGTTCTTGCCGTGTAGAAGCACAATGGTCTTGTTCGAGGTGGTATTCTGGGAATGTACGTCCATATATGCCATTGAGAGGTTCGCGCGTTGCGATGTGAAACTAAAGTAGTGTACCGGCCATGGATATGTATAGTTCCAGATGCTGGGTGGTGCTGTGTTTGCGCACAATGCGGTCGCAACTAATTGCGTGAGGAGTAGGAGCTTAAGCTGCATCCTGTAGCGACGACAAAAGCTGAGCCGATAGAGAAATCTAGAGGGGGATATGGTAGAACATAAGGTTCCTATATGCCTCCTTGGGACCCTGACATGCATATGCTGTGCAATGACGCCTGCCAATCTATCTTGCCTACCACGACCCACCTCAATGCTTGTCCCTGTATGTTGCTACGATTCGGTGCATCGTGCGAGCATGCGCTAGCAATTGACTTGCTAGCCAGAGAAAGTTGCTGCCAGGTCCTGACTTTTCGGCGTCTATCCAAAGACTCTTCTACTCACCAAGGCGACAATATGGTCTGTCGTAGTTGGTACTGTGCTCAAGACAGTATTGTACTTGCCAAGATGGAGAGCATCACATTAATCCTCCAATTGGATGACGCCATGCCAGTAATGTCCATCGAGAGCACTGTTTCTGCGATACCAGGCATTTGTGAACTTGGAAGGATTGGTGAATAGGAAAACATATGAATGCGAGCATCTTACGGGTGTAATCGCCATTGTCTTGAGTAAACATGGAGTTGATGGTAACATCCGAAGGGTCAAGAATGCCAGGTTCGTGAGGGGAATCTGCAGACGATGCCCAACTGGGTTAGCACTGATTTGCACGTCTTCAACTCCGGGGCCCCATCAAGTTTCCAGCTTCCACTTCTCCGCTCCTCATTTCAAGCCACACTCCGCGAACGGATGTAAACAATCTCCACATTGACCCCTGCACCATCTAGTATCCATGATGCCATCGCCACGAGGACCGCGGGCTACTGCGCATGGTGGCTAAACGGCTAAATTACATCAGAGTCGACCTCGGATGGCAATGCCAAAACCACTGTTTTGATGCCGCGCTTTTAGATATGGTAGAACTGCAGTGCAAACTATTCGTCGACTCCAGAGAGCAGTATCGACTGAGGTGTCAAGAACTTGTCAAAGAATGCACATAGGACGCATATGTTGTACACAGGCCTTTGCTGCAGGTACCGTGAGTTTTAGCACTCTTTTGTGGATATAGGACCACTGCCGTACTGCACTGCACCAGCATTCTGCCAGTGCCCCTGCCTAGCCATCGATCTACTCATCGTTTTCCGGGGGATAGCCCGCTCTCAAATGCTTATTTCCAATAGCCTCATGTGGAGAATAACCGCTTGTGGCTAGCGTCACGGTTGTTCATCTGCAAGAACGACGCCATCCGGGTTACCGGCGCAGTATAAGAAGATGGAAAAGAACGATGATCCTTCATCAGCTGTCGATTAGATCTCTCCACCAAGCTGGACATTCAGAATGACGGTCTTTACCACATTTGTTGCTGCGGCGGCGGCTGGCATGGTTGCTGTTTCACAGGCATCACCAGTATCGGATTCAACACCAGCCGTCAGTGTGTCAAATGCGAAGTCGTCTTTGACACTCATCTACCAGAACAACCTGAAAGGGTCGGACGACAAGAACCACATCGGTGCCATTATCCTCGACCCAGTCGCTCAAGCCAACGCAGCTGCAGCTTGCGCCTCTCTCAATGAGAAGCTTATTTCCAAGGCTACGCTTCAGAAGTACCAGGCAGACTTCAACGACGCTCTTTCCTACCAAGATTACGCCAAATACACGGATGCCGAGCGAGGGTACTACATCGATAGCGGTGTGGTATCAGTTGGCAACCGAGTAAGCTACTCGTCCTCTTCGGGATCTCACAAGCAATTGCCAGTGTTGTGCACCCAGTCGGCAAACAACGGGTCGTCGAGCGCTGGGCCTGTCACTGGCAGCACTGTCTCGGTAGCATCTGGTGGAAATACTTTTGTCGGCTATCGCAACCAGAAGTCCTTCAGGTTCCTTGGCATCCCGTATGCCGATACACCTACACGTTTCCAATACTCGTCGCTTTACTCCAAAAAGGGGCAGACGATACAAGCTACCAAGTACGGCTCGCAATGTGCCCAGGGTGGTGGTGGAAGCGAGGACTGTCTTTTCCTGAACATCCAAACACCATACATCCCCAAGGCAGGATCGAAAAAGCAACTCCGGCCCGTCTTATTCTGGATCCATGGTGGCGGCTTTACTGGAGGAAGCGGTGCCGACGCACTCTCTGATGGTGGAAACCTTGCAAGCAAGGAAGACCTCGTCGTTGTCAACATCAACTACCGTCTTTCAACGCTTGGCTTCCTGGCCATTCCTGGAACGGACATCAAGGGCAACTTTGGAATTGCTGACCAGATCACAGCACTGGACTGGACCATCGCAAACATTGCTGCCTTTGGTGGTGACCCAAAGAAGATTACTATTGCTGGAGAGTCTGCTGGAGCTGGCTCAGTCCGCACACTATTGGGATCTCCCGAAGCTATTGGAAAATACCAAGGCGCAATTGCCATGTCTAATCTTGGAGGAGGTGTGACTCTTGGTTTGGACGGCGACTATGGAACAACATACTCGACCTACTACACGATCAATCAGAGCTACACTGTCGCCGGACCTCAGATATTCGCTGCTGCCGGCTGCAATGGCACTGATGTGTCAGCTCAGATTGCTTGTCTCGATAAAGTTCCCGCTGCACAGCTAGTTGGCTTCAATACTGTTGCTCGTTATGTTGTCCAAGACGGTACCTATGTAAACACGCCCAATCTCATCCTCTCCACCCGTAACGCCAGTACTGCGCATATCCCTGTCATCTTTGGTATCATCGTCAACGACGGTGCTTCCTTCTCCACATACCCCAAGAGCCCCATCTCAAACCACTCTCAAGGATTACAAGAAGCGCTTGGTATCAACAGCACATGGGCAGAGCGTATCATCCAGTCGGGTCTTTTCCCCTTGACCAACACCGGCAATCTGACACTCGACTCATTCAACGTCTCTCAGCGGGTTGCCACAGACAAGACATTCCGTTGCGTCGACCAATCCACCGTTTATTCTGGAGTGCAATCGCATGCCTTCCAGAAAGCATACTACTATCAGTTCCAACGCTCCATCGATGGCTACGATCCCAACAACCTAGGTGGGCCTGCCAACGATGATCCCAAGAACCCTTACTTCCGTTTCCATGGTGCAGACATGCCTTGGCTGTTTGGCACTTTGAACCGTATTCGCGACCCAGAGGATCTGTGGAGTGCTCAGCTCGTCACCAGCTACTTCGCTGCTTTCATTAGGGGCGGCGATCCGAACCCTAGTCTCAAGTACCTCGACGTAAGAGGATACGACAAGGTGATCGAGGGTGTGAAGAAGTACGGACAGTGGGGACAGGTAGATGCAACAAGAAAGACAGGTGCCGAGATCAGATTATTGGACTGGCCTAGTAAGAGTGCCGGCTTCCAAGATGTGGAGCAATGTGACTGGCTAGGATACCCTCTAGACTACTACCTAAAGGGTGGTATCTGAGTTGTGTAAATGAGTTTGGAATGAGTAGTTAGCTCGAATACATAAACCCATCTTGGTAATGCTTCGTGTGTTCGATATAATAAACCAATGAGTCCAGTGCCTTATGGCTAGGTACAGACACTCTCAAGCCCTCTCAACAAGCTGGATACGCTAGACCGCCTTCTCAGCAGTCACGCACCTCTTGTACAGGCCATTGCTGCATCGCCTTCAGTCGAACTCGTAATCACCCCATACTACTTTTGCACCCGATCCGATGTTCACTCATCGCTACCGAATTACCGCCCGTTTGCGCCCACAGTCCGTGCCTTCACCTGCGCTATTGTAATTACAAAAACCTCTACTACCACAGAGGACCTTCTCTTTATCACCTCACACCTTCGCATCTCTTTACCCCACGAGAGACACGAAGTAAGTTTAGAGTTTATTGCGAAACAGCACGTGCTAATCTGAACTTATAGCACCAACGGGACCATGGCGCACCGGCTGAACTGGCAAATGCCTGAGCTGGAACTACTCAACAGCCTGTTCTCTCCGCCGCTCACCAAGAGCATTCTTTCAATGAAGGTATACAGAGAAGAGCGAAGCTTCTACTGGGTGGTCAAAGAATGCGCACAGAGGCTATCGAAGACCAACCTTGACCTCACCTCACCAACCTCTGTACAGCATTTTTTGTCTGTCATGGAGCCGATCCTCAGTCGCACCGCAAAGGAACAGATTGCGGACAACATCGCTTACTTCAACTACATTTGTGAGAGCGATTTGGCCGAAGCTCATCTCAGTGAGGTTACTTTTGGTCAGTGGTTCCTTCACTTTGTCGAGACGGTCATCACATCCACGCACACACAACCACCGACCTCCATAACCTCATCGACAACGTATGCATCCACTAGACACTCGACTGCACGCTCAACCCCTCCTCCCACGCACGAGAAACCCATCCCCGGCTTCGACGGCGCGGATGAGCACACACAGAAACCGAAAGTTACTCAGGTAACTTTGAGGGGAGCTAGTATATTGTCGGCTTGGAGGAATAACGAAACTGTCGTTGATCCCCGTTACAACGCAACGTTGAGGAAGTTGGAAGAAATCTTTGGCCTGGCAAAAAATGCCAAACCTGACGAGTCTGGCGGGCCCAACGTGTTCCACGGTACCACCGCACATTTCAAAGAAGGGGCCCAACAATGGCCAGACAGTTGGGAGAACTCGGCTCTCAACCTGCATCCCGCGAGTAATGGATGTCAAATGAATCCTCCCGGTGTTGGAGTAGCCTATACCGCCTTCAGTCCGCTCCGCGCCTTCCTCTGGGCCGCGTTCCAAGGAACAATTTACCAGAACATCCCAAGCCGCGACAACATAAACTTCATGAACAAGGCTTGGACCTCTCAAGGACGACCGTTTAGAGGTGTAGCACTGTTCGGGTTCGACGCCACCACCCCGGCACCGCAGTCTTTGACCTGGGCGATGGTTCCTGAGCGCGAAGGCGCCACTTTCTCGTCAAGAGTGGAGAGTCTGAGGACAAGCGGGTCATCCAAGGGTAGTTTCTGGACTCCAAACGATGCGTGGGCGCGTCTTCGTGAGACTGTCGGGAATGAGAGCGAAGTAAGTTGTGGCTATACGAAATACAATTGAGACATATACTGACTTGGTTTCTTTACCTTTGCAGGCCTGGCCCGACCTGCTACACAGTAAAGAGTTCGGACAGCAGCAGCGAGACCTTAGCGGCTTCCAGTGCAACCTGTGGAGAACCTGCTGGCTCGAAGGAAAAGCTCTCGATGTTCTAAACCGCTCTTACAAGTTCACGGTCGCGATTGAGTTTGTCTACGTCCCCAAGCCCGCCCCACCCCCCAAGGCTGCTATGCCAGTCGTGAAGGAACCTAAGAAGAAGGACGATAAAGACGGAGATGAAGGAAAGGGAGGCTGGAAGAGTCTCCGACACAAACTGTCAAAGCTTTCTCTAGGCAAGAACAAGAGATCTGGAGGACAGGCATAGACGATGCGCTGGTATCGTAACTTTCAGTGGACGAGCGCTCTCACCTGAACTTCCCAAAACATAACGATTGTACTCAGAAATAGAGAGGAATGTTTGAGCTGCTTGAAGGCCGAGTTCCGAAAAGGTGCAGAAAGAGATACTTTTCCAACACCGAGCGGAACCTACAGGATAGGCGCGAGATGACCGTGTACATCAGCGAGACTACTACAGAACTGTGAGATAAATGGAACGAAGAGAGTATAAAATGGGTCTATGACAGGGTTTGAGCGACCAAACCTTACAATAGCGATAACCGCCAGTAGATATCGTGAGACATGGATGCAATGGGATAAAGTCACCTTCTCTAGAGATTGACCAAGGCATCTTGACGGCATGCACTGTCCCTGCAGCTGCTGAGATCAGAATCTAGCATTGAAAGCCACTGAAAGCCACCATATATGAAACTTAAAGAGCGCTATTGCATATGACATAATGAGACGGATGGTCGGAGGGTGAAGAATTAGATATTACAGAGACAAACATGCGATGACGCAGTCCAGAAGTTGTATGATTCTGGCTGTGAAATCGTATCCTTCGTGGTCCTCAGTTAGGTATGTAAGTACGCACGAATCAAGATCCATTTCACACTGGCCTTGACCGAGTAAGTTTAAGTTGGTGCCCGGCAGCGGATCTTCAGCCACCCGTTACCAGCTCATGGGGGCTGTGGGATAAACGATGGCGATTGAACTAAGTAATATAGTGTGCGGATAGTCGGACGAGGAGCGGACTTGCAAGGCGGAAATAATGCACTCAACATCGTAGGATGAAATTGCTGTGGAGGCGATCTGGAAGGAAGCCGCGGACCACGATTGCCGAAAAAGTACTCTCGTACCTCGTATATGGTTACGCTCTGTCAACACTCACTGCAGGCCACGTCAACGCAGCTATCTCCATACATCCATCCGGCTAGCACAATACGCTATCATATTCTGTCTAGTAGCGCGCACCGCCGCAACATTATGTGTCTCCCGCTGATCGTCATGGCGGAGTTCGGAAGCTCGGAACAGAACTACTTGCGAGGCTACCTGCGCCTGGCGTACACGCTTTGTTGAAGAAATGAAGGGCCTAAGGGTAACGTCTAACGTCCCGATCAATCATATCGAACCCTGGTGGGCTGCCTAACAACGACGACGCGACGCGCTTTGCACAGCGATACGTGCGATCGATGCCAGAGCGACGATGACGACATTTTCGAGCGCATAACAACAAGGCAACGATAGGGTTGCTTTGCGCCAAACACTGGTTTCCAGATCTCAAACATGAAGAAAGTAACACACTTAATGCCAGAACGACAGGGTCCGTATCAAGGTTCTTTTTCGTATACCCCTCGTTTTCGTTCTCGTTCCCGTTACGGCATGTTGCCGAGTGCCGAAGCCGTATTGTTTTGAAATGAGCTCCAACCACTCACAGGAGATGACGCGCCACAATGGTGCCCTGAGCGCTGAGATGAGAGCTAAGCATAAAGACGGTGTGACATGTGCTACAGACGAATAAGCATTGTGGATGGTCGCTGATGGCTCAAGACAGTGTGGCTCACGCGAGCACACGACACCGCATTGTAAGACAGACAGGCCAAAACATCGATACAAAAGACAGGACTAAAAATAAAGTTTGGATCGTCAGGGCCTTCAGCCACGACAAGTGGCACGCCTAGTGGCACGCCTATGAGGTCAGATCCTCCTAGCTCTTCCGGGCGTTTGGTGCGAAGCATAGCCGCCTGTGGGTCATTCCGCAGCCTCCCGTCAGCATTGATCCCATCATTTAACATTGCCATGTTTCCGCATTTGTTGGCGATTCATTTCGCGCCTTTCCAGCCCTCTTACATTTTCTTTCCTTGCATCCATTCGTTAGGATGAAGTATACGTCTGTTCTGTCTGCTTCGGCATTGACTAGCTTAGCGAGCTGTGAGTGATGCGCCTCGGGTTCCTGCAGGGACAAATCTGACCCATGACAGCATCCGCCCTTGTACCTCGAGAAGCCAGAGTCGTCCCGCCCAATGCGCTAGATACGTGGAAGCGTGCCTCGCCTCAGGCACCTGATGGCTATGCGCCAGCCAAAGTCGATTGCCCGTCTACGCGCCCAAGTATTCGATCCGCCGACAAGCTTTCACAGCGAGAGACAGACTGGCTCCAAAAGAGAAGGCCAAACACAGTGCAGCCTATGCGCGAGTTTCTGGAACGGGTCAACATTGAGGGCTTCGACGTTGGACAATATATCAGCAACCACCAGGACAACACCACCGCCTTACCGAACATTGCGATCTCGTTCTCTGGTGGAGGATACCGAGCCCTTTTGAACGGTGCAGGTGCTCTGGCAGCGTTTGATAGCCGGACAAACAACTCGACAGGTTCGGGACATTTGGGAGGAATATTGCAGGCAGCCACCTATGTTTCGGCGCTATCTGGTGGAGGCTGGATGCTCGGCAGCATCTACGCCAACAACTTTACCTCAGTTGAGTCCATTATCAACAAAGGCGAGGACTCGTCGATTTGGCAATTCCAGAACTCGCTTTTCAAAGGCCCCCCTACGGAAGGAATTCAACTACTCTCGACTGCGCAGTACTTTGAGAACCTGGTCAGCACGACTAGGGCCAAGGCTGACTCAACTGCTGGTGACTTCAACACGTCAATCACGGATGTTTACGGTCGCGGTCTCTCTTTCCAGCTCATCAACGCCAGTGACGGAGCCCCAGCCTACACCTTCTCTTCCATTGCGGACGACCAAGACTTCTCAACCGGAAATGCACCAATGCCTATTCTTGTGGCGGACGAGCGTTCGCCCGGAGACCTGATTGTCTCCCTGAACGCTACCAACTTCGAGTTCAACCCTTTCGAAATGGGTTCCTTTGACCCTACGACCTACGGCTTTGCTCCACTGAAGTACATTGGTTCCAACTTCAGCGAGGGTTCGCTTGCCCAGGACCAGGGCTGCGTTGCTGGATTTGACAACCTAGGCTTTGTTATGGGAACTAGCAGTTCCTTGTTCAACCAGATTTTCCTTCAACTCAACTCCTTCCAGAACATTCCCGAGATTCTTTTGAATTTTGTTTCAAACATCCTCCAGGATATCGGCAAGGATGGTGACGATATCGCCGACTATTCACCCAACCCTTTCTACCACTACCACAACGAGACGAACCCCAGTGCTGATAGGGAGCGTCTGACTCTCGTTGACGGTGGCGAGGATGGTCAGAACATCCCCTTCAACCCGGTCATTCAGCCGATCCGCCAGGTCGACGTCATCTTTGCTGTTGACTCTTCTGCTGACACTGTCGACGCGGACGACCCATCGCAAAACTGGCCCAACGGCACTTCTCTGGTAGCAACATATGAGCGTGCAAGCGGAACCCTCATGAACAGGACGTCGTTCCCCTACATCCCTGGTCAGGATACATTTGTTGCTCTGGGCATGAACAGCCGCCCAGCATTCTTTGGTTGCAACAGCAGCAACGTTACCACTGGTGACAACATTCCTCCTCTGGTTGTTTACCTTCCCAACGCTCCTTACGTCTTCTGGTCCAACCAGTCGACTTTCGGCAAGCTCGACTACACCATCGACGAGCGCAACGGCATGATCGAGAACGGTTATGATGTCATCACCCAGGGCAACTCAACGCGTGAGGGTGCTTCGAACTGGCCTACTTGCGTCGGATGCGCTATCCTCTCTAGGAGTTTGGAGCGTAACGGCGAGGCTATCCCACAAGTGTGCCAGCAGTGCTTCACTGATTACTGCTGGAACGGTACCACCGTTGACAAGGCGCAGAACTACACCCCTTCGATGATCCTTAGTCAGCTTGCCGCTACCGACAAGGACAGCGGTGTCGGAAAGTTCGTACCCAACGTACTCGGCCTTGCGATGGTAGCAGCAGTGTCGGGATTCCTGATGATGTGATTTATATTCTAGTTTTTTTTCTTGTCTTAGGGATTGGATTCGGCGCGGGTACAAAATGATACCACCTCTCGTTTGTATATAGTAATCAAATCATTACACGTACGACGATCTTTCGACTGCTCCTCGCCTATCAGATGTGTTGCATTATCATACCATGCATTGCGGCTCTCTAGTTCCCTGTCGCTGGACCCCTGCGCGACCGAGGCGTGTGCCCCGCCGTCAAAAAAAGTGACGACCCCGCCACGCCTTATGCACGCAACCAGCCCACAAACGATCAACATACACAATGGCTGTCCCTTCCCTTGAGACCGCGCCCGTACTCTCTACCCCCGATACACACATCTTCGAAGACCCCACACCCGCGGTAGACACGTCTAGTCTCCCCAGACTTTCGGATGATCAGATTACGCTCACGTACGAAATCGAGCGGACGGTCAGGGAGATACGGGAGGGACGATGGAAGAGGATCGCGCTGCAGTTCCCCGATCACATGCTCACAGATGCACCGAGAGTATATGATCAGCTGAGTCGGGGGTTGAGCAAGGAGAGGAAGGCGCAGAATGGAAAGCAAGAAACAAATGGACCTGTAAATGGTGCGACTGTAGCAGAAGACCTCAGCACAGACATGGGCAAGACTTCGATATCTGAGGAAGAGAGTAGCCAGGAGAGTCTGTTCATACTCGGCGACACGTCGTACGGTGCGTGCTGCGTCGACGAGGTTGCTGCAGAGCACGTTGATGCGGACGTTGTGGTACACTATGGCCGCTCGTGTCTATCGCCTCCTTCAAGGCTACCAGTCGTGTACGTGTTTACGGAACGACCGCTCGATCTCGATCCAGTAGTTGCGACGTTCAAAGAGACATACCCGGATAAGGAGGCAAAGATCATACTCATGGCCGACATACCGTACTCACACCACGTCCCCATCCTCCACAAACGCTTATGCGACGACGGCTACACGAGTCTGCACGCTACTGAAATTGTCCATAACCCTTCCTCGCCGCTCCCAAACCGAACAACACCACCCGGAACTTCAGAAACAGACGAGGCCCTCCGCGACTATGCGCTATTTCACATCTCCGACCCACCAACCTCCCTCCTCCTTACCCTCTCCTCGCGCGTCGCCTCGATACACATCTATCCCACCGAAAGCACCTCTTCCGTGGCACCCACCGCCTCGCTCACAAACACCGCAATGGCCCTCCGCCGCCGCTACGCCCTCCTCACTTCTCTCTCCACCACTCCCATCTTCGGTATCCTGATAAATACCCTCTCCGTAAAGAACTACATGCATATCCTCTCGCACGTGCAACGGCAAATCACTGCAGCGGGCAAGAAATACTACACCTTCGTCGTAGGTAAAGTCAATGCGGCCAAGGTAGCCAACTTCAGTGAAGTGGGCGGCTGGGTCGTAATCGGCTGCTGGGAGAGTAGTTTGATTGAGAGCAGAGAGTTCTGGCGGCCCATGATAACGCCGTGGGAACTCAAGGTGGCGTTGCAAGGTGACGAGGAGAGAGTGTGGACGGGGGCCTGGGAGGGCGATTTCCAAAAGGTACTTGATGAAGAGGTCAAGGATGAGGGGAAGAAGGCCGATGGTAGTGCAGAGGGAACGGGTATTGGGCAGGAGCAGGAAGAAGACGCAGATGCGAATGGAGATTACGATTCCGAAGAGGAGTCTGCGCCTCCTGAGTTTGATCTTAGGACTGGTCGTTATGTGTCTCATGCGAGACCCATGCGCTCGACAGCCACTCCGAAGGCTGTCAATGGTAATGCGGCGTCGTCTAGTTCGGCATTGACCAAACGAGCGAATGGCGATATCGCGGCAGTGGGAGGTGTGGCTTCACCGGGCGCTGAGTACCTGCGCTCAAACAGGACGTGGCAGGGTCTGGGCACCGACTACCGAGACACCGAAGATGGAGAAAACGGTACTGGTGGTGCGAGGGCGGCTAAGATGGAAGAGGGTAGAAGTGGGATTGCAAAGGGTTATGTTGTTGGTGAACAGGGAAGTAGGCACTGAAGTTGAAGTAGCAGAGCCACGATGCTGCTCGTTCATCCTTCTCGGTACTATGATTGATTGAGTGTAACTCAACGCCCTATCTGTAGCCTATCAAAAAATATTCAGGCAACAAGTGCCAAAAGTTTATATCGCTTTTACACTGCCCTTTGCATCTTAGTCATCGAATGAGCCCCCACCAGTCGATGCTAAGTTCCGATTGTGGTCTATGGCACAAATCTCGGCATCAGAATCGTTACTTTGCGAAAAAAAAAAGAACCTGGGGTATCTGACTGAAGCCAGACGAATGCTGATGAGAGTGGGACTCGAACCCACGCCACTTTCGTGACCAGGAATATGTGTTAAGGTAACCTTAACCTGGCGCCATAACCAACTCGGCCATCTCACCATAATAAGGATGTTATTGGTCGATTTTTGTTCTCGGTACTAGAAAACTTCGGAAGTGTCCATTCTGCTAGATTAGTGTACTTGAAAATCTTTTCAGTCCGCCTCATGTCCTCTGCCGAAGCCCCAGCGAGGTTGTCCCTACACGTACTCCATCGCAGATACCCGGCCGGTCAAAAGACCTTTCATTACATACCCATTGCGACCCTGGCCCATGCTGTCTCCATGTCTTGAACGAGAGTAAGGAAGTCGTCGCTCTCTAGTTGGCGGAAGACGAACTCATTGAGCACTGCTCTACGTTCCTCGTCAGACTGCATTGCATATGCTGCCAGACCATCGGTCTCGTTTGTTCCACTACGACGGCCAGTGACAGATGTAGGTGGTGTAATCGGAGCACTCTGAATTATAGTATGGTGAGTATTCTGAGCAGCATTGCTGAGCGTACCGAGCGGAGTTGGTAGAGTAGTCGAGCTCAGCTTTTTGAATGACAGCGGAGAAGACATGGGAGACGAGGTCAAAGGCGACCGATTCTCGACACTTTCGTGCGGAGACGTCTTCGCGCGCAGAGGACTAAAGTGATCTTGGTTTGGTGTACGAGGCTGCTGCATTGCTTTGTCTCCACGTACGGTCTTGCTGACAACAGTTGGCTGAGGTAAGGGGGGAAGTTCAATCTCCTTGCTCATTGCGCTTCGGCTGGAACTGGGTCGGCCACTGGCTGCGCGAGACGGTAGAGGAGGCGGTCCCATCGTACCAGTGGATGGTCGCACACTGTCACTGCCCGAGGAGCGAGGTGACGACAGACGGGGAAACGGGAGCTCACGTCTAGGCGGTGGTGTCTCAGCGCTATCGGGACGATTAGCAGTGCCGGGACGGTTGGCACTGTCAGGGCGATTGGCGCTGCTAGGGCGGTTGAAGAGCATAGCAGTATCTGGTCGCTCAGTAGACAAATAAGGGGTCCCTTCGACGGCGGACATTTGCTGATCTGATGCAGGCGAGGTGTCAAGATGTGAACGCCCTAAGATATCTGAGGTAGCTGAGGTAGGCCGGGCGAACAATACAGGAGGAGCAAGAGGGCCTGATAAGGAGGCCGACATGCCTACATATTCTCTAGCGTATGCTGGAGTGGCAGATACTGGACGAGGGAATGTCCCTCCTTGTAGCTGGGAAGCTGTGTTGGAGGAGGCACTGTGGCTAGTATAGGGACGGCTTGAGATCTCTGCTAGCCGCGATGGAGGACACGACAGTCTGCCTGCGGGAGATCTGTTAGAAGGCTCCTCAGGACACGCAATAGCTTTCGGACTCGGTCTGGAGGGTGATGCTTGTGCTGGCGATGGTAAGGGAGCTGTTAGCTTCGGCTTGGACAGAGCTCCTTTCGTTCCACTCATGTGCAGGCCGAGTTGAAGGAGGTAGTTAGATACAGTGTCGAAGTCCCTGTCTGACTTGAACCTCATTTGGACACGCCGGAGCTTGTTGTTGGCCAGCTGCCATCGTATGGCCAGCAGAGGGGAGCGTACAATGGCAGTAATGGGGAGCTGGTCGGTCTGTATCTGCACCCCACGTTCTTGATACAGACGAGTCATATTGTTTCCCTCGTTGATCAGTCTCTCAATCTCGATAGTTTGCTGTGAAAGATCGGTTAGCCAGCACGTCATTTGCAGCAGTTTATCAGCTCGAGTCGGTGAGGCATCAGTTGTGCATGCACCGTACCCGAATCTGTGAGCCTTGAACCACTTTCATAAGCTGGAGGCCATCGCGTGAACCGTAGCTGTCGACAACGAGTGTGAGATCCCTCGTCTCTTTTTGCCAGATGAACTGTTGCTCACTGGCGTCGGTGTCCCGGGCCGTTGACAGGGTCGCGAGCGGAAGTGAGAGCATCGTGGTTAGTGCTGGTTATCTGTTAGTCGAGATCAATCAGCTTCATCTAGCGGTGGACGAGCTGTGTCGTGTCGAAGACACTCGCGTAATGCTGGAGGAATGTGAGAGACGGTCGGATGAGACCTGGGGAAGTTGCAACCGGCCAGGCCAGTCACATGATGTGGCCCGTGCGGGTCAACGCGAGGGACTTGGTGCATTCTGGAGTTCTGGTGTTCGCCCATCCATCATCGCGACCGACGCGCGCCGCGCATTCACAAGCAAATCCACCATTGTGCCAGGCACACAGCTGAAATCACGCATGCGTCGCGATCCGTTTCCGAGTAGCCCCGAGTGAATGCGACAGCCGCAACATGGCCCCAAACAGACCGGAGGAATCATCCGTCGAGCGCACCCAAGAATATGAAGACTTCCTAAACACTTTGGCCGAATACCACGAAAAGCGCGGGTGGGTTTTCTTGCTTGTGGCACCGCAATGAGCGCATATTGACCCGACGTGTAGCACTGTTCTGGACCGTGAACCCAAGGTCGGGAGCCGACACATCGACCTTTTGCGGCTCTACAAACGCGTCAATGAGGAGGGAGGCTACGATAGGGTTTCAGATACCAAAAACAACAAGCTTGCGTGGCGCAAAATCGCGACCGAGTTCCTTCCCAAGAGCCCCAGCATCACAACCCAGGCCTTTTTGGTGAAGACAGCCTACTACAAGAACCTTGCGTATGTGAATGGTGAAAGAATCCGTTGCGCCTGACACCTGTTAATGCTTGCTTTAGCGCCTACGAGATATCTACCGTCCACAAGCGCGAACCGCCGCCGCCCGAGATCCTCGAGAACGTATCTGCCAAGGGCGGAGACCTCCTAAACCGAACCGTCGACAACTTCTTCCCACCCAGCAGCCGAGAGGCAGAGCGATTAAGAGGAGACGAAGACTCGGAAGACGAAGACGACGTCGAAAAGACACCAAAAGACGACAAGATGGATGTGGATGACCCTGGTAGCGTTGGTCGGTCGACAAGGTCCCTCCGCCATGCACCGCCGCAGCGCGTACTCTTCCAGCCCGAGTCTTCAACGCGACAGACGCGCCAGTCGACAGGCCATCTGACCTCGTCACAAGCAAATGGTTATGGCACCAGTGGAGCAGCCATGACGATCGCGAACTACGAGCCGCGAACCGCCGTACCAGCCACCATGAAGCCCGTCGTTACTCCGTCAAACTCCCTCGATACGTACATACAGTCGCGCAAGAAGTACATCCTCAACAAGAAGAACAGGCCAGTGCCGCTCAAGGGCATGATGCTGCCTGGTACCGGGTTCCCGGGACCCAGCATCTACATTCGTGCTCTGAATGCGCTGCGTTCCAAGGAGCCGGAGGAGGAGGCATACGCGCTACACCACCTGGTCAAGATCTCGCACGAGCGAGGGGACAAGTATCGCTTCGACCAGTTCCCGGGGCTCGCAGAGGCGCTCATTGCCAAGGTCATCGATGTCTCCGCATTGTTCTATGACGTGAACTGGGACATATCCTATGTCGAGGAGGAATTCAATCAGCCGCAAACACTGAACGGACTTTCTGGTACCCGCGACCTACTACAGCGCATCAAGTCTCTCCGCATGCTCGACATGCAAGATAACCTCCTGCCGGAGCAGTCCGCAAAGGCCCTCAACATGATCAACGAGGCTGCGCTGATTATCAGGAACATGGTGATGCTGAAGGAGAATGCCATTTTCGCTGCCTCTGTGCCAACCATCCAAGACATGATTACCATCGCACTCAATCTACCACACCACTCTACTATTGTGGAGCTGCAACACTACGCCCTGGAGATCGCCGAGCAGCTGACCAAGTATTGGATATTGGACTCGCAAAGCCCGCTCTACCGCTCTTTGCTGGCCCAAGTCGACTCAGACGACCGTGGCCGCATCATCACATCGTTGAGAGCACTTGCGCGGATAGCAATGAACCTGGAGGCTACCAACAAGCTTTCGGACGTGCCAATCAAGACTCTCAAGTCGATATGTGACTGGCTGTTGGTAGAAGACGAAGACCTCCGCATAGCATGCCTGGACTTCCTCTATCTATTCACTGGATTTCCTGATAACGTCGAGAAGCTTGTACACGAAGTTGACATTGAAGGCGTGATAAAGCAGCTAGTCCGCCTACTACAGTACGGTGCGGTAGCCTACGAGGAACGAAGAAGTACTGCGAAGACTGCGAAGACCTCCGCGCCACCAGAGAATGCGCCGAAGCTGTCGTCTGCTATCATAGATCACCTAGTGACTCTTGATGAGCCAGAACGGAGTTCACAGTGGCTGAAGACTTGTTTCGAAGAGGATACAACAGGCGAGATCACACAGATCCAGTTGTGGTCAGCATACAACGCCGCCTTCTCGGAGCACATGACGAACAACCCAGCCAACTTCAAAGCGCTTATGCCAGCAAAGGACTTCATCACCAACGTCTCAACAACGTTTGGCGGTGCTTCCGCTCAGGTGTTGACCGTGGGTGGGCAGCCAAAGTATACCATAAGAGGTATACGGCCACGATCCGTACCAGTCGACCCAAGCACCAAGAGGCCGTACATGCGGTGCTGCTGGCATCCGCCGAGCCTGCTCAACGGACATGCCGACTCGAAACATTCGACTGCGAACATCGAGTGCGGCGAGTTCGCTTCTGGTGCGCGCTCCATGTGGGAACACGTTGTAAGTGTCCATCTCCAAGTTCCTCGCGACCAGGAGACCGGACAGTGGTTGCTTGAGCCCAAGCTAGACATCAAGGACATTATGGAGATCGAAAACGGTTCTGCCACCGCGGCGACAAAATACTACTGTCACTGGGGTGGCTGCACACGATTTTCGCCTGACGGCACAGAATCTGCGTTCGAAGCTGGACAGCATGTCAAGACGCATTTGCCTGATACCAGCATCAAGCATGCCATACATGCAAAACACAACCGCACGCCTTCGGAGTCACGGCCCTTGACTTCATCTGCACAAGGACGGCATGAAAATTCCCAGCCTCAATTTGCACAGCCTGCTGGGCTAGGCAGCTTGGGCATGGGCGGACGACACCAAAGTTCGTCGAACAGTTCCGCAAGTAGATATGGCGGAGGTCGAGACGATGCAGCAGGAGCGCAAGCAGCACCCAACTTCCGCTACTACAATACCGCAACTGACGATACCAACGACGCCGCTGGTCTTCCTCTGTCCGCCGTTCTTGTTCTTCGTAACCTCGCTCGCCAACTCAACAAGATCCCGCCACCTACTTCTGTCATCGATGTCACTTCTCCATCATCTCCGGTTCACAAGCGGACATTTAGTGCCAGCGAAGGTAGTCCCGAAGCCGCGAGACGAGCCACAGCTGGTGCCAAGAAGCCACGTCTCAGCGATGCGGCGGCGGAGCAAAGACGAGAGAACGAAGAGAAGGAGGAAGAAGAGGCGAAGAACGCCGGATGGGTGCCCCGTATCTTCGCCCCTCTACGAGACCAGATTGCCTTTACAGCCAGTCATAATCTTACTCTGAGGAATTACATTGTTGGGCTACTTAAGGCCGTCGCTGAAGGTGGTGGCTAGGTGTAATGTGCTTGCAAGATATTGTTTTACAGAATGGCGTTGATGAGCCTACAAAAGAGCGCTTGCTTTTTGACTGTACGAGCGATAGGGTGTGTTTGGAGTTTATACATGTACGCAAGGGACTGTACACTTAGATATCTTACTAGTTCTATGACACCGCACGACTCAGGTATGGGTCGGGTTTGTGTATGCTTACTACCTGTTACTTTCATCGAGTCTACGTCCTCCACCTTCTTCATACCGTCATCTCGTGTCACGACTTACTTGGCGTTCGCGCCCCATTTCGGCGACCGAGATATTTCATATTCTAGATTGAGGATAACTTGTATTTGCATATTTGAAGTGGATCTGATATGGAGTTCAACTTGAATTGCGGCTTTATCACCTAAGGTCTTTCGACCAGTGCATGACAAATGTCTCAAAGGCGGTAAGAGTCTTACAATATTCAAGCGTTGAGTGTGTGGCTGACGGGCTTTTGTAATGCGCTGACATTGCCGCCGCTGACCCTCTGCGCATCATGTCCTCAGATCCGAAAGGAGCATGACACATTTCAACCCATTCAAAATGGACTCTAGCAGATGGATCCAAGAAGGCTAAAGGGTACGCCGAGAGCTTGACGGTAGGACAAGATGCGGCGTGAATCGGGCTCTACGTAAGGAAACGGTGATGCTGAGCACGACTAAGCCCGTAAAATTGCTTCATAGTGCTTCGCTGCATGTAGGCGTTTCTCGGCGGGCTGGGTGTTCTGGCGGCAGATACATAGAGCCCAATCAGTACAGTGTTTGTTCGGAGGAAAGTGAGATGCCGCTGGCCGCTGTAGATAAGAATTTTTCTCGTTCTGATAGCCCTTGTGTGGAGTAAGATTGAGTAGGAAGTTTAGTTCGGTACCCGAATGTCGCTCTCTTCTTGCGGAGGTTCCGTCTCCTCGCCGACGACATTCATAGTTGGTGCGACACTGAGTATAGCATAAGGGTAGACTGGCGCCGACGTGGGCTGCTGAGTATTCACAGCTGCTGGGTAAACTGGGCGTGGGGAGACTACTTTGCCTCGCGAGTAGGCGGCTTCGTACTGGCATGTCAACCCCCGGCGGATACAGGTCTCGCACCTTACCCATGCCTGCTCAATACGGCGCCTTTATGTGGCTCTGACGTTCGTGAGAGCTGCGATCAGAGGCCAGCTAGATAACGAAAGAGGGGGCGTATCCAGATGGTGTCGCATGCCGCGAGAGCATTCGCCCACCATGCGCTCGCGTGCGACCTGGGTCAGCCGGAGAAGGGGGGCCATACGTCTGCGGTAATTGAAGGCAACCTTGATTCACATCCCATAGTCAATTCCTTCTCTTGCTTCTTTGTATAAATATCTTCCATAAAAAACATCGAGAAGGCTCGACATAGATTTCGTGTTAAATATAGAAGGACCCGGGTATAGAGCCGCCAACCGCTTCCACAACTCAAAATGGGAGACTACGCCGGTACGTACTTTTTCACTAGAAACTTCCGTATCTTCCGGAATTCGTATGCGCAACCGAGATACATGCAAAAGAGGCATCAAGAGCTTTCAAACTCTATGGGTCAACTCAGACTTTATACATGCACCCATCTCTGTCGCGTCACCCTAGCGCAGATCCTCCACACAAGGATCAGTCCCTTACGGGCCTTACCAGCATGCAAATCTCACACCACCATCCGCAAACATGACACCACTAATCAGTCCACTTTACCACAGATCCCCTCGACCACATCCTAGCTGGCAACCTCGCCTACCAAAAACGCACTACCGCACGCGATCCCAACGCCTTCACGCTCCTCGCCCAAGGCCAGGCACCTGAGATTCTGTGGATCGGCTGCGCAGATAGCCGCATCCCAGAAACGACTGTGTGTCACTGCAAGCCGGGAGAGATATTTGTCCATCGCAATATCGCGAATACGGTGCATGCGGATGATCTGAATGCTGCTAGTGTAGTCGAATATGCGGTCACACATCTGAAAGTCAATAGAGTCGTGGTATGCGGGCATACAAAATGCGGAGGTGCAAATGCAGCGTTGAGTGATGTGGATTTGGGCACGACGCTGAATACGTGGTTACATCCGGTCCGAGAGTGAGTTTGCCTTCCTTTCTCCTGCAAGCGTGGTTTGGAGTGGAGGTAGTGGCGCGAACAGGTGTTCGCAGGATCAGGATGCTTGAATGCTACTGACATGGACCCACATAGGCTCCGTCGTCAGAACAAAGTCGAGTTAGAGGAATTGCCGAATGACGATGCGCGGTCAGCTCGTGTTGCAGAGCTCAACGTTCAGCAGTCTATTGATGTGTTGAAGCAGCATCCTGCTATCAAGAGAGCTACCGCTGAGCGAGGCTTGTCGCTTCACGGTCTCATCTACGACATTGGTGCTGGACAGCTGAAGATCTTGGAGGAGGCAGGTGGTAGAAAGGCAGACAGTCTTCGGTGTCTGACCTGAGGGGGCTTGAGGGCGATCATGTAGATGTCGGCCACATATGGGTTTCTAGATGCAGACTCCATGTTTATGTCTGCTTTGTGTTAGAGTTTTCAGTGGCGGGCTTACAGCGTTTGGCGATGTCATGGGAACTGCGTAGTGCTCTAGATATTAAGTGGCTCTATTTGAGAGTTTCTCTTTGGTTTGGTGACATTATGAAAAACTGTTTTTGTTTTATTCAACAGAGAAGGCAACGATTGTAACAAATTTAAGCTTTAGGATGTCAGTCTGCAGTATAGAATACATAGGGATGGATACAATACTCTGCTTCGGTGGTTCCAATTGCGACAGTATCATCGATATGCTCAGAAACCCTCTTTATCTTCAAAATATTTTCGCGTCTCATACACCGCCATAAAAGGAATGACGAACACCGGATGCACTGCTCTCAAAGCATCGGCCTCGTCCCAAACGACATCCTCACCATCGTAACGTCCCTCTGTCTTCCAGTGGAAAGGTGCGCCGTAGTTGCCGGTACCCAAAGTCTTGTTTACGTTTTCGTCGTAAACATACTTGTGCTGTGCTGCACTGAGTCCAGCCAAATTGTAACATGTGTGGTATGCGTCAGGGCCCTTTCCAGGCTTATCTCTTAGGCCGCCCTTCTTTTCTTGACATGCGGCTAGGATGTACCGTCCAAGTGCACCCCGATTCCAGAGTCCTGTTGTAGTTGCGGCCTCGACAATGGACCAACAGCCTCCAACCCACTGCGAGTAGCAGCCGTCAACAAGCTTGTTTGTGCGACCGTTGTATCCACCTTCTGGTGTACATTGCCGGGCTGAAAGCCAGTATATCAAAAGATTGACGTCCAGGTACTTGTGTAATGTCTCCTTTGGTGGCCCGAGTACAGCAAGGCACCCCAGGCCGCAGAATGCGTAGGCTCCATGGGCTTCGTTACCAGGCGTTGCTGAGATACCGCCGTCCCAAGATTGGCATTTCGAAATCCAATCGCCGAGACCATCTGTGAAGCTGGTAAAGCCTTGTTTCCTCGCCGGTGCATCAGGGGGGAGCTCAAGAGGGAGGTTGGTAAGAGACAGCACGACCATGGCGCAGAAGGCGCCTCGGATGTCTTCTTCGCCGCCCTGGCACATGGTAAAGCCTCCGTCGACCTGCTTCATCCTGCCCAGAAAATGCCAGAGAGCTTTGCGATTGATGGTCTCGTATGCCTGGGCCCCACCGACTGTGGCAAGTGACAGGACTGCAGCATATGTGCAAGCAAGATGAGCATACTGGCCATAGCCACCCCCGAATCCTCCGTCTGGATGTTGAGCCAAAGAGAACGTATGCGGTACTCTATGCAACGTTAGAAAATATGCTATCAAACTCGTGTATCATGCAGATCTTGAAGATGGAGCATGCTTGGATTGGATGACCTACGTTTTGTCGTAGCTAGTTATGTCAGAGCCCATCGCGGTCAAGCCTTGCAAAGACCAGTACAAGAGCCATGGTCGTGCAGCGTCCAATCCAGCAGCGCGTGCTGGATAATCACCAAGCTGTCCTCTCAAGAAGTCATCGTGCTTTGGTCGTTGCAAGTTTGGTATGCCGAAAGTATTCAATGAAAAATCGTTCGGGTTGCCCTCCAAATAAGGTAAGATATTTTTGGCCGTTTCATAATCGGTTTCTGACGTTTCCGTCACGAGTGAGTCTTTGATCGGTACCCTGATACTCTCTAGGTAAGCGATGTTTGCTTGCTCTTCCTCGGTAGCGGTCCCCATATCTTCGTAATCGCTTCCAAGCTCTTCGTCTGAAAGCTCTTCAATTCGTTCTGACCCGGGGATAATTTCCTGCAAGCGGGAAGAAGGGGCCTGAGCGGAAGGACGTAATGGCATGGCCATCTTCTTTACATGTACGTTGTGGCGTCTGGACTTAGTTCGTACGCGACTGGGCATCTATCTGTGAGTGGCTGGTGGGGAGAATGGGTCCAGGGCTTTCTTGCAAGGGTGCTTAGTATTGTTCGAGTACGGTGCAGCCGCCAGATACAGTATAGATGTCACAACTCGTGCTCGTATAGCGTGACCATCATAGGTGAACTCAAAACTGCCCTTTGCGTTTGTTGCAAATGCTACAGTCAAGGGCAAGAATGGAGCACGTGGGGAGTAATCAGATTGAGTACTAGCTGGCTTGGCAGTCGCTGCTATCGATAGTGAACCATCCCAGAATTCACCGATACACAACTTTCAATCCGACGAACGCACACCAGCCATGCCCGCAAGCTCCTCGCCGAGCGCCTCACCAGAAAGCTTTAGGGGACTTGACTCCTGCAAAACGAACAACATGCGCGTCCAATCAGTCTTGCTGTGGTTGATCCATTGGTGCATAGTACCGCGCTGAATACAAACGTCCCCGCGCTTCATCAACCGCTTCTCCCCGCTATCGAGCAGACATTCGACCTCGCCCTCGAGTACACATCCGTAGTCCAAGCTCACAGTGCGGTGCATCGTGCATTCTGTGCTTGGGGGAATATCGACATGGCGGAGGACTGTGCCACCGGAGACGACGAGGCCCGGGGCATCCTTGAGATAATTGCCGTAGACATCGAGATCCTTGTCGCCGTTCATATCGACGGGGAAGCCTTTCGTGGTGAAGCTGAGAGCGAACGCAATGCCGTCATCGTTGGCTTTCATCTTGCTTTCCTCATTGAAGGCGGTGCTGAAGACTGCTTTGCCCTTGTCGTCATGAGTAGTGATGTAACGATGGATCTTGGGAAGTGCGCCAATGTGTGCCATATTGTAGGTCTTTTGGATTGCTGTGAAGTTTGCGTGTGATATTGGAGTGATGTTGAGAATGAAATCTAGGTAATCACAAAACCTGACACGTACTTCCTATCTCAACCAAGATGGAAGTGACAGGTGCTGGATGATGTATTGTCATGCCCCACGAAGAGTCTCACATATAATGCTACACTCTCAGTCTGCGTTATACAATTACGGGAGATGCGCGTGGAGCCGAAGGCCGGATGTGGGCCCACAGATCTAACTTCCCGTCATTACCGTACTCCGCGATCTACGACCCTGAATGAGCTCCATTGCTTTCACAATAGCCTGAGATATAGAGTTTCGTATTGCTGAAGTCCAGGGTCCGATATGTTCAAGGCGTGGCTATATTGCCGCCACATCGTATATACACAACCATCGGCATCTGCGACGTCAGCAAGCTAACGGCAACAGCGAGCGCAAGCAGTTACCGGACAATCAGCTGGAGTTCTGGCATTGTATGCACACAGTCAAAACATCTTCGACGCTACTTCCGCTGGAGGTGGCAGTCAAGTATAATCCCATGGTTGAAGATACATCATCTTATGCCACTGTGAGACGTTCACGAACATTTCCTGTTCATTGCTTCTCATCTGTTTGACCTTGTGCAGAGGTTTGCATCGATTGAAGTAGGACGTGGCTCAAAGAACATCTGCTCGGCAACGCCGAAGGTGATACCGTGAAACACGTGCGATGATAGGAAGCGTAGAATACTTGATCCTCCTTGGATATGAGAATCTTCTGCTTGTACTGATGCAGGCCAATTCTTTGACCGGAGCGACATTACACAATGTCGTGACTGTGGGGTAGCTGCGTAACAGACACTCCCTGCACAGGAGCAATAACCGAGCAATGCGTTCCACGACGAGGTTGGACACGTTGTGATGGGTCGCGCGAACAATGGACTGTGGTGTGTGATGGGTGAACCAGATTCTGGCTACCGTCGTTCGGAGGGAAGGAGTACCCAGCGAACTGCGACTCCCCTCACCAAACATTGTCGCCACTGCTACTTTCCGAGTCTCACTTTACGACTTCTTATCGTACTCACCACCAATTTCTTGGACCATTGCCCTTATCCTCTCTGCTTCCACTGCATGGCTCTTTCCATCTACTTCTACTGCATGGCGCTACCTGCGCGGTCTCACACCCATCGCCATTCCTAGTGCTATACTCTGGCACCCCGTGACGAGGGAGCATGCATCCCACAAAGTAAACCAGATGCATTGCCCAATCTCTTCAGCTCTCAAGTTGGAAAGCGCTCCAGAGATCAGCCGCTTGCATCTGACATGCGCTGCGGGGGTCCCCCCCCCGGGTCCTCTCGTCTTCTTCTTCGTGCTCTTCACGACGAACAACTCAACCCCAGTCAATAGAAAGAGATGTTGCTCGCGTCATACTAGACCTAACAGGCGGCCGTCTTTCGCCTACAGTACACTAGCCACTATGTAGGACAAAGGAAGACGTCAGCAACGCCGCCCGGTGGTACAACGCTATCTATCCCCATGACTTGGGATGATGGTGGCTTGCGCAGCTACTGATCCCTCGCAGATAGGATGCGACTGTACAGCACGATGCGGTGTGCACCAGAATCTGGAAGCGTCTTCAAGATGTGAAGAATTGTTGTACTACGGCATGCCTCAAACAGTGGCAAAACGAAACAGACGACAGAGATAGTCACGAGTATCGTAGACGGATCTCGGCATGCCACAGCAAGAGTGACACCAATGTAATACGCCCACCAGTAAGGACCAGGGTGCTATCCAGTCAGGCTGTCGCTGCTCAAAGGCGAAGCATGACAGATGGCAATACCTGAAACGGCTGCCATGGACGAGAATCTGGATGCAAGGCAGGGCGCTCAGTAGCACGATCGGAAGCGATGTTACGCAGAAGGCGCTGCTCGACATTACAGGGTAGCGGCAACGCTTGCCAGCGCGAGGAACCGCCGGAGAGCGGGTTCAGCGCGTGGAGGCAGGTCTGGCGCGCATGCAATGAATGGCCGAGGGCTCAAGAATGTATGATGACGGCAGGACGATTTGCGAGACGTCTTCGGACGTGTCGGTGAGTCTGGACGTCGACGGCGAAGTGCCGTTATAGAGTCGCAGGCCGGGTCATGCCAGTGAGGCAAATACGACACCCCTGGACGGTCAACCATTTCTCGCGGTCTATATTCTTAGATCCACCGACGGGCGCCAGTAGCGCACGCCGGTTCGCCTGGCTGCATGTCGAACAACTCGTTCGAGGTGAAGGCCGATGATCGAGCACGGCCGTGAGGGGAGATATAGCACTCAAACGTCGAGTATAGGCTGTCTTTGCTTCTTGCGGCATCCCCAACGCTCCCCTCCACACCCTGATCCTACAAGACCCCGAGTCTAACGCTTATCGGCGTTATCGTAGGAGGGGTCATCTCTCTCGGTAGGCGACACCTGTGCCGAGAGAAGTGCGGTATTGCGACACACTTGCCTGCATCGTCGTCTCACTGGCTGCTGCAGGGTGAGGCGTCAGCTTGCGTGGGTTGGTTAGCCAGACGACAGCCAGACCGAACAGCGGCGCTGGTCAAGTGGTCTAACCAGGAGGCAGCACAGAGGTGGAGCGCCTCGGCGGGCGAACACAATTCAGTTCTCTCGTCGCTCAACGATCTGCCCACTAGAGGCGCCTCTCCACGATAGTTGAGCACCCTCTCGCTACCCGCACACCACCGACAGCGCCCGTCTGGGAACCCTCGCGCAGGTCGACGCTGGTCAGGGTTTTCTTTGACCTCGATTGCGAATCGCGCGGTCCGCTGCAGCGCTTCTGGCGCTATCCTAACCAAGTGTAGGACTAGACGAGCCACTGGTGTGTGGGGCTGGGACTTGCATACAAAAAGCGGTGTACGGGTCTTGGCATCATCCGCCTACACTCTGGTCGGCCCATCGCCCGTCCGCTTACCCTCACCGCTTACTATCAGCTCGAAGAGGCTGAGAACACTCGAACCCATTTTCACTCTCCGTGCAAACATGGAGAACCAACACATCGACTTCGACGGGGCCATCTACGGTGTAGACGGTGCCTTTGACCCATCCTTCGACCCGAACCGACAAACCTACAACTTCTCACAGACGTGGCCGCTGCCAATCTCGCCGGGAACCATGACACAGCAACAACAACACCACGATGGCAGCCAGCAGCACCAGCAGCAGCAACATCAGCACCCGCACCAGCAGCAGCGACGCCTCAACAACGCAGCCGCGTCTACCGCGCACAACTCACACCCGAGTACCACGAGCATTGCTCCTCTCCACATGGGCCTCGGCTTTCCCGCGGGCATGCAACCGATGAACCCCATGCTCGCAACTTGGATGAACATCAACACAGATGGTTTTGCGCAGGATAGCTTTGGACAGGGCTCAATGGGAATGGGCGCAGGATACAGCACATACGGAGGGCCATTGGAGACTTCGCCTGTCGAGTTCGGCATTAACTCGCACATGATGAACTCTATGTCTATGGCACCCATGAACTTCATGACTACAGCCAGCATGGACGGATTGCCTACCACACTGACCACTGCACCCTTCCAAATGGCAGACTTCCAGCACGAGTTCACACACCTCGGAAACGCGCCCGGCGAGTACACCGCTCACTCGAACGCGCCCACCGCCAGCGTTGGCACGGGCTCACCCGGCGAGAACTGGATGGAAATCCGTTCGCTCTCCAGCAGCGACAATGGCTGGGTCGACGTCGGCCTCGGCCACGGTCACCGCAACTCCTACGACTACTCCGATAGTTCTGCCATCATTTTCAACCCAGCCCAGTCACTCCACATCCGCACTGGCTCCGACTCGTCAAATTCGAACCAATCAGACGTGCCACGATCCGCCCACTCCTTCAGCAGTTTTGAGGAGATACAGTTCCCAATGCACTCGCCTCAATCCGAGACCGATAACCATCTCGAGCTTGTGCACTCGCATCATTCGCACCACTCGCACAGCCACTCGGAAAACTGCAACCACTCGCACGGGCTCCAAATGAGCGATCACGACTTCGCCAACTACATCTCCCCCACACAGTCCGTCAGCCCTCCCATGGCGCGAGTAGAGCCAATTGTCATAAAACAATCGTCATCGAACACGGCGTCGCCAACCTCGTCCGCCGTCAGCTCGCCGCCGGCTCGCCGCAGGAAGTCTCCTGCCACAGCGACGGGATCGAAGCCTGCAAAGACCATCGTCAAGAAGACACCCGCTCACACCACCAAGAAGGACGCAACTGGCGAGAAGCGCGTCGGAAGGAGACGGGGACCTCTCAGGCCTGACCAGCGACAACAGGCTCACGAGATCCGCAAGCTTCGTGCATGCTTGAGGTGTAAGTTCCTCAAGAAGACTTGTGACAAGGGCGACCCGTGCGCCGGTTGCCAGCCTTCCCACGCGCGTCTCTGGCAGGTCCCGTGCACACGCATTGACATCAAGGACATTGCGTACTTCATGAAGGACTGGAAGGCCGACTACGAGCGTCACGTCAGCCTTGGCTTCTCTATCGGTAACATCAAGGGTTTCTCGACATCAGAGCGTCTGATCTACGTTACCCACGGCTATGGCCACTACCTCCCCATCATGGCCCGCGACGTCTACGTCCGTGACGAGAAGTGCTTCGGTGTCGACTGGCACGAGACCCTCAACGGTCTCCATTTCGAGATCAACACCGCCAAGCTGTCCGCCGGTATGGAGGGCATCTCACGCGCTATGCTCTCTGACTACCTTGACCGCCACATCGACGGTGGTTTCGAGCAGTTTGTTGATGAGTACTTTGAGGGCACCTACTTCGTCACCGAGTTGTTGAAGACCGCCTACCGCTTCTACTGCCGCGAGAAGCTTCCCGTCATCCGCAAGGCGCTCAAGCTCGTCCTTGCCTACAACCTGACTCTCCACGTTACCATGATTGAGGGTCTCGGCGACGAGGACAACACGCCCGGTAAGGTCGAGGACCAACAGTCCAAGTTCTCTGGCAAGACCATCGCGCCTGTCATGATCAACTTCCAGGTCAAGTGTGCTCTTGCCGACATGTGGCGTGAGCTGCAGAAGGATGTCCTTGAGGAGCTGTCTTCCCTCTACCAGTCGGTCTATAGTGGCGACAAGCTGAAGAACTGGCCTACCATCTTCATGCTCGCTGCTATCCTCCTCGCAGTCTGGGAGCTGATTCAGTTCGACTGCAACTACCGTGTCCCTGACCTTGGTGCCGTCAACAAGTTCTGCGGCGAGATGGAGGGCACACCGGTTGGTGTCATTGTTGGTCTCTTCTCGGCCATCTCCCAGAAGCTCCCCTCCTTCACTGAGTGGGATTCGAGGAAACACCACCACCTGCTCAACTCGAACCCGGCTGTCTGCGATGCCATGACCGAGGTTCGCGCGCACGTCACTAAATATGGTAAGCACAGTCCGCCTCTGCTCAGTCTCAATATGCTAACAACGATCCTAGAAACGTACCTCCGTTCAAGAAGTGACTGCAAGTTCGACCGTACTGACTTCGACTCATTGTCGAACAAGTTCCTCTCGAAGCTTGTCATCAGGGCCAACTAGGGCACTGCCACTATTACTTAATCATCAGGCTGCATATTCTCTTCACGACCTATCCTTTACGCGCGACTCATCCCCGACAACCACCCAGCAGCTTGTTTTCACGGCACACCCCATATACATAGAACGATCACGACTCATGTGTCCGATGTTTGCACAACAACGGCTGACGACCCCAACTAAACGATGAACGATCTTGCTGCATTTTCCTGCGATTCCCCGGTGTCCTATGGATGCCATGTTTCCTGCGATCCTTCTACGATCAACGATACAGCTTTCGGCTTCCATAACTCCTAACTACATCACACTCATTCCCGGCGACACCGGACCAATTCTTCTATAAAATGAACTCATACGACTTTTATTGACCTTCTTGACCGAGACGGCTGACGTATGATCTACGACAACGATCACGACTACTTGATTTTACATGAGCAAGCAGTACGAGCGAGCGAGCGAGCAGAACCGCGGAGTGAGTTCCGTGTGTTCTCTGGATTGTTTTTGTTTACTTATTTCCTTTTGGAACTGTTGGAGGGGTCCCTGGTATGGTGTCGCACTCCAACACTCTGTGTTGTTGACGTTCAATCCATGTCACAACCTCTCGAGCAACAAATAACCTCTTTTCATCTTCTTGACGATTGTGTTACTGGCATAGCGAGCGAGCAGGCTTTCTTTCTTTCCTTGACTCGAGGCTTCGAACATACTCCTCCAGCTCTGGCACAAACCAAAGTTTGTGCTTGACTGTGAGTGAGGCGGATTTCTTTATTACTGAAAACAGAGTATGTATCTATCATCTATTTTGCTAGGGAAGCAAAATAAAAACTGGGAATTATCATTATTGCTATCAGACTGCACTAATGATCTGGCATTCTCGTGACTCGGATGTAGATGTGAGGCTGGACGGTGTGTGAGTCAGTTACGGCTCGACTCCCAGCCTCCAGACCGACAAAATCTCTACCCAACCTCATCTCCGTGCCTGCATCGCCAACCCCTCCCGAACCCCACTTCCCCAAAACAGCATCAAATCTACAGAATATACAGTACAGCAACTCGTGTTTCACCTATCATGCAAGACGTTTTTGCCGGCCGACATTGCGGCTGAACCCCGGCAAGAAGGAAAAAAGAGCACCGGACCTCACCGCTCTTCCTGCCCCTCGTGTCCGATACAACCCGCGTCCTCAAACTCGTCGTCGCAAGCTCTGGCAGAACAGGTTTGTTGTTTTTGCACCAGGTCCTGGAGCGAGAAGCATGATCTACCGGCTTGTGTCGATCACGATCACGCCCATAGCTAGCCGATCCGTCAACGGGTCATGAAGGTGCCTAGGCGAGGCCTTTGAAGACGGGATGGGCCTGTTATTGATAGTGCATGTGTTGTACAGTCCAGAGGTCAGTCGTAAGCTCGCAGACAGGCGTATGCTTGCGATGGCATGTCCATAGCAGTAAGGTGTAGTCGTAGTGTAGGGCTAGGGCTAACGCGGGGTTTGGTAGTATGTTGTGGCGTGTGGGTGATCCATACTCACCGGAAGGGAACTCATCTCGATCTCCCAAACGCACTTCTCACAGAGTACGTTCCTATCGCTCGGTCTTCGTAGCCGATACCTACACGACCGATTTAGCCACATCTCAACGTTTCATGCACGATATCCGGTACACTACTACGCCCTATCCACCTCGCTACCTCTTTGGAGTACATGTAAAATTACCCGTCCTGCACCCTTCTACCCGCCCCATACCAGTTACCAGAGACTCGAGTTTCCCGTGTTTCCAGCTACCAAACCCTCCTCCTCCCCTAGAAGCAGCTAGAAGACCGCAGCCCACGGAGTGAAGACGCCACTGTGGGGCCAACAGGAAAAAGCAACATCATATCCTGTATGCGTTGTACAAAAAACGCCAAACCGGTTACAGATGTGCATGCATGCGTCGTTCAAGTACGTGCATGGTCTCAACGGCTTTTTCGTCTCGTCTCGAGATAGGCTGGCCCTACCCATTGGTATATGCATGCCCTCCAAGGTTGGATGAACTAGTGGCGTATACATATGTGTGTGTGGGAGGTAGGGCGAGCAGGTGATGCATGTATGGGATTTGTAATGCCCATTGTGATGGAAATGGAGGTGTGTTGAGAAAGTCGGAGTTGCTTTTGCGTCTTCTGTTGAACAGGCGTTTGGTAAGGCGGTGAGGTGGGTCTTGAGTAGAGGTTTCGTGATGTTGTTGCTGTTGAGTTGAGTCTTAGGAGGTGTCAATCTGATTGTGGGTAAGTGTTGGAACGAGACACATTGATATGAGGATGAAACATTGCATTCCTGTTGTGAGCATATCCAATTTGCTACTGCGTCTCATAGGAAGGACTACAAGCTCTCACTGTATCACATTGCGTTACTCAAGTGCCAGACTTGCCAACAATCGAGCCAATCAATCTGAGCACCCCGGATTGAATTGGTTTGACCTTCATAGTGATTTGGCTTGATTGATGAGATTGATCGATCAAAAACGCTTAGAATGAATGGCTTGATTGATTAGATTGATAGTATTACAATTGCCTAATTAGGCAACTGCTAAGCTTGTTTTGTAGATTGAAGCTGAGCTGAAGCTGCTGTAGGCGCACGGGGAGCTGTATCGTGGTGTTGAGGATAGAGTCTCCAGTCAATGTCGTTGGCCAAAGGTAACTTCAACTCCAGAAAATTATCACGATACCGCTCCTACGGCAAATCCAAAAGCCTCACGCTCGGGCTGAGTCCGATCAATCTGATCAATCAATCTGGCAATTTTGAGCTTGATCGACTACTATCTTACGATATGCTGGATTGGCTTGGCTTGCAATACAAATTGTCACTGCTTGATTGATCAGATTGATCTGGACTTATTGTTGACAAGTCTGTTAAGTGCGTTGTGGAATCTGCTCAGGGTATAACACCAATCTCCAGTCCTTAAGAGTGAAGCACCCATCACGCATGCTTCCCAACGACTCTCGAGCCTTCTGGTAGTACTTCAGATCATCATTACATGTATTTTGTGGCTATCTTATACAATTGCTTGTTATCACCGTTTAGAAGCCCTGCCTGAACTTGGGTGCGTACACTTCCTCAAGGTACTTTGCATCCTCATCGCTAAGCTTGAAGTTACTGTTCTTCACTGTCTCGTCGATTCTCTCCTTGCTGCTCAATCCGATGATAGGGCAAACACCCTTCTTTATGGTCCAAGCAGTAGCGATACATGCCATGCTAACATTATGCTTCTTCGCAACTTCTTCCACACGCTCAACGATCTTCTTGTCAATGGCATCCTCGCGCTGGTGTACAAGCATGTCGAGGAACTTGTCAGTCTCAGCGCGCTTGGACGATCGGTCTCCCCAGGGTCTTGTGAGGGCGCCTCGCGCGATTGGAGACCAAGGGATAAGGCCGACGCCAGTATCTTGACAGTATGGGATCATCTCTCGCTCTTCCTCGCGGTAGATCAGGTTGTAGTAGTTTTGCATGGAGATGAACTTGTGCCAGCCGTTCTTCTCAGCAATGTTCTGAAGTGTTTGGAATTCCCAAGCGGCCATGGAGCTGGCACCAATGTACCTGGAGGATCGATGTTAGTAGATGTCTCATATGCATTCTGTGCAGGTACACTTACCTGACTTTCCCGCTCTCGACGACATCGTTCAGAGCCTTCATGATCTCCTCTCTTGGCGTATCTCGGTCAAGTCGGTGGATCTAGTGCGAAGTCAGTGTATGTCTCACATGTATTTCGTACCGTCACAACTTACCTGTAGAACATCGATGTATGTGCCTAGTCGCTCCACGCTCTTCTCTACCGCGTCGAAAATGTGTTTGCGGCTAAGGCCGACTTGATTGACCATATCTCCATCATTGGTTGAAACAGCTGCAATCCCTAAGCTGGGATCTTCTTCGTTGACACCGAAGTAGCATTTTGAGAGGATGACGACCTTGTTTCGTGGGATGTTGTATTGCTTCAGTGCTTTCGCAATGATCTTCTCGGAGATGCCGTGGGAGTAGATGTCGGCCTATTCTATGTTGTAAGCTTGTATTTTTCGTTTAATTGCACTCCCTGGGGGATACAATGGTTGGGGTAGTGTGGCTTACAGTATCCCATGTGTTGATACCAGACTTGTATGCATGCTCGAGCAGTGGCAAGCTCTCAGCCTCGTTCAAGACCCATGGCTGCCACTCGGTCGAGCCGAAACTCATCGCACCAAGGATGACCTTTGAGACCTTAAGGCCAGACTTGCCCAAGCTTGATTTCTGTCAGCACCGTCGTTGCTATCACGAATCAAAGCTCAGGAATCGGGACGAGCGTACTTGACGTATTGCATCTTCTGGTCGGCCATTGTTCCAACTGATAATGCTGTGATAGGATATTTCGTTTATAGTGGTAGCTCGTCGAACGGTAGTTCGTTGTATGTTTGTACGGCGGAATGTGATTCTTATATGTGTAGCTGCGGAGGTGACGGAGATTGATAGAAAGACCGCTGGAAGTGCGCGGCTTTGTAAGATCGGAGTGTCAAGCTAATCGGTGGGCCCATAAGTGGTCTCACCGATTCTTACCTGTGGATTGACAGTTGTGTCGCCTATATAGTTTATGGAGATAGTTGATGGAGTTAGCGGAGATATTGGCAATGGCGTCACATGGAGTGGGGTTGTCGGAAATGAGCCGCGGTAGACAAGTGTCATGGTTCCACCATAACCGGACCTCTGCTACACATCAAGTTGTCGGTGATGTGTTGAGCACCGAGATGATGCCCTTGACTGTCCGTGGTTGTAGTGCTGAAGGTTAATATCAACGCAACCAGACACAACATCACAACAGCGACGACACAACAAGAACGATGATGTTGAGAGAACTCTCAGCCCGTAGGCATGCTTGAATGCATTGTTAGGCTTTAGTAGCCGTCTTAAGAACTATGAACAAAACCGACCAGATCTTAGTCCGCAGACCAGACCATCCTGTGAACGCCGTGCAGAACCATCGTCAACCATCATAACCATCGGCGCACCTATTGTCCGCCACGAAGACGGAGCACCAAGTGGAGAGTAGACTCCTTCTGGATGTTGTAGTCTGAGAGCGTTCGGCCGTCTTCCAGCTGCTTACCAGCGAAGATGAGACGCTGCTGGTCCGGAGGAATACCCTCCTTGTCCTGGATCTTGGACTTTACATTGTCGATCGTGTCGCTGGACTCGACTTCCAATGTAATGGTCTTTCCGGTAAGAGTCTTGACGAAGATCTGCATACCACCACGGAGACGAAGCACCAAATGAAGTGTAGACTCCTTTTGGATGTTGTAGTCTGAGAGAGTACGGCCGTCTTCCAACTGCTTTCCGGCGAAGATGAGACGCTGTTGGTCCGGAGGAATACCCTCCTTGTCCTGAATCTTCGACTTGACGTTGTCAATAGTGTCGCTTGATTCCACCTCGAGCGTGATGGTCTTGCCAGTCAGGGTCTTGACGAAGATTTGCATACCACCACGCAGGCGGAGGACAAGGTGCAATGTGGACTCCTTCTGAATGTTGTAGTCGGACAGGGTGCGGCCGTCCTCGAGTTGCTTTCCGGCGAAGATAAGGCGTTGCTGATCCGGAGGGATGCCCTCCTTGTCTTGGATCTTTGACTTGACGTTGTCGATGGTGTCGGATGACTCAACCTCAAGAGTGATGGTCTTGCCGGTCACTGGAAGCAGTATTAGTAGCTGTTTGGGTCGTAGCGGCGGTGTGGCAACTTACAAGTCTTGACGAAGATCTGCATACCTCCACGAAGGCGGAGGACGAGATGCAGGGTAGATTCCTTCTGGATGTTGTAGTCGGACAAGGTGCGACCATCCTCAAGCTGCTTGCCGGCGAAGATCAAGCGCTGCTGGTCTGGGGGAATGCCCTCCTTGTCCTGGATCTTGCTCTTGACATTGTCGATAGTGTCGGAGGACTCAACCTCGAGGGTGATGGTCTTTCCGGTGACTGTGAAGATGTTAGCAGCTGAGGCGCAAGCGGGCCATGGCGGTGGCGGTGACTACGTACGGGTCTTGACGAAGATCTGCATGATTGCGGGTGTGCTGTGTGTATTCGGTAGTTGTTGGGTGTCTGAATGTTTCAGAGGGTGAGTGTAGAAGTGGTGTGAGGAGGGAGGAAGAGAAGCAGGCAGAGGCTGGTTTATATGGGAGAGGCTGAGGCAGTGACGGGGTCAAAGGGCGAGTAATGATGCGGCGAGCGCCCGTGCGCCAATCAGCGCCTGCGCCCGGGAACATTCCGGGACCTTCCACCGCCACGGCAGGCAACTGTCACTCACTTTGCTATCGATGTTTGCTATTATTCAGCTTGTCTCTTCACGGCGGACTTGACTAATCGTTCGTTGTGTCTCCATTGTATTTCTCACACCGTCGTGGCCATCATTCACTATGAGTACACCGCGCAGTTCCCCGCCTGGCCCACCGCCCGTTATCGTCTGGAGCCTGGACCACCTTGCGCCGGACATGTGACGTAGACGCCACCCAAGGCAACTGCGCCTTTGCGGTGCTCAACACGGCGCCTCTGCGGCCGAGGACAGTCATCGACAAACCTTGAACAATCGCCATCCGAGTTCACACGCTGCATCGCTACTTATCGCATCGCTCAGGCCGACATGGTTCGACAGAGTCAACAGAGCATGGATGCGCGATACGACGTCGCGATTACGGACCCGCTTACACGCAGCACCACCCCGCATATACCGGCATGAGCCCGCCCGGGCAAGTAGCCGTCTTCAGTGGCGACTATCGCTTTGGATCGCGTGGGAATGTCCAACGATGGCAATCCGTTATGCGCCAGTCATGCGAGCCTTCGTGGCAACGCTGTCTTGCCCCATTAAAAGGGCTCTCGCTGCAGAGTGTACCCGGTGTTGAGATGCGACAATGCGACCATGGACAGTCTGCGAGCGCATTGCAATAATTCGCATAGTACGGGGACGATTAGGCCAACGGTAAGTGTCAAAGAAGCTGCTAAGACAAACGTCAACGATTAGAGGTGATGTCACACTCGCGTCGCGGGGTAAGCCTCTGCCTTGAACTCAGCGCCGGCATCTTGGCCAACTCACCATCACGATATCCACGATAATTAGGAAGTAACAGTTCTGCGAACACTTCATAAAAACCGAGTCGAGTAATTGCGACATCCAAGCCCACAATGGCGACCCCTACGCTTACCAACCCTTCGTTGACCGCCGCGATATGCTCGCTCGAACACAAAGCCTGGGCAGCTCTGTGTAGTTCTGGCGCCGACCTCGTCCCGCTTCTCTCGAGCAATCCAGTCATGATCTTTCCGGGTGACCTCATCCTTCGGTGTCCTCTCCAACAGTCCATGCAATGCTGCAAGGCCCCGATTTCAAGCCCTGGAAGTCGTACAAACTCAGTCATGACGAGGTGGTCATATTGGGCAAGGACAGCGCTTTGATCTATTATCGCGTAGAAGCGTCAAGAGACAGCGAGACGTTTAGGGCTATATGTTCGAGCGCGTGGGTGCTGGAGGGGTCTACAGATGGCGCGACAGGCGGTTGGAAGATGGCCCATCATCAGCAGACATTGATCTAAGTGCTCGATACTGTCGAAAAATAGGAGTTGGAGTATTGGATATCAACTGCACACAGCTGGTCTGTGTAGAACCTAGAATTGTGGATCATCGCAATACGAAAGAACATAACGAGCTATGAATATTCAATTCAACATACAACTCACATCTACACAATCAATGCTAAACACATTTGGAAGCCTACAATAATGACATTTGTCGCAAAGTCACGAGGATGTCTTGACCCCTAAACCCGATACTTGATCAGACAGACATCTCCACATAGCGCGGGCGCATCACTAGCGGCCGTTCAGTGACGTATGGATCTTCCGAAGTTCCGTAGAACATCTTCAAGGGGCCGGCTGCACATGGAAGTCAGTACTCACCAGCCACATTCCTTTTTCAATGAGGATTGCTGTCCTCAGGCAACTCGGTCAATCTCTCGCACCAGGACCGTTCCACGGTATCACATCAGCAGCAGCGCCACGTTTCAGCACAATGGCAGTCACCTACGCCGCCGCCGTCAGCACGCCCAACGGTGGGGTCCGGCAGCCTCAAATCCAAGCCCGAGCCTGTTCAGACCCGGATCTACGCGCATCCTTTGAGGCAGCGCAAACGCAGCAGCAAGAGCAGACCAAGAAACCCCAACGACCTGGAGCCGGCATCCGCGCAAAGACGAGTTTCCGCGGCTGGAGCACCAAGAAAGAAGGAAAAACTAGCCCAAAGCAAGCTAATAATGAACCCTATGTTGTGGAAGAAAGCCGGCCCTCAGGTCATTACCCTAGGCAGGAGCATAGGCCGAACACGGCGAGCCAAGATGAACAGGTCTACGTTCTTACGCTCAAACTTACGGACTCCCTGGCTAAACCCATGGACGAGATGCGGAATCGGTATTTTCCGAAGCACTTGAATCGCACTGGGGCGCATTTGACGCTCTTCCATGCGTTGCCACATTCGCATATGGATGCGCTGGAGCAGGGGCTCTCGCAGACGGCGACCAGTATGAAGCCGTTTGACGTATCAACGGGCAAACCGTTCCGGATGCGCAAGGGCGTTGGAATTAACGTGGATGAAGGGTACAAGAAGATGAAAGACGTGCATGGAGATTTGCAGTCACAGTGGTCCGCCTTCCTCAGTGAGCAGGATGCAGGTGGCTTCCGACCTCATTGGACGGTCATGAACAAAGTCGATGACGAGCAAAAGGTTGACGGGGCCTTTGCGACGATCAGACAGGAGCTGAGCGAGAGCAACCAGGAGGGGAGAGCTGTGGGGCTGGACCTGTGGAGGTATGAGCGCGGAAACTGGATCTTCGCCAGGGAGTATGTGTTTGGCGATGCTTCTGTCAAGACACCGACCAAGGCGCACACGTCGCCGACGGGGGGTAACAGAACCTCGCACGTGTCTCTTTCTCCAGAGGACCGGAGCCCTACAGGTGGGCCAGGCAAGAGACCGGGTATGTTTAAGCGGGGCAGTAGCGTAGGCGACGCCCTGAGGTCGATGAGCTTCCGCAAGCGGAGTTGAGCTATGAGAGGCATTGCTCTTTGTATATACTGGATGTCTTGGGAGTTTGAGAGTGCTTTTTGTTGGATACTGTATGATAGGATATTAGCATAAAATGTAGTCAAAGTATATTAATGATGTTAATACAAAAAAACCTTTCGGATGGCAACTCAGAACCGAAATCTGATGATGCGGGGGAACAGAGTCTGGTACTCGGTATTCCACGCCCATGGTCGTAATGGCCGAGGGGAGTCCCGCTGGCAGCCAATGTCGCCCTCAAACAAGGAAACGCATCACAGCAATAGCTTGCGAGTAATGTTGAATGGTTGAAAGAAGTAGTGTTCTATTTTATCTACCGTATCCGCCGCTGCGTAAGCGTCATGGGCGCATGATCGTGTGTCAATCTCGCCACGGGAATACGACGCGCGTCGCATAGCCACTGACTTGCAGCAACAACATCGTGAAGTGACTTTGAGGGGCCGAATGGGAGTACCGTGGATATGGACAGATCTACAATGATCATGTGCACCAGCATTGACGGTGACAGGCGGATAAAGCTTGGTCGTGTCCCCAGAAAGACGGCGGTCAGCCACAGCTAGCCACATCCCGCTGGTTCCAGGGGCGCGGATAGCTTCCGACCGCCGTGGGGACCGAGGCGTAATCAAAAGATTCTGAAGGTCCGACGCCTCCAATTTCACGGCGTTGGAGGCACGTGGTGGAGGGTCATAAAACTGAGGCAGAGTGACCAGAAATGAAACGGGCTGGTGCTTGCAATCCACCTCGTGATGAGGTTGCAGCCAGTGCATGTTATACGATGCTAGTCTGGCTAGATGCACAGCAACACGATGCTAGAATTAGAAGCGGATAGGCTGAGCGATCAGGAACGGGGCATCTGGCCACAGTGGCTGCAAGGGCTGAGGACGTTAGGACAGTTTAACGAGGGTAGCGGCCGAGGGGTTGCGCATGCGGTGGGTGAAGAAAGGGGAAATCAGGGAGCTAGAAGCCAGGGAGCATTAGCTCCGCTAATTGTGGACGCGAAGTAACCCATATAACCTACAGCTGGCCTCACCACCGAGCTCCTTGACTTTGACCTGCGCTTTCACACTGCTACTGCTGGTGTTGCTTCTTCTTATATTGCACCTATAATCTTCCCTCGCTTGCACCTTCCCGAGACACAACTCTCACTTCTACTTTCTCACACAACACACAGCACACAACACCGCCAACATGAAAGGTACGCACTCAATTGCGCTCCAAAGACACGCCGCTAACAGCCAATGCAGCCATCATTCTCGTCGGAGGGTTCGGCACCCGTCTGAGGCCTCTTGTATGTCTCCCTCGCTGAGAGCCCCGCGGTGCCAAAAGCAATTGCAGAACTGACGCCATTCGCAGACCCTCACCTACCCCAAGCCGCTCGTCGAGTTCGCGAACAAGCCCATGATCCAGCACCAGATCGAGGCCCTTGCCGATGCTGGCGTCACAGATGTTGTCCTCGCGGTCAACTACCGCCCGGAGATCATGGCCGAGGCGCTCAAGACCGTCAGTATACCCGTTCAATTGTGATCCAGAACACATAATAACCCGCTGCGCAGTACGAGAAGCAATACGGCGTCACCATCACATTCTCCGTCGAGACCGAGCCCCTCGGCACCGCCGGTCCCCTCAAGCTCGCTGAGAACGTCCTCGGCAAGGACGACTCGCCCTTCTTCGTCCTCAACGCCGATGTCACATGCGACTACCCCTTCAAGCAGCTCGCCGAGTTCCACAAGCAGCACGGCGACGAGGGAACTATTGTCGTCACAAAGGTCGAGGAGCCGTCCAAGTACGGTGTCGTAGTCCACAAGCCTGGCCACGCCTCCAAGATTGACCGTTTCGTCGAGAAGCCCGTCGAGTTCGTCGGCAACCGCATCAACGCCGGTATCTACATTATGAACACCAGCGTGCTCAAGCGCATTGAGCTCCGCCCTACCTCGATCGAGCAGGAGACTTTCCCTGCCATTGTCAAGGACGGCCTGCTGCACTCGTTCGATCTCGAGGGCTTCTGGATGGACGTTGGACAGCCCAAGGACTTCTTGTCCGGCACCTGTCTCTACCTCTCATCTCTGGCGCGCAGGAACGCCAAGCTGCTCACACCAGCCTCTGAGCCATACGTCTACGGCGGCAACGTCCTGATCGATCCCTCGGCGAAGATTGGCAAGAACTGCCGCATCGGTCCTAATGTCACCATTGGCCCAGATGTTGTCATTGGCGACGGTGTCCGTCTGCAACGCTGTGTGTTGCTCAAGAACAGCCGTGTCAAGGACCACGCCTGGGTCAAGTCGTCTATTGTTGGCTGGAACAGCACCGTCGGCAAGTGGGCGCGTCTCGAGAACATAACAGTTCTCGGTGACGACGTTACCATTGGCGACGAGGTCTACGTCAACGGTGGTTCCGTCCTGCCCCACAAGTCCATCAAGCAGAACGTTGACAGTAAGCAACCATTCACACGTATCTGACTACATTCACTAACATATACAGCTCCTTCGATCATCATGTAAACGCGAGATACCCGATCGGACGATGTCGACGCAATCCTCTACACCTTTTAATAACGTGTATCTTCTTGTATATTCTGCATACCACCAGCATATAGATTTGCGGTGTTTCTACGGGCGTCTCTCCACTTTTTAACATGGGGTGATTTACGAACGAAAAGCGTCTGGGCTGGGTTGGGATGCTTTTGTCTCTTGGGTTTAGCGATGGATGGGAATTTGGAAAAGGCGATGCTTCGGCATGACATCAGACAGGTGAAGAAGAACATATGTTGTACTTCAAGTATGAATGCAAATCTGCAAAGAACGATGATTGAACAATGAGCAAAGAACGATGATTGAAACAACAAGCTATGGTACACGACATGATTCAAACAATAAGCTACCTCGACCTGACTCACTACAACAAGCTATCTTACGACCTGATTTACTATAACTAGCTATCGTACACGACCTGATTCACTACAATAAGTTACCGTACACCTGATTCACTACTTATTTGTGGCGACCGCAGTTCCACGTCTCACCCTTTGGCACAGTCTTCTGGTGCCCGCACTGGGCGTTCTTCTTCGTCCGACCATTGCACTGCACTTTCTCTATAGTGTTTGCTTTCTCGCGCCTGAGTTGTCTTGGGGTCTTATATGTTGCCTTGCACTTTACTAGCGGTGTCTTATTCTTCTTGACCCTGCCGCCTACCGTGGTTTTGTGTGCTGGCTTGGACTTTACCGGCGATGCCTTGTCCTTTTTCCCTTTCTTGTCCTTTTTAGGTGTCGGGGTTTTGACGATTGGAGATGTAGGGGGTGATTCCGGATTCTCATCAGCCAATTCTGATGACGCTGATGGCGCGGGCGATGATAGCCCTTCTGAATCATCTTTCGCGTCTTCCGTATCTTCTTCAGTGTCGTTTCCAGTGTCTGCTTCAGTGTCACCTTCCGCATCCTCAGGCCAGTAGAAAGACGACGTTGTGTCTTCTGGGGGATGTTCAAAGTGGTCTTTCTTCTTGGGTACATATAAACACTTCCGGGGCTTGCTGTTGCGTGTTGGTGCTGGCGTGCGTGATCGGCTGCCGCGTGTTCGAACTGCAGTGGGTGGAGGGGATGGAGTAGGGGAGCAGAGTAAGGATGGTGGGGATGATAGAGGAGAGGTAGAATTCCACCATTCTGGCATCACTCCGGGAGCGTGGGTGTGCTCTGTTGGTTCTTCTGGTACTTGTGTGTCTACTGTCTCCTCCGAGTCGCTATATCCTCCCAATATGTGGGGAGCAAGAGTTTTGCATCCACCCATGATTGAAGTTGTAGCTTTGGTTGGAGTGGTTGTTTGACCAGGAACCGTCAAGGAGTAGACAATATATAGTATGGAATCCCAAGCGCTATTAGATGACAGGCAGTCGATGGTTATACTTACAGTTGTAGTGAGATGCGTTGTTCGTGATTGACACAAATGTGTTTTCAAACAATGGTAGGATCTGGTTTCTTTGGCCTGGATAAAGAAGTGAAGTTCTTTCGACCAAGGCATTGTTCTAAGCTTTGTGGACATGGCTCTGTCCTTGGTCAATGAACAGGTCCATCAAATGTTTCAATCGTAGCTGGCGTCTAATCTCAATAGTAATTACTCCCTCAAAGACTGCAACTCCAAAGGCGATGCTGTTCAGGAAGTCGTGAACCAACATATTTCCCGAACAAAAGGTGTCAGTTGAGACAAAGGACGATCGAGTGACTGAACTGTAGATAGATCCTATAATCCTAATGAAACAGCACAATCATCTTCTGTAAACGTGCATGCATCGTGCAATGGTTTCTTTCGTCATTCCTGGACGCCATTGTGATATGCTGTGAAAGCATGAGGTATGCGCCACCTGGTAAAGCTTCGGCAGCATCACGCTGAATCACTCTGATGAAACTGAGATTATTACTCTTTCATTGACTTCCGCTACGTGCTCGATGTCCAATCTTAGGGCGTTAAGCCACAATCAATTAATCAATCGATATCCAATCTCAGATCTCACGACATGTCCGAGTAGATGACCAGCGGCGGTGAGTTGACCTTTGGCTTGAAATGCGCCTTGATCTTAGCATGTGCCTCATCCTGGTTGTCATAAAAGTCCATGTCCTCCTTGGACTCGAATATGCAACGGGCGAGTAGTGTGTAGCCCTGGCTGCGCTGGTCGTCGTAGGTGGCGTTGGCCTGTGCGAGCTGGATGTAGTTCTTGCCGTCCTGTACAAACATGACGTTAGCATGCTCTCTTGCGATAACAGCACAGCCTCGGGAGAGTGTCGGCGCGGATGCTGTCGGTATATCTCTAGCGTTGTTCCATGGTGAGGGATATTCTAGGCGTCCCATATGTGCGTCGTGAGGCGGAGTTGTTTCCGCGCGACGAGCAGCTGCAGCCGCCTCGTCACCCCCACCCCATTTCTCCTAGCCGCGGCAATATTCCCAGCGGTTACCCGCCAGGGACATTGCTCCGCGCGCTCAAGAGGGTTGACGCCATCGTCCGCCTCGTCTTATCGAGAGGCAGAAAATAGCCCGAGGGCGATTAGAATAATCTGGGGTTCCGAGGTGACGAGATGGTCCGACGTGCAGGGGCGCTATGCACGAGTGGCACGTTCTACATGTGCTGGCCATGACCGTCTAACAGCGGGTATGTACGTAGTTCTGGAACAGGAAAGAGAACTTGGGCGGTCAAGTCATGCTTTGACGTACCTTTTTCGCGTCCTGGGCCAGAGTGTTGTACATCTGGATGGCTTCCTTGACCAGGTCTTGGTCGGGGATCTTGAAGAGGGTGAGGCGGACGATCTTAGGCATCTTGATAGATTGTTTTTGTGGCTTGAATGTAAGTTCAGTAGACGTTTGTATAGTCGAGATAATTGGACGAGTGGTTATCTTATATATGAAGCTGCTCAAGATGTTATATTACCGCTCACTGTCGGACTTCCGGTAGGCGGAGAGCCATATGAAACGTCAACGTCAACCTCGGTTCCCCTACGCTTTGCACAGTGTAGGTGGATCGAGTCGTAGTACACTTTCTGTGTACGCTCTAATTACATTTGCTTTTTTGTAGATGCCGTATTCAGTAGATGGTGTGGGCACGACCGTTGACCCCGCGTATGACGAGTAGTCGTGGTGGGCTGCATCTACGCAGCCAGGCTTGAAGTATGAATTCGAATATCACTGGCTGGAGAGACTGAGCGGTCACTACAGAGACGAGCGGTCACTACAGAGATGAAGCGGTCACTAGGCATGTTCTTGCGTCGTGAGTAGACCGCTATCCGATGCCGGTGAATATCTCCTGCTGGACGTCACACATGAGCGTGAAAGACTGGCCACCGCACCTCGATTTGTGTAATGTGAATGGACCCTGAGAGGTGCAATAACAGATTCGGAGGTTCGGGACGGAGCGTCGTGTCCCATCGAGCATCGGTAATGGACGTCGAAACCCGGCCCCTCTAGATTACCCTGCACACACCCGGCTGTAGCACCACGTCTTACCGCGCGAGGCTGAACAGGAGGGTGAGTATGCTCTTGGTTGGAAAAGGGCTCGAACATGTGGGTCTTCAGTAGCCCGTGGATGGAATCAGGCCGATTCGAAGACGACATGTCCACGACATGACGCCTCCAGGAGCGACGACTCTGCGGTCCAGATGGGCGCCCTCGCGCTGTCGAACAAGTCAAAGAAATGCGATTCTTGCTAATGCGTAGTGTCAAAGATTACTGCGCAGAAAGAGGGGCGCATGGTTGACAGCGCTGGCTTCTTCTTCACCGCCTGTTTTGCAGCTTGGGGCGGGTGGCCGTGCTGGCGCGCTCGCGTCATCCACAGATCTCCCGCGCGTGCAACATAGTTCTGAAGCTCGTTCGACATCTCCGCTCAGATTCTGATGGCCGTGGACGCGCTCGCCCGACTTCAAACACTATTCTTTGTCTACTATGCCAGTGGCGGTTCCTTGCGCTTCGTTGCCGCTATTCACAAGCGCCATCGTCCCGCTCCATGTATCAACCACCATCTTGGATCGGCGCCAGACAGAAGCGGTCGTTACTGGGACCTGGGACCTAGCCATGCACCGCTGCCTGTCGTGAACCGCGCCAGCCTATCGAATCATCCGAATTTTGCGTCCGCTCCACGACGACTTGCTCTGTGCACCCTCAACCTTTGTCCTGATGCTATCCACTTCGGCAGGTCAATTGTCGAGGACACTCTGCAGCCGCCCGATGCATGATCCTCTTTGTGTCAACGTCGAAAAATTCTCCAGACCTGTTCATGTTGAGCTTGGCAGCCTGCCATGTTCGACGTGTTGACATTGGGCAAGTGGAGCCTTTGATGCCTTACCACCAGGGTCCCAGGTCTGTGAACTCCCAGGTCTGTGAACTCTTCATCTCTCTCGATGGACCGGGATCGTTTGCGCAGGAACGCCTGGCCCCTCCAGCAGTCCTTCACTCGTCAATCATCGCCTGGCCAGCTCTACTCCACTACGTTTGCAAACGCGCTCAGACAGTCTCCGCAACAGCCAATTTATGCCTGCATGCACACGGCTTACAGCTAACTTACAGCTAACAGCCGTTGACCCTTTCCCATTTGAGCTGCAGGCGCATTTCCAAGTAGCGATATTCCGAGGACCGTGCTTTCTGCATGTATGCGTTGGCAGTGACGCTTGATGCTTTCTGGTAACACCAACCCCAGGTATCTCCTCGAACCCTCGAACGCATCAATCACCATCTTGCGTTCGCCCCTGGGGCTGCCGGATAGCTCCATGCTATGCCTGTTGTGACGCATGCTCGCTTCGAGCCACTATGCTTTGCATCGTCTTGCAGTCACACAATCGTGTCCAACCCCCCTCCAGTCGCGACTCTGGCGGTTGGTACCCTAGTCGATTAGCAGTCCCATTTTTATGCTGCATGTTTGGCCTGGTCTCTGATCCCTCTCAGACCCTGCCCCTCAAAATCATCCGCGGGTATCACGCATTCTGTCGCCAAGATTTCATGGTATCGGTACACTTGACAAAGGGTGCAGAGTCTGACGTACTTGCGTTCTCCCCTCATTTGCATATTGCATTAGTGGGCCCATTACATCCGGGAGATACGAGCAAAGAGCGCTGTTAGGACGCATGCTGGCCACCTCGTTGTTGATGCGTCCCTCTCAGGCGTCTAAACATGCACAATGCCGATCGAGACATGTCCAGCCTTGAGGAAACGGGTTACAGCAATTGTCTCCGATCGCCAGCCGTTTTTTTACAGCGCTACTGCGCGCAGCACGGTGGCAAGAGCGAACCGGTCAGACTGTACCTTTTGAGGTTTGAGTCTCTTGCTAGCTAAAATTCTGGAACCTCTACCGTTGGCTACTTGCCCGCCAGCACATACTATGGGTCTCCCTCATTCAGAGCCGCAACAAGACCCGCAGATTATTCATTTCCACAAGCCCAATTGCCCCTCGGTTTTTACTGGCGGGCGAGACGCGCTTGGATACATGCTACACTCGCCTGCTGCAATATATTGCTGGATCCCACAGTAGGCACATATGCTCCCCCCATCCCCGTCCGACTGACTGCAAGCCGCTCCCTCTTCCTTGCTCTTCATACATCAACGCTTTCTATCTCTTTTGTACAGCTGTCAATCCTTTATTGGCAACTGTCAACCACACCCTAAAAGTAACAACTGTCGTACAACCACTGCCACGAACACTTCTCTCGGCCTACTATCGTCGCCACCAACGAACGCTTGCCAATTCAGATATACTCCGCAGCAGTAGTCCTGCTTTCAGACTGACAGCTCACCCTCGAAGCGCCGTCAGTCGTTCCAATCGCTCAATTACACGTCAATAATCACATCCGAACACATCAACATGTTCTACGTTATGTACCTGACAGGTTAGTAACAGAACACTTTTTCTTTTTAGACACATGGTACCATATAGTCGGATATCAATCAAGTCATATGAGGATCTTGTCTAGCTACCCGCTGGCGTAAGACGCATGGGTTACAGCCCTGTCTAGTGTAGAAGACCCACACGATAGGGACCCGGAAAACATGTCATCCACGAAATTGCTGCATGGTAGCAGACTGACGAGCGAACTGGTTGCTGACTCTCGGGTATAGGCCTATGCCAAAGGCGCCACTGGCCCGACCCACTTTTCCAAACCTACCGAACACGCTATGGTTATGGTTCAACCGTCAGAGTGAACAACCGAGAGTACTCGACTGACGTGGAGTACGAGAGCGAAGAGCTAGCCAAGAACGCCGCCGCCACTCGAGCCTACATGATCTGCCGCAACTTTTCGGTAAACGATGGAATGTACCCAGGACAACGGCCCGGCCAGGGTGCCCAGGGACTGCCAACACCGATAGGAGCAGGCCGACGGAACACTTCCTCATCCAACGATTACGACAGCTCCAGTACCACCAGTGGCAACACCAGCCCAAGGAACTCTGATTGCGGTCTCGATGCCGCACAGGCGGCTGCGGCAGGAGGCAGACGACCTAGCAAAGCCTCTGTGGCCCCTTCGGGAACCTCGGCATGCTATTGCGGCCGTGGTTATGTCCGTGCTTACGAGAGATGCTCGGGTTGTCTTCAAGAGGCGGGATATAGAGTGTAAGAACATATTGATAGACTACACTTTCTACGGTATAAAAACCGGTACCAAGCAACAACGACACACCAAAACATAACGACGAGCGCATCGAACCAAAAGATTTGAAGAGCCCAAGCTCAGCGATACCACGATTCCTACGAACCTGCATCCTTCACGAACCCTTTACGGCCTGGCCGACGACCCATGATGTTATATCTCTTTTGGGACCGGCTACCTGCTTTCCATCTCGTTATCGAACAGTCTGGGATATGTAACGACTACCATACCCCGGCCCCTTTCGTTTCCCTCTTCCTCTTCTTACCCGGCGGGGCTGCATAGCGACGGCATTGAAGCGTTTTAGCGAAAACCTATTCCTCTTATTGCTTTTCGGATCGGCAACACTTGTCCTTGATCCTGGGTTGGCACTTTGTTCTCCTCTACGAAATTGCTCTCATATATTATGATGATGACCTTTTCCTTTATGGTAGCCAGCTGTTTGAATGATGATTGAGCAAGACCAAAGATGTATGAAGAAGATCACATGATGGTTTTGGCCGTACGGCTATATAACGATGACGTTTATGACGGCTACGGAATATACACCTTTGTTCTGCTACATTGAATTGATGAATGTGCGCTTTCTGTTCAGCTGAATATCCAGCACAGCCCCAGTAGGTATTCCGCGCGATTGGTTCGCTTTAATCACGTGCAACCTGCAGACAACCTTGCCAGCTGAAATGCATTCATCAGCCTACCGGCACAGTGACATTAACCTCATGCACGCTCTCGCGAACTACTGTGAAGCGCTGTACGGAATATGTATTCCCCACTCGACGCCACCCGGAAAGAGATACGCCTACTTCATGTTCACTCAGGTGCCTGGAACGACGACGTCAAATGCCACCTGGAGACGGTCTCACTCAACGACAATCCAAAGTTTAACGCCATCTCATATGTGTGGGGTGATCCGAATATTACATTGCCGATCACTATCGATGGCGAACCGTTGGCCATTACACGAAACTTATGCAACGGGCTCCAGAGACTGCGAAAGACGGATGAAACTTTGATTATCTACGCGGATGCAGCGTGCATCAACCAGTCGGATGTAAACGAGCGATCTCAACAGGTGCAGCTTATGGGCGAGATATACAGTTCTGCTCAGGAAGTCTTCATCTGGCTGGGTTATGGACGTGAATCACAAGCTCCTGTAGCACGACCAGATATCATCCACTGGTTCAAAGACGGCACAGACATGAAAGTTCTAGAATCTTACTTCGAGAAAGATGACCTAGAACACCAGCCAGATGAAGAGACAGAAGACGCACTCGGACTCTTCGTCTATCTGGGGACCCGTGCTATGGATATACATCTATCCGAAGTGCCGTTCTTTGACGTGAAAGAGCGCAAATTGATCCCCAAGCACAAATGGCCGGCGGTTGTTCGAGCTGGGAACACGTTACTCTCTAACCCTTGGTGGACAAGGATCTGGGTCGTTCAAGAGACAGTTCTTGCTCGTGAGGCCACTGTGGTTTACTGCAACATCACTGTCCCGTGGAAGGTAGTTACAGATGCAGTTGAACTGTCAGATCGTCATGACAAATACTGCTGTGAGGAGCTGAAGTCATCGCTACCATACAGTGACGTCGAGATCATAGATCAGTTGTTATCCAATATGCACAGCGGTGCAGGAATGATGAAGGAGATGAAAAATCGAGGCCGGAAATTGAGCTTGCGTCAGATCATGCGTCAAACACATCTGCGCGATGCGGTGGATATTCGGGACAAGGTCTTTGGGATACTCGGGCTAGTAGATGATTGGCGAGGCGCATCTCCCGTAGCCCCTGACTACAACATGTCGCCGAAAGAAGTATTCATGCAAGCAATCCTCCACGACATTGAGACTGGCGGCTCATTGGGATTTCTGATGGGCACCACCATATCCGGAATACCAGGAGTACCCTCCTGGGTTACTGAGAGAAGCGTAAGGACCCCGGATCACACTCAGGCTGCAAGAGTTAGAGACGGTTGCTCCTTACTGTTCTCCGCAGACGGTCGCTGCGGGGTCAACGTCGAAAGGCGAGACGATATTCTCATGGTTGACGGCTTTGAACCAAAGCTTAGAATTTCCCGAGTCAGTCCGATTCTTTCCAGTCCTGATACTAGTCCGAAGGCCTATGTCGAGAATGTCAAGATATGTTATCGTATGGTTGGGCTTGGAGAGGAAATACACCTTCCCCATTCACGGAGACAAACACAAGAAGAGTGGTTCTTGAGAACAATGGCTCAGGATTGTTGGATGTGGTCATCTTTTACAAGGGATATTTGGCATCGGCCTGAGCACTCAGGAAACATCTTCAAGAGGCTCGGAGACATAGATGTGGCTTGTCTCAGTAGAGCGTTTTGGAGCTGGCTTAAAGCTCGAGCGGAGAACAAAGAGATCAGAAATACGCGGTATGAGAGCGACGATGATCATATCCGTGGCTTTCTCCGATCTTGTGATATGAATAGCGCTTATCGAAGATTCTTCATCACAGAGGACGGCCGCATGGGGCTAGGGCCACCGGAAATGCTTCCTGATGACTCGATCGCTATATTGCTGGGATCGAACGTACCACTCTGCCTGCGGCCGGTCCTGAATGCGTCCCAAGGCCACTACACACTCGTTGGAGATACATATGTGCATGGCTTGATGGATGGAGAAGGCGTTCCACCAAATTGGGAAGACCATGTCGTTAAGATTCACCTCCATTGAGCGAACGTAACAAACGACCTGTTGCAACGGCACAACTGACTACGAAGGGAGAACGAGCGTCTCAAAAGTGGTGCGGGAAAAGAAGCGTTGGGAGAAGACGTGAGATTGGGAAGAAGCTCGTATAATCTAACTTTACCTGTTTTTACGGATTCGTTTCCCAGATACATAGTTGTACAGGTTGCAACTAATAGAGTTGGTAGCAAGGTCTGCCTTTAGGTTGGGTTCTAATTGTGAGAACCACAGCTCATCAAGAATACGCTTGGTGGAGAAAGACTTGGTGCCAGTCCATTCTACGCTATGCTCATAATGCCGCAAAAAGCAAAATACAAATACATCAAGAAAACATCCTCATGACGCACTCCCCAGAAGAAACTTCCGAAGCCTGCTCCTGTCATTCCTCCTCGTAAAAGCATCAACCTGCGCCAACCTCGTCGTTGGGATCTCACAGCACCCAGTACCATCAGCCGAAGAGCTACCACGCGTACGTATACGACGCTCTCGCCTCGGCGCCTCGACCTTCTGATACTCCGCCTCGATCATCCTGTAATTCTTGCCATAGTCCCGCCATCGCATCTGGAATGCAATCAAGACAACGGGCAAGACGCTGACGAGCTCACCCAGCCCAGCCCACTGCGGTTTGATCCTGATTTGGTCGCCTACCTTGACGAGCGCGCCGGCTGCCAGGAGGATGACGGCTACATTGTACAAGGCCGACCAGCTGAAGTTCAGAAGTATACGTCGGTATGCAGCGAAGGAAATGTCGAGTAGGATCAGAATATCGTGGAGACGTGTGGTCATAAGGACTACATCAGCCGCGCTCTTTGCGATGTCTGAGCCTTGGTTGAGATGGACTCCGACATGCGCCTGCTTGAGCGCCACAGAGTCATTCGTCCCGTCACCCACGAACATGACGACTTTTCCGGGTGTTTGGAGGTCGCGTACGTAGTTTATCTTGCCTTCCGGCTTGCAACATGCCTTGGTGTTTCCCTCAGGGATGTAGAGCCTGTTGGCAATGCTAGTAACGGCGCCGGCAGTGTCGCCACTCAGCATGTGCACTTTGACCCCTCGGGCTAGCAGTTTCTGAATTACCATTTCCGCTCCTGGGCGAGGGTGGTCCATCAGCTCGAAGCTGGCGCGAAGATCTCCGCCATACGTGTAGTAGCACATCGTATTGGTCTCTGGTCCCATCACGTTAATATCCAGCCACTCGGCGTTCCCGGCCCGGATCTCAACTCCTGTCTTCGCGCATGTGCCTTGGACTCCTTGACCGGGAACACTGATAATGTTTGTGACTTCCAGAGGTTGGAAGTCTTTGTGGACAAGCCTATCTTGTGCCAGCCAGCTCGAGATCCCCATAGACACAGGGTGCTTGATGTCCTTCAAGAGGCCCATCAGCAGGCCCTTTGTATGAGCGTGATCTGTATGACGGTACCTGGGAACATTAACGACCTTGAGCGTTCCGGTAGTTATAGTTCCGGTTTTGTCAAAGATGACATCCGTAACATTGCGCGCGATCTCGAGCTTCTGTGGATCTCTGAAGATGATACCATATCGTGCCGCTACTCCGCTCGCGATGAGTACAACCATAGGCACAGCGAGCCCGATAGCGCAAGGACACGACACAATTAATGTAGCAATAGCATAGGTGATCGCTGACAGTACCGCACTCCGCCAATCCTTCTTGTTGTGGTACTTGTCGACGAAGAGCCAGATGAGAAAGACTGTGAGCCCGATTGAGGCCATTACAGGCACAAACCAACCAGCGATCTGGTCCGCAAGTGCTTGTGCTCCCGGCTTTGTCAATTCTGCGTCTTCCACCAAAGCTGCGATTCGCTGCACAGAGTTCTCGTGAGGGAGCTTTGTCAGCCTCGCCACCAGGAACCTATCCCCGTTGTTGGTGCCGGCAAAGACTTCGGAGTCCAGGCCTTTCGCATTGGGTTTGAATTCGCCAGTTATCATGGACTCGTCGACATTGGAGCCTCCATACACAACAACACCATCCGTGGCTACCATGGTATGAGGCGGTATCGTGAAGAAGTCACCGTATTGGAGTAGCCGAGTGTCAATCTTGGTTGTCGGGGCGTTGGACCAAGAGTTGGACTCCTCCGGATGGGCAATAAGCGTGACCTGCAGAAGTGAGGAGCAGAATCAGCGCTCGTGTCACCTGTGTCTCGAACGCTCTGGACTCACCTCGTCAACCTGAAGAGATCGGAACGATACCGACTTTGCGGCGCGAAAACGGGCGAACTCGTTGATGGCCTGAAGACAGGCGTCAGCTTTCGTCTTATATGTAAGTAGATATGCCACTAACACGACCCAGCAAGATCAGTGTTACCAGGAGAGTAGACGTCTCGAAGAACGACCCCGTCTCTAGTGGCTTGCCTCTGACTTGGAAGATGTAAGAAGCGACGCTAAAGCTGTAGGCCATTGTCGTACTGAACGCGATCAGGAAGTCCATCTCGAAGACGCGAGAGTGGTAAAGTGACCGCATTGCGCCTGGGAAAAACTCTTTCAAGGCGATGATCTGCACTACAGTGGCGAGTGCTAGGGAGGTGTGTAAACCGGGGAGATAGATTGAGTTGGGAGGACCTCTAGAGCGTCTCCCGACAGGTGTCCAGGCGAATACGAGGACGGGGATCGTGAAGATGAGTGACAGCAAAAACCATTTCAGGGCTCTTATGGTCTGCTTTGCTCCTAAATCAAGCCCCGGGTCTGCAGCCATAGGCGCCAGGCGTAGATCTGGGTCAAATTGACGATAGTGCCTGAGAACATCTCGGGCCCCTATTATGGTTGCATCGTAGTATATCTTGGTCGGTGGTACGCGGATCTTTGGAATTTCGCAATCTCCATCGGCGTCGTCTGTGGTCGTTTCCTTCAGAGTTGTGCTGGTGCGCCCACTTAGCACAGCGAAAGGACGCCACGGCGCTCGTTCAGGGACTTTAAGGCGTATGACACCATCTGGTCGACCGGCGTGCTGCATGCGCCTAGGGTCGGTGACGATGACCTCCAAGACTTGACCGTCGGATACCATCTGCTCCTCGAATCTGTATCCGGTCCTGGTTTCTAGCATCTTGATAACTTTGCTAACCGAGAGACGATTGGTATCCAGCTCTAACTCAACTCGAGCAAGTACAGTGTTCAGCTGAAAGTTCTTGATATTCGGGACGCGTTCAACGATTCGTGAAAGACCCGACTCACAACATCCACACTTGAGGCCATCGATTCGGAGAACGACACGCTCGAAGTTCGGAGGACCGAGCTCAGGGTCATCATGTTCGCCAGAAATCGTGGTTTCCCCTAGATTTTTTAGCGAGGAGTCCACACTTGAGTGATGCAACTCCGAGCAGCAAGTACCCATAGTGTTATGATGGTCATGTGGTTCATCGAAACTAGAGTCCCTCTCTGTCTTGATAGAAATTTGATCATCTTCGCTATGGGTCGTCGCTGGAGGTGAATGGGTTCGGCGTGCTAAGCAGCAACTGGAAACTGCCCAAAGCGGTCGATGATGTGACTTGGCCCGTGGAACAGGCATTGGCGTCGGATCAGGTTCAGCTACTGGTGCTGGATTCTCTATATATTCCTTGGTTTGTACGTGGGGGAAAGGACAATTTCCCCACGGTGGGTTTGGTGCTTCTGATTGGGATGCTAGATCTGGCGCTCCATCAAGGTTCAGCGGTGTCGCAGCGATCTCACTATCCGAAGATGAGGGACTACAAAAGCGTATTCTAGATGGTGCTAGATGCCAAGGCTGGGACTCTGTATGTGAAGAAGCTGTGTTCTCTGGTCTTGACCCTGACGCTTGATTCATGTATTGAACCCCGTTGGTTGGGAAGGTAACAGGCTCCGGCTCTTCAGCCCGAGAATACGAAGAGTTGGTATATGGTGTTCGTACCGGGTACTCGTCCTCATGCGGATTGGGCGCAGGTGATGTTGTTGTCTGATCTTGACTGTCCGTAGGATAGATTCCTTGGAGACGGGTGCGGAGAGTACGCCCACTTACAGCGGTAACCATGGACATCTCCATGACAAGTAGTTCTCGTAATGATAGATTGTGATCCTGGTGTTAATACTAATGTTGATGTTGGCGTTGATAGTGTTGTTCAGAGATGCAAACCAGAGGTGGAAAGACAGTAGGCACTTGGCAATCGTGTCTTCCTGAATGTGGTAGGGGCAAAGGTGTGATATAGAGGGTAGCCACGACGTTGTAGTACTCATAAACATGGACGCTGCCAATACCAGACACCTCTATGACCAACATACTTCGTTCTTCTACCGACTTCTGTATCAAGCTTCTTTGAGAATGATCATAACCCTGAGTAGCGGTAGACTGCTGATACCCACAATCATACTGACACCTGTGGTACACTTTCCACAAGGCGCACAAGCGATACCGACCTGGGTAAGAACGATAGGCTACCGGTTTTATATGGTAGTAACCTTCGTGGCGCTCGGGTACCAGTCTCAAAGAGCACGCCGGCCTGTACGACGAAGCTTATTGCTTCTGAGTTGCACTCAAGCAAACCAGTCTGCAGGTAGTCGTTGTATCTGGCTTTGATGAGGTAAGTGTTGAGTTCACCGAGTACCTTTAGTTTATAGGATCATTTTGGTATCAGGTTGCATAAGTGCGATACATGGTCCATCACGACCAACCGATCTGTCTGTTGAAGTGGTGGGCACGACACATGGGAGCCGCAATGGACATGTGGGGCGCGCATTCGTCTCAAATCGTGGCGTTAGCTGCGTGTGGACCAAAATTGACGACTATGTAATTCAAGCACTGATTCTGGTGGGGTATGTGGTGCACAGAAGCAGACGCGTGAGCTTGGCCCAACACGTGATAGCGCGCTTTTCAAAGATTGCGTCATCAGAGTTGGCATTCATCCGCTCCAATGCCGAACCGCAGCAAGGCAATACGCCCACAAACGGCCAGGACTGCATGCATCCGTATCTCCGCTTGTCGTAGCCATGACTAGTGTTGTTGCGCTGTGTAGCTCTCGACCGCAAATATCACAGCCTTCGCATCCACACTCATCACGCCGACTCTACAGGTGACAGTAAGCATGGCAGGCGCGCGAGGAAGGTCGCGAAAGCCCGCGGAAACGGCTACTCCGAGGCGATCGACACGGAGCGCAAAGAAGGCGCAGGAGGATGAGGGTGTGCCAGCCGTTTTCCAGGAAATGCTGCGCGAAGAGCAGACGTCAAAACCCACCAGCGCAGACGAGAAGGAACCCCCGCTCAAGAAAAGAAAGACGGCGCCTCCAGGAAGACAAAAAAGCCCTGAGCACCACACTGAACCAGTACGACAGCAGGGACCGATTACCGGTGCTCCCGAATCATCATCTCCTGCGTCATCGCAATCCAAAGATGCGCCATCACAGTCCCAGATGCCGTCGCACACGCGATCGCGGCCCACTGCTCCAGCTCAATCTACCATCAATGAAGAGCCACACGCGAGCGAACGAGTGCGACAGACCATCATCGACTCGGACGAGTCAGATGACAGCGATATGGAGTGGGAAGACGCGCTTGCTGACGGCGACGATACCGACGACCCTGACGAAGGTGTCGAAGCTGCGCCCCAGATTGGCGACATATCTATCACCATGGGAGTCAAGAAGACGGAGGACACGGGGACCAGGAGAAAGGTACGCCGGCGGGCGATAACATCGGTCGAAAAGAAGCGACGCGTCGATATACATAAGATGCACATTCTTTGTCTGCTCTACCATGTCCATCGCAGAAATGCCTGGTGTAACGACAGGAGAGTGCAGAGCACACTACGCAAGATTGTGCCTTCCAAAACCTTGTCTAACCTGGTACCAAATCCCGACCTGTCACAGTACTCGGCCTCGAAACACTTCATAGATGGCATGAACGAGCTCAAGGTGCTGTGGTCGAAGCGGTTCAGAATCACGGCTCAAGGCATGTACAAGCCTAGATGGGCCGAAGCCGAAGCTGTTATCCGGCCGTTCTCAGACTTTGACGACCTTGATGACCCGATGGACAAGGACGAGTTTCGTACCGCGGCACACACTTTACAGGGCTCACAAGATGTAGGGACGCAGTTGTTTTGTGCCCTTCTCCGCGGCATTGGGATTGAGGTCAGACTAGTATGTTCGTTACAACCGCTGCCTTTTTCTTCTGCAGCCGAGCGAGCGACGCCGCAAAAGCCGAGCGCTCAGAAGAACACCATAGTCATCGACCCGTACAATAAGCCGGCAGAGCCAAGCCCGACAAAACCCAAGTCGCAAGGTCCTCGTAACAAGAAGCTCTCGAGACTTGAACGTGTGATGGGGGAGCGACATGCCGTCCTCAATAAAACAGGTGTAACGCCTAAGAAGCAGAAAGCCTACCATACGCCGTATCCAGTATACTGGGTCGAAGTGCTTAATCCTTCGTACCAGAAGTGGGTACCAATCGATACACACTCAACGTTTACTGTCAATTCGCCTGAGAAGCTAGAGCCGCCCCTTAGCTTCTCCCAGAACAGTCTTTCCTATGCGATAGCGTTTGATGAAGATTATACCGCCAAGGACGTCACACGAAGATACGCGAAAGCGTACAATGCCAAGACGCGGAAATACCGCGTCGAAAGTACTCCTGATGGAAACAGATGGTGGCGCCGTACGATGAGCTTCTTCGAGCGTAGAACCACTCTTGACAGAGACCAAATGGAAGACGCGACTTTGGCCCGCAAGGAAGCAGCGGAAGGCATTCCAAAGAACGTGCAAGATTTCAGAGGCCATCCAGTCTATGTTCTCGAGCGACATCTCAAGCATAATGAGGTGATACACCCCCTGAACGTGGTCGGCAAAGTCAACTGTGGTAGCGCTATGAATCCTAAGATGGAACCTATCTACCGTCGCACAAACGTACATTTGGTCCGGACAGCGGACAAATGGTATCGCATGGGTCGAGACGTGAAAGTCGGCGAACAGCCACTCAAGCGTGCGAAGCCCAAGAAGGGAAGGAGACCTTCAATCGGCGCAGATATGGATGTCGATGAAGAAGCTGATGAAGTTGGGGCTGGTCTCTTCGCAGAGTTCCAGACCGAGCTCTATGTCCCTCCTCCAGTTGTCCGAGGTCGCGTGCCGCGCAATGCCTACGGGAACCTTGACCTCTACGTCCCATCCATGTGTCCGCCTGGTGGTACGCATATCCGACACAAGCTCGCGTCGAAAGCAGCGCGTATCGTCGGTGTAGACTTTGCAGATGCAGTGACTGGCTTTTCCTTCAAGGGTCGCCATGGTACTGCAATCATCCAAGGTGTTGTAGTCGCCCAGGAGTATGCAGATGCTGTGCAAGCGGTCATTGACGGCATGGAGCACCAGCAGGAAGAAGCTGAGGCCGAAGCGCGCAGGATTGAATCCCTACGACTTTGGCGACGCTTCTTCCTCGGTCTACGTATTGCACAACGGGTCAATGCCATTGAGATTGATGGCGAAAGAGGCCCGGCTATCGACGTGCAAGAGGAGATCAGCAAAGAAGACAAAGAGCTGGCGGCACAGGAGATGGCAGGAGGCTTCTTCCCCGACGAAGGAGATATCGCCGAACCGTCAGCTCGTGGCTACCAACCACCAGAGCAGGATTACGGAGTCGGCGGGTTCCTGCCGGACAATGACGATGATGGTGATGGTGGCGGTGGTTTCATACCAGATGAGAGCGATCGTGCAGCACCCATCAGTTTGAATCGACATCAAAGCTTTGAAAGCTCAATCCTAGACTCACAGCAGTTGCTCCCTCGGCGTAGAAGTAGCTTTGGTCAGATCTACTCTTCCGAGGATGAAGAAGAAGGCGGAGGCTTCGTCCGTGATGGCTCAGATGAGGCCGGCCCGTCTGGAAATGCTGTCAAATCGGAGGGCGGAACCGCACCGCTTGATGGCCCTGCAGATGACGCGGGAGGTTTCATACCCGAAGAAGTGCCAGGTACAAATGAAACAAGCGCAGAAGAACAAGCAAAGAAGAGGTCTATGGAGCGAGATGAGGAATCCAAGCTCATATCGAACCCCAACACCGACGCCGAAATGCCTTCTCCACCCTCCTCATCTCCATCAGAGACCGGTTCACTCATGATGGAAGACCCCGAAGACGAAGACGCAGATCCCGACTGGCTGGTCGATGCTACGTAACACAGATGACACTAGATACCCGCGCAATTTAATTTCTTTCTTTGCAAACCTGATCAATGTAACGTGCATATGCGTCACATCGCACAGCTTTTGACATGTTGTGCAAAGCTTCAGCTAGCTGCGACCGCCCGTTGCCTGCCGCTTCACGTGCTCGGGTACCTTGATGGCTTCGTGCTACATCTGTAGTGTGTGATGAGATGGGCTGTTAGGGCTGCTACGTCATGGGCCTAGAGCGTCATGTTCGACAATCTTTGAGATAAGGAATAGTTGATCTGCTAGGGATATGTCTCATTTGACTCGAGGGATGTGGTGGGAACTGAAAGTCAGGCTGGATGCAAATTGGTATACTGAAATATCGAAATATTTGCAGCATCAACAGTCATAATGAACGATGCGATCCTTGTGCATACAAGAAGCCACCGCCTATGCAAGTACAGAATCTATATTCTACTTCTTCTTCTCAAGCAAGTCATCCAACCCCTTCAGTCCACCCTCAAACGACCCAAGATCGTACTCCTTCGGATACCTAACCAGGATATCCTTTAACTCCTCAACGTGACCCCTCTGCTCCTCAGTCAGCTCCTCCCACACCCCCTCGAACGCATTCTTGATGCTAGGCTTCTTCTCCTTTTCCGCCTCTTCAAACGCCCTAAGTACTTCTTTCCTCGTCGAGCTTCGAAGTTCCTTCTCTTTGGCGTCGTCCCACAGTTCTTTGCCTTCAAGCCACTTTCTAAGTCGCGTGATGGGGTTGTCGCGGCGTTTCCAGTCCTCGACTTCGACGCGTTGGCGGTACGCGAAGGAGTCGTCTGATGTGCTGTGGTGGCCGACGCGGTATGCCATCATTTCGATGAGCACAGGTCGGCCGCCATCGTGTAGAGCCAGACGGCGTGCTTCGGCTGTTGCGCGGCGGACAGCGAAGATGTCGTTGCCGTCTACGCGGAGGGTAGCGATGCCGTAGCCTGCGCCACGGGAGGCGATTCCGTCACCGCGGTATTGGTCGGATGTGGGTGTGGAGATGGCGTAGCCGTTGTTGCGGCAGATGAAGATGCAGGGTACTTGGCGGGTGGCTGCGATGTTGAGGGCGGCATGAAAGTCTCCTTCGCTGGCTGCGCCTTCGCCAAAGTAACACACTGCTACTCGCGGTTCGGTTTCTGGGTTCTGGATGTTTTGCATCTTGAGTGCGTACGCGGCGCCTGCTGCATGGGGTATTTGCGTCGCCAGTGTTGAGCTGATGGTGTGGATGTTGAGCTCTTTGCTTCCGTAGTGGACGGGCATGTTTCGTCCGAGGCCATTGTCCTTTGTGTTTGCGAAGAGTTGGTTCATGAACGAGGAGAGAGTGAATCCGCGCTGGAGGTAGACGCCTGATTCACGGTATTGGCAGAAGATGACGTCGGCGGGAGAGAGGGCGCTCGCGGAGCCGATGGATATGCCTTCTTCGCCTGCGGAGACCTTGTTTCATCAGTATATAACTCCACACATAGTTGGTGTTTGACCTACCATGTAGAATGACAGTCTTCCTTGCCGTTGCGCTTCGAACATGAGGAGATCCATTATGCTCACTACAACCCGTCAATAGTGTTTGGACTGAGGAGCAAATTCACTGACGCTTAACCATGTTCTTGTAAATCACAAGAGCCTCCTCGTCTGTGGTCTCTACACCAATCTCTTTGTCTATGATCTCTCCATACTGGTTCATGACACGGTACGTCGATATCGCCTGAGTTTGAGCGGGTTGCATGAACTCCATAGTATTCGTAAACTCGCTGTTCAGGGCTCCAGGGAAGAGAACTCTGCAAAAGACGTCAGCCTTTCATCTCAACAATCTCCAGACGGCATACACACCTCTCAGCCGTAGGCGTCGAGGCAACACCCCGACACGTCTGCCACGGCGTGTTTGCAGCATTCCGCGACCCATTGAGGCGAGTCTGTAGGCTCGAAAGCCTCTGTGAGCGTAATATCCGCGAAGTATAGCGGAAGGACATTTTGACAATCTACATGTTCACGAGTGCGGGGAGGGCGGTATATCAATATCTGGGGAAGGATGGATTGGCGGCAAGCGTCGGCGTAACATGATGTTGGCCGCGGTACTTTGGTTGCTCTCCAGCGGCCGCTAGCGCACCCCCGGCCGTCTATGCGCGTGTCATTGCGCATTCGAGAAAGTCGACGCCAAGCCATTCCGACAATCGACAACACCAGACTGTCGCAACATGCAGGCTTCACGACAGAGAATAGGGCGCCAGCTGCTCGGTGGAAGCAAGAGGAGGGTAGCGAGGGAGCCATATAGGTGTTTCTCCTGCTCTGTCAGACAGGCGCAGCAGACGCCACCCCCGAAGTCTCCGCAGGATGGCCCGCAAACGACGCATTTTGGCTTTGAGACGATATCCGAGGCCCTGAAGGAGCAGCGAGGTGGGCGATTGATTTCTACGACACTTACGGAATGAAATGCTAACGAAACAGTCGGTGCTGTCTTCTCCTCCGTCGCCTCATCCTACGACTCAATGAACGACTTCATGTCCCTAGGAATCCACCGCCTCTGGAAAGACCACTTCGTCCGCAACCTGAACCCAGGCCGCAACCCCCTCACCTCCTCCGGTGACAAGCAGCAAGGCATGAACATCCTCGACATAGCCGGCGGCACCGGCGACATCGCCTTCCGCATGCTCGACCACGCCTCCTCCATCAACCACGACGCCCACACCAAAGTCACCGTCGCAGACATAAACCCAGACATGCTCGCCGAAGGCCGCAAGCGCTCTTTGCAGACTCCCTACGCCCGCTCCCCGCGCCTCGACTTTGTAGAGGCGAATGCTGAGAAACTGGATATGATTCCCTCGTCCAGCGTCGATCTGTATACCGTGGCGTTTGGTATCCGCAACTTCACACACAAGGAGATTGCGCTGAAGGAAGCATTCCGTGTGCTGAAGCCTGGTGGCGTGTTCGCCTGTCTTGAGTTTAGCAAAGTGGACAACCCGCTTTTCGACGCCGTGTACCAGCGGTGGAGTTTCGGTGCCATTCCGTTGATTGGACAGTTGGTCGCGGGGGATAGGGATAGTTATCAGTATCTTGTGGAGAGCATCGCGCGCTTCCCTAGTCAGACGGAGTTCAGCAACATGATTCGGGATGCTGGGTTTTTGGTGCCGGGCAAGGGTTATGAGAATTTGACGAACGGGATTGCGGCAATCCACAAGGGCGTCAAGCCCAAGGCGTAGACGGAGTCGTGTTTAAGAGACGCGCTGTATTAGTATGTATAACATGACATAATGTCACGCTTAGACGAATACACGAGTTGAATGGCATGAATGAAGCAGGTGCGATAGAGCGGAGTGATAGCATATTCATTTATACTGCAACGATTGATCAATCAAGGCGTCTGCGCTAACTCGATGATCTGAATCCATACCCATATCCATGTCCGTACCCTATGCCAAAACTCCGCGCCATTGAGCATCAAACACTGATGACAATCACATGTAAAATCCACTCCTTACATGAGAGTTAGATGTCCTTCCCGGCCGTGTGCAAGAAGCAAACCCTAATTTGTAAACGCCGGGTCCATCCATCCGCCATGGTACTCAATCTGATAAGAAGATACGCAACGTATGTAAACAGCGCTAAAGGGACAGTAAAGGTATCCCGACTCCATGTCCCATGAACGCCAATGACAAAGATGTAAATAGATGTCGAGAAATGCAAATGTTTGATGCGTCACGTCGAATGGAAATGGATCAGCGGAAGTACGATCCACGCTTGCCTCCGCTGTTGGTGCTCGATCCGCCTCGTGCTTCCTCGAGACTGCGCCGGGAGCCCCCAGTACCAATCTCGCTCATCTGGAAGAGCAAGGGTTCGTCGTCGTCGATGTTGGTTGCGGCGCGACTGTTGAAGTTGTAGCGGCTCTGACGCTCAGTCGAGCTGGTGCCGCCTGTGCTGAGGCTTGTAGAAGAGCTATGCGAGAAGAACCCGCCTCGTCCGCGTGCACCAGCCGGGGTGCCGCGCTTAGCAGGCATGTTGGATGTTGACGACGGCTGGGGCAGTTCGTCACGAGAATCGTTATCGGGATTTTGGCCATCGCGATTGCCACTAGCGAGTAGCTCCGTTTGCGCGAAAAGGCCACTAGAAGTAAGACCTGCGCTGGTCAGACGATGCAGATCGTTAGTGCGGTCGACCTCCTCCGATGGCAGACTGGCCGATCGGACGCCGAACACGTCTGGTTCATCGTCAGGTAGTGTCTGTCTTTGCTGAGAGACGGAGCTCGATCGGCGAGCGTAGTGCCATGGGCGTGGTGATGTCGGTATGGCGATGGCATTCATGTTCTGGTCTTCGCTCTCGCTCTGCTCTTCTACGTTGATCGGGTCATGTTCGCGCGTCCCTCGACTAGGTCGACTTCGGCTTCGAATTGGCTGGTCGTATTCAGCGATGCTATTTGCGCTGAGTCGAGAAGGGATAGCTGGTGTATGTGGAGTGTGTGGCGAGATAGGTTTGCCAGGCGAAGAAGCCGTTGACACAGATGTACCAGCAATCATGGCGGGAACGCTGGATAGGTGTCGGCTGGAGGAAGATGACGATCGATGGAGCATCGTCGAAGAGGAAACCGATTCGGCCAGTCCAGTATGGGACTCCCGCATCCGTTGATACTTTGAGAGCTGAGCAGTAGTCTTGTGCATAGTGGCTGCTTTGGCGGATTGATCGCTCCGAGTGAAGCTCTTGAGATCCTTCTTCGACTCGAGAAGCTTCAGGAAGTCCGAGATGTTCTCGTCGTCGGTCCTGACTTCGCCGGAGCTACCACCGGTGCCCTCGTTCAATGTATCAGATCCGCGTTGCATAGACGAGGAGAGGCTTCCCTTCCCGCTACTCAGGTTGTCGTCCTCCGTTTTGCTGTTACCCCCTGTCGAAAACTTGCTCCTCCGATGGCCGAAGCTACTGCTGTAACGGCTGATGGGTGCAGGCTTTGGTGAGCTTGACGCAGAAGAAGTGATGACAGTTTCGTTGGGTAATGAAGGTGCCCGAAGAGCCGTTTGTGGGAGCGCATTGAGCGACGTCCGGTTGCGTGGTGTGGTGAGCGGATTTGGAGTAGCAGTCCGGCCTAGTGAGCTACCGGGCCTTCCTAACGAGCTGGTGGGAGACGGAGGCACCGCACTTCCAAGGGCTGGAGACGATGAGAGTGAGCCGGCTTTGAAGGGCTGGAAAGAGACCGAAGTCCGCCGTTGATACTGTGGTGTATCTACAGAGCGTAAAGAGGATTTGGAACCTTGAGCAGTGCGATGGTTAGGTGGCAGTTTTTGTGGCGGCGATTCCATTGGAGATGATGAGGGCATATCTCGGGCTGCGCGGAGAGCTGAGATTGGGCTCGTTCCTGTAGGCGGACCAACTTGATGGAAGGTTGAGAGACTGCCGTATGCTTGTCCAATATCAGGACTCTCCTGCGCATTCATCTTGTTGACAGGAAGCGATCCGGGTACTTGGCGGGTTCTTTGCTCAAAGTAGGTGTCGTCTAGGCCCATAAACTGGGAGCTTAGCAGAGACTCTGAGTCTTCTACACTAAACTCGCAGTTGGTGCGGTACTCGACTGTCACACACAGAGGCCCTACAGGCGAGTTGGTGGGCTCGATTGTGTTTAATTCTGTAATCTTGTCGTTCTCGTCGGTAGGATAGAGCGGCAAACTCAGAGTATCGACGTGCGGACTCCTGAAATCGCCATTTGAGACGCGATAGTTCAATTTCAGGGAGGGTGCATTTGCAGGTTGCTTGGCAATGACCTTGTTGTATCTGAAAGCGGGCATGAAGCGTAGATAGGCGAATAGCGACCGGAATGTGACCACGGCCTTTTTGTATACGTTGGGAAGCGGATCATTGAGCTCTGATGGCTGTATTGAGCTCTTGTCTCCGACGTGCACCCTCCAGCGCTCAAGCACGATTTGTGTGGATTTGCCGGTGCGGCCTGACGATCGAGAGGCGGCATCCGCGGAATTCAGCGCTGCAGCAACGTCCCATCTCTTTCCCTCATCATCGTGTATAACGAGTGACTGGTTGTGGCCGAGTCCTTGTACGTCCAGATAGATGTCGATGCATAGCGATGGATGGTGACCGGCCATGGCATCCATGAGTTTCCACTCGGTGAGTTGGCGTTGGAGCACGTCGCTATCGGGGAGTACGACATTGAACTGAGGCGTGTTAGTGAGGTGTGTAAAGGTCGGGATCATCTATAGATGACATACCCACTTGTTGTGCTTCAACTTGCCATCCTTGTTGTATCCGGGCGGAAGCGATACTCGAGATGATATCACAGCAAGGGCTGACTTGGTGAAGAAGTTCTGATGAGGTTAGCATACGCCCAGTGCCAGACGGGACTAAAGGTACGTACCTGGATGACTTGGTTGACCTTTTGATAGTGCCGCTGATCCGACTCGGAGGAGGGCTCTCCCCTCGACATCATCTCGCCTTCTGATTCTTCGGCACCGCGGTCGCTGTAGGGCGGGGTGGTTGAGTACGCAGTCATATCCTGGCTATGCCGCTGGTTGTTGGTTCGGGCGGGGTTGGTTTGGAGGTTGCTGGCGGGCGAGGCTGTCCGCGGCGAGGGGCGCGAGTATGGGTGCATGGCGGCGGCGGCCTCCTGCAGGTACAAAAGGGCAGAGGGCGTGACTGGCCTGGCGACGAGGGCAGAGGGCGTGTCAAGTACGGTTATGGTAGCGGCGGAAACAGGCGAGGATGAATGCGCGTAGCCATCACGAGTGCAGCCAGTGTCAGGTTCGCGTAGTAGCCGTCAGAAATGTCTCTCAGGAGACTGGGGCACGCGGGGACTTGTTCAGAAGGCAGGCAGGGCTCAGGCAGCAGCCATGGTCTGCAGCGTGGGAACCTGAGGTTGGGTGAAGTGTGTGCCTGGGGCGATGCAGCGGAGTTAAGCTGAGCACCCGACTGGAAGGTCGAGGATGTATTTGGGCGCAGAGCAGTGGGACGACAGCTAGATACGGATGATGAGTCTTTGCCCAGACGGAGGCGTGAAAAGGCAGGCGATGGCGTTGGAACAGTCAGAGAGTGTTGGGACGCATGCGCTGGGAGTCAGTCACGCGGCGATGTTCGAATGACGAGCGAGGAAGATAGCTAAGCTCCAGGCAAGGGCCGGCCACGAGATAAACGATGCAGCACCTGTGCAGTAGTCGGCCGGGCAAGATAAAGCTATCGGAAGCTGCAGGAAGCTAGCGACTGTGAGGGTCAACGAGGGAAATCAGTCTTACTTGAGCCAAATCCGGGGAAGATGGAGGTGCTCATCGACATGTGGAAGCTTCGGCGAGCTCACACAGACATGGGGGGAGCTGGCATGGACGAGTGCCACTGCTTGATCCGCGCTAGCGCCCTTCACCACCACCTCCGAATCGAGACCGTCCGATCGAGGCGCGCATACATATCCACCTATCCACCGTCCTATCCACCTTGATTGCGCTGCCTGTCTGGGGTGCGCCATTCTTTTCGCGAATGCGCAATCCTGCTCGCCTGTAGCCAGCAACGCGTGCCATCCCAGCCGCCAATTGTGTCATTGGCTGGCCTTCCCGGCTATGCAGCACCGTTCGACGCCTCACCTTACCTTTTCACAGCCTCTGACCGGTCTCACCAGATCTGCTCATCGTCTGTGCTATAGCGTTGCCGGTGAGACGCGATTCCGCGTCGTAAATCATCCATGTCATGGGCTGGAGAACAGGCAGCGTCGTGGGAGCGCATGAGAACGATCAATTACGCACAAGGGTATAGCCTGCATGTCCGAGTGCGGGTCTGCGCAGTACTTCCTTCCGACTTTGGACACTACAAGTCGAATGCACGATACATCTACTGCTGCCTATGTCCCATGCATGAATGGACGGATTGGCTCCTGTGGCTGTCCAGCCGCATACGCGCTGCGAGGCATCCATCACTTGCTTTTGATATTCACGGGCTGGCCTTGGCGCGTCGTTCAGAGACAGTCATCGATGCATGGCAGTCAAGATATGGTATCATGGCCTGCTCGATGATGTGATTGACGCCGCGTCTTCGGACCTTCTCTGTAGCTCCCTTGTCGTGAACTCATCGCTAGGTCCGAGTAGCCTTCAGAGGCTAGCTTCCGCCCTGCAGCAGTTCACGTTACTTTTGCACTCAAGTCTCACCTTCGAGCGCACCCAAAGTCTAAAAGGCCCTTCCGAACGGTGACCACAAGCGCCAAGTTGAGTGTTTGTCACGTAGTATAGGTTCACCGCCAGTCAGAGTGGAGAAAGCTGCGTGGTATATAGCATAGGCGCGCCCGCCGTCATCGCGCAACACTGGCGTCCTCCCAGCTCTGCGTCCTCCATCTACATCTCGTAGCCGGTGTCGGACGTCTCATGACTTTGGGGACATGATGATACACCACTGTAGTTTCTCTAGACGGCTTACGTTGGAAGCAATGTCGACCTCCGACGACAGCTTGTGGAGAGGAGGACGAACGCCATTGGCTGATTCCCATGGCTTCGACATGGCCATCCCACACTGCGCCCGCAGTTGCACCTCCGAAGCATATTCGCGGCTGCCACCTATAACTAACCCCTCGTTCGCATTTGCAGAAGCTTCAGGAAGTATAGCAGACTCACTCTGACTCATCTTGACTCTCGCGACAACGACTCAGCGTCTCTCTACTATCGCCTCGGTAGTTTCGTCATAGATACCTAGCACCTCAACCCACACCCATTTCGCGCCCCGCCACTCGCGCCTCCCTCTGCAAACACAAACGCACACATCGCCTAAGCAGCTTGTCGCGACACATCCTCTACGTGCGCCACACCGTACCCCCTGCCCGCTAATCTGACGACCGACAATCGCGTTCCGACGACTTGCCACCTTGCTCCTTCCTCACGCATCCCACTTCTATACCAACACGCATACGCCAACGACACACCCAGTCTCACACCGCCGACCAGTCGCGTTTAGCCCCCTCACCTGGAGTCGTCCTCAGCTTTACAGCCAGCACCTTTAAACACGCTTTGACCCCTTGAGGTTGAGGCCAGGTGCTACTCGTAAAAGCTTCGGATCACTCCTCCTCCTACCGGCACATGAGCGGCTATCTCTGGAAATACTACCTCGAAGATGATGTCGACAACTTTCGACATGTCCTCGCAACCCCCACGCATACGGCCCGATCGGCAACACAGAAAGGCTTCGCAGGCTGGCAGGGCGGAGGATTTGCCACAGCAGTGAACGGCAGCCCGGGGAGTTATAATGCATCACCAATAACAAGTGCGAAGGGCCGCAAGATGGGCATGGGTGCGGCTGCGAATCTCAGTCGGTTTGACATCAACAGCCGGGATGCAGCTGGCATGACTATTCTGCACCATGCTGCGTCATCTACTGCGGAGAGCGCTGTAGACTTCGCGCAAGCACTGCTGGAGCATCCGTGGACCGACGTGTATATACAAGATGCGGAGAATGGCTGGACTGCGCTCCACAGGGCCTTTTACTTCGGTAACATCGCCATTGCACGCCTCATTCTGAATCGCGATGCGCAGGACATTCTTGGTCAGGGTTCCAGCGGGTTCAACCAGCATGCGCGGGGTTTGGTCAAGATCAAAGACAAGGAAGGATACGGTCCCCTGGATTTGTTCTCTATGACTATCAAGGATCGAACACTGCGGCCAGAAGAAGCGCCCGCCTTCGATTCTGACTCGGACGACGAGATGGCTCACGGAGACAGTGGCGACGTGGATGACGAGACGCGCAAGAAGCTGATTGCCCCACCTGTACTTCTTGAGGGAGATGAAGTGTACACTTTCGGCAGCAACAAGAACGTCACCCTTGGTTTTGGTGACGAAGATGACCGCCAATATCCGGAGCGTATTACTCTGCGCAGACCGGATCACCTCCTCCAGCGTTTCTATAGGGAGCACCGCGAGCGGCAGAACCAGTATTGGGCTGCGACAGGAGCGCCCATGCAGGATTCCGGGCTTCTCCAAGCGCGCAGTACTGTAGATCTTCCAACTCACATTCGCAATACGCCGATAGTCATTCAGGACGTGCGGATGTCGAAGTTGCATACCGCTGTGTTGACTACCGACCCTGTATCCAATCTGTACATGTGTGGCCACGGTCCAGGCGGTCGTCTAGGCACGGGTAATGAAACGACGAGGTATCAGTTTACCTGCATCGAAAGCGGCGGATTGGGTCAGAAGAAAGTTGCTGGTGTTGCGTTGGGGCAGAACCACACTCTGGCCATCACCGAAGAGGGAGAGATCTACTCGTGGGGTAACAATGCATACGGACAGCTAGGGTATGCGCTGCCGAAACCCGCCGTAAAGGACGACGATCCCATCTCAACTATTCCTCGACAGATTTTTGGACCATTGAAGCGAGATGTTGTCACAGGTATTGCCGCATCTCGGATACATTCGGTCGTTCACACTGCGACGTCCTTGTACACCTTCGGCAAGAATGAAGGCCAACTTGGTATTGTCGATTCAGACGCTCGGTCGCTGGAGATGCAGGTCATCCCCAGGAAGATTGCTGCAGCACTATTCTCCAGTCCTATTCATTCAGTCTCGGCCATTGACGGTGCTACTGTATGTCTGCTGGAGAACCGCGAGGTTTGGGTATTTGCGAACTATGGTTATGCAAAGCTCAGCTTCCCCTTGGACGGGTTCACTAGTAACTTCCTCAAGGAGAGCTGGTTGACTACAAAGTATGATACTGCGCCAAACAGGATCAGCAAGATCACATCTGGTGGTGACACCATTTGTGCGCTGTCTACTTCTGGTGAGGTCTTCACAGTGGCTGTCAGCCGGCGCTCAGAGGGTGCCCAAGATGCCGGCACATCAACCACAAACCCGAAGCAAATTAGAGGAGCCTTGTCTGCACCGTTCCGTATCTGGTCGTCTAAGAAAAGCCACATGGCAGCACGAGATGTTGATGTCGACCAGGACGGTTCTATCATCTTAACCACTGAGGTTGGCAGCGTCTGGAGACGTACGAAGCGAGCGACCATCAAGAATGCAAATGTCACTGCTGCTGTAGAGTCCAAGCCCAAAGACTACAAATTCCAGCGTGTGTCAGGCCTGACTCGGGTGATTGCTGTCCGTGCCTCCGCATTCGGCGCATACGCTGCCATCCGCAAGGACTGCGATGTTACCAGAAACCAGATCGGTGTGGACGAAGCCGGGCTGTGGGACGACCTAGCGCCGTTGCTTTCTTTCCACGAGTTGACAAACTACGAGGAAACATCCGACGATGAGGAGCCCACACCAAGATTCTGGACCCGAGCTTCAGAAGCGCAAGGTCTGCGCAAGCGTGTCTTGAAGTCGAAGGACCTGGAAGCGGAAATCACTGATATCCTGCAGCGCTCGTTGACAACGCCAGATCGGACGTATAACATGGAAGTTGGATCTACTTTGTCTGACGTCCGCATACCCGTTCACGAGTTCATCTTGGCTGGACGCAGCCGTGTCTTGCGGGACGCCCTGCTCGACTTTAGGGTGAAGGGCAGCGAACATGTCGTGCCTGACCTCCTGACCGTCAAGGCAGAGGGTGGGAGAGTTCTGGTACTCTTCCAAGGTCTTGATTTCCTCACCATCTTCAACCTCGTTCTCTACGCCTACACCGACTCTGTTGTGGACTTCTGGAACGTCACCCGGCACTACCCTACCTTGGCACACAGGTACCGTTCCGTACGGACAGAATTGATGAAGATTGCTTCCCGTCTCGAAATGCGACAGCTCGAGCCTGCTGTACGTCAGATGGTCAAGCCACGGAGATCCTTACACATGGATATGGAACTCGCTATCAAGGAGCAGTCTTTCTTCGAGAGTGGCGACGTCATCGTCGACCTTGCTGATGGCCAGATGCTGCTACACTCGGACGTAATCTGCCAGCGCTGTCCTTTCTTCGAAAGCTTGTTCCGAGGACGTGCTGGCGGTCAGTGGCTCGC